TCTCTCATTGACAGCGGAGCAGCTGTCAATGTCATTTCCCCATCTATTTTAGGCCTCTACAACATTCCATATTCCAAGTCACTCATTCCCATCATGCTAGCTGATGGCTCCCACACCCATGTCAACGGTTCCATCTCGTTGGACATTAGCGTAATGGGACGTAGCGTCAACATGCCCTTTCTGATCTTGGAATCACCACACAAGATTATACTGGGCATGCCGTGGTTGCTGGCCACCAATCCATCTATCGATTGGACGGCTGGCACTTTGTCTTTCAAGGACCCGGCCACGGTCGCCACCCTCGCTGTACCGGTGCCACCTGTCACTTGCGCCCAGGCTGGATCTCGCCCTATATCGGTTACCTTACTTGACCACCCTATTGTTCACACCACCACTTCACCCTCTGCACATGTTACTCCTTATATCCCTCCACCCGTTTCACCTGTTGCACCATCTATACATGTTACTCCTTCTATCTCTCCACCCGCTTCACCTATTGCACCATCTATTGTTTCTCCTGTTTCACCACCCATTGTTTCAACTGTTATTCCGCCTATTGTCTTGTCTGTCACACCACCTGTTACCTCGCCTATCATCCCCTCGTCGCCACTCGCACCACCCGTTCCACCCCCCATTCATGTCGTCGTCCAATCCGTCATTCCCGAATTGTCGGTCTCGGCCATTCAACGCCTCTTTGTGGACGACGATGTCGATGAATTCTTTATCGTCAAACTGTATCCCTCCCCTTCTTCCAACTCTGGCCTGGCCCACGTCGCCAGCGTCTCGTCGGCAAACCCTCGGTTCGCCAAACTCCTCGCCGACTACCAAGACGTTTTGGTAGACGCTTTACCAAACTACCTCGCTGACCACCGCTTGCACGACATGGAGATCGTCGAGGTGGATGGTGCCAAGCCAGTCTATCGCCGCAATAATCACCTCTCATCGGAAGAGAATAACGTCATGTTCACCACTGTCGAGAAGGGTCTCGCATCTGGTCGGATCGCCCCGAGCAAGAGCCCGTACAACTCGGCTGTCCTCTTTGTTCGAAAGAAGGACGGCACTCTCCGTATGTGCGTGGATTTCCGCGCGCTAAACAAGCAGACGGTGGCCGACCGTTTCCCGTTACCAAGAATCGACCAACTGATCGAGAAGATCGCAAAGGCCAAGATCTTTTCAAAGATCGACCTAAAGGACGGCTTCAATCAGATTCGTATTAAGGATGAGCATACCCACAAAACAGCATTTAGTACTCCGTCTGGTCACTACGAGTACACTGTCATTCCTTTCGGGCTACGTAATGCTCCGTCCGCCTTTGTTCGTGCCATCAACGCGGCATTCGCTGACATTCTCGACACTTTTGTAATTATTTATATCGACGATATTCTTATCTTCTCAGAGAATGAAAACGACCACTACGAACACATCAAGCAAGTTCTCGACCGACTACGTTCTAACAAATTGTTCGCCAACAAAGCAAAGTCATCGTTTCTAGTGAAGGAGGTAGAGTTCCTCGGTCACCTTATCACTCCTGGGTACATCCGTCCCCTTGCAGATAAACTTGCCGCGGTCAAGGACTGGCCGACACCGTCTACCGTCACAGAACTACAAAGCTTCCTCGGGTTGTGTAATTACTACCGTAATTTTATCGACCACTTTGCCGACCACGCGGCCCCGTTGTACGATGCCACCACGAAAAAGACGTTATCATGGAGCGACTCGCTGTCAGCCGCGTTTGGCAAGATCAAGTCGTTGCTTTGTGAGTGCACGTCCCTCTTCATTCCAGATATGGACGGCCCGTTCACCGTCACCACTGATGCGTCTGACTTTGGGATCGGTGCTGTCCTCGAACAAGATGGTAGACCTGTAGCGTTTGAATCGCGCAAAATGACTAAAGCAGAGAGAGGTATGTCCACGCGTGACAAGGAGGCTTTGGCGGTATACCACTCATTCAAAAAGTGGCGCCATTACCTTGTGGGCAAGGACTTTATCCTTTTCTCTGATCACACTGCTATCAGTCGAATTGAAGACGCTGTTGGTACCGATGACAAGGTTGGTCGTTGGGCCCGGTTCATAGGTGAGTTTAGATATACATTCAAGCATAAGCCTGGTAAGCTCAATGTTGTGGCGGATGCTCTCTCGCGTCGCCCCGACTACAAAGAGGCGATATCATCACCGATAGTTGATCCACACTTTAACGATCGTATCAAGAAAGGATACAAATCAGACTTATTTTATTCAGATATTATTAATGGCAAAAGCCGTCTCCATTTTCATGTTTCTACAAACAAATTAGTTTATTTCACAGGTAACGATCATCGCAGGTTGTGCATTCCAAACGACCCGGATCTGAGAAAAGATATCATTCAAGCGGCTCACAATACTGGTCACCTCGGCGTCGACAAGACTTATTGGCACCTCTCTCAGTCGGTTTACTGGCGTGGTATCTACGAGGACTGCAAGGAGTACGTGATTGCCTGTCAGTCTTGCCAGCGCAACAAGTCGCCGACGAGTGGTGCGTTGGGCAAACTTCACCCTCTGCCAATCCCACATCGCCCTTTCCACACTGTCACACTTGACTTCATGGTAGATCTCCCACCAGCAAGAGGCACCGGCCATAATGCATTACTGACAATTGTTGACAAGTTCTCTAAATTCGTAGTCTACATCCCTACTTTCGTCAACGCAACGGCAGAAGATACCGCCGTATTATTCTACGACCAATTCTATCTTCGCTATGGTCTGCCTTTGAATATAGTATCTGACAGGGATGCTAAATTTACTTCCAACTTTTGGGAAGCTCTATTTAAACTACTTGGTTCCAAACTATCATTCTCGTCCTCCTTTCACCCTCAAACTGACGGGCAGTCAGAGAGGATGAATCGGGTGACGAATGAAATGATGAGATCACACGTCAACTACAAGATGGACAATTGGGTAGAATTGTTACCTACTCTTGCTTTTACATACAATACCACCATCCACTCCTCTTCCAACCATTCCCCTGCCCACCTCATTCATGGTTTTGAGCTTATTAACCCCCTTCGCTTACTTTCTTCTAGTGACATCGACTCTGACACACCAGCCGTCAACGACTTTATCGATAACCGTATCATGTCTTGGAGACATGCCACTCAATGTCTCGCCGAAGCCCAATCCAGCCAAAAGGAATACCATGACCGTGGTAAAGTTCAAGAGTCTCTCAACGTCGGTGATATGGTTCTACTAAACAGAAAGAATATCACTCTTGCCGCCGACTCGCGTCGACACAGTTGGAAATGGTACAACAAGTGGATAGGTCCATTCAAGATTATCAGTGTCATAACCAACCACAACGATGAGAAGTCAGCGTACAAGCTCGAGTTGCCCGATACTATGGCCATCCACCCTGTTTTCCATTCCTCTTTGTTGAAACCGTTCCACCACTCATCCCGTTTCAGCGACACCACGTATCAAGTATCCATCCCTACCTCTGGTCTCATCGAGGAACATCTCATAGAGGCCATTGTCGATTTCAGGTTGCATTACAACAAACCACAATATCTCGTAAAGTGGACCGGTCTCGACAACTACAACAACCGCTGGTCTACTAGAGATCAAATACCGACACACATACTCGACGAGTTTGAACAGCTAAACCCTGAGCATGCGATGCACAACAGCACCAACAAGAAGAGTCCAACCGACGACTCTACAACCGACATACTTTCAAACGACACCACTTTAAACCTTAACTCTACACCGAATGGTCACGTCGACTCTTCCGACTCCAACGTCACGGTTAACCTTGTTCCCTCTGTATTCAATACTACACAATCTCCAGTCATCACCGAGGCTCCAGACGCCACACCCAACCCCGTTCTTTCCAAACCATTGCCACCATCCATCCTGCTCCGGAGAATTCTCCAAAAACCAGTCTCTCCTTCCGCCACTGCTAAACCACCTTCTCCTGCCCCATCCATCACGGCCAAGGCTCACTCTCCCTCGCTAGCCAATACTCCAGCTTCGGGGAAGGACTTTAAAGTAGATAATAATATAAGAAGGAATGAAGGAAGGCGTGGTACGCTGCATGCCTTTGGTGTCACTGCGAGAGTGTCAGAGAACAAGGTTCACCCTGCATTCCGAAAATACATAAAATATGAAAAACACAAATAAATAGAAGTCGCGACGAGCTTGGTGGATCATTCTTGTTTCCCCAATTCGTGTAGCTAGTTATAATTGTATATCTATCGTGTAGAGTCTTGTTCAGTCTAGTTTATTGTATCTTGTCAGTTATCTAGTTATCTTGTTTATCATCATTGTCATTATTAGCAGTAGATATTATATACACCATACACAATATTACATGGCAGCAGCTGTTTGTTGGCAGCAGCTGTTTGTTGGCAGCAGCTGTTTGTTGGCAGCAGCTGTTTGTTGGCAGCAGCTGTTTGTTGGCAGCAGCTGTTTGTTGGCAGCAGCTGTTTGTTGGCAGCAGCTGTTTGTTGGCAGCAGCTGTTTGTTGGCAGCAGCTGTTTGTTGGCAGCAGCTGTTTGTTGGCAGCAGCTGTTTGTTGGCAGCAGCTGTTTGTTGGCAGCAGCTGTTTGTTGGCAGCAGCTGTTTGTTGGCAGCAGCTGTTTGTTGGCAGCAGCTGCCAACAAATGGGACTGACCCATCACCAGTCATGGGCTATAGGTTTTGAACCAACAGTTGGGGGTCATTAACATAAATTCATTCATCAGAGCCATTGACTTGTTCAACAAGAGTAGTCCAAAACGACAAGATCACCAATCTTGATTACTAAAAATGAATGCTTTTTCTGCAACCTTGTATAAAAGAAAGCAAAAGATTGGTTAGTGAAAACATGTCTTATTATGACAAGTAGGTAATATGATATTGAAAAGACTCTACTAGATATCTATGAATGCTTACAAAAACCAAAGTTACAGAGTTGAAAAAAATAACCAACAAAGATTGAATCATGATCCTCAACAAAAAAAAGTATTTTAAATTTGTTTTTTTTTTTATTATTTCCATTTAAAATCAATATTTGTAATATCTTGTAATTCATCAACTAAATCCAATAATTGATTTTCATCATTATCTATTGCTTCTTCTTCTTCTTGTCCATATTTAACATTATCCAATGTATTATTATTATTATTATTATTATTAATTTCCTTTTCCTTTTCATTTTCCTTTTCATTATTATTACTCATTAATTCTAAAAGTTTTAATTTTGGAGGAGGATTTAAAATTAAAAGTTTAACCAAATCTATTAAATCCTTTGTTGATAGACCGATATTATTAATGGCAAGACAAGACAATTTTTCCAAACGACCAGATTCTATCCAACGGCAAAGATCCGATGCCGCAGAGTGACCGAGTTGATTGCAAGAGAGATCCAATACCTCTATAGACGATGCACCAGTGGTACAAATGACTCCGCCGAGTAATTCAACCGAATGAGATGACAATTGATTGTCTGCAATGTCCAATAATACAAGACGAGGAAGTCTACCACGATAGATACACTCTACAATATGTGATACACCTTGGTCTTGAATAGAACAACCTCTAAGGACCATATGTTGAAGGTTAGAGTGAAGGGGTGGTGTTGTAATGGTAGCGGGTGCGCCTGGTTCACCTGCCAAACCACGACAAAATCCAAGTCCACTCTTTTCCTCTTTAAATGAATCTTGAGCAACAAATTGTTGACCACTGCTCCAATTGGCTACGGCTCTACCCAATCTTTCCATTGATTCATCGGTACCAGATACTTGACAATCTGACATTTCCAAAATAACAAGATTTGGACAAATCTCTAATAATCCAATAATACATTCCGACGAATCCCTACCAAGTGAATTTAAATTTATATTTAATTTTAATAATGAAGATGAAGATGAAGACTCTGATTGTTGAATGATTGAAATTAAAATTGATAAACCAATAGAGGTGAATTTGTTGTCTGCAAGATTAATAGATTTGATGGTGGGACGTTGAAAAAGAGGAGCCAATAGAGGAAGAGCATCATCTGTTATATTGTTTTGTGAAAGGTCGATACTAGTGACTGAAGCATTGGTGCCCATTGCATTGATGAGGACGGGGATTGCATCTGCATTGATTGATCGTTTAGAGAGATCGACATGATCGACCGACGACGATTGAAATAGTCCACTCATCAGAGTAGACAATTGTAAATGATCGTTACCAATCTCTGCATGTCCAACCGATACATGTTTGAGTGCCACGTGTGATGCAATAGCACTACCAATCTCTTTTGCACCTTCAACACCCAAAACATGACCACTTAGAAACATATTCTTTAACGATGTATTCTCTCTAATGGCATCGGCCAATACCTTTGCATTGTTCTCTGTTACCGGTATAAATGATGGTATCAAATACATAGATTCTAATCTATTCTCTCTTAATTGTGTTGCTATATCTTGTATTCTAACAAGTACAGATGCTTCATCTGTTAATGATTTTCCCCATACCATCTTAATATAATAAAATATATAAATAATTAAGAAATAGAAATAGAAATAGAAAATGAAATGAAATGGAGAAGGGAAGGGGATGATAATGAAAAAAAAAAAATCTTTAAAAAAAAAAACGACACCTCTCGTTGTAATTAATATCATTGGTCAGCTGATAATATCAAATCATATGATGGGTGTGTGATTAAAATTATTATTGATTATTATTATAATTATTAACTGTACAAACAGTTATATATATATATATCTCATAAATCATCTATTTGTTTTGTTTTCTTTAAATTAATTAAAAGGGGGTGTTTTAAAAATGTTCACATCGCATGAAAGTTGATAAACAATCTTGTTGTATGCTTCCAACTGATTTAAAATGTGGTCGATCTCCCGTATTATGGATAATATACAGCGAGACTTCCGGAACAACTTGTCTACACACATGAATTAATAGACAAGCGAAGTCATTTTGGGTGACTTTACCAAATGATCTCATAGTGTACTAATATAATACGCTAAGAAAAGGTGTATATGGGACGAAAAACGAAAAATGAATAGTACTTTTATCATAGATGGCACCTGACCTCTCCCTCTTTTAAAAATCAGATGAGATCAATTTTGGTAAGGTCACCCAAAATGACTTCGCTTGTCTATTAATTTGAACTACTTACCTACTACAGCAATACTAACTATTCTTTTTAAAGGCGATTAAAGATGAATAAAAAGAAGAAGAAGAAGAAGAAGAAGAAGAAGTTATTTTTTTACATACCTTTTGAACAAAGAGAATAAATTTGAATGATGGCTTGTAACACTAAAAACAAAGCTTTTTAAAGCTTGCTGTCAGGGTCTTTCACCACCATAAATGATCGGTCAGTCGTTTGGTGGCAAATATCTGGTCAGTCGGTGAACAAGCAAGGGTGAGGTTTTTTTTTTTTAGATCGAGATACTTTGTAAAGCCCAAAAGCCAGCAACGTCATCATCATCATATTATGATAACTAAATCAAAATTTGTCAGAGGACATCCCAAAATACCTGAATAGATTTTTTATAGTTGTTTTTTTTTTTGAAATAAAACTATAGATATCAATATTGGAGAGAACTATAGTGTTTGTTCAATACACAGTAGTAGTGAGAAACTATAATAACACCCAGGGACATAACCATAATGAAAGAGAATGGATCATCACAATCAAAATTTCGTGTTGCCTGTTGTCATGCACATTCTGTGAATTTATTTTTCTTGCACCAAACAACCAAAGTAAAAAGAAATGAACTCAACTCTCAAAATTGAATCATTTGCAATTTTTGTTTTCAATAGAGAGAGAAATATTACTACTCTAGCACTTCTTTTTACTTGTTACTTTTTTTTTTTTTTTTATACCTAGTTTAAATAACTATACACATACCTTGTATATATGAGTTTAACAGAGATGGAAACAAAATCATCAAAAGAGATTATAGACGATCTTCAACGACAACTTTCACAAGAGAAATCAAGAAATAGAACTCTAACAGAGGAATTGAAACAATTAAAAGATGCTCATTTAAGAATTGTATGTATTATAGTGTATTTTAGGTAAATCTAAACACCTTCCTTTTCTCTCTAATACCTATACCTATAATATTCTAGCAATTAGTAACAGAGAATGAAGAAGAATTCATTACAAACAAGTTTATGAAATATTTAAATCAATTGAAAAAGGAAAAGGAAGAATTGGCATTAAAAGTTGAACAAGAAGAAGAATATCTTACCAATACTTTACAAAAGAAAATGTTGGCTGTAAGTAAATAAGAGAAGAAATGAAAAAGAGAGAGAGAATGTATCATTTATAAACTCTTCTTTTTCTTTTTTTTTTTTAGATTATGAGAGAAAAAGTAGATTTAGAGAATCAATTAGAACAAGAAGAAGAATTTATAGTAAATAAATTACAAAAACAAATTCAAGAAGTATTAAAAGATAAAAAGTAATTTAAAATATATACAAATAATCATTGATCCTTTTTCATTTTATTAATACTCTTTTTTTTTTCTTTAGGGTATTGGAGAAAAGATTAGAAAATGAAATCAATGATCATAGACAATTATTAAAATTGGAAGGTGAAGTTATTTCACTTCGAGACAAGATTAAAGAATTGGAAGGATCAAGTGAACACAACAAAGAAGACATTGTAGCTCTCAAAGCTGAAAACTTTGTACTCTGTCAAAAGATTGCAAGAGAACAAGAAAAATTAACCAAAGTTCATAATGAAAATAGTAAATTAATTTCAAATTTGGAAATTGGTGATGAAAGGTAAAAAAAATAGATAATAGAAAATAGAAAATAATTATATTTATTTATTTATTTATTTATTTACTTTTGGGTAGAAATTTTAATACAAAACAAAAAAGAAATAGAAGTGTATCTGTACCAAATGCGGCCAATTTAAATTTAAATTTACAAGTTTCACCACCACAAACCAAAATTGTAACCAATTCAGTTCCCATTTCAAGATCAAGATCATCATCATCATCAAACCCTTGTTTAATAACAAAGGTATTAAAAGAAGGATGGATAAAAAAAAAGGTTGATGGTAAATTTGAAAAGAGATATTTTGAATTATCATCAGACGAGGTAATCAGAGAATACAATGATGAAATCAAACAAGTATTATTAGATACTATAGATCTAGATAAAGTAATTGATATTGTTGAAGTACCAGGTACTCCTTCTTTATCCGCTACTGTTAGTGGTAGTAGTAGTACTGGACAACATACTGGATCAAGTGTATTGGAATTGGTCATTTCAAATAATGCATCATCACCTATTCATGTATCAATTAATAGTAGTACTAGTAGTACTACTAGTAACAGTAGTAATAATAGTCATGGATCATCATCATCTGTACCAAATAATTGTACCATTTCATTGTTGATTGATAAAAGTGAAATGAATCAATGGAAATCTTTAATAACTGATCTTTTACCAAAACCTCCTCAACACAACTAAAACAAGTAATATCAAAATTAATTAAAAAAAAGAAAAAGATAAACAAAAAAAATATTATATTATAAAAAAAAAGAAAACAACAATTAATGTAAATGTAAATAAAAAAGGATTTTTTTAAAAACTTTATACTTTATACTTTTTCTTTTATTTCTTTTTTATTATACAATAATAATTATCATGATCTAAATTATTTGATAATATATCAACATTTTGAATCTTTTCAAATAAAGATTCAAATTCACCATCACAAAATAAATGATAATATCTATGAAATTGTTGATAAGTTGTTCCAGATTTTGATATTTCCTCCTCTTCCTCTTTTTCTTTCAATTTCTTTTCTTCTTCTACTTTAAATTTACTTTGAAATAACCAAGGTACCATAACATCTGATGAATCATAATTTTTTCCTTTCCATTTTTGAGACATTGCCCATGCAGTCACTAAAAAAGTGCCACCAGGTTTTAAAACTCTTACAATTTCCTTTAGTGCTTCCACTCTTCTTTCAAATGTAGAGAAATGATGAATGACAGCAATTGAAATGGCATAATCAAAAGTATCGGTTTGATAGGGTAGATAGAGACCATCGGCACTCAATGCCTCTAATCCCTTTTCATTACAAATCGTTGAAAAACTTTGACATATATCAGATCCAATCGTATATATATTACCCTTGTTTACATTTAAATATTTTCCATTACCACATCCAACATCAACTCCAATCGATCCACATGTAATAGAATTTAAATAATTTTCTACCAATGGCCATGCCTAAAATAAAAAAGAGTTAGAATCTCTTTATTCTTTATTTATCTCATCCTTTATTCTATTTACTTTATATCTTGTACTATCAAAATGAGATGAAATAACATTATAAACATTATGAACATGTTTATTTTCTAATCTATATGCATCTAGATCTGATTTTGGTTCATCAAATCCTAATCTTTCTCCATTTGGATCATTTTTTGAAGTTGTTGTAGAAGTAGAAGTAGATGATATATCTTTCTCTTTCTTTTCTTTCTTTTCTTTGTTTCTATTATTATTATTACTCATTATTTTTTATTTTTATAAATGATTTATAAAAAATCGAACGAATCACATGATCATGTGAGAAAAAAAATTAAAAAAATTAAAATTAAATAAATAAACTCTCAAACTAATAAGTTTGTATTTTATTAACAAATTTTATTAAATTTATTATTATTAGTACACCTTATTTTTTAGTAGATATTACTATTCTCTTGTCAACCACAAAGACCGGTCGATCTTCAGTTGATCGATTCTTTTTTTTTTTTTAGTTTTTGATAAATTTAATAAAATCTTAAAAAAATTACAGAAAAAAAAAGGAATGCTATGAGAGAGGTGGTATGATATGTATATATAACTCTAGCACTATCAACTATTTACTATTAGTTCACCTTTTTTAAAAGGTGTTGTTGGTATAACAACACAGTACAACAACAGACAACAGACAACAGTCATCTAGCAATCACACTCTTTTTGATCAGATAAAGAGTTTTTTTTACTTTTTAATACTCCAATGGTATTTACAAAGAAACAAACATTAGTATCAACTTTGTATCAAGATTGTATATTTTATTTGGATCTTGGAACAACAGCTTCTTTTCAACAAAAGAATGATATTAGCAAGTTTATAAAAGATAATGGAGGCACTGTCTCTATTTCCTTTTCAGCTGCCAAGACTACTCATTTCATTACAACCAAAGAATCAATCAATACATTCAAAACAAAGTTGGCCTATAAATCTTCCATTTGTAGTGTTTTATTAGATCAATATATTTATCATGCTTTAGAACAAAATAATCCTTTACTTGATACTTTTAATTATCTTTATATTGATGCAAGGTAAAAAAGAAAAAGAAAGAAAATATATATATATATATATATTAAAAAGGATCATTTTATTTATTATTTTTCTATTTCTATTTCTCTAGCCAGCAACTGATATATTACCAAATCAAGATGATATTATAAAATCAATTCAAACTCATTATTTTATTTTAAATGATTTATTGGATCAAATTAAAAATGGTACATTATCAACTAAACAACAAAAAGAAGAAGAAACAATAACAAAAAAGGTTATTGAACCAATAGTCATTGCTGAACCAAAGGTCATTATCGTCAATGAACCAACTACTATTATTTCTCCTCCTATTACTATTGCTTCACCATCTATTTCATCTAAATCAAGTTATGCAAGTAAATTTTTAGAACTTCAACAAATGAAAAGAGATTTTGGAGAAAAGAAAAAGGTTAGTCAATTGGAATTGATTAATCAAAAAAAGGCAGAAAGACAAGCTATCCTCGATAACAAGGCCAAAGAAAAAGAGGAAAAGTTAAAAGAAGCCAACCTTGAAAAGCAAAAAAAGATTGAATTGGAAAAGCAAAGAAGAAAATCTACCATTTCTTCTCTTTCTTTTACAAAATCCAAATCTTCCTCTATTCCCTCCTCTTCTTCTTCTTTTACTTCATCATCATCATTTTCATATTCAAGTATTGTTCAACAATCACAACCACAACAACAACAACAAATCAAATCAAAACCTTTTATTTCTTTGGAAGAAAAAGAAAAAAAAGAATCAAGAATTAAAGCAAGAGAAGAAAAGATTGTCCAACTTCGAAAAGAAAAGATTCAAAAGAAACAAGATGAAATGGATCAAGCCAAGCTCGAAAAGAAATTGGCCAAGGATCAAAAAAGAGTTGAATATCATGAAGCTGTACGTGTACAAAAGGAAAAAGAACAAGAAGAAAAGGAAATTGCCACTCAAGCCAGTCTCCAAGCCTATCTCTTGCGTTGTCAAAAGAGAAAGGAAAAGGAACAAGCTCTACTTGAAGGAGGATTTGTATCATCAAAATCCAAAGAGGAATTGGAACGTGAAAAGATGGATGCTGAAAGTCGAAAGATCTTTGTTGGAGGGATTACCTTTGACGATCTTGTTGGTCGTGTAGCTCCATCTGCCATGAAAAAGATCAAGGAAAAACGTGTTAGTTTTCTCTTGCAAAGTTTCAATCAATTTGGAAAGATTGACAAGCGTATTGTCGATGTTTTCAAAGGTCATTTTCATATCGTCTATGCTGATGTCAATGACGCCATCAAGGCTGTCAAACATTATCAAGATGTCGCCAACAAAACCAAAACCGTTCAAGAAATTAAAGATCATCTTAAATCTCTTAAATTGGATTTGGCAATCACTCCAACCGTTCGGTTCTACGTTAAACCAACTAAAACTCATATTGTAAATAATCCAAATTTAATCTCTCAATATCAATTACCAGATGCTGAAATCATCTCTTCAACAATCAACCTTTCAAAAATCAAACCAAAACCTCCAATTGTTTTTACTTGTCAAGAAAGACCAAAAGATGAAACAGAAATGAATCAAGATCACCTAGATGAAACCATTGTTTTATCTGATGAAATTGAAGAAGAAGAGGAAGAAGTTCAAATCCCCGAGGATGACGTTGAAAATACCCAGGATCAAGAAGTGGATGGTATCAGCGAAAGTGATGGTAACAGCGACGACGATATTAGTGATGAATCAGAAAAGGAAGAGGAAGATTATTCGGAAGAGGACGATGATTAAAATAAAATAAAACCATTAGAAATTTCGTTTGTAGGTCTCTGCAGACATGTTAGCTCATCAAAAAAGATCTTTTGTGTGTGGGTTTCGGTGGTCAAATATCTGTGGGGGCATGCCCAGTGACCAAAAATTTTGAGCAACGAACAAAAAAGAAAAAACTTGTAATACGAGTTTTGCGATGACAGCGTGTCGCTGCGATACCTAACCTCCACTCCTTCCTCCAATCGGAGGGGAATCAGTTTTACTTTTTCAATATATACAACAATCAAATTTATATATATATATATTTATTACATTTTAGAGACAAAATGAAGCTTTTATTCACTTTATTTGTTATTGCTACTTTATTATCCGTCGCTTTTGCTGTAAGAAACGAAAATTAGAAAAAATATAAAAAAAAAAGAGTAGATTCACACACACACAAACGATTGATTGATCTGAGTGTTCTGTTTGGATGTGTTGTGAGAATATGATCTACTTACCTACTTATTAATCAAACTCTCTACTATTTATTATTTATTTTAGGATGGTATTTTTAATAGTACATTAGCTGTAGGAGAAGTAGGAAAGGGTAAATTAAAGACTGTTACCTTTTCTTCAGTAGCATTACCAGCTGCTACCTTCCAACTTGATGCTGTTCAAGTATTCCTTGTCAATGATACTAGCAAGGCTCAATTCGAACATGGTTCACTTGTTGTTGCCAGTGTTGATATTACCATTGGTGGAAAAAAGGTTATTGGTTTCACTGCCTCTACTCTTGAAAACCCATTAGTTTTCCCATCTCCATATGCTTTGGCTGTTACGTAAGAAGAAGAAGAAAAGAAAATAGTTAGAGTCCTTACTTTTTACTTACATTTTAATTTATTTAGAGGACCAGTTGATATTACTGTTCAACTTTTCGTTACCAACAAGACACCAGTTAATGTTACATTGGAATATTTCCTCAAGTGGTCAACTGATGCCAACTATACACCACTTGTTAGAACTGCCACCTCCGCTGTTCAAAACTACAGTTCATTCAATGTACCAGGTACTGGACCAGCTCAATTTGTCATTCAAAACAGTGTCCAATGGCAACAAAACATCAATGCCATGTCATTCCAAGCTTCTGGTTCACAAGGTATTATTTCACTCCAATTTGTAGACACCACCTCCAACACTGTCCTCTGCACATCGACCGGTAACTACAAGAACAAGATTTTGATTACCATGTCACCATGCAATGACGTCATTGCCTTGACCAAGGGAACCACCTACACTACCATTGCCACCTATGACAATAGCGTTGCCATCAAGGGTGTATACGGAAACTTTGCCTTGTACGTTGGTTACACTCCAAAGCCATCGACTACCTCCACCTCCACCGGAAAGACTACTGGTCCAGCCACCTCTACCTCGTCTACCGGTAAGACCACTGGTCCATCCACTACTGGTCAAACTACCAGCCCAGCCACCTCTACTGGAAAGACCTCTGGTCCATCCACTACTGGTGGTCATGCTGCTTCATCAACTGGAAAGACCACTGGTGGTCACAGTGCTGGTGGAAGTGCTGGCGGTAGCGCTGGTGGTTCCTCATCTGCTGGCGGTACTACTACCTCTGGTACCTCCTCCAACCCATCCGGTTCAATGTCCTCCAACCCAACCGGTACCTCTTCCGAATTCACCACTGCCGGTACCTCTTCCAACCCAACTGGTGACTCTACCACTGCCACTGGCGGTGTTACCGTCTCCCCAACTGGTTATGCTTCTTCTGGTATGGCCGAACAAAAGGTCTGGGAAAAGAATACCAGAGCTACAAAGAATATTAAATTCTATTAAATTAAATAAATCACAAAAAAAAGAGAGAAAAAATATCTAGTTTTTTAAAACTTTCCAATTTCATCCTTTTTCTAGCTAAAAATGTTATTTCGTTTATAAACACAAAGATGAATTAAAGGATCTACCTATAGTTTAGTCTTTCTTTGTTTAAAAGATGGAGATATCAAACATTTTACAAAATGAAATCTTATCAAAGATTGATATGTATAGAGCATTAACAGATAGACATTCATTTGATGTAAACAAGACGATGGATCAAAGTGATAGTTTGGTTTATTCAGAGAAAAGAATATCAATCATTGATCTAGCACTAGTTTGCAAGAAATGGTTTCAAATGGTAAAGAGTCAAATAAATGTCATCGTTGTAGAGGCAGAGACTAAACACTCGATCTTTCAAGGATCTAGTGGATCACATCGTCATACAACCTTGGGTAAAACAAGTCACGACAAGGAAAGCATTGTCATCTTGCCTCGATCAACCATAGAGAACCTTGCATTGACCAAGACAATGATAGTGTCTCTTAAACAATTGGCATCACCCCATTGTATTCTCTCGTTGGATCATCTTTCAAGTATTCACTTTTTCAATGTCGGGCCTGGTTTCACCTCTTTTCCTTATTTCAAACCTCTTATGCAAAATATGGTTGGTAGAGAGATGGATCTTTACTTTTATGGAAATTATAATCAAGACTTTTTAGATTATAAAAAAGATGTACAAGAGAATCATAAAGAATGGTCAATCAAAGAATTCAATCCAGTCATTTCAAGAGAATTGGATCCAGATTCAATTATTGAATTTGAACAATTTAAACAAGAATATCCAGATCAAATTTGTGGTTCATTGGATGTTGCCGTATTTTCAGAAGATGAAGAGGCTAATTTCGATTGTTTTAAATTGATTCAATTGGCAAAACCTAAAAAGGTTTGTATTGATCTACTCAATTCATCAAATGACAATCAATTACATTTCTCTTATTTGGAATTGGCCAAAAATCATTTCAACTTTATCAATCATTTGGAAATTAAAGACGACTTTTTGGATGCATTGGATTTGGTCCAATTACTCAAACAACCAAATTTTAAATACATTTCTGTTGTATTTGGTTTACATTGTGAAGAGGATTGTGAAAGTTTTTATCCAGTTCCAGATCATCCAAGACGTCATTTGCCTCAACTAAAAGAAGCATTAGAGACCAATACAACACTAAAGACTCTTGCAATTGAATGTTTTTGTCATAATCCAACTCATACTGGTGAGGATTTTGGTATTGGAATGGAATCTGTTTTTGATCAACTTTTAATCAAAAATCATACCCTCACCAATTTACAACTAGATGGTATATCACCAGGTGAATCATTTTACAAATCATTGGCTGATCCAAATTGTTCTTTACAATATCTTTCTCTTGTAAAGAATTCAATTCCTTCAGATGATCATTTTAAATTATTTGCCAAATCACTAGAAATGAACAAATCAATTCAACAACTTTCCATTCAGGGTTGTAATATAACAGACAAATCTGAAAAGGTAGTGTCATCTATTATTCAAAACAACAAATCAATTACATCTATCAATCTATCATGTACCAAACTTACTGGAGAATTGATTGTTCCAGTATTATCAGATTTAACTAAACATAATATTCAAAATATTTCAATTTCATTAGAAATGGAAGATTTTTTAGAAAGAATCGGTACTAGTGAATATAAACAAAATAGAAATCTTTATCTACTTAGAAAACCATTCTTTTAAAAATAAATAAATAAATAAATTAATTAATTTAAATTAAAAATTATTTTATTTTTTATCTATGGTATACAATATATATTAAAGAGAGAGAGAGAATTATTATTATTATTATTTGTTTGTTTGTTTGTTTTTTTTTATACTATTTGATTATTTTGTTGTTTTTAATAATCAGATTCATCACCACCATTTTCTGAACTTTCTTCAGCAGCTCTTTCCATTTCTTGTTTGATTGATTTGGCAACTTCAGCAATCTTTTCAGTTTCAGCCTTGCTAATGTCTGGATGGAAACGCATAGCCTTGAGAGAATCATTGTGGATCTTGAGGCAAATATCGATTCTATTGCTAAAAGCAGCCAATGGTTCTTGAGTAGAGTATTGGTCAATATTTTCCTTGCTTTGAAGGTAACCCTCACTACGGTTGATGGTGGCTTCGATAACACCATCCTTGATGGCCTTTGACACAATAAACATCATATCTTCTGGTGTACCATCAAACTTTAATTTCTTGCAAACATCGGCAAATGAAATTCTTGAATAAGCAGATGTAATCTTTTTTAATCCAGTCTTGATTACATTACTTCTTAATCTAAAATAGAAAGCAGCATATAAGTATAAAGTATAATAAATATTATTTGTTTGTTTTTTAGTTTACCTTTGAATAAGAGTAAAAGTTTTATCAGATTTGAATAATGAAGAATATTTTTCTACAACTTGATGGAAACTAGTTAAATCACCAACTCTGACAGTTTGAGTAAGATGAAAGTATGGTTTCATAGCAGTCTTTAAAATCTTTTGACTGAATACATTTCTTTCTGGAATTTCTCCCATCAATAATTGAACAATACAAAGTAATTTATTTACCTAAAAGATAGAAAAAGTTAACTTTAAATGTGATGTGTCAATATTTGTTTGTTTTACTTACAGTTCTCTTAAAACCAGAAGCAGAATTTTGTGGAGCCTTTCTGATGGCTTGATTGAGATAATTGTATGATTCAGAGTATTCAAGTTGAATAGCTTTGATACGACCAATGTAATAGAGGTATCTAGCATATTGATTACTAGATGATTGTTCTGGGAATGTGGTATTTGATACAAGCTTTTCGGCTTGTTCAACAAGGTTATATTCCAAATAGTTTCTCAACAATAAATTTAAAATAGTTGCTTGACCTTCATCATTATGTCTAAGTGTAGCTGTACGTAATGCTGTTAATAATAATCTTTAAAAAAAAAAAATTAAAATAAATATTAATATAATGAATGATCATTGTGGTTTAATATTATTTTCTACTTTTTACTTACGGTCTAATATGTTCAATATTTTGAGCATGTTGGAATGATAAACTATAATAGAAATAGATTTTAGATGACAATGGGTTAAGAGTTACACGGTTATTTGGTTGAATCAATTCAACAAGTGAGGTTGAACATTGAGTGGCTTCAACATATTTCTTTTGATCAATCAAAAAGATAACAACCAACAGTTGAAGATAGGCTTCAACTTCTGGTAATATATGATCTTTTGATGATGCTCCTGCTGATGAATCAATATCCATACCATCATTACCCTAAAAATTAAAAATAAAATGTAAAAGAAAAAAAGTAAAGTAAAGAGAAATAAAGTAAGCATAAAAAGTAAAGAAAGTATTCTATATCTTTTTTTCTCTTTTTTTTTTACCTTAACATATGATAATAAAGAAGCTTTTCTTGAAGATTCTGGAAAGGTAGTAGCAATGATTTGATAGAGGATCTTTGCATTTAACTTTTTACGAATAGCAGTAGTTTGACGCAATACACGAGTAATGAATCTAGACTCTTTAGTGTCTACACCCTTTTCTATGAGTTGTACATTCTTTTTCAAGTCTGACAAGGTCAAAGCTGAACTAACCTCTTTTGATCCACTCTCTGAATTCTTTAATTCTGCTGCTGATGATGGTACATCAATCATTTCAACTTCTTTTGTTGCCATCGTTGTTTTTAATATGTCTCTATATAAATATAAAAAGTATGTTTTATCTCTCTTTTTGTTTTTTTAAATTAAATTGAATGTTGATGTTCAGTGTGTGTTAATTTTGATCTTCATCAGCACTCAAAAAAAAAAAAAAAAAAAAAAAAAGAAAAAACAAAAAACAAAAAAAATATTTTTTTCCCAATCCGGTTCTCTATAATTTTAAAAAAGTATTAATAATTTATTTATTTTGAAAAAAGAAAAATAAATGATCAATTATTTTTTTCTTTTAGATATTTGTATGTACAGGATAATTTATAGGGGAGTTTCTCTGTTTGTTTTAGATTGATTATTTGTTCTGGAATTTTTTTTTTGTTTTTTTTTGGATTTAGAGGTTGGATTTAGAGGAGGATGAAGGGAAGGGAGATAATGTATGTATGTATGTATGTATGTATTGTTATATAATTAATTTCTAGATATTGTTTTTTGTTGTTGATTAATCTTCATCAATAATTTTATCACTAACTTCCATGAATTGAATATCTTCAGGGGCAAGACGAAGCATGGCAAGGGTGTGAATATGTTGAACACGGAGACGATTGATGAATGGACGGAAGAGGATGACATAGATGAGAACGAGGAGGACGGTGGAGACAGACATGATGGCAGTAATAATGTTGAGAGCCTTGGTTTGGATATCCTGCCAGTATTGGAAGAATCTAAAGGCAGCACGATCAAGACCGTCGGTAAGGTCTGGATAGAGTGTTTCCATCCATACCAAGTCTGGACTAGTCGGAGTGACTTCAGCACGCTCCTCATAGGCCAGATTGAGAGAATGTTGGATCATTTGTTCGATAGTCCAATCCAAACCATAACTAACATCTTTGTAGTATGGGTCACCAGGTTGACGACACTCTGATTGATTGATACGGTAGCATCCATAGGTACCGTCCATAATGTCTTCAGTCTGTGGGATATCAATGAGCGACTGGTGATTGAGTTGAAAGTCAATGGTCATGTTGTGAATCTCGGCTTGGGTAGTATCTTGAAACTCTAGTGGCGACAAGAGCTTGCTTACGTAGAAATGGAGTAAACGGGCGTCAGTTGAACGATGAGAGCATAGGGCAAGATCAAAACCAGCTTGCATGTCTACAAAGATTTGGACAAAACTGACAAATAGACCCATTGTCAAAATACCAAACAAAAGGAACAAAGCAAAACTGTAAGAGAAATGGAGTCGTCTCAAAACAACTCTCAAAGATCTCTTGTTGATATTTCTCTTGCTCTTTCCGTCCCATCCACCAATTCTCTTTTTCTTTTGGTCACCATTACCAGCAGTATCACCATTGTTACTACCACTTGTATTTCCTGCATTCTCGACAACAGCCAAACCAACAACTCCACCACCATTATTATCACTTCTTGGAGATGAATTATTATTTTCCAATAATAATGGACGATTATCATTCTCTTCTTCGGCACCTTCAGTACCCTTTGTTTCAGATAAAACTAAACCAGTTGAAGTTGACAGTCCAAGTTTCATCTTTTCAGATTCATTCTTTTTGTTGTTGTTGTTGAATGCTTCATCGTCTGAAGTATCAAATTGAATGTCACGATCTGATCCACTCTCAAGGTTTGATAGTTTAACCTTTTTAGTGGCCATTTTGATGACGAGGTCATGGGGAGCAAGAGAAAAGAGTACAAGTGTTCTGATTTTCTCTCTCGAGATACGACTAACTATTGGACGGAACAATGTGACGGCAAGGATAAAGAGCAGACCAAAGATGGCTATCCAAATATAGAGAATGTTGGATGCATTGTCATTGGCCGACAAGAGGATAGTACCAATGTATGCTTGTTGGACGAGGAGGAAAGAGTCGGACAAGGTTTGAGTATTCTTGGTGACAAACTTGAACTCGGTATTGTTAAAGGCAAGGGCAAACTCGTCGATGGTGAGTTGGTTGATGACACGTGAACTGTCAACATACATGTTACCGGCCTTCCAAACATTGAATGGTTGACTGGCATAGTGTATCTCGTGTTCGTCGAGCTTGGTCTCGATAAGCATCTGCATTTGGATGATTGGCTTGTTGTAGACGGATCGGAGCAGGGCAGAGTTGGCAGGATTGGTCTTATTGAATTGCGAGTATTCAAAGACAACCGTTCCAATATCATAGACACCTCCTATACCAGCTTCATGTTTGAGAGTGGCCATAGCATCGTTGACATAGGCTTGTGGACTCTTTTCACCGTAATAGATGGCGTGATGAATGTTTTCCATGATATTGAGTCGACGTTCATTCTCGGACTGGAGGGCAGCGTAGAGATCGGTTTCATTGGCGATGGCGTATTGGTTCATGAGGATGAAATTGTCAGACAGTTGAACACACTCGTTTCCAAGACTGCCGAGTGACAAGACACCCTGGAATGCATTACGTTGGGCGATCATCTGGTTACGGAGTACAACCAAGACAACGATGGCAAAGACGACGGTGGCAAGTGTGGTAAAGATCATCAACCATGAGAGACGAGAGATAGAGTTACTTTGTTGATAGGCGGCATAGTTGGAACGACTGTGGTACGATGAGCTAGTCTCACTCGACCCATCACCCGATTTACTGCGGTCTTGCGACGACTCGGTATGGGCAACTGCCTTGCCAATGGGGCCGTGGTGGCCATCAATCGTCACACCAATACGTTCCATTTGGATACCACCGCTTCCCTCGATCATGTCGCGGTCCTCGTCCGATGGAATACTGTTGTTGTCGTTTTGACGGATATGTTCGATCGACAGACTCTTGGACATGTTGTCTTCGATGGTATCGGCTTTCTTGCGCAACTTGAAGGCAAAGTCGCGGTCTCTAACCACCTCTTCGACAAACTGAGCATAGTCACGAATCACTCTGACCGAGTTGGGGTTGAGTCCAAGGAGACGTTCGTACTGCTCGGTTGCCTTGGTCTCGGTCGTAGCAATCTTGCCCGACAGCGTCGACAGCTGATTGAGATCGATAGTCTCGTGTAACAAATGTCTCCAGAAACGGTTGATGTAGCTGAGACAAGACTGATGCGAGCGACGAGCACCAAGATACAACTTTTTAAACTCCATGTACGTCACAAAATCTTGAATCTTGCCACTGGGACCACGCAGATCAGAGTCCATCATTTGTTCACGTTCCTTATCACGTTGAAAGATAAAGAATCGAATGTCAAATGGTGGGTTCATACGACGCAACTTTTCCAACGATGCATAGCCAACATGACGATCTTGACGAACGGTGAAGAGATAGTTGGCATAGGCCATCCAGAGAAGCGATGAATTGGGGTAGTACTGCAGACCACACTGGAACAATAGATTGGCACGATCAATAGCCGCCTGATCACGATTACCACGGAGTACACGACGTGTCATAATCTCGATAAAGAATGGCATGGCATACCAACGTTCAAAAAACGGGAATTTAATTTGTCTCTTGCTACCCAACGTTACAGGTTCCTCAAAAGTAACTCCCTTTCCAGTAGTATCATCTTGACTAGCTTTGTTTAAATTATTAATAACTTCCATTGTTTGTACGGATGTTTGTGGTGATACATTTGTTAAATGTTTTAATTGTTTATGTAAAAATCTATAAAAGAATTCTAAAAATGTAAAAGTTAAAAAAAAAAAAGTAAAAGTAAGTATGTTTTTCTAAAAATTTAAACTTTCCCATTTTCTTTGTCTTTCTTACTGTTTAAAAAGAAACCAAGGAAAAATGATGGAACTAAACCTGAAACAACCAAATAACTTGTGGCAGCATTTTCCAAATCATTTATAATCATTGTTAGAATAGTACAAAATGATACCCAAAAAATAACTGTATATAATCCTGATTTCTAAAAAGAATAAAAAAAAACAAAAAAGGTTAATAAATTATAACTATAAACTATAAACTATTTGTTGTTTTTGTTTGGTATGTATATATATTCTTACAATTTGATTTAATCTTTGATTATTATAAGGAAGGAAAACAATTGAACCAAAAGATAACCAAATCAAACCAAGGAAGAAAACTATCGCCAACAACCATGGATAATCACGAAGTAATTCGAAAAAGAATGCAAATACTGTCTTGGCAAGTAAAATAGTTAAATCAAACTAAATAGAATAGAAAAGAAAAAGAAAGTATTATTATTATTAATATTTGTTTGTTTTCTTTTTCTTTTTCTTTTTCTTTTTCTATTCTTCTTACTCTAGCATGAGGTTTAGCAAATCTATCACGAACTGAAGTATCAAATTCATAATAAGTTAAACTTGAACAAACTGCAACAATCGTGAAGAGAATGATAAAGCAAATGGAGAAAATGGTGATTGGGATGTTTTCTGGTCCGTAGCAAAGTACATCTTGAGAGGAGAAACGAGTGAGATAGTAACCACCATTCTCTGAATCGTAGGCACAATTGAGACCAATGAGGAACAACGAGATAAGAGGAATGTAGAGAACGGCGACAGTGAATGAAACAAACCATCTTAGAGTTCGAATGATCCAAATGTTGGCAATCTTTCCTTGATAGAATGTATAGGCAACATACCAAATGTTGACAAAACCAAGTACCATAAAGGCAATGGCTACCCAAAACAATACTGTAAATCCTTGATATGCCAATACATCTGCTGGATGTGATATTGGTGATACAATTCTTTTTAAATAACTAACAAAAAAAAAAAAATGAATGATTAGTGAACCAAAGAAAAAAAAAGAGAGAGATGTGATTGATTGTATATATTACTTACTATCCTAAATCTCCACCCCAAGGAAATACTTTCTTAAATCCAAATGATATTAATTCTATAGAACAGAAAAGAGAAAAGAGGTTAGATCACATGATAGAATGATAGAATGATGAGAGGAGGGGGGTGGGAAAGGGACTTATAAACACGTTGATGATCACCATCACGATCACGGTTTAGACTATTTTTTTTTTTTTTTTTTTTATGTTTCGAGTTTGTCGGGTTTCGATGTTAGGGGATTTGGTTGTGTCTTTTGGTTTACGATGAGATGATTCATCCTCCCTTGCGCACGTGTAAAATCAGACTATTTTAAAACCATTGGGATTTTTTTTGATGCCCCAATAAACTTGGTTGGTCCTTTGCCCATCCAACACCGAAAAGACGAGGACAACTTTATGATCATTCCCAACACAATCCTCCAACCGTGATGAAAAAAAACTAACCGTTTCTACTCTTCTCTATCTCTTTTTTTTTTTTTGTACTTACGAATAAATTCAATAATGACAGCAATGATAGTTAATGCCTTTGGAAAAGTATTATTCTTTGTCATTGCATATAATACTCCATGGATGCCTAAAAAAAAAAGATAGGGAAAATAAATTAGGAAATGGAATCAATATTATTATTATTATTAGTATGACATATTTTGATTTGAGATTTTCTATCCATCTTTATCTATATTTGAACTCTTTACCTTTTTCAACAGATTTGGAAAAGTTTAATAGTCTATTAAGACTACCAGATGAATCTGTTGATGTCTTTGACTTGGATGATCTCCTAGAAGACATGATATGATGATTTTTTTTGTGTTGTTATATAAAAAAAAGAGAGATAAAGAAAGAAAGGAAAGAGATAAACAATGAGACAACAACGACAAAAAAGTAATGAATGAAACCAAAGCTCAAGAGAGAAGAATGACAAATATTTATAGACCTTTGCTTGTTGATCCTTTGGATGCTCGAAAATATCCTCCCTCCAACAACAACTCTTCTTATTTCATTTTCTCTCTTCTTTGCAAGATCTCTAAATTGTTGATAGGGATTGTAGGGGCGAATTCTTGGTCACGACCTGGTACATCCCAAGAAGTCTGCAAGGTTTGTAAATCTCTCGCACCAAACCCTACTACTGATGAGTTGTTTAATCGAGGGCAAAAAACCGGTTTTTTAACTTTCCGTGTCATTTCGAATCTTTCAAAGAGGGGCAAAGTGGCCGAGAGGGTGTAAAATCGCCCGTTTGTTTTGCAAAGGGTCACATTCCATGAAGACCATTTTCAATTTTAAAAATAGAAAGGGTCGTTGTCTGATAGGGGCATGCAGTAGGTAGGTGATCGTGACGAGATCTCGATTACAAACAAATTGAACGCACCATGATAGGGGGGCACTCTGATGAGAAATTGATCAAAAACTTTGTATATCGCACCTATCGCCTTTCGTTTAACACCTGCTCCAGACAAGACAACAAACTCGCTAGAGAGTTTGTTGAAATCGGTTTGCGTGTAGGATGCAAATGACAAGGGAAACGGCCCTTTCTTTCCTTACTTTGAATTCGCGACATCCAATTTTCTTGCTTGGACAAGGTCTGGAATCCCTATCGACCTTGCCTTGTTTGATAACTGTCCATCGTCTTTTTATGAATCGGTTGAGTTTATAAACTCGATGCCAACCAGAGTATATTGAGAGAAAACAACAAAATAATTCATTAAACACTATCCCAAAAAAGTTGATCAACGAGCGATCAAAGGTAGTTTGGGGTGGCCCCTATCTTGAAAACTATATCAACCTTCACCTTAATGTGCATTTAAGAGTCGACGAGATGGATTATCGGTAATGTACACACGATTAGTTGTTTATCGACAACCCAAAGAAAAAAAAAAAATATCAAATCTTGCTAACTTCAGAGAACTTGCAATTACCCGATTTGTGATCACCATTCTATATCTTTGCGGGTTTCATTTGATATCTTGTCAGTTTTTTCAAATTCCCCGTTTCAGTGTTAGCTTACTTGCTTGTGATCTTGAGAACAAGGATGGAGAAAAAGAAAGATGGGATGCCCAGACTAGGAAAGTTGATCTTTGATTTATTATTATTGATTGATTGACCGCCCATATACGAATTGAAATACACACGTGGTCTAGATAGCGAGTAAAGAATCAAAAGTAAAGAGGAAAGTATGATATTTGATAATAATATCAATTATTTACGAAAAAGTAGCGAGTACTGCAGTTTATATTCTTTGATATGTCGTTCTATTGGTTACCAGTCAACTGAACGATTGGTTAAGCTTGGCTAGGAGATTGAAAGAACTTCTTTAATCATTTGATCCAATTCCTCACCTCCTTGTAGAAACTCTTCAAAGTTTGAACTTTCTTGTCCTGTTCTCTGGTCTTTAATTCTTGTTTGTGGATGTTGTGTGTATACTCTATTGATTGATCCACTACCAAATCCATTAATCCCCATTTGTTCACTTCTCAAATTCTTTTCTTGTTCATCTCTAAAAGTATACAGAAAAAAGAATTAATATTAATTTCATTATTATTATTATTATTATTAATATTATTATTAATATTATTATTAATATTATTATTAATATTATTATTAATATTATTATTAGTATTTACCTTTTTCTTAATTCTAAAGATAAAAGTTTAGATTTTAAAAGGTCCATTGCAATTTGTTTGTTTTTATGTTGTGATCGTTCTTGTGAAATATTGACAGACAGGCCACTGGGAGTATGCGTAATTCGAACGGCTGACTCTGTCTTGTTTGTATGTTGACCTCCCGCTCCACTAGACCTCATTGTTTCAATCACAAGATCCCTACTAACCAAATCAACTGCCACCTTTTCATCTGCATCTGACGAAGGATAAACAAATACACTTGCAAATGATGTATGTCTTTTTCCCTAAATATTAAATAGAAAAGAATTAATTAATCCATCCATCTTTCATTTCATTTATAATTATAATAGTTTCTCTCTCTCTCTCTCTCTCTCTCTCTCTCTCTCTCTATTTACATTTGTATTAAAAGGAGACATTCTAATTAATTTATGTACACCATTTTCAGTACGTGTCCAACCGTATGCATAGGGACCTGATATCTTTAAGATAACCTTTTTGTAACCACAAATATCACCATGTGACTCATCTATTATTTGTGCATCGAAACCTCTTCTACTTGCCCATTTTATATACATTGAGGACAACATTTGTGTCCAATCCATAGAGTCTGTTCCACCTGCACCAGCATGTATTTCCATGTAGGCCGAGTCATTGTCCATATCGTTGGACATGAGTGACTTGAATTCCAATTCATTACATTGACTCATTAATTGCTCGGTTGTTGATTGAGCCTCTTGCATCATTTCTCTGTCACCAGCAGTCTTTGCCATTTTAACCAACTCAAGGTAATCTTTAAACTGAACTGGCAATTGATCAATCTGATCTACTTGTACTCTAATATGATTATACTCTTTCAACAGTGACCCAGTATCATTTTGATCGATTGTAGTTATATCAACAAGTGATCTATCATGTATAGGTTGTAACTCTTTTAATCTAATTTTCATCTTTTTATACATTGTACCATTTAATAATAATTCAATGACTCTTCTAATTTCATTCTCTTAAGTAAAGTAAAGTTAGTATGTTTTAGTTAGCAATCAAATGATAGAATATTCTATTCTGATGTATAAATGTATAAATACCTTTATTTATTGTTGTAGATGTTGAACAATAGCTTTTAAGATGATGAAGATAATCATATTTGCTATAGTTATTTACTAAACAACCTCTATAAAGTATATTACTACTCCTAGTTCTACTACTAATACTAAAACTATTAATACTATTCTTGCATCCTTTGAATATACTATTAAACATAAACATTTAATTTATTAATGTAATCGATCGAGATCATTATTATTACAAATTCGAGGACAACCTTCCAACAGACACCAGTCCTCGTAAAGATATTTATTTTTCCTAATTATTCATAAACACAAACCTTGTTTTAGAAGATTCTCCCCTAAAAAGTGACGTCACCTCGCAAATGGATCGCTGCTTGATTTAATTGATTTTAAATAAAATCCTCTCAAAGGGATGAACATAAATACCTGATGTGCGTACCTCATTAATCATTCACAAATAATCAATACTACTAATTATTTACAGATAAATACAAAGATGACACACAAGAACAAACTTCACGCTGGAGAATCGATTCACTCTAATGGTATTGTATCTCTCTCTCTCTATTATTCTCTTCCCTTTAAACTACTTTATCAATTCTTTTTCTTTTTGTACTTACTGTTTTACTTTCTTTTTAGATCACCACCACAACAGACTTGTTAGCAAGGATGGTCATTTCACTGCTATCATCCAAGATGATGGTAACTTTGTAATCTACCATGGATCAGTCTTTACTCCACCAAACTCTGTTTGGGCTTCTGGCACTGACAACAAGCACGGTCACCACGGACCATACAAGGTTATCCAACAACAAGACGGTAACCTCGTACTCTACGATCACGACAACAAGGCCTTGTGGGCTGCCGCCACCATGTTGGGTGAACAAGTCAAGGGACACGGTCCATGCACCACTGTCTTGAAGAAGAATGGTCACCTCCGTGTCAAGGATCATCACAAGACCCAACTCTATGAGTCCAAGAACCGTTCTTCCCCAGATCATGGTCATCATCATTAAATTTAAATTTAAACAATTGTATTATCACCAAATAATAAATGATTTACCAATACGAATATTTGTATATAAAAAATTGAACCAATCAAATCCAATCCTACTTGTTTGTTGGTTTATTCCTTTTTCTTATTCTTTTTAAATAGTTGTAATAGTTGATGACATTTCTAAAATTTTACCATCATTATCTTGGTCAGAGGAGGAAAGTCTTGATACCAATGATTTGGGATTATCCATTGATGATGAAATATAACCAACTACCATACTACTTGTTGTATGAGCCCAAACAAATTCAATTTCCATTGATTCATTACTTTGATTGGTATGTTTCTTTAAAGCTATAATACCTCCCAACCTTTTTTCACCATTGAATTTAAATCCATTTTCATTATACTCTTCTTCTTCCTCCTCATCCTCTTCATCTGTATCTTCTTTTTGTTCATTTGTTATCTTTGTTTTTTTCTTTTTACTTTTACAATTTACAAAATCTGATAAATAAGAAAAACAATCTTTATGAGATAGAAAACTATTTTCAAAGTAATGTTTTACTCCAATATCAGCATATTTCTTTTTAATGATTGATGTGCAACAATCCTTTGCCATCATATTTTTCATTATTTGTTCTCCTACACCTGGTGGAAAGATAAATTAAAGTTAACAAACACAAATATGACTATTTAATTAAATAAATGACGTACCTGTACAACTTGAAGCAACACCAGGGATTACAATTGAATCATCATCATCACCATCATCATTGTGATTTTTAATAATTAATTCATTTTGAGCCCAACAACCACTACCAAAGATGGCAGCTTCACCAACTCTACCTGGATGTTTAAGTGATATTCCTCCACTTGATACACCAGCTGCGACATTTCCATTCCAATCAACTACAATTGCTCCAACTGTATCATAAAGCTGTTCATCTTGATTATCATCATTATCATCATCTCCCCCTTCTTGTTGATTATATTCTTCATTTTCTCCATTCTCTTGTTCAAAATGACCTTTTATAGATTTCCAATATTCCAATTTACTTTTATGTTTTAAATAAGTTAGATTTGATTGTTGAGTGATAAGAGGATCACCAAATAATGAATTGGGATCATATGTTTCAACAGAATGATTCATAGCCCATTCTTTGGCACCACTTGCAACCAACATCAACGGTCTAACACGACCCAATGATTTGTCAGCACTCTTTTTCTGTCTCTTTACCATTTCACCAACCAATCTTATTGGATTTGTTATTCCATTAACTGCTCCTACTCCTGCCCATATTCCTCCACCACATATCATCAAACCATTATTATCAATAATATTATTATTATTATTATTATTTGGTTGTTGTTGACGATGATGTATTGAATATCTTTTCTTATCTTTACTTTGTTGTTGCTGAAAACAATTATTATTACAATGACAATTAAATTGACCATCCATTAAACTTGCATCACATTCAACTTGACCATCGAAATTGAGGTTTGAACCTTTACCTGCATTGGTCAGTGGATCATCTTCCAACATTTGAATGACAATCTCTACTATTGATGATGCACATATTGTATGTTGTTGTTGACCATCACTAGCATCACTATCAGATAGAGTTTGATAGACTATATCTTTTGATCTCTTTAAACATGAGTCTACAACATCTCTATAGGACCTTGACAACTTTTTAGAGTGATATCCAGCTCCTACATGTATCCCAATAAATAATGGATATCTCTTTTTCAAATCATCATCATCATCGTTGATACTCTTCTTCTTCTCTTGTTGTTGAGACATCTACTAATAATATTAAATAACAAATACACATATGCGCAACAGATGATGATATTACAAGTTGACCTTTGAAAATTAGATTGGTAAAACGCAAAATTAGACAGTTTTTCGCGGAAGTGCTCTTTTTTATTGATTTCTGCTGTTTTTGGTTTATTGTTCAATTTTCAAAGACATAACCAAAATTATATAGATACAGACAGATAAGATATAGTTAATATTATCTTCAGACATACAATTGTGAATAGTTTGATGTTAAATTAAGTTTTAATATATATATATAAATATAAAGAAGAAAGAGGAGGAGGGAAGAGAGATTTAAATTTAAGATATGATAGCAAAGAGACAACCAATTCAAAAGTTTAATAATAGTAATAGTAATAGTAATAATAATCATAACATAAATAATTGTAATTCAATATCAAGTATACTACAGGGAAAGAAGTTTTACTTTGATCCAGGTGTCAATAGACAAGAAGATTTACGTGATCTTATCAACTCGCATGGAGGAAAGAAAGAACTTTCACTTGCTCAATCAAACTATTATGTTTGTGAAAAAGATACTGTATGTTTTAAAAAAACATATAACATATACGAACCTCTATACGATACAATATTAACATTTACAACTTATTCTATTCATTTAATTTAGGATATAAAAGAAATTATTGAAATACCAATTATTAATAAATCATATTTAATATCATGTCTTGATAGAAAGAGACCAATGAATGAAGAGTTGATACAAGAGTATCGATTGGATACATCTATATTTGAAGGGTTTGTCGTTGCAACGTCTGGTTACGAAGAGATTGAAAATGAAATGAAACATATTGTCACTTTAATGTCTGGTCAATACAGTTATGAAGTCACCTCTGAGACAACCCATCTCATTTCTAAAAATGTTTTATCAAAGAAAACTGCTGTATGTAAATCTTTAGAAAGAAGAATATGAATATAAATATATATATCTATATTACTTTTTAAATATTAATATCTTTTTTTGTTTTTATTTTGTAGGATGCAAGAAATATAAGAGATAGAGATGGTAGACCAAAGATTAAAGTTGTAACAAATGCATGGTTAAATGAATCATATAGATGTAATAGAGATCTTACAGAAGAATACATAATACCAATATTTTATGGAGGTAGAATATGTTTGTCGGGATTTGATACATTTGAAACAAGATCGGCCGTTCAAAATGGATTGACTCAAAACGGTGCATTGTATCAGGCGAATCTAAAACAATCGGTTCAGGTGCTTATATCAAATGGAGTGATCACAGAGAAATACAAAAAAGCGTGGCATTGGGGCAAACCAATCGTCTCGGAACAATGGTTTCACGACTCTATAAAGTATGGGTATGCACAAGAGCTTGATTATTATCGATGTACTGTTGAACCACCACCCGAGTCACAAAACGACTCTTCATTTTCTGCAACCAATAATGGCAGTGCCGTCCCAACAATGGTACATCATCCAACACCAATGCCAAGAAACATCCCTTCACTTACACCAGCCAGTTTTGATTCACAACAATTTCATCAACACCAAACTATACCACCGACACTACCACCATCATATCAGCAACCACAACAAAATTTATCACAATTAGTTTTACCATCACAATATATTCAAAGACCACCTGGTAATCAATTAATTCAACAACAGCAGCAGCAGCAGCAACAATCAGATTGCGCAGCAACACAATCACAACAAAAACAACTGGTTTTGACAGATAATGCGGCCCAGTTGGACAAGGAGTTGTTTAGAGATGCTACGATTGGAATGTTGGGATTTGAAGGTGATCTAGAGACAAAAATGAGATCTTCGATTGACCAGTGTTCAAATTTTATCGAATATTCGACCGTTCCACAAACAGCATATTCAACACCATGCATCTTGCACTATCTCATGGTCAATCATGGAAATCGATATTACAGATCAGACGCCAAGAAGCTGACGGGCACACAAGTAATCACTCTTCAATGGTTTTCTGATTGTCATCGAAAGCGGAGAATTCTTCCATTTGATTTTGTGCACTACCAACCACTCAAAGAGATCAACTTTATGCCAGAGGTTTGTGTTACCGTATCTGGATTTGCCAGAAAAAGCGAGGAGTTTGTTTATACCAGGGAATTGTCTCGTCTGTTGGGTGCAAAATTCCTATACTCACTCAAACGTGATGTTACACATCTTGTTACACTTTGTGGCACCAGTAAAAAGTATCAACGAGCAAAGGAATGGGGATTGAAAATAGTCACTTTGGATTGGTTAACAAAATGCGCAAAAGATGGTAGAAGAGTACCAGAAGAAGATTATTTGGTTCAAGAAGGATCAAAACATACTTGGGAACATGCAGTAGTAGAAGAACAACCACAACAAACAATTTTATTAGATGCTCCTCCAACAGCAGCAGCAATTAAAAATACTCCACACCGAGGAGGTGGTATATTGGTTAAAAAGAATCCTCAACAACCAATGATGATGGTTCAATCTCCAATTATGCCACAAACAATATCAATGGATAATTCAACCATTACACCATCATTACCAATTTCATGTATAAATAATAGTGGTGTTGGAGTGAGTTCACAACTTGGTCATTTACTCAAAGGAGTAAATATATTTCTTTCAGAGACTCTAAAGTTGGATCTAAAGACACAGTTGACAGTATGGATTGAAAAGATGGGAGGAGTGGTTGCAAGTGACCACTTTTCCAACATTACACATTATCTCACCGAGAGAATCGATATGGAAGAGAAACGAAAAATATTGGGTAATTGTAAAGCAGTAGCACCAGAATGGCTCAAAGACAGTTTTTACGCGCACAGAGTATACGATGAGGAGCTCTATCAACCACTACTCCCCGAAAAGAAACTAGATGAAGATGACAATGAACATGGTATTGTACACTCACTCAGTCGAGAACCAAAAAGTCAACTCTTTACTGGGTCTGCACCAGATTCTCTTCGTCAAAAAGGTAGTGGTAGTCAAAAGGATATAAAAGAAGAGGAAACAGGAGATGAAAAACAAGAAAATAGAACAGACTCTAGTAAACCTGCAGTGGTATTTACACAACCACAAACACAACCATCAAGTATTGGAAAAATCGTTGCTGCTTTGGAACTACTTCCTAGTCAATCTCAATTTGCAGTACCCAATCCAAAAACAGTCGTCCCAAGTAAATCATCATTGTCAAGTACGAAAAAAGGTGTAAAGAGATCAAATAGTGGAGCACATGTCCATCATCATCATACCTCTTCTTCCTCGTCGAGTAAAAAATCGTCCATGTCTATCATGGACATTGAGAATCTTGCCGAAGGTGTCAGTGAAGATGGAGATGCTAGTGGAGAATCAGATGATGATGACTCTTCTGGTGATGAAAATTCCCAACGTGTTACCTATGGTGATAATGGTGTAAAGAGAAAACGTAGAGATCCAAAGACTCCTCCTATTAATATCAATGCAAACAATAGTTCAACTACAAATATAACCACCACCACCGCTACCGTTACTAATAATAATAATAATAATACTGTAAATAATACCAACACCAATACCAATAATAATAGACCAGCAACTGGACTAGCAGAGATATTAAAAGGAACTGTTAAATGGATTCTATTCTCTGCATTTGATGTAGCACCATCTGCCGAAATCAAAGCATCACTTCAATCGACAGCCATTGGATTTAGAATGTGCGAATCGGCGTTTATAGTTGGAAAGACATCACATTTAATTACACCAACACCCAAACGATCGGAAAAGTACATGGCGGCATGTGCCGCAGGTGCGTGGATATTGGTACCTTCGTTTGTGGATGCATGCATTCAACAACAAAAATGTGTAGAAGAAACAGACTATGAATGGACACGAGATATGTGTGACCAAGAGAAACTAGTCAATCCCCAATCCACCACGCTTTCATTTGCACAGGCTGCACGAAACTGTCGAATGGCAGTAGCACAGAAAAACAGACCTATCTTTTCAAAGGCTGTCTTTCGAGTGACCAGTTATCCAGATCCCAAGAAATCACTCGATCTTTGGTGCGACATTATCAGAGCGGGTGGAGGTACAATAGTCATGCAAGGCGAATCACCTCCACCAGGTACAACCATCACTCATGCCCTCTTTAAAAAAAATGATACCCGTTCAAAAGAAGTAGAACCAAATATCAAAATCATCAGTGATTCTGAATTAACTATTTGTTTAATTGATGGTAAACATTTAGTTGATTAAAAATAAATCAAAAAATATAAATATATTTGTAAATATTCCAAAACAAAACAAATCCAAATAATATTGATTGATTGATTGATAATATCTACTCTATTTCTTTTCGCTTTCTCTATTTCTATTTATTCTTCACTTTCACCATAAATTAAAGATCTAGTTCCACGATAAACCTTTAATAGAATATTGATACGAGGTATAAGATCTTCAAATGCCAAAATCATCTTTGATTTGCCTTCAACTATAAATGCCATGTAAAATGTAACGCTGTATCTTGATATACCTTCATTGATCACAATCGATTGTATCTTTGTCTTGTCGATAAATTCCACCTTGTTAAAAAACTTTAAATAATATTTTCTTGTTAATTGTACACCAAGTTCTCTCATTATTACCATTGATTCTAAAAGGAGGAAAATAATAAATCAGTAAATATAATAATTATATTTGTTCTATATTTGTCTTTTTCTTTCTATTTACCTTCTTGAGTAATCATTAACTTTAAAAAAAATCTTGTTGCTATTACAACAATCAAGAGTAACATTGAAAAGGATTTAAAAGGTTGATAAGAGTAATGATAGTGATAGAGTGAACAAATGACCAACATCACCAAGAGAACATAGTCAAATGTATATATAACCGATCCTCTCTTTCTCCTAACCTTGTATTCTCTGACATCATTGTTTATATATATACATTCGAATAGATAGTTTCGATCTTTAACTATATTGTTGATATTATATGAATTATTATTATTATCTATTAAATTATCTAATGATTGATCAACAATATCATCATTGTTGTTTGTTATATTGTTTGTTGTTGTCGTCGTCGTCGTCGTCGTCGTATATGTAGTAGTTGTATTATTACTACTACTACTATCTTCTATTATTTTATTATCTGTCATTTTAGAGTTAAAAGTCTGCAATGAATGATCGATCGCTGAACATAACAAGACTGTGATTTTCAATTTTAATTTATTAAAATATTTTATTATCAAGGATGTTTAATAATCTTGAGAACCACAACTATCATCATCACTACTTATTTCTTCACTACTAATATCTTCCTCTTCATCTTTAATAGATAATTTTGAGAATCCACCATACCTCTACCACCAGAGGATGGAATGATAATACCATTAAATAAATCTTCCAATTCTCTATCTTTGGAAATACCTATTTTAATAAGAACTGGTAACAATCTCTAAAATTAATCAATCCACAAATATTAATACTGGTAGGTATAAATAATCACTTTAAATACTTACAATTGTATTATATTGTATAGCTACTTTGATAGATACTCCTAGTACACAAGTAACTAAATAGTCCAACATTGCAGATAGATGGATACCACAACTTTTTGGGAAATTATTAAACAACTTTGATTCTTTCATATCTTGTAAACAAAAACTTGGTTGAAAGTACAGTTCTTTAGGGTTATCTAATGATTTAATTCCATGGTCAATGGCTCCTTTGGCAAGATCACCAGAAAGTACCAATCTAGTAGCACTTTGGAAATCTTTTAAACTCTTCCTCTATTTGATTTTACCATCAATTCATGTGCTTTAACCATAAATCTTTGATTGATATCACTATATAGATTTTGAAGATGTATATTAGTATTTTAAAACATTCAACGTTTGGTAAACTTACATTATCATACAACTTAAACCTAATGGAGATATTGACATTTCTGTTACTTTGAATTGGTGGTGACATATTAATTGATTTCATTATTCTTTGTATTTTCATATATCTATTTAAATTCTTACTTTTTATATTTACCATGATTATTTATTTATTTATTTATTGGAGCTCTCTCTCTCTCTCTCTCCTCACCCTCCCCTTTTATAGAGAGAGAGAAAGGAAATGACATGTGAGGTTGGGTAATTTTAATTATTTAATTTATTTATTTGGATCAATAATAGATTGAATTGTTCAAATAAAAGAAAATGTAATTGATTATTACTATTGCTATTCACCATCTTTTAGATCAACAATTTGATCTTTAAGGGTATACTGCTGATCATCATTAACTATAGTAATTTGATTGATGGAAATATTTTCTTTAGCAACGATAGTTAATTCAGAAAAGTTAAAGGTAATGGTTTCAGCAGAAATGGTGGAACCGTGGAATAAATGTTCTAAATCACTGTCTTTGGAAATAGCTCTTCTTATATGTTCTGGTTCTATCATCTAATATTTAGAAAAAAAAACAAGATGGTTTAGTCATATAGAAAATAAATGCATATATATTTTGCATACAGATTTGTTGTTATCTTGTTGAGCTATTTTGAGAGATAATTCCAATAGTCTAGTCACTATATATTCCATTATACCAGCCAAATAAATGCTACAATTGAAAGGATCACTATCAAACAACATTGATTCTTTCATATCTTTTTTACTCCATTTCGATTTGAATAAAAGGTCTTGAGGCTTGACAACGGCTGCCATTCCATTGACAACAGCATTTCTTGCAAGGTCACCAGAAAGTAACAAACTAACACTAATTTGGAAATCTTTGGGTTGTACTTTTTACCTTTTTTGTCTTGTTTGATAAAAACATCAATTCATGTGCTTTAAACATTAATCTTTGATTCACATCACTTAAAAAAATAAATGAAATAAATATATAAATTTGATTTGATTTGTATTCCTTTTAAAAACTTCTAACCTTTTCATACTATGAATACATTCTATACTGCCCTGGGAAAGAGTGATAGGTTCTAAAGAAGAAGAAGAAGAAGTATCTCCTGGTTGTTGTTGTTGTAAAGATAAAATAATATTTTCATATACCTTTTTTATTTTCTCTACTCTACCAATACTATTAATAGTATTTACCATTATTATTATTATTCTTATATATATCTATTATGTTTTTTGTATCAACTATGAATAGTTGTCGATAGAACTATCTATGTTTTTTTAAATAAATATATTCAAAAAGAAAAGAAAAGGTTACAATAATTGATTATTATTATTATTGGAAAAAATATTATCTACCATCTGATCTGATTGGTAGATACCTATTTTCATTTTTCTAGTCCCTCTTATTATTCGGGGGTATGACAAATTTCATTATCATTATAATTATCATCATTTTGAAGACTAGATAATTTTGAAAATGAACCAATCTCATCAAAACCATTAAATAAACTTTCTAATTCATTGTCTTTGGAAATTCCCAATTTAATATGTTCTGGTTCCAAAATCTATAAATAACAAAAAGGACTTTTAGTATGAATGGAAATAAGCAATTGTTTCAAAATAGATAAATTATTTATATTTACAGTTCCTTGTTGTTGTTGTTGTTGAACCACTGTTAAAGATAATTCGAGTATGTGAGTGACTATGCTTTCCAACATTGCGGCTAGATAGATACCACAATCTTTTGGTACCCTATAAAACAACATTGATTCTTTAATATCTTGTATACTCCAACTTGGTTGAAATAAAAGGATTTCAGGTTTGATAATAGATTCCATTGCATGAACAATAGCATCCTTTGCAATTTGTCCAGAAAGTACTATTCTGGCACCAATTTGGAAATCTCTAGTACTTGGTACTTTTCTTTTCTTTTTTATTGTTAATTCATGTGCACTTTTAATTAATCTTTGATTGAGATGACTATGATGTACACAAATACAAAGAAAGACATTAGAGAAATATATTCAATAATCGTATAACACTTCTCGTACATACAATATAATACTTTGAATATATTGTATACTAGCTTGAGAAAGTGTGATAGGTACTAGATAGAGTGCAGAACAAGAACTTGGTTGTTGTAAAGATGAAACTATATTTTCAAGTACTTTTTGCATTATTATTCTATATTCTTTAAAGTTGTAATAATGAATGTGGAATGAATGAATGAACTATCATGTTTTTATATGTCATATATATATATAGTTATTTGAAATATTGTACATCTTTATGAATCATCTGATTGGTGAGAGTGGCTCTTTCTAAATTAATGTGGTCCTTGATTTTATTTATTTATTTTAATTTTTTTTTCACAAAAACGAACGAAAGTTTCGTTAATTAAAAGATAGAGAGAATACTTCATTGTTGTTATTATTATTGTTTTATTTGTCAAAGAAGGAAGAAGATATGTCAGACAAGAAGAATAATAGTGGTAGCGGAGTCATTACAGACAATCGTTTCAAAAAAGCACAGTTTGATCCAAAGTTCAAACTTCGTAGAAGAAAATTAGATAATGCTATTCAATCAGACGATCGTTTCTCAAAGGCTTTAGCTTCAAAGAGATTTAATGAAAAGAGTATGTTACATCTCGAAGAGAGATATATGTATATATATGATATTTAAAAGAATAGAGATCTAATACATCTTCTCCATTATTATTTCTTACCTCTTTTTATATATTTATATATAATAGCTCAAGTTGATCTTTATGGTAGAAGATTTGAGGAGAGTGACGATGAAGAAAAGGATGAGGTAGCAGAGAAACCAGTAAAGAGCAAAGTTGTTGCTCAAAAGAAAGTAGATTCTACTACTACTAAAAAGACTGCTGCTGTCGCTGTCGTTGCTGCACCATCAACAAAAGCAAATAATAAGAAACAAGCAGCAACACAACAAACAAAGGCTGCAACACCATCAGATAACAGATTCAATATTCCTCAAAAATGGAAAGATTCAAATTTAGTTGAAGAAGATGAAGAAGAGGAAGAAGAAGAAGAAGAAGAAGAAGTACCAGTCTCAAAGAAACAACAACAACAACAACAACAACAAAATAACAAAAAGAACAATACTCCAGTAGTTGTTGATACAAAGAAAAAACAATCAAAACAACAAGTTGTCCAAGAAGAAGAAGAACAAGTAAATAGTGAAGATGATGAAGATAAAAGAGAATTATTATATGGTGGTTTTGATTACAACTCTGATACTGAAAGTAGTGATGAAGAAGGTGTCATTGAAGATGAAATAGAAGAAGAGGAAGAAGAAGAAGTAAGTAAAGCAATATATTATATATATATATATATATTTAGAATATATGTTTATTAATTTATTATTTTGTTTTTCCTAGGATGTACCAAGAGGAGATGCATCAAAGAGATTTGCAGTATTAAATTGTGATTGGGGAAATTTTACATCAAGAGATTTATTCATTGTATTTAATTCATTTACACCAAAGAATGGTAGAATTGAATCGATTACTGTGTATCCATCAGACTATGGTTTGAAGCAAATCGAGTTGGAGAAACAGTCTGGTCCAAACCGTGCCATTTGGAATGACAATAAAAAGAAGCAACAAACCGACTTGGAAGAACAATCAAGAGCATCTATTGCTGCCAAAGCATCACTCGAGTATGACAGAAGAAACGATGCCGAGTCATTGGATGGTGACGGATTCGATTTGGAAAAGTTACGTAAATATGAAATGGACAAGTTGAAATACTTTTATGCCGTTGTACAATGTGACAGCGTAGAGACTGCCAACGCCATCTATGACGAATGCGATGGTTTGGATATTGGTGAGACTGCCAATACTCTAGATCTCAGATTCGTGCCAGACGACCAAGTATTTACCAATGAACCACGCGACACTTGTACAGATATGCCACAGTCTGGTCCCAACCTCGAGTTCCAAACCAATGTACTCAAGGGTACCTCGGTTGACTTTACATGGGATGTTGACAAAACAAGAAGAAGAAAGCTTACTGGTACATTCAACGACTTTGAAGAAGACGACATCAAGACATACTTGGCCGAGCCAGAAGCATCATCCGACGAAGGTGAAGAAAAAATGTCAAGATTAAAGTTGAGAAACAAGTATCGTTCACTATTGTTTGGTAATGATAATGATGATAATTTGGTTCAAGAAAAGGATGATCTTAAAGTTACTTTTAAATCTGCTCTTGATGATGGAAATGAAAATCAAGATGAAGATGAAGAGGAAGAGGATGGATTCACTATTAAATTCTCTGATCAAGAAGGTGGACAAAGTAGTAGCGAAGAAGAAGAAAGTGATGATGAAAGTGAAGAACAAGAAGAAGATAGTGACGATGAAAGTGGAGAAGAAAACAGTGAAGTTGAAACTGATTCAGATTATGATGATAGTTGGCAAAAGGAATTACAATCAATGGATTCTGATGATGATGCTACAATGAAGGAGATTACTATCAACACTGACCTCAACTTGGTCGGTAAAAAGCTACTCAAGGACAAGGAGAAACGTGAAAACAGTAATGTATGGAACGACTATTTGGAGAAACGTAAATCAAAGAAATACGAAAAGAAACATGAAAAGAAGGTTCGTGAACAAGAGGAGGAAAGACGTGCCCAGGAAGAAGAGAAACGTAAAAAGAAGGGTCCAAACGAACAGGAAAAGAAACAAATTGCAGAACTCGAGTTGCTCATGCTCGAAAGCAACCAAGACAAGAACAAAGGATTCAGCAAAAAGGATCTTCAACGTGAACACAAGGAAAATACAACTGGCAAGAAGAAAAACAAAAAGAACAAGGGTGGCAAAAAGAACGAAGACGACGATGACACTGAATCTTTCAAGATTGATGTAAAGGATGCTAGATTCCACTCGTTGTTTGTCAAACCAGAGTTTGCTATCGATCCAACCAATCCAAAATACTCAAAGACCAATGCCCTCAAGGAAATCCTCGAGGAAAAGAAACGTAGACGTGAAGAGACAAAGAATGACTTCAATTCAGATTTGAAAAAGATGAAACCAACTACAGAAACTAATAATAATAATAATAACGGTACCGCTTCAGATTTGGATAGATTCAAGGCAATGACAAAGAATATTCAAAAAAATACTCAAAAGATGAATGATAAGAAAGCAACTTTAAAGAAAAATTAATCAATAAAGAATTGGTAATAGTTGTAAATCAAATCGGTATGAGACAAACTTTCGAAAGGTGTTAAGGATACACAATATATTAAAAAAATGGCTCAACCCCATATAAAAAATGATTGGTTCAATGTTTAAGAAATAGGAAAGGTTTGAGGTTCAACGTGTTTATTGTTTGAGGAATTAAAAAAATATTGGGTGGTATGACATCTCAAGTTTAGAGGATAGCGAATATGTTTTATTATTTTGGAGGTCAATCCAATGGTAAATCAACTTTATTGAAATATTGGTTGATTTGATAGATATCTGCTATCTCGAAAGTTATGCTATCCAATCCAATAAAAAACCCATTGGCAATTTTCAAGAATGTTCTTAATTATCCAAAATTGTTTGAGCAAATTAAAGGTGTCATTCATTTCATCTGATGATACCAATCTCTATTGATTGTAAATAATTATTTCCTTTTTTCATTTTCCAGGTTCTTCTTGAAAATTCTTTTCAGCATTCATCTCTTCCAATAAGATATCTACCTTATAATTTGGTTGAAGCCAGAGAAAGAGAGAAAATGATCTTATTGGAAGAGATAAATGGTGAAAAGAACAGTCCAATGCGAAGACCTCTCGTGAAATTGGGGTTTCATCTCGAAAATTGGGAAAGGGTTTAAATGGTCTTAGACTTCCATCTACTATAAATCTATCTACCATTTTTGTTCTTTTGTTGTTGCTTGATTCTTTTGTCCAGCTTCAATTCCTTCTTGTATGGATTGGGTTTATTTTTTAAAGATGACGATTGTGGTTTAAGGCATTGTGATTGTTGTTTATCTGAGAGCTGTTGTAAATTTGTAACAAATTCTGTAAAGGAGTTGATTGTTCTAACAAGATCTCTGGAATTTGTTGAACTTATTGTAAATTGCTTGAACTCAATTCTGTGTCCACTGATGGATCCAATCAATAATCATTGATCATTCTTTTTGCAATTTTTTATTATTGATTGTTGTGTGAACTTGTGTGTGTGTGTGTATAAGTGCTGGTGTGAGCAAAAACAAAATGAGACATGGGAAGGTGTTATTGCTCACTGTTCATCCATTCATTCTTTAATGGATGTAGAGTTTTTTTCTCATAGTTTATAAAATTAGATCTCGAGGATAGGATGCAATTACCATTTATAATTCAATCAAAAATTATTTATTTATCTTGTTCCAGAAAACACCAGCAGCATCATTTAAAGATAACCGATCTATTTAAAATAGCTGGTGTATCAAAGAAATGGAGGGAAACTGTAAAAAGAAATATGAGTGCGTCATATCCACTCTTATTTAATCCATTGGTACATTGTATTAGTGAATTCAAACAACACAGTTCCAATCTACTTTGTCTGTTTGGTAATCCCCAAAAGATAAGTTTAGATAATAGTAAAGACAGAGATTATGATCGATTCAAGAGTCGTATGCAATTTAAAAGAAATTTAAATTTCATTGGTTCTCAAGAGCAGACACAATGGTTCATTAATACATTCCTACAAGAAATTCATACGATAGAGAATATAGCAATTTATAAACACTCTATTTGTTTTCTCAATCAAGTATTCAAGTGTCAACTACCTAGTCTAAAGTTACTAGATTTCCAATCAGCAGAGAAATCCTATTATTTGATGAATCATCTTTTAATAAATAAGGATCATTCTCATTCAATCAATCATACAGTGGTATCCAATATTGAATCTATGACTATATCACTGTGTCATTTAGATTGGTGTAGAAATCTAAACCACTTTCAAAATTTAAAGAGTTTGGATTGTACAATCAATGAAGAATTTATTGGAACTATGTCGACCAATATTCCACAGTCTGTTACCAACCTATCCATTTCAGTCATACCAAGTAGTACCATCGAATCTCCAACTATTCGTATTCCACCAAACTTTCTACCCAAGTCGTTACATTGTCTAAAATTAGGGTGTCATTCAAAATCATTTGAAATCGATCACCTTTTAGATTGTATTTCAAAACTTGGCAATACATTTGAAAAGTTGGATTATAGAATCGATATTGACCATCTATCACTACCATATCTCAAAGATACTAGAATGAAAGATATTCAAATTAAAGTATCAAATAATGTAGAGAGATACTTGATCAAAGAAGCTATATTATCATCAACCATTCAAAGACTTGATATTGAAATGGAAAACATATCAGATTCATCTTTTGGAATTCTAACAGCTCTGTTATTGGATAGTGAGTTAGACAATTTAGAATATCTAAAGATTCGGTCATCAATGAATGATAATGATGATTTGGATCAAGTATCAGCAGATGATAAATTAATAACCAATTTCATTGTATTGGTAATTACCCAACTTAAATCACTCAAAGAGTTTTCAACAACAATCATACCATCAAACTTTGCCAACAACCAAGTTGAAATGAAAGAATGGTCCAATCAAATAATTAATTCCCTTCAACAAAGCAAATCAATTAAATTTATATCACTCAATAACTTCTTTCAAGATAATAATAATAATAATAGTATGTCTATTCCAAAATCATTATATTCATTACCCTTTATGGGAGGTATAGATATTTTCAACCTTAATAATATTAATTATCATGATATTAAAAGATACCCAATTTTAAAAATTCTCAAACAAATAAATCATTCATAGATAGATATATAAAATGAATAATCAAGAGATATTATTACCATTTATAATACAATCAAATATTATTTATTTATCATGTACTAGTAGAATTAGATATCAGCACAAAAATGTAAATACAAAGATTAAAGAGTTGTTTGGTATTGCTGGAGTATCAAAACAATGGCGTGAATTGGTAAAGAGATGGGTTAAAGATGTCATCCCACTAACTTTCTCACCAATGTTACACGAGATTGAAGAGTATTTGCAACATACTGCTCATCCACTCTGTCTGTTTGGTAGTACTCAAAAGATTGATCTTTTGGGGTCACCCAATCGACTAGAAAAGTTTGTTCAACTCATGACCAAAGATCAAACACAAGACGATGGTGGCAGTGTATCAGACTTTCTAGATGGTATCTCTTCCATCGATCTTAGATATTTAAACACCAAATCAAAAGACTCTAAACCATTCATACATCTACTTTTTCAATACCCACTACCAAACCTAAAATCATTGAAAATGCCAGAGATCAATACATTTGAACAAGACAAGATTCTATTTTATTCGGGTGGTCTTGTTGACCCGTTGGTTCAACTTGAATCGCTCACCATTACTATTGACGATTCAGATGATATTGATTGGTGTTTAGTATTGAAAGAATTTAAATGTTTGACCAAATTGGAGATTACATTGAACAAAACATACCTATCTCTTGAAACTATCTTTTCAAGTGTTCCACCAACCGTCACTGACTTTTGTCTACGTACACTTATCCAAATCAACAATCAATCGATTTCACTTGGCTTTCTACCACCATCCATTCAAACTTTAAAGTTACCTAGACTCATCTTCCAACACCATATCCAAGATTTGTTAAATTATACTCTCTCAAGCAACATCGGTAAATTAGAGTATCAAATTGATATCAATAGTCAGTCTCTATCAGTTCTATCACAAACCAAAATGAAATCAATTAAAATCAAATTATTTCAAGATACACATTGTCAACCTACCCAAGCAATCCTTTCATCATCAATTGAAAAGATTCATATAGAATGTGATTTGGGTGAAAAGTCACTCTCAATTCTCCAAACCATGTTGACAAACCTACCAAACCTCAAAGAACTGGTCTTACAAATTTCAAAAACAGACCAAACTCTTGAAATTCTGTTTGGTCTACTCACACAACTCATCAACCGGTCAAAGCATGTCAAAAGGGTAAAAATCATTAGTACTCCCTATTTAACATTTCCACAAGGCAATCATATAGTCACTACCTACAATCAATTACTAGATGCATTGGTACAAAGCCAATCAATTTATGAATTTAAATATTTCCATCAATCGTCAAAGAGTACCACATCTACATCATCATTCAACTTTTATACACCAATCAAACTGCCATTAGTTGCAACTGACAATCGTTATGAATTACAAATATACAATACAAATAATTTAAATATTGATATTATTAATATTAAAAAGATTTAAATAAATAAATAAATATTTGATTATTTCTTTTTTTTGTTATTATAAGTATTATTTTATTTTTTAATTTATTGAAGATGATTTGGTAAAGAATTGTAGGTACGTGGTTGCCATTCGCCGATACGATCAGCAGCATAATCTAGAGAGGAGATTTCATTATTTAATAGATCAAATGTTTCCAAACCCATTGTGATATTTTGTTTGTTCATTTCACGGAAGAAGGCACCGAGTTGACGCTTGGAAGTGGTAGATGATTTATGGAAACCACTGATATCAAAGGCACGTTGGTGACCTTGTTCGGACCAGGTCTTGCCGAGTTCAGAGAGGTTGATGTGATCGATATCCTTTGAAGAGGTTTCAAACGAGTCGACAATCTCTTGAGCAATGTCTTGTTGGTTGGCAAATACGCTGTCGAGTTGCTCCAATTCATTGGTCATTTTCAATTGTTTGTAGATTTGTGCCAAGTTGGTGGCAGCTGCTCTCACCATTTCATTGTCATTGCCAAATGATCTTTGGAATCCGTTGAATGCCGATTTACTCAATTCAACAGCTTCATCAAATTTACCTTGGTGACAAAGTAATGCCGACAAGTTATGTTGAGCAAAATATATTCTTTCATCTGTTGATTTAATTGTTGAACTAAATAGAATAGAAAAAAGAATTAAAATCTATAATACATTTGTTTGATTGTTTTTTGTTGGGTTACCTTTGGAATAATGAAATTGCCTTTCTAACACTATCAACTGATTCTTCCATTCTATCGGTACATGACAACAAATCTGCATAGTTTAATAAAGTAGATCCATAGAAATTATTGTCTGATTCACTTTCCAAAAGTTTAATTGATTCTTCATAATAGTTTTTAGCACTTTCATATTGATGCTAAAGAAAGAAAGAAAGAAAAGAAGGATGGATGTTAGATTTCACACTCTTGTGTTGTTTGTTTGTTTGTTTGTTTGTTTGTGATCATCATATCAAATCATACCTTTTCATGAGAAATGGTAGCCAAATGAGAGGTAATATAACCCTTGACCAAAGAAGATTCTTCACCAATTAATCTTTGAGCACCAAGTAAAAGAGTCTCTGCCTTTTCAAACTCTCTAGTTTCAAGAAACATTTCAGCTCTATTGACAAGATTGAGACATTTCTCGGCTACAGATACTTGTGTTGGTTTCTTGACTTGAATATCGATTGTTTCCTTTTTTAATGTGTAAAAGTCTGATAACTTCTTATTGATATCATTTAAATGTTTTCTTTTTTAATGATGAATGAATGAATGATTAATTAATCAATGTTAATACTAATGATTGATTGATCAATCAGATCTGTGTCTATATTTACTCTATAGTGCTAACGCTGTCATTGGCCAACCATTCATTGCTTGACTTTTCATTTGAAGCTTTGAGAAGAATAGCTTCTTCAAATGTATATATCTTAGATTCTGCATTCTCTTGATCGATTTCCTTTTCTGTCTTTGGTGTAGTAGAAGAGATTGAAGCTTTCTTTGTTGCAAATGATCTACTGTTGTTGATATAGGCAACTCTCTTGAGTGCACTCTTTGTGGTTGATCTAACTAATGATTGTAACATGATGATTACTTAATCTTGAGACTGCCCTTGTAGTACAAGCAAATGTGATCACTCTCTACTCATATGACTATAAAAACGAATGATTGCACTCCTCACACAATGAAGACCATTTTTTTGTATTTTTTTTTAGTTTCTTTTTTTTTTTTTGAACGAAAGCTCATCATGTGATAAAAGGGGTATTTTACATTAATTATACAAATACTCAAACATTTAACATATATGTTAGTGTGAATATCTCAAAATAATAATTATTATTAGTAGTAGTAATAGTCGTCGTAGCAGATGATGGTGGTACACCATCCTTGATAATGAAGAAAGGAAAAGAGTTTGATTCTCCACTGATAATGCTCATAAAATTATTTCTTTTTTAAATCTTGCCTTTTTCTTCTTGTCGCCATCGATTGAGCAAGGATCAAAGAATATATTAAAAACAATGACACAATTGAAATCTATTATCAAGTCAGTTATTATCTCTTTTTTAATGTAGCATATAATTTAAAAGAAAAGAAAAGAAAGAAAGAAATGGAGGATTTAATTAGTCAATTACAAGATTTATTCCCAAGTTTATCGATTGATAAAGCAACAACAGTATTGAAGAATCACAACAATGATGTAGAAGCTTCAATCAATCATCTATTAACATCATCACATGATGGTGATAGTAATGATGATAATGCTGCTAATATTCAAGATATTGGACAACAATTCAAAGATGAACTCAAAAGAGAAGAACAAGAGAATGAAAGATTACTTTTAGAGTTGTTAAACAAAGAGAATGATGAGACCAACAGTCAAGTCAATGAAAAGAAACAACATACTTGTAGTATATGTTATTGTGACAATCTCATTGGTGAATTCTATATTATGGATGAATGTGAACATCGTTTCTGTCTTGACTGTGTCAAACAAAACTATGAATACCAAATCAATTCTGGTTTTCCAAATGTTAAATGTCCTCAAACTACTTGTAAGAAAATTATCTCTTATGATGAAGTATGTACACAAATCAAATAATAATAATAATAATAATGATAGTTTATTGACTTTCCATCAATTGATTTAATTTAATTTAGGCAAAACAAATCCTATCAGATAATAAACCATTGTTTGAGAAATATGATCAACTTTTGTTAAAGGTTCATATTGAAAAGGATGTAAATGTAAGATACTGTTCGTTCCCAGATTGCAAGAATGCAATGATTATTCATCCAGGTGCTACCGATATTATTTGTCTTGAAGATGGATACTCAACTTGTCTCAAGTGTCGTGAACCTTCTCATTATGAAATGACTTGTGAAGAATGGTAACTCTAAACTATAAATATATATATATATATATATATATAAGGTATGAAAATAATCTACCATTTATTAATCCTATCTTTCTATTTATTTTAGGGTCGAAGTAAAAGAATATCTTAGCAATTTAACAGTTGTTGATGATGGTCAAGACAAACCACTTAAACATTATGTTCCATCTCCAAGTCGTAGAGTACGTCCATTTTGGATGAACAGAAGATGGATTAGTACCGAACACTGGACCACGCAAAAAGCATTGGATAAACTCACTCGAGAGTTTATCAGATATAATACTAGAACCTGTCCCACTTGCAATCTCATCATCGAAAAGAATGGAGGATGTCATGACATGACGTGCGTGTGTGGTCAAAGATTTTGTTATGGTTGTGGACAAGATAGAAGTAAGCATGAGGATAGATATCCATGTCATCATACTGTTAATATATTTTAAAAAAACAAAAACGTACCCTCTCTCTCTCTCCCAAAAAAAAAAAAAGGGAAGAGAGTTGGTTGGTACCTGTACAATTTATTAAATAAATAAATAAATAAATAATTTTAAATAAATTAAATAAATATGATTTATACATTGAGTATTCCACAATTGATATTAATATCTTTTTTAATTTCAACTTGTTGTTGTTGTTGTTGATTTCCAACTTGTTGATTCTTTTCATATGCCACCTTTTCTTTTTGATCCTTATCCTTGTTTTTCTTTTTCTTTTCCTTTTCTTCTGTTGTTTTAGTTGTATCAGTGTCGTCGCCGTGGTGATGACGATGATGATGTTTACCTTTTTTGGCATGACGATCTTTGATATAGGTTGAAAACTTGGAAGTTGTATCATCGCGCATAATGACAAACATTTCAAATATCAGTGCAATCTCAAAAATGAATTGAGTACTATTGGCCAACAATGCACCATAAGGTGTTTTGTATGCCTGTTTAGCTGTTAATATAATTATACAAACAACTCCAAATAAAAATGTCCATGATAATATAGTAATTATAAATGTTAACTAAATAATTGAAATAAATATTAATATTATTAATATTTTTTTAAAAACAATGTAATTAATTAATTTGTATTTGTATTTACCTTTCTAACAGCCTTTTCTTTTGTTTTTTTTAAAAATGGAGCTTTTCTAATTCGAATAAAAATAAGGGCACCATAGATCATAAATGAAAAGGAAAAGCCCAGACACACAAGTGCAACAAAACAATTGTAAAACATTTCAAGGGCGTCAATGGTAATACTATAAAATACCTGAGGTAGTTGTAACCCATAAACAATTCTAATTGATATCTCTATTGCAAACCATACACCATCAATCCCAACAAACATCCATTTTGTCATTGGAACAAATAATGTATTTCTAATTATAAATACATTATGATATAATCCAATCCTAAAAAAAAATTAAAAAAACAAAACAAATAAATAAATAAATTGTAAATTACAAATCTTGTTCTTTTTTTGTTTTGTTTTGTTTTGTTTTGTTTACATACCAATATAATAAAACTATTAAAAAACCACTAAAAACAAACCAAATACCAAAACCTCCTAATATTTCTACAACAATACTTGATACATTTCCTAATTGTTTCCAAGGATCCAATGATAAATAAACTACTCTTGCTATATTTAAAAAAAGTAAGAATAAGAGTTTGATTGGTTGTTAAATTTGTTTGTACTTTTATACTACTTACATAAACAAGCCAAAGATAATAATAAATAACTTGTCATTTTTAATGACATGCGATGAACGAATCGATGATATTGATCGAATATCATTTTGCCGGCAATATAAAAAAATAATGTTCCATAAATGATTGCAAAAACTACTCTCCAAAAAAGAAATAAATTACCCAATTGGTCTTTAAATGATATTGTGCAAGTCTCTCCCAACCAAAATGGCATGCATATACAAGAATCTTGTTGACATTTTCCATGCATTCCACATGGATCTACTCTAGAATATGATGGTGATGCAAGTAATTCTTCTGTACAATTAAATGGTGCCAAACTTTCTCCATTTGATATTGTACCTATTCCACTACTCTGACTATAACTTTGACTATCTATAATATCATTGGTATTTGGAATTTCAACCAAATATCTTTGAATAATATCTAAAATCATTACTACTTTTTTAACATTAAAATTAAATTATTAAATAAATAATAATGTTTTGTGAAGAAAAAGAAAAAAAAAGTTTGGGGACACAACCTAAAAAGTGATTCTAAATAATTTATAATTACATAAAAGTAAAATTAGTATTCTTGTCTTGTTCAACTAAAAGATTATGATGATAATAACAGCTAATTAAGAGTGTGGTGATGATGATGATAATGATGGGAATTATAGATTGGTGAATATATAAATAAAAAATGGACCGAGCATATATTTGAGATGGGTCGACCTACGTTGCATAGTGTCCTAAATGAAATTAATTGTGGGGGGTGGTGGATGAAATTGAAAACAGCAACAACAACAACGATAGTGACAGATCACTGGTTCACTTGTTTTAGTGATGTAACAATATTTGTTATTATTATTACCTTTAGGTTAATTTATCGATAATTTCTATGGTTGTATTTTACTTGTTCATATGCTTTTTTAAATTGTTGATTGTATGTCTATGCTATCTATTTGTTGATCTGATGGGACATAAACAAATTAATTATACTTTAAACTGTGGGGGGTGGGGGGGGTCACAGTGTTGGATAGGGGGTCGGGTTTTTGGATTCACACCCCAACTTCTTTCGAGTCAGCATTGCATAGAGTAGGGGGTATGATATCATACTTTTCTACCAGTATGTATATAAATGGAAGTTATAACTTTTGGGGGATGTAGTACAATCAATTAAATTATTATTATTTAACCCTAAATTTTCTCTTGTTCATTAGATAATAGATAATTTTTTAATATTAATATGGAAGGTTAACAATTCTTGGTTGTTTGTTGTTTTAAATGACAGTTGCCAAGTGATGATGGATTGGTTGGATGAATATATGGTATCTTTGCAAAGATATGACTTCATTGTTTGTGTGTGAACTAAATACATTTATTTTTCTTTTTTGAATGACAACATCCATTAATCCCATTCGAATACTTCCTCTTCGTCTTGCTCGATCAAACTTATATTCGCCTTGTTGGGTGTAGAGATTGTCCCATTTGATTTTTCCTGTTAACGAATAATAATAATAATTAGAAAAAAATAATGATAGGACTGGTCCAACAAACACTATTAATCAACCGTGTGCCCACCCCAATATATCCAATTCTAATAAAGGTGATACATACATCTTGTTTAATCTTTAATTTTAATTGTCTTTCTTGTTCCTCTTCAAGATATTTTTGTTGTATTTCTCTATCCAATTCTTCATCACTATCAATTGATTCTTGATGTTGGTCATCATCATCCTCACCAACAATAATATTTGGAATAATTGATCCAGATTCTATTTCCTCTTTTTTAATTTCCATTTCTGATTGAGTAATATTATTATTATTATTATTGTTGTTCAAGTGATCTTGTTGATCAAATGTAATTTCATCATCATCCCATCCAATTTCCTCTTCTTTGGTTGCCTCTGTAATAATATTAAAAATAGTAGTTGTTGTTGGTTAATATTTCAATAAACTCTTCTTTCTCTCTCTTTGATGTAACCAAACCTTTTAATAAAATTAATCTTCTTTCTTCTTCTTTTTGAAGTTTATATTGTTTATAAAAGTATTTATACCAAAATGCTTCATGATTCATTTCTGATGGTACTATTTATAATAATTATTATTAGTTATAAGTGGTTTGAATTATCTAATATATATATCTTTGAACATACCATATTTTGAATATAAAGATTTAATAGTTTCATTTCCAGCAATAATATTTGTAATTTCAAATGAACGACTATCTAGATCAAATGATTTACACCATTGTTCATAATCCTCTGCATTTGATGGATCAGGTGCAAAGAATGAAATACCTTTAAATAGATTTGGTGAAAGTAAACTATTGGTAGATGTTGTACTTGTAATATTATTATTATTATTGTTGTTTAATTGTTCGTCTTGTTGTTCTTCTTGTTGATCATTGCCAAGCATAGGTGATAGATTTGATTTTACATTGTTTATCTGAGATTGAACCATAGTTGAAGTGTCAGAGATGATTGAATTTGAAAACTCTTGTAAATCCTCTTTATAGATTGCAACCACTTGATCAGAGGTTTTCTTGATCGTCTCTACTATATTCATCTGTTGAATCGATGCACCCAGACTGTTTAATCCACTTGTAATGGCATCTGTATTAAACGTACTACTTAGATTAGATAGACCACTTGTAATAGACTCTGTTGAAAACGTTGGTGCTGTAAATCCCCAGAATCCCCTTAATATGAACAACAACTAATATTAGTTATAACTAATCCCTTTAATCAATCATTATATATCTTTAATACTAATTAGACAAGTACCATGATGATGTAGATGTTGGTGCTGTTGATGAACTACCACCAACACCACTACTACTATTTCCTATATCTTCCTCTTTATCTTTATCTTTGTCCATTATTATTATTATGAAAAGAGAGTGCAAAGTAAAATTAAATGAATCATGACTCAAAATATACTCTTATTTTTATACTCGTCCATTTTACTAGTAAATGAGACCTTTTTTAATATAAAAATAAATAATAATAATAAAGAGTTCATATCATTCATTCAAATCAAAAGATATAAATACTTATTTCATTTCTATAAATAAACTATTGCTCGCAATATCTTGATTTTTCCAAGCTTTGACTCAAAGTTTTAACTCTTTCTTTGCAAAAAATCACATGTGATTGGTAGCACTTTTCTTCCTTTCCACAAAAGTTGGGTGGCGTCGACGTTTGAGGGCACTCTAAACCATAGCTTAACTCACTTCTTATATCTTTGTATCGCACAAGTCAACAAACAAACAAACAAACAACAGTATACTATCGCAGACAAAGAGACAACCCCAAGTCAAGTCAGTCTACCCACCACACATCTCGAGAATAGATTGCATAGGAGGTCTTTGATATTATTATTATTATTGACAAACAACAATAACAACTGTTACACTTGTTAAAATGGACGACGTCGAACCCTTATCATCATCATCATCATCAGAGGAAGAATCAATAACAATAACAACCACAGTCAATAATGATAACTCTTCCTCTTTAAATAGTACTAGTAGTCAACAAAAAGAAGAACAAGTACAAGAAGAGACATTTATTGTTGAAAGTAATACTATTATTACTACTACTGTTACCGAGGAAGAAGAACAACAACAACAACAACAACAAGAAGAAGAGGAAGAGGAAGAAGAAAAAGAAAAAGAGGAAGAGGTTAATTCAACAGCAACTACAGCAACTATAGTTATAACCAATGACAATGATAATAATAGTAGTACTAATGATAAAATAGAAACAACATCAACAACTAATAATAATAATACAGCAACTACAACAACAACACCACCTATAACACCAAGAGGTGGTTCACCTACAACTACATCGACTGGTACCGGTACGACTACTTGGAGAGCATCCAAACCACAACAACTACAAATAGATTTAAAGACATTGAGTAAAGAACATTCAAGTCAAGAGAATCTAATGCTTCAAAGCTCTCCTCCTTCATCCAAAGAATCGTCTATGACCGATTCCACTAAACTTGCAACCACCAATCTATCAACCATTTCAATATCGTCTGATAGTGTAAACTCTAATGCAAGCAGTGGAAACAATAGTCCAAATCTAGGTAATTCTACAGAAGATGGATCTAATAGTGGTGGTGTAAGTATAGCTCAAATCTATTAATAGACTAATTATAATATATGTTGACTAATATATATATATATCTATATTTAATAGTGGTGGAGTAAGTTTAAATTAACTGTTCATAATAATCAACAACAACAAGCAGTTCAACAACAAGCACATCAACAACAAATCAACAGTTTAAATAGTAGTCTTAATTTACAGACTTCAACTCCTGGTGGTAGTATTAATAATATTAGTATCAATAATAATAATAATAATAATAATAATAATAATAATAATAATGATGATGATGGTGGAGAAATTATATATCATTCAACACCAAGTAATCGAATTGTTAAAGAAGGAACATTAAACAAACAGGGACATCTTCGTAAGAATTGGTTACCAAGATATTTTATATTGACCGATACTTGTCTCGAATACTATCGAGAAAAGGGAGGTCAGCAACTAAACTCTATACCGTTGGAGCAATGCTCGATCGAGTTGGCAGACACAGAGACGAAAAAGGCGTTTTGCTTCAAGATTGCGCATGCGACGCGAAAGACATTCTATCTGCTCAGCTACTCGTCCGACATTGAGCGCGACTCTTACGAATGGATTGGTGCGATTCAAGAGGTGATTGACACACTCAACGCACAGAACCAGAGTCAACCCAACAATCACATTAGTGTTTCACCAACCGTGGTAACGGAATCACATCGTAGCTATGAGCTCGTACACGCAATCTCAAATGCCCTGCTCTACAGTCTGGGCAAGACATCGGCAGCGGCCGTGACCGATCTTTGCATTGAAGATTTCACAGCCAGCGAATCACAAAGCGTTTCGTCAAGGGAAAAGGATGGCGCAGGCAACAAGACATCTGTATCATATAAATTTGTAGACTATGGTCCCAAGGTATTTAGAAAGATTAGAGAGTTGGCAGGAGTCAATTCCGCTGACTTTATGATCTCTCTCACTCGAGACCCTCTCACAGAGGTTCCTACCGCCGGCAGAAGTAACTCTTATTTCTATTTTACTGGTGATAAAAAATATTTAATCAAAACAATCACATCTGCTGAATTTGAACATTTAAGAAATATTTTAACAAATTATTATTTTGTATGTCAAAGAAAAGGAAATAGTATTTTAGAAAACATATTTATTTATAAATATTAATATTTATTTATTTTCTTTTGTTTTGTTTTTAGCATTTATCACAAAATAAGGATTCAATTTTATTAAGATATTATGGATTGCATCATATTTCACCAACAAAGATGAAAAGTACTCATTTTGTAGTAATGGAAAATATTTTTGAAGAGAAATCAATGGATGAAATCTATGATCTCAAAGGTAGTACTCTGCATCGAAAAGCAGAGTCTGGAAAGACTGTCCTTATGGATTTGGATTTTTGTACACGTATATTTATTTCAGATGATATGAAATCTAAATTCTTTAAACAAATTGAAACTGATTGTAACGTATGTACAGAAACAAAAATATGGAGTAGAATCACTTGAAACTTTAAATAATTAATATTATTTCTATTTTGCTTATCTATTTTTAGTTTTTGGAAAAAAATGTTTGTATGGATTATAGTTTATTATTAGGAATCCGTTATTTAAATGGTAAAAAGGTTGATTCACGTCAAGACGATAAAGGGTCAATATTCAAGAGAGAAGAAGGCGGAATGGTATCACGTACGGCAAATGGAGAGCTCTATGACAGAATATATTATGTTGCCATCATCGATATGCTGACGACATATGGAATCAAGAAACAACTCGAGCACACTTACAAAGCAACCATGTATGATACCAAGGACAGTATGTCTGCTGTTGATCCCTCAACCTATAACAAGAGATTCAAACAATTTGTACATAAAATCACTGGGTGGAAGGTTCAACAAGATTAAAAAATTTAATAATAATGAATGATAATAATAATGATGAATAATAATAATAAACAATGGCAATAATTGTAATCAAATCACCACGTTCAAACAGTATACGTATAGTATCTTTGTACCCGTGAGTGAAGTTGATCCATCAATTTTTTTTTTTTAGTACATAACAATAGTAAAAATACAATCAGAATCAAAAATGGCTCTACAAACAAACAAACACCCTCCGTAATGACAATAATATTATTAAATTGCCTCTAGGTATTAAAATGGAATCAGAGTAAAACAATCAAACTGTTGTTCTAAAAATCCCTCCATCCCTTCATTCAAAAAACATAATTAAAATTGGATACAATTACTACTATATCTATCACTAGTAAACCAAACCCACCTATCTCTCATCTGTCGTTTTCCAATACTACTCAATATGCAACGATCATTGTCAATGTAATCCTTTTTACCCCCCATCGTCATCACAATAATGTGATCATATGCCTTTGAGCACACATCTTTCATTTTTTTGCATACACCCCTATTTGCGACTAGGAATGAAATCATTGATGCACTACCCCCTCAATTGTGCATTGATTCATATGAAACATTGTTGTTTCTACACTACACTCTCTACTTACAACCAACAACAACATCAACAACATCAATTGTGAAGAATCAGATGTATGGATGGGTGTTGATGAGTGCAGGAGAGGAGTGAGATGTGGAAAGAATACTTTATCACTCACTTACTCCACTCACTCTGACAGAAGTAATAATAATCGATAACAGAGGATTGATCACAATCACTACGGAATTATTATTATTATTTTTATATCTGATATATATTGTTCACAAATAATTTAACATTATCAAAAAAATATATCATTTAGAATTTAAGACTAGTCTTTCTTTTTCCAAAGAAAAAAAAAAAAACAACCAGAAGAATAATAATAATAACAAGAAAGAGAAGAGATAAGAGATATGAGATTTATCAATTTGTATCTCTCGATACTTTTATGTATACTTGTTCAACACTATTCTTTATTGGTTTCTGCTCGAAGTATGATTGACCATCCAACAACAACAACAACAAGAACAACAAAAATAGAAACAAAAGTTCCGGTTTATACCAACCATCAATATTTAATCTAAAATCCTTTAATTATTATTATTATTATTATTATTATTATTATTATTATTATTATTATTATTATTATTATTATTATTATTATTATTTTAGCTCAAACCTTTAAGATTATCATTTATGATCATCATCCATTATTAAATCCAGATTTTGAATATGATCCCATTTCAGCACCAAAGGGACTTGCTTCTCAAACACTCAATGCAAATGGAGTTCCAGACTTTGTAGCCGCTGATTTATCTGGTGGTATTCATAATAAAACCACCTTTTCACAGTGGTTTACATCGACACCAGGAATCAACATTCCAATTCCATTTGATCTCGTATTTGTCAAGAACCCAGCAACTGGAATGTGGAACTATGTCAATAATTCTTTCTTCCCAATCAACGGTATGGGATGGGATGCACAAGGATATCCAATCTATTTGAACAAAAATTTCCATTTCTGTCTTCATTTCCAATCAACCCTGAACTTTAAGGTATGTACAGTATCGAATTTGATCTACTTTAGGTTGAGCGACCCAACTCATTTTTTTTTTGGAATCTAACTATTTGTAGGGTGGAGAAGTATTTAATTTCATTGGAGATGATGATGTATGGGTATATTTGGACAATAATCTTGTATTGGATCTTGGAGGTGTTCACCAGGCCCAATCTGGATCCATCAGTCTTGATGCTTATAACCCAGGTGTAAGTATTATAATCATTTTTAAAAAAATATATATTGTAATAATATTAATTTTACTTTACTTTATTTATTTAGACACCATTAAAATTCGATTTCTTTTATTGTGAAAGACATACATCTCAAAGTAATATAGAAATTGAAACAGATTTTGATTTGCAGTGTGGGTATTATGACTATTGTGGTATATGTCAAGGTGATGGCTCTCAATGTTGTACTCCTTCGATTCATTGTGACGACAAGATTCCATGTACCATCGATCGTTGTCCTGCTGTGGATACGCCGGGAATCAACTCTACAAACTGGGGTAGATTCTGTACTCATGAAGATATTACTTGTACCGATCCCAATGACAAGTGTAGTCAGAGTTCATGCTCAAATAACGAGTGTATCGCAGCCACTGTCTTTTGTGATCAAGCTCCATGCTCGACCGTGACTTGTGATAGTTCAGATGGATGTATTTACACACCAACAGAATGTCCAGTCACCACTTGTTCATCCAGCTACTGTAGCTTCCAAACAGGTGCCTGTGCTCAGCCACTCCAAAGAAACTGTAGTGACAATGATGCTTGTACCGACGACTTTTGTATCCCAATTATCGGATGTTTGCATACCAGAAAGAGATGTGACGATGGAAACATTTGTACCACCGATACCTGTCTAAACGGTGTATGTGTCAATACACCAAAGCCAGTCTGCAACTGCTCGTCCATTTGTCCAGTCAATCTTTGCCAGGATTTCGAATGTTATCCCGATGGAACTGGTTGTGACATCACTGATATTCCCATCGACGATGGCCGTATGTGTACTATTGACTCTTGTAATCTTAATACGGGAGAGATTACCCATCAAGCAATCGAATGCGTTCCATCAAGTGGCTGTTACACTTCGGAATGTGATGAAAGTACTGGACAATGTGTTGAAACACTCAAAGACTGTGACGATCGAAACCCATGCACCAACGATATGTGTTCGAATGGCAAATGCCAGCACAGTCGAGTCACTTGTGATAGCAGTGTCGACGCTTGTGTCGTTGGAACCTGTGTTGCCTTTAGCGGCTGTGTCTACAGTCCCAAGGACTGTAGTGTTGCCGATCTCTGTGTCACCAGTGTTTGTGAAGACGGACAATGTATCCATGAACCAAAGCACAACCATACCGACCTTTGCACAACCTATCAATGTGATCCCGCCACTGGAAATGAAGTAGAAGTCCCTATTTGTGACTATTCCAACCCATGTGTCTACACAGAATGTCTGGACGGTATATGCTTTTACTATCCTGTCCAATGTCCAACCACCGATCTATGTAGACCTGGAGTATGTAGTTCACTCCCAGGAAATGCTGGTCAATGTGTTGAAAGACCACTTGTCTGTCCTGACGGTACCCATTGTGAGGTTGGAACCTGTGTTCCAGACACCACTTCTACCACCACTGGTGTCACTACTGGTGTGACCACTAGTATCACCACTGGAATTTCAACCGGTAATCTACCACCCACCTGTCATCTTTTGGACACAGAGTGTGAATACTATACCTACGATCCACTCACCATGTCATGTCAACCACATGAAGTGATTTGTCAACAACCAGTTAACCCATGTCAAATCTCAATCTGTCATCAAGTTCATGGCTGTATTACCATTCCAAACCCAGACACTATCGATTGGGATGAATGTCCCATTACATCTGGTTCAACCTTGGGTATCTTGACCGACGGTGTTACATCTAGTCATATCACCCACGGTGCTACCCTAGGTGGTATCACTGTTAATCCAACCAGTGGTATTTCATCTGGCCTTCCAACAGGTGGTATTACAACCGATGGAGACCTCCAAGTATGTGCTCCACAATGTCGTATCAAACTCGATGGATCGGTAGAGGGATGTCCAAAGGGATACACCTGTGTTAAAATGTCTTGTGGCGCAGCACAATGTGTCAAAAATGAAGATGACCTTCCACCAACTCCAGAACCAACCCCTTGTACAAGACCACCAAACAATTGTCATCTCCCATCAGAAAGACCTGGTCAACGTAACTTTTTCCAAGACCAAGAAAATGATTTCATCTAAACAATTTTTATGAATCCATAATATAATAATAATAATAATAATAATAATTTAATTTAGCTTACACCTCGAAAAACTATATAAATAAAAAAACCTCGAATAATTATAAATTAATTTATCTTTACAATTTATTTCTTTCTTTTTCAAGGACAAGATGATTGATCTTTGCCATAGTTGTAAATGTTTTTTCAATGACTTCATAAACTGATACAATTTTATCATAGAATTCTTCTTCTAGTTGATACTGGATTTCTACCCACGGCAGTGATTTGATTGTTTCATTTTGACACTTGGTAAAGTTTTGAGAGTAATTATTGGTGACAATATAGATGGTTTTGGATTGACCAAGAGAGTATTTAACCTCTTGAATAATCTCTTCCAATGAATCATTGGTCTTGTCAGTGTAAATAACCAAATGAAGGATACTATTATTGATGTATTGCTTGAGATGTGCAATTTCCTTTTCAGGATCTTCGGCAGTGTTGGAGTGATCCTCGGTGTGAAATTCTTGAACATGAATCTGTTCAAAAGATTCTTCAGAGAAAGAATAGAGGTTGCGATAGTAATTGGCTCTTGCAACCTCATCGATTTGTTCTACTTGTTCTTTGAGTGACTGATCATCATTGGCTGCATCGTTGGCACTAGAGTTGGCCAAAAACTGTTGGTGTTGTTTCTCTAATTTCTTCTTTTGTTGTTCGACAAGATGTAGTTTTTGTTTTTGTTTTTGTTCCTTTTCCTCTTTTTTCTTTTTTGAACGTTCTTGCTCGAGTTTGACCAGTCGGGATGCCCCACCATCTTGAATCTCGTCACGGTCAGTCAATGGGAGTGACCGTGTCAAGAGACCCTCCTTGGTGAGCCACTCTAGCGAATGATCAGCTTCGGTAAAACTAATGTAGATTGAACGGTCGGCAAACTTGTTGTATGTGTCAACCTTGTCAAACTGGTTCTTGGCATTACATGGTGTACGGTTGTCGATCGACTTTACAATCTTGCCAACTCGTTCCAACTCGACACGACGTTGTGGTGCATCCAAATCAGCCCATGCCTTGTTGTCGGCGAATCTAATTTCATAGTCAAAGAGACCGTGTAGTACAGGATCAATATCGAGATTGAAATAGTAGAGCGCAACAACAGGCTTGCATAGTCGTTTGGCCATTTTAAGCTCCTTTCTACACCAAAGCGAGTTGATAGAGGTTGGTGAAATGGTAAACAACACCACATTGCTACCTTGAACACCCTTTGTAATTTCGGAACGCCAGTTGCAACCGGCTTGCAAACGGTACTCGTCCAACCAACATCTAAGAGAACTCTCCTCCAAACTAAGACGGAGGTCCTTGACAAACACAGAATCCTTGTGAGCATAACTGAGGAATATTTCATTGGTGAATAAAAGGCTTTGAAGGAATGCCTTTTCCTCTCCAACTGCATATTGCAGAGGTGTCTTCATCGAACGATCTGGAATATTTTGTGCTCCCTTTTGTGCCATCAATACACCAACTGGGTAATTCTTTACAGCAAAATGGAATGGTGTAGATCCCTTTGTATTCTTTACATTTCTATCACATCCAAATTCTAATAATAATAATGCTGAATCAAAATACTAAATTAAAAATAAGTTAATAAATAATAATTATTATTACTCTAATATAATTTCTTTCATTCTTACATTTTTTTCACAAGCAATATGTAAAGCAGTAGAACCTTCAGTTAATTCTACAGTATTTAAATTTTCCAAACGATTTCTTAAAATGTATCTTAAAACTTTAATGGAATTATATTGAGCACAAGTATGAATGACGGTACTATTTGTATTATACTCAATTCTTGAAGATGGGTATCTTGCAAATAATAATTTAAATGCTCTAAAAAAAAATAATAAAATAATAATTAATTAATTATTTGTTTGTATCTATTATTATTCTTTTCTTAATTTGACATACTCTAAATGATCAAAACGAACAGCTGTATGAATCAAACTACATATTTGAGTAACAGATATAGTATGTTCTTTTTCATCAAGATAACTCTTTAAAAGGTCAACCTTGTTATTATAAACCAATCCTTTTGCATTTTGATATGCTCCAACTAATCTAATACCAAGATACTTGTTACAATTAAACAATTCATAATCTTTTATATCCTAAAATAATAATAATAATAATAATATTAGATTATAAAGTAAAATATATCAATTTTGTAATATCATATATTTGTTTGTTTGTTTTACCATTTCACCAAGTAATTGGAATTCTTTTGGAAAAGTTCTTTTTGTAGTGTGTAAGATAAGGGTATTTGGTTCTTGCATTATAATTGAATAATCGCTAGAACAAAATACCTTTAGTTCAAGATTGTGTTGTGAGTAGACCTTTTGAGGAGTACTAGTAAAACTAAGTAATTTAACACCAAGTTGTCTACTATCATTCTTTCCCCAAGAATAGATATCTCGATTACTAGCAGTGGTAGAGGAGGAGATAACCATTGTATGTTGATCACCACAAGAAATTGATGTAATGTTTTCGAGTTGAACCAAACCAGGTGGATTATGATGAATGGAAGAAGCTTTTCTACCAAGTTGTCCGACATTGTTACGTCCCCATGTGACAACACGTTGATTGCTAAGCAACATGGCACAAAAATCGTATCCACAGGATACCGATACGGCACGATAATTTGATCCAATGTGTTGTGGTAATCGAGTCAACATTCTGTAGGATCGAGATGGTAGATTGTATCTCTCATGCTCTTCTTCGCTATAAGATTGTTTTTTAGTATCCAAATACCATACACTTCCTTTTTCATCAATAGAAACAAAGTTTCTATGACATGATGCCACTTGATTGAATCTAACTTCTCTTCCAAATGGTAAATCATCTTCGTCTGATTCTGGTCCATCTTCAATGGCCAATAATTTTCTAATTGATCCATATGATATATTTGGTGTAAATTTTCCCCATGCATATAAATTCTTTTTATCTATAGATAGATAAACACAAAATGAATTAATTAGTTCTCTTTTTCATGTTTCATTCTTCTTCATATATTTAAAAAAAAGAAACATACTATCAATAAAAGTAGTAAATCCACCATGATTAATATTAATCTTTTTCAATTGAGATGGAAGACCTATAAATGTTAACACTTTAGTTCCTTCATCATAATAATATGCATATCCATTAATCTCTTGACTAGGAGAAGAAATAATAATAATAATATTAATAATTAATTAATCAATTTAATTTAATTTCAAAAACTATACTATTTGATTACATACATTGGTTTAAGATAATTTTCTTGAATGATGTGTTCTTTATCATGTGGATATTCAATGTTAAACATTTCAGTATTCTCTTTTTCTTCATCAAATTCTATCCATTGTTTTTCGAGATCCAATTGTTCAAATGTTGATGAATCTTCCTCTGATGGTGTTGATGATGATGATGATTGTTGCTCATCCCATCCAGTCAATAAATCATCCATCATGAATTCACTATAGACACTTTCATCATCATCCAATTTATCATCATCGAATCCAGAAAAGTCCATACCCAATACATCTTGCAAATGATTCTTTTCCATGACAATACCATTCTCGAGTACATTATCAACAACAAACAATGAATGATCCAATAATGTAGATTGAACAATACATTTGAATATAAAGTCATCAGTAACAACTGGTACATTACACTTTTTAGCTTTAGTATAGATTGAATATCTAAAAACATATAAAAAGGGTATTAACAATCATTAGATGATGATGACCAATCAGGTGAATAGACAGACTTACAATGAAGGATTTGGTGCAGCAATAGTTGGTTTCTTCTTATTGGCGTTTACAGAGTCACTAATAATGACAACATAATCAGTAGACTTTGCAATGATACTAAAACCTATACTTGCACCATTGTCTTCTAATATCTTTTTGATTGTTGATTTACTTTGCCATGTTAATCCAGACGATCTAGTGACAAGATAGAACTTTTTATCTTGAAGAATCATATGTGTAACTTGTTATTATTATTATTATTCTTTATTCTTGTTGTTGGTGGGCTGGCTAGGTATTTATAAAGAGATAGATATCTGTTGGTGGATGGATGAGAAGAAGTATTTAAGTGGTAGTGGTGGTTCGTTGAATACTATCTACATAGACACTCTTCTCTCTCTCTCTCTCTCTCTCTCTCTAAGCTCTGGTATATGAATACTGACTGTGTTGTCTTTAAACAACAACAACAACTATCTAGTTTTAGATGATTGTTTGTCGATTCAACTGAAATCAAGTTGCTTTTATTGTTTTTTGCAATTTTACAGATATTTAAAAATTCCCAAAACCTATACTTAGGAAGAAATGTGGAACCATTGTCAAGTAAATTTTAGGAACAGGAATAATGCTCATTCGGTCGGTTACTTGCAAATGATATCTATTGCTACGTTGGTTGGTTGTTAGGTGTGTGGTATGAATTCAATCAAATTGTAGTTATAATAGTGCAGTGAGTGGGTGATGAATTGAACAACAATGGGTGGATGCATTACAATGCAATCACTGATTGATTGATTGTACTCTATCATCACCTGATGGGAATGAATGTTGATGTTTTACAATGAATTTTTATTCTATACTGATGATGTTAGACATGATGAATGATAACGTTAAAAGAAATTTGATGGTTGTACAAAAAAAAATCAAATAGAATAGTTCATCATGCATCCATCCTCATCTCATCATATGATATGATATGATATGATATCATTTATTTGATTTATTTATTTAGTTATCTTTCTTTTCTTTATTTATTAATATTTCTAAAAAATGTTCCAAAAAACCATATTATTAGTTTTAGTTATTGGTGCCTTGATAGTGCCAATAACACAATCATCAAGATTAGGAGAAGAGAGTGAATTGTGGACTGAAAGAGATGTAGAAATTCTACTCCTTCGAAATAGGGGTATTGAAAGTGAACAAAGAGAAGAAGCAATCATTGATACCATCAAAAATCTGGCCAAGCCATTATTTGCTGCATTTAAACAAGTTTCTAAATTTGGATTAAAAGAATTGGTTGATGTTACTCAAGGTGTTATCGATGGTTATGAAGTATGTATCTTAAATATATCAATATTTATATAATTAATAATATTAATAATATTAATTTATTTTTAATTAAATAAATTTAGACTAGAGCCAATCCATCAATGGCAAAGAAATGTATTAATGATACCAAAATAGCAAGAGATCTAATTGGTACTGTTCTAACAGAGAATGCAACCATTACCCAACTTGCCATTAGAAATATTCTAAGAATACCTGGAATGGTCCAATTAGCCGCCAATATCACCGTTCATTGTAGATTGGATCAATTGGTTGGTAAAATTGCTGCTTTGGCTGTAGAGGTTGCTTCTGCATTTGCGTATGTATAAAACATCGTTAATATCATTATTATTATTATTATTATTCTAACTTTTATTAATTTAATGTATAGAAATGGTGGTGCATCCCTTGCATTAAAAGAAGGACCTGTACTTTTGTTTAATGGTCCTACTTTAATTAAAGATATATTGGTATGTATTAATTAATTATAATTGTAAAGTATACCATCTATTGACATTAGTACTAATGTGACTTCAATTATCTAGAATATGACAGTTGCAGTAACTAAATTAAACTTTTATGGTGTTGGATTTGCTGCTGGTGATATCATTGCTATTCTTTTATAAACTCTAGTTTCTATCTTTTATAGTTGGTCAACCAAATTAATTAATTAATCCATAAATTAAAAAAATAAATCCATTGTTGTCTCTGTGCAAAATTAATCAATCACCCTCGTTGCTCAATTTCATTTTCATTTTCTTGAAGAGATACATACAGATATATATAGATATATAAAGAGAGAGAGAGAGAGAAGAATGAATAGACTATTAATATACCATGCCAAAAATATAATTGATAAAATGAACATAACATCAAAGACCTATATGGGGACTGATCTACTAAAAAATAGATACTATATAACATATTCTGAAGAAGGAAAAGAAAAGAGAAGTATGATCATGATGTTGTAAAAGAAAGAAAGAAACAACAACGACAACAACAATATATTGATTGATTGATACATATATCTATCTATCTATCTATCTATCTATCTATCTATCTATCTATCTATCTATCTATCTATCTATCTATCTATCTATCTATCTATCTATCTATCTATCTATCTATCTATCTATCTAAAAAGGTGTAGAATACTATGATGGTGAACCAAATCCAAGAAACTTGCCACCATTATGGAATAGTTGGTTAGGTTTTAGAAGAGATATAGCTCCAAGCTTTCAAGAGATACAAAACGAAGAGACAAGACAACAAACGATCAAAGTAAAATCAAAGATCATCGAAGAAGAAGATAGAAAATTAAGATTACAAGAAAATGCTGAACGTGAAGAGTATGTATCAAAAAGAAGAGAAGATTGGAATATCACACCAACTTTTAATGATTTACTCTCTTTCAAGACAAATAAGAAGAAACAACAAGTAGGATCGTAATAAAAACAACAACAAATATGTACATTATTATTAAAGAAATATAGTCAGACGTTAACGCAATTAAGGTTTCCTCTTCAAGGCCCTTGCACATATGGCTGAGCTCGGAAGACGATCAGAAGTCATCATTTACATTTCGCAAAGGGACCATCATATCACTATCATTGCTTATACCAGCACTCGTTTTATTCGGTTTTTGTGTTTATGGGTTTGACATACAAAAAACGATCGATTCTATAGAGCTTCTGGTGGTTATTATAAAAAAACGAAAGACGATAGAACAAGACAGTCAGAGGATACAGAGTCTTATCTGTTTTCTATTTTTCGTCTGCTCATTTATTCAATTAATTAATTAGAGGTTTGGTTTCGTTACAGTCACACCTAATGTCGTCGTGTCTATTTACCAGTTTACTACAAAAATGGGTCTGTCCAAAAGATCTTCAAATGAATGAAGCAGACATCAGACGAATCAAATAAAAAACGAACGAAGGAATGAAAGGTATGAGGAATTCTTCGACGGTCAAATAATACATGTTTTATTTGACGACGATCGTCATCGTCAATACAAGTGACGAGTGATAATACCAACAAACAACAAAAGAAGTAACCATTACTTTAAAGAGACATGGTCCTAGTCTCTCTGAGACTTTCAAAACAAAAAGTATTTTCCCTCTCCTCCCAGTCAGTAGTTTAAAAATGGGTGATGTGACTATGAATACGACCGACTGGGAAGGAAGGCTTCAAATCTTCAAAATTTGCGCGGCACCCAAGAAGAGTAGTACGCTTCAAGGAATCAACGATTTGAAAAATATCTTTTTTTTCAAAATTTTATTTTTTTGAGGTGGCAAAGCCAAGAGGCTGCGTCCCTCTGTGCAAAACGGGAAATTTGATAAAGGGCAAAAACAACAAGTTCTTCTAGGTTTCTTGGTGTTGGGTTGTTTCAAGCTTCAACACCTTAAAAGGTAACACCCCCACAAAGCCTGTGACTTTCAACACTATCGCTGAGCTGTGTGTGTCAGCAACAACATGAAGAAGAAAAATTGAAAAAAAATTAAAAAAAACGAATTTTGTTGGTCGCTCACAAAAAAACGACGACTCTCAATATTAAATTTTTCATTACATAATAACAATAAACACCTGTCTCTCTCACTTCATTCATTCAATATTTATATAACAAAACAAACTATAGAACATCATAAACAAAACAGATATTTAACAAAAAGATAATAACATTAAATTAATTAATTAATTAGTTAGATCAGTATTAGCAATATATATCAATATAGAGAACTTTACAGCAACAATCAAAATATATAGAATAATATTAAAGTAGATCAAATCGCTAGAGCTACAAAAAAACAACAAAATAATATTTTAGTTTACCCTTCTTTATACCTCCTTTACACTTCTTATTTATAAATGTTCTGCTAATCGAATAGTGTTGTTCAGTCGTCGGTTGTTAGGTTAATTGTTTGTGTGTATATATACTTTTTCTATTTCTATCTTTCTTTTCTTCTTCTTTCTAGAGTAACTTCTACCTTTTTCTTTCTTTTTTTTTTGTAATATAATCCATAACCAAGAATAGCAAATAATAATAATAATAATAATAATAATAATAATAATAATAATTAAGATAACCATTCCTTTGTATATATAAATAATATTCTTAAATAATAATAACCATTTTTTTAAAAAAAAAAAGAAACCTTTTTATTATCATCAAATCTATTTCTTTACTCTTTCTATCTATACACAACAATAACAATTAACTCTTCCCTTTTAATCTATCTTCCTTTCCTTTCTCTTCTTTGTCGTTATATTATATACACAAACAAGTAGCAAATCACAACTCACTACTACAACACTTAAATATATTGCCACATCACGTGATCCAAAAAAAAAAAAAATAACTAAAACTTCCTCCACCAATCTATTTATCAATCAATCAATCCAATCTATTTATTTTTTCAAATCAATTTAAGATTTAATCTATATCAATCAATATCAATATCCATATCAACAAATCAATCAATTCATATATATTTTTCTGTATTTATAGTTATATATTTTTTTCAATCCAATCTTTATTCTCGCTGATATCAGCCCCCCCTACGCGCGTAATCCCCACCCCACTCACTCAACCACCACCATTTAAAATAATTCCAATAACGTTTCCATCGTTTTAATTAATATCAACAACAACAACAACCAAGTCATGTCAACACCAAACTCACCATCACAACAACAAGAACCAAAATCACCATCAACAATGAAAAAGTCACAAAAGGATGTCTTTTCAGCTCAGATCTTGTTGGGTATGAAGAACCTTTCGTCGCCACCACAATCATTGTCAGCTCCATCGTCACCATTGCCCATCCAAGCTCCACTTTCGCCATCCATGTCGATGATGGGTGATGCAGGTTCTGCTAGTAGTCCAGCAGCATCGGCCGACATTTTGTTGTCCAAGACATCACCAGTCAGCCCACGTTCATCTGGTGATCGTCTCCCAGTCGGCACTACAGCCAATGGAAACGACCAACTTGCTCCACATCAAACCGTCTGTACCTTTAAAGAATGTTTGTTGTGCAAGAGAGGCAGTCCATTTGTCAACAACCAGTCTCCCACTTGGGCATGCATCATGCGTATCGTATTCTATTGTCTGCAAATCGAAATGCCACAAAAGCCATTCCTCAACTTAAAGACTGATGTCTATGGGTTCATGACTGCACATTGGCATTTATTATGTCTTGATAAAAAGAGTAAGAATGGAAAAGAAAAGAAAAGAAAAGAAAAGAAAAGAAAAGAGAATGGATGACTAACATACCATATTATTATTATTTTTTTTTATAGGATCCGATAACTGGCATAAACAAATCCAGGATATGTTGTCCCACTCTAAGAATTTGTTTGAGAGTGGTATGGACACTTATAAACAAAATGGGTATTGGAGAATGAAACAAATATCCGATCCATGGGATGAAATCAAGTCCAAAAAGGTGCTCACCAAGAGAAAGAGAAGCTATAGCGAGGCCGACAAGGACCACTCTATGAAAAATACAAATAATAGTACATCTACCACTGCTACCACTGCTACTGCTACTGCCGCTGCCACAGCTACCCCAATTGCTACTACTACTACTCTTACAGTTCCATCACCATCTAATTTCATTCCATCACTTGCCAGTCCGTCCACCACTACTACTAGTGCCTCGTCAAGTTCATTTGACAAGAGAATACACGAACAAATCTCGAGTCATATTAAATCCATGTCGTCTCAATCGTTGACATCACCAGTGCCATCGCCACGCGGAAACTCACCAACTCAACGTCTAAAAAAGAGATCGCGTGGTGATAGCATGCTCGGAGGTTCCAAGACCACTTTGCCAGTTACCACATCGTCACCACCATCATCTGTTCCAGTTGCACCCATCCCAACCATTCCCATGATCTCCATGTTGATGAGCAACGATTACTCGTCATCGTCATCATCATCGTGCAGTGAAGACGAGAGTTCACTCTCGATTGACGAGCGCGAAGATGTCAACATTGAAGAGATTGAAGAGATCAAGTCCTATGAAGACGACACTCCCATGGGCTTGTTGATGCTATCCTCATCATCATCACCACTCCATTACACCTCATCGGCATCATCCGCCGCCGTTGCCACTACTACCGCCACAACCGCCAACAATAATAATAAGAAGAAGGGATTCCACTTACCTTTGTCGTCACACCAATCAGAAGGTAAGGGGGAATCATCTCATGGCAGCGGCGTCGCCTACTTGCCCTCATCCGCTCTCTTGCCCAATCCTATCACCGTCACCACCACCAACACCGCCGCCAAAGAAGAGGACCCGACACTTGAGGAAGTCCAACGTCTGCGTACCCAGTTGCGTCAGATTTACGACAACTTAAGCTCGATGGTTTCCTCGCACGACCATTCCTCCATCAAGCCAATGCTCGAAAAAGAAATCAATAGAATCAATATTTTGAACCATTTCCAACCAACCGAATCGTCTCCCTTGTCCTCTTTGATATTATCCCAAAAAATTGCTGCCAAATCCGCCACTACCGAATCAAACACATCAACTACAAACAACGTGGTTGCCACTTCTCCATCCTCTACCGCCGTTACTCATTCCACAATAGAGGATAATTCTTGTGTCCCATCTTTTCAAGGTCTATCCGCTTTATCCATGGCAGCTACCAATATTTAAAAATCTCACTAATAACAAATAACAACAAAACATAATATAATAATAATAACAACAAAAAAAATAACAAACAACAACAACAAACAACAAAACTCTTTATTACCTTTTTTTTTTCTTTTAAGAACTTAACCAGGCCTTATTACTAAAAAGATATAATAAATCAATTGTATATATTTTTTCAAACACCTCAAATCATTTTATTGCTGGTCTTGAATAAGTTTATTGTTATTTGGACATATTTAATTTGATTAAATTTTGTTGATGTTGGTACTTGTTCTATTGCTGCACCAGGTTTTCAAACCGATTGTAAAACACAGGAGGCAAGGTAGTGTTCTACAAGCGATTTGAAAACCTGGTCACAGAGCTGGAGGACATATTTATTTGGTTGTTGACATTTGTCAACGGCAAAGGTTGCTTTCTTCCCGTAAAGAGTATTTTATCAATATTGGAACTGCTGGACAGTAAAAACCTGCAATACTGCCAAACAATTTAAATAATTGGTAAAACACATTCCGGACCTTTTAATAAGATGGTAATCTATTTTGTGCAAAGTAATACAAAAGGTTGTATTCTTACAAGGTGGTGGCAAAAAAAACTAAAAAGAAAGGTTAGAATGATAAGTGACAGGGAATCATTCCTTACCGCTACTTTGGAATAACATAAACTTTGTTAAATATATACACTAGTAATCTTTAAAAATATATATATTATATATTATATATTAAGTAAATAATTGTAATGAAAATAAAATGATTTGGTTTTGCAAAAAGCCACAGAGCTTCTTCATTTTGCTTGGATAAAAAACCAAATTAAATCAAAACAAATTGAATAATATTTTTATTTTTGTTATGGTCATTTTCAATATTGATCATATATTTTATTAAAAAGGAGTTGATGAATATAGTGTTGTAGCAAATTGGTAAATTATAAGGGTTTGTGATTTGATATGATTATTATTATTATTATTATTATTTGTTGGGGATAAATCATTTCGTTTTGATTTTGTTTTATCCAGTACGGAAAGCGTAATCACCAGACAAACAAACATATCTAACCCATGGGAGCGCTTGATAACCACTCTTTTCTATGATCTTGAGATAACGAACTTGAATACCTGATACAGTGTAATATGGAATTTCGAATTGAACCATAATGGGTGGCTTATTTTGTGGCTTATCATCTAAACATTTAATTAATTGGAAATTTAATCATTAGTATTGAAAAGAAAGAGTCTTGTTGTCATGTTTCTATTTGATTTAAATATTTACCATTTGAAATGGATGGAAGACCAAAGTGAGCTCTCATTAAGAATTCTTTACCTCCACCTGGGAATTGTTTAATATTCCAAATAATGGCGTCTTTTTCTGGTGCATATTTGCAAGTTCCCATTGTACACTAAAAATAATAATAAATAAAACAAGTTAGAGAAACGTAGGTTTAAACCAATTATTGTTGTTGTTATTATTATTAATGACATACTCTAAATTTGGGAGAATCAGCATCAGGTGGTACTGGAACAATAATTTGAACATTATTGGCAATTGATTTACCCTTGAATTGTGATTTAGCCTTTACAAGGTATTCAACACGACTGTGAGCATGAGAATCCATGATACATTCAATCCAAATAAGTGGCTTGACGGTAGTGTTGAGACGGTATGACATGAGTTCAAACTCTCCATCAGGTGGAATGAATGAAATGGTACGATCATTTTCAAACTTGCTCAAACGTACACATTGATGGAATTTAACATCTTCCAATTCAACTCCCTTACCTTTTGGTGCTCCAGCTAAAATAAAATAAATAAATATAAATACTAATGTCTTGATACTACCATTTCTTTAATCTTTTTCCTCTATTTTTTACATACTCTTTGCACTATTTTCAAAAAGGATTTTATCATTTAAACCTAATCTAAGTTCTGGCATACCAGACAACTTTGATTTCATCTTGATGGCACCAACAATCTCTGATCTGAGAACAGTACCATTGGCAGAAACCAAAAGGTTGATGCTTTCAACAACATCAAGGAATACTTCGTTTTTGTTATATTTAATTCCTTCCTTTCTCCATGATACAGCACCAGTAATAGCTGATGGTAACACTGGTCCCTTTACACCACGTTCCAATTTATAACCTTCTTGTGTGATATATCTATAAATTTGAATGAATTGAAAAAGTTAATCTCCAGCCCTCTTGTTCTTATCTATCTAGTTTGATTAATTACTCTTGTAAAATCTTTGGTTCAGTTGATTGTGGATAACCAAAGTCCATCATTTCGTCCATCAACTCGTAAATGACGACAAAGTTGTCACGTATACTTTCTTCTTCCAATTCTTTAAAGTATTCATTGAATACTTCAATCATCTTGTACAAGAAAAGTAATATAGTTGCAGCATTTGCGTTTCTCTCTGTTGTTGCAAGTACTATGCATATTTTGATTTAATATAATGTAATATGATAAAATGATTGTTAGGTTTTATTAATCTATCTTGATGATCAATGAATAGTTTTCAACTTACAATAGAGATTATTATGTTTAACGTAGATATAAGAGATACCATCTTCTTCAATGATTGGTTTCAAATTCATATCTTCTTCTTCCAATAGTTTAGATACAAACTTTGAGGCAACACTCATTGGAACATCACCTCTATAGTTTCTAGAGATGAGGACCTTGCCTTTAGAGTCCATTAAAAAGATAGCTGATGCTGCCATTCTTTAATTCCTTCTTTCTTTCTACACACTCTACTATCTATTTATTGTCGATTGATTGATTGATTGATTGTTCTATTCTATTTTATATATATAAAGGATGAATACAATTTATCTATCTTTCTATCGAAATGAACTAGCTTGCTCTTTATTTAATAAACTTCTTGTGACACTAGTGAAGATTCTCCCAAGTCGAATGAAAAGTTTTTGTTCTTCTTATTTTTTTTTTAAAACTCCCCAACAAATTTCACTCAAGCCCCTCTGATTCAATTGTGCTCACTTGAGTGAAATTTAATAAAGTACACTATCTCACATGTGTACTAAATTATATCACTATAACATCATTTATTTTTGAATATTGTACAATATATGGATAATTTTAGATTACATGGGAAATGACACATCTTATTTTTGTTGAAAATCTTTAGAAAGGATTGATTTACAAAATATTAATGTTTATAGTGGGAATATCAATATCAATATCAATTGTAAATCAATCTTTTCTAAAGATTTTCTTTGTCTACTTGAAAAATAAAATAAATTATATTTAAATAAAAGACCAACAAATTCGTTTGTCCCCCTTTCTCCCTATTGGGAGGGGTCCATTGAAACAAAACATCCAGGGGATACTCCAAAGAGATGAAATTTAATAAAAAAAAATATTTCAATAATTCAAGAAAAAAAAAAAAACTTGTCTAAAAATGGACTTTAGAAAAGATCTTATCCATTCAATTGTTTTTCAATAATTATCGACTATCATTCAACAATAATAATAATAATAATAATAATATTTGTAGGAGAAACAACAACACCCCCTATCTCAATTACCTTTGGACAACACCTTGCTAATATTAATATTATTAAAAATAATAATTATTATTTTAATTATTTTAATTAAAAAATAATAGCTTGCATTGCTTCAAACAAACTAAGAGATCCCCTTTCGTCCACCCCCTCCACCTTCTCCAAGTTTTATATTATTATTATTTTTTGTTTTTTTTTTTGGTTCCACCAATCTTTTCCTTTCATTGTAGTATCAAAGTACCAAACAGATAGATACCAAATTAAAAAAGATAGAGAGACAGAAGTTTATTTATTCACTTTTTAGGAGAAAATATTCAGTCAGAGAAGAAAAGAAAAGAAAACTCTCACCCCATTGTAATAACAGCTGTAATTTAAAATTTGGAAACCAGTCCCAGTCTTGTTGCTCACTGATAAACCAAAATAATAATAATTAGAATAATAATAATATTATAAAAACATTTAGACAGATAGATACAGACAAACATTAACTCTTTAACAAAAAAAAGGTAAGAAAATGTATTGGTATTGAAGTTCCACTCTACACCTACACCGTTTTGGATATTTCTCTTTTTATCGAGAGATATCTTTTCTCCAACCCTGCCTGCCTCTTGGTTAATATCTTTTGATCTCGAAACATTTTTTTTTTCACATCATCCCCTTTTATCCCTCTTCTCTTCTTTTGGAACATCCCGCCAAATTAAATATATAGTAGATAATTATTTGTATTATTAGTCGTATAAACAAACAGTGTGGTGGAATTACTTTACTTTTAGATTAAAATTGTATTATATTATATTGGTTATCTAATCTCTTCCTTCCTCTACTACTACCATCATCTTCATAGTCACACAAATATATAGTAATATATTAGTGGTATCAATATAGATGATTACCAAAGAAGACCAACAACTACAGCTACCACCACCACCACCTTCACCAACAACAACAACAACAGAAGTAGAACAACAACCAGAACAACTAGAACAAGAACAACCAATCAAATCACTTCCAATAGTGAAAAAACAACAAAAGAAAAGAGTATACAAGAAAAAGAACAAAAAGGTATGTAGATAAGCATAAACATAAATAGATAGCCATGACAATTGGCCAATCAACAACACCAAAAAAGATCCAATACACGACGATGACATCAGATGTTATAATCATTCATCATTCATATATTCCAACCAGGAAGGAAGGAAGGAAGGAAGGAAAGAAAGAATAACAACCGCAATTGTGTATCGTTTTGTTTCCATTGATCCACCAATCCAAATCACAAATATGGTTCGGTATTGATGATGTAGATGTGTTTGTGTTTTCAACCACCGCCTGGTTCATTTCGTCATGAATGGCGTTTTAGAAATCAAATCAAGATACAATACAGATCGTATTATCTTATCTTCCTCCCTCCTCTATGAAAAAAGAAGAAGGATTTGATTGACTACTACCACCCCCAAAGAGAGAGATTGATAGATAGGATAGATTGAAAGGAGGATGCATCGAATGAATCTACTAGTTCTTTTTGCCAGCTGGCTGGCTTTCAACCAGCTCCTGCTCTCTTCTGCTTCTATCTTTTGTCACACCCTCTCTTCTTGAAAAGATTGGTCACCATCAATCGTTTTAGGGGCAGTCCTTTTTTTTTTTTTCTCTTAAACACACTCACACACACACAGTACTGTGGTCGTGGTGGTATCAATCGAATCCTTTTACCTACTCTGGTGGGTGCTGTTTTTTTTATTGTTATTCTATCAAAAAAAAACATAACTCTAACTTTGATACGAAAGAAATACTTTTTTGTTTTGTTTCATAATTATTTTTATTTATTTGTTTTTTGTGTTTCAATCAATGTGTCGAATTCTCGAGAATTGTGAATTGAATTAATTAAACATTATATTCTATTTTCTGCACAACCTGTCTCCTTTATATTGCACAATTACATTTTTTACGCAATCACAAACAATTTCATTTTTTCTCTGTGTTTTCAAGCAGCAGCAGAGAGAAAAGAAGAGAGAGAACAACAACAACAAACACCCCCCCACTCCCACCACCACCACCCACACCTCAACCAACAGGCATCGCACACCACAACCAATTCGCTAGAGATACTACTTTATCTCGTTTGATCAATTTTCCTCCTCTTACTCCATCCATCTATCTTCATCTTCTTCTTCTTCCTTGTTCACCAACCCAAAACAAACATCATTATAATTACTGCTACTACTACTATTGTACAAAGTAGGATTTTTTATTTCTTCTCCTTATCAATCAATCAATCAATCGGTCACCTGATAACCTATTAGTAGCTACTTTTAGTGTTGTAATTTAGCATCGCAACAATCATATTATCTATATATATACAATTCATAATACCACACATTATATATATAATTTTGTATCAATATCAATCAAACAACAAACAACAACAACACAGAGAGAGAAGAGAACAAATTTACATTTAGCAAGAGCAGCAAGCAACATACATAGTTTTCTTTAATTCATTTTATGGAAAGGACATTTTAGCATTGTCTCGTCTTCTTCTTCATCCTCTTCCTTCTGCCTTTATACAATAGTCAACCAACCAACCAAACAAACCAAACAAATAGAAAAAGAGAAACCTTTTTGTATAGGTTGATAAGAATTCAATATTTTCTTCTTCTTCTTCTTCTTTTATTGATTGCTGGCTGGTGTGTCTATTAAATTTTATAAACCAACTATACACATAGACATAGACATAGACATAGACATATAGACATACATACATACACCAACCACCTACTACTTTATTTATTTATTAATTATCAATAGGCAACACACTCATCATCTTGTTCTTTTTGTTTTTTTTTTCTTTTTGTATTGTATAACCAACAAACACACCCTCTCACACTTTTTAATTCCATCCAACCCTACCTACCTACCTACCTCTTACCTCTGTTAATATCTTTATAAAACAACAAAAGATTCTTATCTTATATCCATTAAAATATATTACAATAATCATAATAATCATCATATATATATAATATATTAAATAATAATAATAATAATAATAATAATATTGTTATTATATATATTCCTTCCTTTCTGGTTTTTTTTTCCCCAAAAACACACTCACTCACACACACATCAACAAAGAGAGACAAACAATACTAGTACTCATTATTAATAATAATAATAATAATAATAATTTTCTAATTTAAATTATTCTTTTTTTCTTTTTTTTTATTTTTTTTATTATTATTAACAAATATTAATAATAATAATATATTTTCAATCAATCAAAAAAAAAACTACAACTACAACAATGAATAATACACTTTATCAAATGAATGCTGGAATTGCCATTCAACAGCATATACCCCCATCTCAGCAACTGCAACCGGCTCAACAAGTAACCAACCAATATCAATATCAGCAGCAGCTACAACAACAACAGCAACAACAACACCAAACCCAACAGCATCATATAATCCCACCACATTCACCAATTTATCATTCGGCCATACCACAGTATCTACATTACCAACCACAACCACAACTACAACAATACAGCCATCAATATCATCATCAACTACAACAACAACAACCTCAATCAATTTATCAAACACAACAACAACCTGTACATTCACCATATCTAACTGCCGTTTTATCGACATCAAACAACAACACTAACGCATCCAATAATAATCTATCAAATTCATCACAAATGGCAACAAATAATTCAAGAGAGTATGGAGAGAGTACCACTACAACATCGGTGATCCCTCCATCAGTCTCTAGTTGCATGACTCCAACCATGCCATCACAGGTCATGTCACCATTGATTGTTGGAACACCTACCTCGGGAAGCGTCGCCAAGAGAAAATTGGAAGACGACGGAGACTTTAGTCTTCTCAAGGTTCAACCCCTACTTGTATCATCACCCCTCCTCACACCAGTCACCCAATCGCCTGGACTGACCTCTGTCCAATTGGCCTTTCAAAACACAACACTCTCTAACCCCCCGACCCCACTCTCCATGTCGCCTTCGCTGTCACCCTCAATGGCCCCCATGTCGCCATCCAAGAAATCGAAAAATAGCAGATCGACAAGCAAGTCCAAGTGGAGTGAGGGTGAGGGGTCGGGTCGCTGGCCAAAGGTCGGCACCATTGTCAAGGGCCCATGGAAGGATGAGGAAGATGCCAAGCTCATCGAACTTGTAAATAAGAATGGACCTAAAGAATGGTCTACCATAGCCTCAAAGATCCCCGGCCGTATTGGAAAGCAGTGTCGTGAGCGATGGTTCAACCATCTCAGCCCCGACGTGAGAAAGACAAACTGGACACCCGAAGAGGACAGACTCATCATAGAGTCGCACCAAGAGCTCGGCAACAAGTGGACCGCAATATCAAAGCTCTTGGACGGTCGTCCCGCCAATGCGATCAAGAATCACTGGAACTCGACACTCGTCAAGCGAATTGGTGCAGACATTCGGAATCATCCCCCCTCCACCACAAGAGACTCCAAGAGTGGCGATGACGACGATGACGACGACGACGAAGACATTGATACCCAGTCGCCCGCATTGTCACCCATCTCTCTCTACCCACAAGACAACGCACTTGGCAAAAAGAGCCAACTCGCACACCACACAATGGCCAGCAGCACCGACTCCTCGTCGTCTTCCAGCAACTATAATATCCCACCATTTGTCTTGTCAGATTCAATATCAAATTCCGTCCCCATCCAAACTCATGCACAATCCTCTTCATCATTATTACATCAACAACCTCTAACACATCAACAACCATTACAATTACCTCAACAACAACAACCACAACAACAACAACAACAACAAACAGGAACCATTGTGGCACCACAAATTATAAGACTTCAAAATAGTAGCACTACTCCAAGTTCATCAACATCATCGCCACCACCACCAACACAATCCAATAACAACAACAACAACAACAACAACAATTCTTCACAAACAAAGAAACCACTTGATTTGAATTTTCCACAACAACAACACGAACATCACTCTGTGCCACAACAACAACAAACACAATCAAAGGCAGGCTATTACCAAGGAGCAGGAGGAGCCGGAACAACAGGCGGTGACATTACCAACTACCCTCCATCTCATGATCCAACCTCTACGACAAGCAATTATTGGGAAATGACTCCTTCTGGTGAAATGCCAAATCATCAAACTTTATTCACAGCTGATTTCCATGTATTTGAAAATCCTTCTGAATTTTTATTCTTTGGTGGTATGTATAAATCAAAAAGGAAGGAAGTTTTTGGTAAATATTCATATTAATATTTTTGATTATTTTTTATTTTTGTAGATTCAGATCATCAACATTTACAACAACAGCCACAACAACAACAACAACAAAATCAACACCAACAACAAAACCAACAGAATAATATGCCCTTAACCAAAACTGATTTAAACCCACCTCAACATCAAGGTAGTCAACCTTATGACCTCAATAACTTATTCAATAATAATGGCGATATATCTTTATAACTCCTTTAAAACCTTTTCCAGCCACTCTACCAACACCCTAACCTTTTTTCTCAATTAATGCGCAACATTTTCCTTCCCTCTGTAAAAATGTAAATAAAAGTCATATCTTTTCAAAAACAAATCATCGTAGTAGTAAAAGACAACAAAACATTATGTTTATCAATATCATAATTATCCGTGGGAAATATGAGATTCCATTAAAATTGATCCGGGAATTAAATCTAATTAATTCATTTGTTTTTTTTATAAAACAAGCGACCATCCGAAATGCATTAAAGTAGGTTTAAAGCTTTCATTATTCATTTCAAGTTTGCAAAAAAAAGGATGAGAGATAAATTATTGTTATTATCTTTTATATTAACTTTAACTACTATTGTTAAAGCAAGTATTGACTCTTCTTCTGCTGCCTCATATTATACTGCAGCAGTAGTAGACTATGCACCTTCAGAATTTCATATACCACCTCTAAATGCAACAAAGGAGCTTGCCGATGAATATATGCTTTCAAATGTAAAAAACTATGCTAAATACATTGAACAAGCATCAAAGAGTCATGTGGATATTATCGTCTTCCCAGAATATGGTATCATTGGAGGGCAAGGATTCCAAACTAGAGACCAAATATATCCATATCTTGAAGAAATACCAAATGTTATTGATCAAGTAAGATTGAATTTCTAAATAGGATACCCTGCTAAACTTTGTACTTATTTTTTTCCTTTTTAGATTATTCCATGCAAGAATAAATCATATAATGATTATCCTATTACACAATCTCTAAGTTGTTTAGCAAAACAATATAATATGGTAGTAGTAGCTGTTATGGGTGATGTTGTCTATTGTACAAATAGTAGTAGTAGTAGCGATTGTCCAGAAGATGGTAGATTTCAATATAATACACAAGTTGCATTCTCTAATCAAGGTATGGTGATTGGCAAATATCACAAATCCCACTTGTATGGCAATGAGGGACAGGTATTTAATGAACCATCGGTACCTGACATTGTCGTCTTTGATACACACTTTAACGTTACATTTGGCATGATGATATGTTTTGACATTCTTTTCGAGCAACCACAATTAGAGTTGCTTCAAGTAATGGGTGTCAAGAATATCGTCTATTCTACAGAATGGATTAATGCAAACTATGCATATGCACGACAGGTACAACAATATCTTTCCTACTTTGGAGGCGCAAACATTTTAGCGTCCAATGTCGGAACCTATTCGATTACAAGTGGCTCTGGTATATTTTCAAGTGGCACTCCTCTAGTCACAGACTTTAATCCAAATCTAAGTCCAGCAAGCACGATTGCCATTACAAAGGTCCCCATCATAGACAGCTCCACCAACAAAGATAGATCACCTCGCATTATCAAGGATTCGGTTGAAATTCAATCTTTGGCCGCCAAATACAAGATGTCACCCGGTCGTTATACAACCAACATGCAAGGTGTTCCACCCAACTCTTTCAACTCTACCTTTGAAATATTCAAACCAGAGTCTAACCAACAAGAAATAATCTATTCAACAAACAATGGTTTCCAATGTAAATTCTCCTATGAAACCCTCACCATCCCAGGTGACCAATACTTTGCTTTGATTAGCTTTAACAATAATTTTAATACATTTTGGGATGCTCAAATTTGTACCATGGCTGCTTGTTTGGATAATACAACTGCTGGTTGTTCTGCTCTTGTTTTTGATGTAAGAAAAGAATCAAATATATCTTTGACCAAATACTAATTTTCTTTTTTGTTTATAGAGTCAAACCATTTTCACAAATCTAGTCTTTTCTGGTGACTTTGATGAAACTTTATATCATGTAAACGCAATGGTTTATACAACAAATGATAAATCAGATTATTATAGTCAATATGACCAAACAACTTCGACATTTGATATTACTGGTATGAATGAACCTGTAATGTCCATTAGTTTATTTGCACCACAATGGTATCAAGTCAATGAATCCAATTAATAAATTAATATAATAAATAGCTGAATGATAATATCTGATTAGAAAAAAAAATAGTTTGTTTGATGGGCGTAGTTTATTCTTATTATAATCCTCTTATTTTTTTGTTTAGATACGATTATTGTCAATCTCTGAATGAATAGAGTGTGGATTCACATAGATTTGAGGACCAAACCATTTATCCAATCCCATTGGTTGTGGGAAATGAGGTTGCATATTTGGATGGTGATGGAATTGTGTTGGATAGATTGGTTGTTGTGGTTGTTGTTGTTGTTGATGATGTTGGTATTGGTGCATGTATTGTGGTGGTATGTTTTGTTGTTGTTGATGAAGTTGTTGTTGTCTATGTAATTGTTGTTGTTGTTGTAGATGTAATTGCTGTTGTTGATGATGTAATTGTTGTTGGTGATGTAATTGTTGTTGGTGAAGCAATTGTTGTTGTTCATTGTGTTGTTGCTGTTGTAGTAGTTGTTGGTGATGCAACTGGTGGTGTTGTTGTGGTTGTTGTTCAGTGTGTTGTTGTTGTAATTGTTGATTTTGGTTCTCCATTATAACTCTTTGCTTAAACATTAAGAATAAGTCATTTGGTTGCACTTGGGCTTGAGTATCTTGTTGTTGTTGTTGGTGAGACTCGTCAACAAGTCCTCTTGAACTAACCAAAGATGGTGACGAGTATGGATGCTGTTGCTGTTGTTGTTGTTGATGATGATTATTGGTACTTTCCAAGAATGGAGAAACAAAACCTGGTGGAGGTACCAATGCACCCATGTCTCTATGTTGTTGTTGTGGTGGGGCAAATTGTTGTTGTTGTTGTTGTTGTTGTTGTTGTTGTTGTTGTTGTTGTCTGTTATAATTAACTTTGTTATTGTTGACATTCAAGTTATTGATATTACTGTTGTGATATTTCTCTTCTCTCTCTTTGATCTGTTGTTGTTGATAAAAGAGGGTTGGTGGAGAAATGGGTCTTTGTTTTGAAGATGGGGTGGGAGATGTTGACGAAGTGACAGACGATGACGATGTTGACACTGGTGGGGGAGCCCAAGTAGAAAAGGATAGGGTCCCACTCGAAAAGATACTACCAAGAGAGGAGGTGGAAGATGTAGGGGTTGAAAGAGAAGAAGAAGATGAGGGCGTAGTAATAACAGTACTATCAGCATTTACGATAAAGGAAGAGGTGGTAAGGGAACCAAACTCTAATATTTGTTCCTCTTCATCATCCTCTTCTTCTTTATCATGTACCTCCTCTTGCTCCATTTCCTTTGCATTCAAGGAGAATAGAGATTGATCCTTGGAGAGTAGTATATCTGGCTTGACCAATTCAATTTCATCGTGAGAGTTGTTGTTGTGGTTGCCATTGTTGGTATAAAGATGCAATGTCTCCAATAATGCGTCCATCTCTTTGTCCACCACATGTGTTTCATGTATGTATCCTTCAGAGGATGCTGGTGAACTTGTTGGAGAGGTTGATGATTTGATTTGGTCATTTGTTGTTATTGGATGATCATTTTTCAAGTTATTTGATCTCATATTATCGGTACCTTTAAAAGAGGTTGTTGGATTATTATTGTTACTATTATTTAATTGATGGTTATGCTCAAAGGTATTGGTACTATTATTTAAGTTATTATTATTGTTGTTGTTATTATTAGAGTTTGGTGGTTGTTGTTTATATTCAATGAATGGTGAAGAATTTGAACGTTGTGGTGGGTATCTGTTGTTGTTATTATTATTATTATTGTTATAGTTATTTTTATAACCTCCGCTATTATTATGGTTATTGTTGTTATTGTTGTTGTTATTATATGATCTTGAATTATTAAATGCGCTTGGAGGGACAAATTTAAAGGTTTCACTGTTGGATCTTACAAAGTTTTGATTGTTTGTTGCAATTGGTGGTGGTTTTGGAAAATTATTGTTTACTCTAGGAAGAGCACCTGTGCTCTTTCGTAGTTGATATTCTGATTGCAACCCAGGTTGTGATGATTGTCCCATAGGTTGTTGTTGTGCTGATGTTGATGAGGATGATGTTGATTGTAAAGATGACAGTGATGACGATGTTGGTGTTGATGATGAAGATGAGGAAAGTGGTGGTGTTTGTTGAGTATATGAAGAAGGTTTCATTTGAGGTGAAGTTGACCATGGTACATTATTGTTATTCGTTGTTTTTTGAAATCCATTATTGCTATTAAAATTTTGGACGCCATTGGTATATCCGTTATTATTATTATTTTTATACAAATTATTATTATTAGAAGATGATGATGATGATGAAGAAGAAATATTATTATTATTATTATTGTTATTATTATTGGTATTATTATTATTATTTGGTTTTTGGGGTGACGGAAAAGATGAAGATGAAGATGAAGTGTTATTAATGCCTCGACCTGAGGCATTTTGGCTCATTAATGGTGGTGTTTCTGTTGGATTTTTTTTAAAGGTTGGAAAGACAACATTTGCATTTACGTTGACCAATGGTGTGTGCATTTTGCCATTGGAAGGACCACTGCTGCTGCTAATGTTGTCTTTTGTTCCACCTATACCATTATTACTATTATTACTACTACTATTATAGCTTTGTTTATTAACATTGCTTGATGGAGTTGATGTTGTTGCTGTTGTTGTGTTGGTTGTTTTGTTGTGATGATAAAAATCTATAGAGGTGGCATTGGTGGGGTGGTTGTGTGGGTGGGTGAGAAAAAAAAGGTTTCAAGTTAGCCAAAAGGTACATTCAAACATAAATATTTATAACCTATAATCTTTTCGATGGTTCATACCATTTTGTAAAGGTTGTGGCTTAATGTTTATGGACTCCATTTCTTTGTTTTTGTTTTTTTTTTTTAAAGCTTGCTTGTTGTTGTTGATGTAATTATTATGTGAAAAATGAATAAACTTGTTGCAGTTGTTGTTATTATATTGTTATTATTGTTGTTTCTTATATTATTTTTTTAATAAACAAGCTTGTTATTATGTGTGTATATATATATATAGTAGATAATTGATAATGGTAGAGGTGGTAAAAAGTATAAATAATTATAAATTAATAAATTATTTATCTTTTGGTTCGAGTTTTAATCTCTTTGTTCCAAGTGTTGGTATTTGTTGTTTGTTGATTGCTATTGTAATTATAATTTTATTAGTTGTTGGCCCTGTTGTCTATTGTTGTTGTTATTTGTAATTATGTTTGTGTTGAAGGAGTAGGTTAAAAGTAACTGAAATATAGGTTATATGGTATGTATTAAATGTTATTATTGATGTTTGGTATATTATATTTTAAAATGTGTACAAAGAGAGGGAGAGAAGGGAATGATGTAAAAGGACAAAGAGAGATAGAATTTTCTTGAGCTGAATGACAGGAATGATTTAAATAATATGTATTGTTGTTGAGGATGAGGATGAGGAGTAGAGAGAGATAAAAATATCAAGCGATCGCTATATAAAGAATGCTACAAAGTGATAAATAATAAAAGAAAGACACAGTATTATTGAATGTAATGAATGAATGTAATGAGATGAAAAAAGGATGATGGTTTAGTTTGATACTATTTCTTTTATAAAATAATAATGAATGCTAATTGAGATTGAATGAATGAATGAATGGATGGATGGTATGAACGGTATGAATAAATAAATAAACTTTTTATATGAAAGATATTGGGATAGCTGTAATAGTCAAGAATGAAAGAATGACAAACAAGAATGAATTCTTCATAATTGACAACTCCACAACCTCTTGAGTTTTTGTTTTTTTTTTTTTTTATTTTTGATGGTTTGGTGGCCCAATTTTTATAAGATTATCAACGGTTGTGCGCTTCATAAAGAAAAGGATTATTATTGATTTAAATCAATTAGATCATGAATTTGGTTGGAAAGAATTTAAGAGGTTTCGTAAAAAAAAAAAAAAGGTATATATTTATATTTTTAATTTAATTAATTAATCCTTATTATTAATTATTATTTTTAGTAGTAGTAAATTTTGGTTTTGGTTTTGAGGGTAGTAATGGTAAATGGTTGGGGATATTTGGTCAAGTTGGTTGTTGGTTGTTTGGTTGTTTGATTAATAATACTATAGGTATTCTTTTTTTTTGTGGTTTTTTTTCTTTTTCTTTGTTTTTGTTTTTGTTTTGTTTTATAGTTTTTGTTATTTGTTTTTAAAAAAGTATTTTTTTCTTTCTTTCTTCTTCATCTTCTTCTTGTTACTATTCTTTTTCCTTCTTTTTAATTAATATAACCAGAAATTTGAGATTTATAAATTAAAGAAAGGAAACGAGAACCTAAACAAGGGGTAGAGATACCAAGAGCTTGAGCCTCGCCGGCGATCAAATCCTTGACAGAGAGGTATTTGCTGTTGTTGACTTGGAATTTACCACCTGGACGATGGATACGTTGATGCGAGATGACACCATTCTTGGAGACCTTTGAGATGGTGTAGGCACCTGGCTCACTGGTCGAGAAACGCACCAAAAAGGTACCTTCTGGCTTCTTGTGCAAACGATTTTCCGACTCACTGGTGGAAATGTCACCGTGGAACCAGGCACACTCCATCAAGTTGCGAATCTTGTCGAGGATTTGCGAGCCGTCGTCACGGAGATTGCCAAACCAAGCCAAGACCTTTCCAAACTGCTCCATCGAGACAACCTCTTCCTCTTGCGGTCCGACACCCTTTGGTGGCGAGACAATGATGGCCTTGAGGCACTTAAAGTTGAGTTCGATGGTAGAGCCAACGAGGTTGGGTGAGAAACAGAGTAAATCGTACATGGTGGAGGTGTTTTGGTTGGTGAGTCCGACAAAGTTGGCAAATACATTGACAAAGTCTTTCCATGGAGCATCGTCAATGTGCTTAAAGTGGTTCTTCCACATGATGGCTCCGTATTCATCGGGAATGCTGCAGTCGATGATGATCGACTCTAGCGACGACACAATCTCTGAGAAGCCTGGACGCACCTCTGGGGCTGGGTCCCAACAGTTCTTGATCAACTCTTTGAGTGCTGCGGGACAGTCGTCGGGGATGGGTGGACGTACCTGCTTTTCGCAGATTGCCGTTACAAACTTGTAAAAGTTATCAAACTCTGGGAACAACTCCTTTCTTGTATAAATTTGCCACAATACCAATCCAAAACTATAAACATCTGCCTTTTCATTGAAAAGTTTACCTTGAAGTACTTCTGGTGCCATCCATAATGGTGTCTAAAAAATAAAAAAAAAACAAATAGGAATCAAATATTATTAGTTATTTGTGTTTTGTTTTGTTTGGTTTGGTTTGGTTTGGTTTGTTGTTGTTACTTACACCTTTAGCACCATCTTGACCATCTTTCAAATTTTCACCTCTTTGTTTAATTTGTGATAAACCAAAATCACAAACCTTTAATGTTAGATTTGAATCAACTAAAAGATTACTTGTCTAATAATAGTATATATAATTTGAAATTAGTTTCTTGATATTCTTTCTTCTTCTTTTCTATTCCTTCTCTTCTTCTTCTCTCTTCTTTATCATCTTGTTCTTTTTTATATTTATATATAACTAACCTTTAAATCTCTATGAATGAAAACTGGATTTGAACTATGTAACCATAATACACCCAAAGCAGCATCCTTGGACATTCTCATACGAGTAATGAGTGGAAGCTTAATGTTATGATCCATCAATAATGTTTCGAGATTACCTCTCATCAATTCAGTACAAATCATAAGTTTACCTGGAACAGAAGTACAGGCACTTGATTGAGAGAATAGATAAAGGATATGTGATCACATATATTGAAAGTTATATAGTTTGTTAGATTCTAATACCTAATTGTTGATGATATAATATATATACATACCCCAAGAAAAGTACAATATTTGGATGGAAGATCTTGCTCATGATAGCAACTTCCTTACGGAAATCTTTCAAAGTCTTTTCATCTACTTGTTTTAACATAACCTTGACTAATTATTTCGAAAGATATGCGTAAAGAGAGTTAGTTATCTATATCTATATCTACCTCTTTCTTTCATTCTTATTTCTATACCCACCAGCTACATCTTTTTGTCTACATCTTCCTTTGTAGACAGTACCAAAACTACCGTCACCAAGGATCGACTCTGTGATGATTTCGTCGGGACCTATTTCTGGTGGTCCCAACATGTTATCTGCTGTCTGCATATATGATGGATTTTGCATTTGTGGTTGTTGTTGTTGAGAGGAGTAGTATGGTTGTTGTTCGTCTTTTCTTCTCTTTGTGTTACTGCTCATTCTTTTTATCAAACAAGTAAGTAGATTGTTGTTGTGTGTTGGTGAATGTAGATGGAATGGAGCAACTCGTAGTAGAATATGTTATATGCTCTTTTAGGGGTGTTGTTACTGTATGTGTATATAGTATAGTATATATATAGGTGGTAGCTAAACAACAATCTATAATCAAAACAAACTATCTAATTGAATGATGATGATGTCTGTTTGTTTGTTTGTCTGTGTTGTATACAGAGAGAGAGTTGCTACCAACTGGTGAAAAATGTGTCGACTTGGAGATATATATATATATTATAATTATATATATCTATCTATCTTTAAAGGAGATGGAGTATAGGGAGTAAGTGAGTGAGTGGTGGGAAGAAGAGCGACGTTTCTGTGAGATTCACCTTCTCCTCTGTAAAAACTTTTGGATGGACAACAAGAAGCCAAGTTTTTAAAAAAAAAATGAATAAATAAAAAAACGTCCAAAGGTTTGAGGTTTGGTCGTTATTACAAAAGATCCCCTTTTTGGATGTTCAGTAGACAGCAGAGCAGGAGGTCATACATATGTATGTTAACATGTCTCACACTGGGTATTTATCATAGAATGAATGAATCAATGAATGTTGTTATCCTTCAACACAAACAAATCACATGACATATATAGGGTCTCAAGTTTAAAAAAAAAAAAAGATAGTTTATTCCATCAACATCCTCATCATCAATCAATCCACCATGTTTTCTCAAGCATGGATTCCAAAGGACGTAAACATCTTAAAAGATGGTCAGGTGGAGGTGGAATGAACTGAGGCTGAGGAGAGGGAGGACACGATGGCAGAAGGTGACGAGAGGATGAGAACTTCCATCTTTTTTTTTTTTTTTTTTTTTTTTTTCAAATTTTTTTTTTTGTTGAGAGGAGGAACATCCTCTTCTATATCTTCAAGTTTTCTTTCTATTGAAATTTTATTATTGATTAATCAACATTAATAGAAAGGTATTACATTATTACAACAGCACAGATCAAAGTCTACATTTAGTGAAATCATGATAGAAGAGTGGAAAAAGAGGAGATGATGATGATGATGATAGATGGATCGTTATTCTTTCATCATTTTGTTTTTCTCTCACTCTTTCTTCTTTTCATATTATTATTATTATTATACCCATTTGATATTCATATTATTTACTCTTTCTTCTTTTTTTTTTAAAATACTCTTTCTTCTTATTCTTCTACTTCCTTACTTGCTTCCTTACTTTTAATTTAGATGTCAAAACAAAAGATTACAATGACTTTTGGATCTGGTAAGGAGAGTACCTTACCAAGCGCTCCACGTAGCACCTATGAGGACGAGCAACAACAACAACAAGGCGGCAACACCTTTTCACCAAATGGTGGAGGTGGTGGCTACCGTCGTCCATACGGAAGCGACAGAGACAATGGTCCACGTGGGTACGGTGAGAACCGTTTCGAGCGTGACGGTCCATCATCGTCGACCTTTTCCTCTTCTTCATCGGGTGGTGCCAACAAGAAGCCACCCACTGAAGACGACTTCCCAGCTTTGGGTGGTCTCTCTGTCTCCAAGCCAAAGAAGGAGCGTACCCCACAACCAACCAGACGTGAGGGTGGTTCCGATCCATTCGGCGGTGCCAAGCCACGTGGTGACTCTGAGAACCGTGGTGATGAAGAAAAGAGAGAAGGTGGTGATGACTCTTCAAGAGGTAGCGAGGAACGTGACCAAGAACAAGCTCCACGTGGAGGAGAAGACAGATACGATGACAGACGTGGTGGAGGCGATCGTTATGAAGACAGACGTGGTGGTGGTGGCGACCGTTACAACGACAGACGTGGTGGAGGTGAACAACAATACGACTCTCGTTTCAAGGATGGTGTCAACCCATTCGGCAGCAACAGAAGAAACTATGGTGGCGATCGTGACCGTGGATACAACAGTGGAGGTGGCAGCAGCTTTGGTGGTGGTGACCGTGACAACAGAGACCGTGGTTATGGCGGTGGTGGTGGCGGTTATGACCGTGACAACAGAGACCGTGGATATGGCGGCGGTGGTGGTGGCGGTTATGACCGTGACAACAGAGACCGTGGATATGGTGGCGGTGGTGGTGGTTACGACCGTGACAACAGAGACCGTGGATACGGAGGTGACAGAGGTGGATACAGACCACAATACGAGGACAGACCCCCACAACAAAGCAAGGTCGATCAACTCGACAGCTGGAGAAGCGGTCCACCAGTAGAGACCAACGTCTTTAACAAGAAGTCATCGAGTGGTCCAAGACGTGACTTTGACGACAACAGACAAGGTGGAGGTCGTGGTTACGACAACAGAGAGCGTGGCAACTATGGTGGTGACCGTGGCAACTACTCAAGAGGTGGTGACAGAGACAACTACCAAGGTCCACGTGGTGGCGATAACACCCAACAACCACCAAAAGAAGAAAGAGAAAGATCACCTGCCAGAGAGTAAACAAACCAACAAACCAACAAAATCAACAAAAGAATAATTCAACCAATTTTAATCGCGCAATGATTGAAATTGTACTCACTCACTTGCCAACATAATCATTATCCACTCATCTATAAAACCTACCATTTCTTATTCGTCATGTGTATCAAATAGATGCACCCCCTTTTTTTTTAAAATCAAAAACACAAACTAGTTAGTCAAATCTTCTTTATTTTTAATAATACTTTTTTTTTTTTTTTTCCCTTTAAAATTAAAACAAATGAGTGTATATAAATGTTTAATAATAATAATAATAATATATGAATTTTAAATAAATAAATTAATCTATTTGGTATAATAATAATAATAATAGTAATTAATGAGTCATCCAAATGTGGAAAATTATTCAAAAAAAAATTGTGAAACTTTGAAGTGATAGTATTAAATTAATCTTTGTTTCGTTTTACTTTATTGTTTATCAAACATATAATATAAGAAGAATAATCTCTAGAGATATATTAATATACAGTTGAACAACAGGAGTCCTTTTATCAATATAATCATTATCATATATGTATCATCCTTATAATAATCAACAACAACAAACCAATACAACAATGTATGGGGGAGGAGGATATGGAGGTGCATCATCAATACCCTCATCCTCTTCTTCATCATCATCATCATCATCATCAACATCAATTGATGAACTATACAAGAATGCAAATAAATTACTATTTACAATCAAAAGTGATTTGGAGAAAATGGAGACTGGTGTAGACACATCGGTCATTATACAAGGACAATTATCAACAAATATCAATCAACTCTCTAGAATAACAGATCAATTGGATGGAATGGTATCATCAGAATCGGCTGCTAAAAGAGACATTTGGAGAATGTAAATATATAACAAACGAATCATTCTATTTTTGATCTAACCTTTTTTTAATTCTCTATTTATAGTAAGGTTAAACAAATGGTTGATGAATGTAAATCATTAAGAAAATCAATGGATGTATTTTTACAACACAAATATAAGAAACAAATGGAAGATGAGGAAAGATCAAAATTATTCTCTCGAAGAAAGGATGCTCAAGGATCAACTCTTGGCAATTTAATCAAAGAAAATCAATTATTGGGCGATAGTAACCAAGTAGTAGATGAATTAACTGAACAAGGTGCAAATATTATCTTTGCTTTAGTTGGTCAAAATTCAAAATTAAAGGTATGAAGAAGAAGAAGAAGAAGGAAAAAATCGATTGTTCTTGGATCAACTTGGATTAGTACTAATCCAACCAACCATCTTTATTTAGAATGTTCATAAAAAAATATATGATATTGCAAATACATTGGGAATTTCAAGGAGTGTAATGAATAAGATTAGAAGAAGACAAATGGAAGATAAAATTATTGTATATAGCGGAATGATTTTAATCTTGATATTCATCGGCATTCTTTGGTATTTCTTTAGATAGTCGAATAAACTACTACTTCAATTGGTATTGGAAAACATTAATTTAATATGGAAATATATTATTATTTCCATACATGTGTATATTTTTGGTTTGTTCTAAAAATATATATAGGCCAAAAAAATTTTCGGATCTCTCTCTCTATATTATTAGTGTCTAGACAGATTATTATTTATTTCCACTACTTGGAAAAGATGATTGGTAAAAGTCTGGATCAGAGTCACTATCGCTATCACTATCTTCTTGGTTGGTTATATTTATAATTGTATCGGTTTGTTTTTCATGTGATGATGATCCAGATGCCTGGTTATTATTATTATTAGTTGATGATTCTTCGGTATTATTATTATTATTTCTATTTAATGATGACGCCGATATAGGTGGAATGATTTGATTTTGATTTTGATTTTGATTATTATTATTATTTATATTATTTACATGGATATTATTATTGTTTGGAGTTGATTGACAAGTACTACCTGTACTTGTAAGTGATTTTGTAGAGGTGGGAGAAATGGTAGATGTACTGATAGAAGTTGCGCTGCTAGAGAATGGTGGAGAGATATTTGATTGATAGGGAGATGATGTTTGAACCAGAATCTCAATCTTTAAAAATCCATTGCTCATTGGATTCAACCATGATATGCCTTTGTTATTATATACAGTCTTGTTTTGTTCTTGTATGAATTTGGTAATCTTGTGTACACACTAAATAATAATAATAATAGATTAATATGTATGACATAATGACCAGTAGTCTTTTAATGTTGTATAACTTGTTGTTATCTTACTTTTGAATATTTATCCTTATACCATAAAAAGATTGAAAAGAATGTAAGACAACCTATACATTCTTCATAGACACTACGAGCATCAATGTCTTCTGCTCTTGCCAACAACTTGTTAATATTATCTATTGTATAGTTGAATTCACCCTGTGTCACCTTGCCCGTCAATTCATTGGGTAGTTCTCTTTCAAACCTAGTTATATACTCTTTGTAATCTCTTTGTACTGTCACTGTCATATAGTTGTTACTATTCATACTAGCAGTAGTTGGCGGTGGTGGTGGTGATGTATGTAAATGGGGTTGTCCTGACATTTGATTGATTTATATAAATCTCTCTCTTTCTCTCTTAAGAGTTAGCTTTTGTCTCTATGCTCTTTGTCATGCCCATTCGGTTCATATTATGTCTTTTTTAAATTAATTTTGCTGTTTTTTTTTTCCCAACCAGGGATCTATATTTAGAAGAAGTTCCATATTCCGATCATAAACCAATGAGTTTGGATAATGAAATGCTAAAAGAGTTGTTGATGAGTAGTTGGGTACCAAATATTTATAACATCAGATCAGAGCTCATTAACAAATTCTGTCTATGAATTGGTAGTTCCTAGTAACCATACACTTTCAAACGATACCAAAATCACAGCCAACGTTTCATTTTCTAACCAACCAAAATATACCATATGGTTTTGTGTACACAAAACCTAACCATCAATTCAAACACTCCTCATTAACCAAACTCAATTGGATTCTGAACAATCAGTCGTCGTGATTGGAATCACACTTGACAAAAGAAATTAATATCTACAAAAAAATAATTTATTACTCAAAATTATTTAATTTCCAATTTGTGCGGGTTCGAGGGCTCTTTATCATTCTTTACCATGATGGTATAGGAATTGTAATCGTCAGAATATAAAACATACCAAACATGGTCCTTTCCAAAAGAAGGAAGAACAAAACAATCGATGAACGATGAAGCAGAAAAGCAAAACTCCATGAGCCAGGCCGATTCGTTAAGACGCTTATCACTAAAATAGGTATTGGATTTTAATTAAATAAATGAATACAGTTGTGTATTGTTAATATAGATAGATATTAGACAAACAATGGAGGGTCAATCAAATAGCGATCCTCCATCACCAACACTTGCACCCATTGTAGTGAATGACAAAAAAAACAATTGATACTTACATTGATTGAAAGGTTATCAATTTCGATGAATGGTTTGATTGGCTTTGAACTTTTTTGAAAGTTGGAATAAAGAGTGACAGGTCCAGTGTTGGATATCAGCTCGTTTGCCGTCCCAATTGGCAGCTCCTTTTCTTCCAATCAAAGCATATGAGCTTGATGGTGTGATATCATATGCAAATTCTGATCCAATGCTTTCTAGAGAGGTCATCAGATCTGACGACATTGTGATGTTTGGTCCAGCAGAGTTGAGTACTGAACACACAACAACCAAAGATCCAACTGAGATTTTGTCAACAATATCATTAACCATGTCTTGTGATCCATCAGTGGTAGTAATATTATAGTTTTTGATAAAGTAAATGTCCATCGACTTCACTGATAGCACATACCACAAAACCATTGACCAATGGACCTTCCAGAGCTATTGATACACCACCAACATAAATGTAAAATAATGACTCCATTCCAACAGGTAAATTACTTTGGTTTGATGACATAATAGAGATATTGATTTCATCTGCAACTTGATAGGTATTGTCATCACCATCTTCACTGTCATTGATATGGATAAAAGAAGATGTTGATGGTGAATTATAGAGCCTATTCTTTTGATCATATACCAACAATCGTTTGAGACACTGGAAGTGTATTGAGAAATGAATTTGCTTCCAACCTTTCTCAGACTTGAGATGGCGTTTTGATGTAAATTTGTCTTGGCATTGAATCCTTGAGCAAACACCATGATTAAAGTATGGTTGGCAAGTGAATCGATGAATCTTGATAGAGATTCTGATGAATTGGAGTAGAGATCGTTAGTAGGAAAGCTATACACCTTAAGGTGGATATCTCACGAGCCCATTTAGTTTGAAAACCATAACATTAATTCCATTGGCAAGACCCCTAAGCCTACTGTTTGCCAAAAAATGGTTTAAAAAAATGGTTGGAGTTCCAGTTGTTGAATTAAATGAAGTCTTGATCCAGTTTGTTGAAATATTTCGATTGAATGTCATTACACCCTCTACCCCAAACTTCATTGATGGCAGAGTTTCCAAATGCTTCATTGGCCATCCCTGGAGATAAACTATCCAAACAATAGTTTGGATTGGTTGTTCCAACCATAGATATCTTTGATGATCCCAATGAAGAGAATGCTCTACAAAGAGCTGAACTCGGTAGAGATCAAGCCATCGATATCATTGAACGAGAAGTGTGAGAAGGTAAACAGTTTTGTATATGGAGATATAGGATAAACCCATATGTTGAAACCTTCACCTGGGTTATCCCATTTTAGACCACCGAATGTAAAAGAGGAAGTAGAAGGGGTCCTAGATACGATCTTGATAGCCATGAATCAATTAGTATCTATTTAAAGTACAAATGAGTATTTATTCTATTCTAAGCAATCTATACAAGAGAATATTACCTGTTGTAAATTATATAGAGATATCACAAAATATAATGGTGATAGAAAAAAACGAAACTAAACACACAGCCGACATAATATGTCTTTTTTAAATTAATTTTGCTGTTTTTTTTTTTTCCAACCAGGGATCTAAAAGAAGTTCCATACCGATCGGAATATCTTTCCTATACAAAAGAATTTATGATCGGATAATATATTTTGATTTATAAATCAAAGATAATTACTTCGAATGATGTTCATTGCAATAATTTTCAAAAAAGAGAGGTTGCACCAAGTGAAGGTGTTATTTTATATGTTTCTCGCTCTTCCATTGAGCTACAATGCCTAACATGTTCAGCATTGATCGGAATCGAACCGGTAACCGAGAAATTCGAATAATTTGAAGTATCACTCTACTGTATGGCTCTCCAACCATTTCATTGTCATTGTTTCGCTTTGTACCAATGAAACAAGAGAAAATGAAAGGAATAGCTCTGTATTGGAGTAGAGCGGTATTAGTGTGTTCCACTACTCTATGGCATTTTTGTCAACACCGTTACTCTTTGTTTAAAATAAATTTGGGAAAATAGATGGATACTTTTACCCCATCTTACACCAAAACAAAAATCGGGATCATGATTTTTATTGGATTTCATTCTTTGTTTTGTTGCAATCGAGAGATTCTAGAATCATTTGGAGTTAGCTATACTGTATAACACCCCGACAAATTCATTGTACAATTGGTTCCAATAATCGATAAATCAACCATAACACATAGTAATGAATCTGTTTTTTTAAAAAAATATTTATTTATTTATTTATTATTTATTCATCATCGGTATCGTCGACACGATGATTTAAACCTTCACTTTTAATATATAGTTGAGCGACAAGGGTGAGAATCATCTTTGGTCGAACTTGAACGATATCCTCCCACACCAAAAATATACAACAATCGAGTTTACGAGCCACATTGATGATGTATTGAGCGTTTGCCTTCTTTTCGTCGTCGGTTTCTCCCTGATGGACGATCGAATAATTTACACAGCCTTGACACACGCTCTCCAAAAGATCGATGAGGAACATGCCACTACCGATAGAAGTGTCCTTAAAGTTGTTGATGCCGCTTGCTTTGCCTATGGTTGTTACCTTTTGATTTGCCCACTTGATGATATCGGCCTCGGTCATCTCATTGGACCCGCCAACACCCCGACTTGCTCCACTGCCGCTCGGACCCCATAGGCTTTGGAGAATTGATAAAAGATGATATTTACAAGCTTGCCAGATCAATCCCAATGTCAGCTTCAATTGACCATCGTTGATATCCTTGCCTCCGACATTGACCATCGAGAAATTAAATTGTCTTGCCAAACTAATTGCATAATTACAATTTTCTAATTCCTTGTATGCATTGTTTGGATTTTGATTTACTTTTTGCCAATTTACACTACCTGGTTTAATTTTATCAAACATCTTTTAAAAAAAAACAAAAAATAAAATAAAACAATTAATTATTATTATTATCCTTTTAAATATACTTATATAATTAACATACTTGTAATAGAATTAAACCATCTTGAAGATCTTGTTGTAAATTATTAACATAGGGATTGACATCGAGTGAATTGAGCCACATACAAAAGGCTCTTTCTTCTCTGGTGCCATCAACATCGACCAAAATAGATTTGACTTCTTGGACAACCTTTGTAATGGATGTTGCTTCCTTTCCATCATTGGATTCCTGTGAAATAATAAGTGATGAAACACCTTTTGGTGAAATAAATAAACTTGTTACATATAATAATGCTAATTTGGTATTTTTCTATAAAAATAAAATAAAAAAGGTTAGACTACTTTGTACTTTGATCAACAAGCAAGATATATATAATCTTTCTTACGTTTAAAAATGAATGAATTGATAACCAAGGGAAAATATCAAATCTATTTGTTGATTCATTGATGATCCATTCATATATGCCTGTTTGATCGGTGGTGGTGGTTGGAGCAACCAACTCCTTGTCTAGTGAACATAAGAGTTTGGTGGTATTGATGTCATGGAGAACCAAGTCTTCGACAGTTCCTTGTACTTTGGCTTTGATGACCATTGATCGACGCAGATTAGTGTTGTTTTGGGTGCAATTGCTATCGAGATTATAGATAACCCATCGCTGTAGTAGTTGGGGTGTAGAAAGTGCCAAAAAGTGTTTGACCTCTTCATCGGGTGTTTTGAGGAGCAAGAGGTTGGGATAGTTGACGACGGTGATGGGTGCCATGATTTGGACACGAACCAACTCGTAGATGAGCGATAGTGCGAGCAATGGGTCATCACGCAACGTTTGTGGGGTCATCTTTTGTCCGGGTAAAAACTTGCAGCCAATGGCACGAGCAGAGTTGGTGACAAGATTAAAGTTTTGGTCAACCTCCATTTGATTCTTTGGCTTTTGGTTGACGACACGGTCATCGATGGTTCCCTCTCTCGCAAAATTGACCAATTCACACAATAAAACACCGTCATAGATGGAACATAGAATATGTTTGGAGAGGTCGAGTGGGAAGATATGGTCGAGATAGTCACCGTGTGGTTTGAGCTTTTGGTTGATATACGAGAGAAGAGCTGGTTCTTCGGGACACTCGTAATTCTTTACCATGTCGACGGCTGGTACAACAAGGGTATTCTCCAATTCCTTCTTCGCCTCCTTTTGCTCTTTCTTTTGTTGAACTAGTTTGATCATGTCGGTCAACTGCAACGACAACTCTTTGACAGACTTGTGCTTTCTCGTTTTGTTCTCCAATCGAAGTTGCAACTCTTTGATTTGTTCCTTGAGTTGAAGGTTCTCGGTGGTGAGAGACTCTGTGTTTTCCTTTTCATTTTCCAAGTCGACAATGAGTTGGTTGGCCTTTTCTTTCCAGTGTTGTAAATCAACCTTGACCTTGTCCTGTAGCTCTTTATCCTTTTGTACCTTTTCTAGAATCATGGCAATCATATCAATGAGTGATTGAATACGTTGGTTGGCTTGATCGATTGATTGTTGGAATTGTTGGTTGGTTGCGTCGATCGATTGTAAAATAGTCTGGTTGGCTTGTTCGACAATAGAGTTGACTTGATCTTTGCTGTCTTGTAATTGTTCGTTTTGAGATTGCAATGATTTTAGTTGTGATGTCAATGCATTGATCGAAACAATATGTTCTGCCAACAAACAATTCTTTTTGTTATTGGCTTCTTCTACATCACTTCTTAATTGTTGAATAATATTATCCTTTTCACTGTCAGACGAAGATAATTGTTTAACCTTGTTTTCAATCTCTTCCTTTAATTCTTGAATTGTCTTTTCCAATGATCGATTTTCTTTTTCCAATTCTTTCAACTTTGATCTCAACTTTGATCTCAATTCTTGATTATCCTTTTGTGATTGATCAAATGATAATTGTAATTGTTGATTATCTTTTTGTGATTGTTCTAAAGATTGTTGCAATTGTTGTTTATCATTTACCAAGTTATTATTATCATCCTTTAATTCTTTGTTGTCTTTTTGTGATTGATCCAAAGATTGTTGTAATTGTTGCTTTTCCTTTTCCAATTCTTCCAATCTTGATTTTAATTCTTGGTTATCCTTTTGAGATTGGTCAAATGATTGTTTTAATTCTTGATTATCTTTTTGTGATTGTTCCAATGATAATTGTAATTGTTGTTTTTCCTTTTCCAAATCCTCTGATTTTGATTTCAATTGTTGATTATCCTTTTGTGATTGATCAAAAGATTGTTGTAATTGTTGTTTATCATTTACCAAATTATTATTATCATCCTTTAATTGTTGATTATCTTTTTGTGATTGATCCAAGAGATTGTTGTAATTGTTGTTTATCATTTACCAAGTTATTATTATCATCCTTTAATTCTTTGTTATCAATTTGTGATTGATCCAAAGATTGTTGCAATTGTTGTTTATCATTTGTCAAATTACTATTATCCAAAGATAACTTTTCATTATCCTTCTTTGATTGATCCAACAATTCTTTTTCCTTTTCCAATGATTGTTGTAATTGTTGTTTATCATTTACCAAATTATTATTATCATCCTTTAATTGTTGATTATCATTTTTAGATTGATCCAATGACAGTTGTAATTGCTGTTTATCACTTGTCAAATTATTATTATCATTTGTCAAATTATTATTATTGTCTTTTAATTTTTCATTATCCTTTTGTGATTGATCCAAAGATTGTTGTAATTGATGACTTTTTTGTTGGAATGATAAACTTTCTTGAATTGATAATATATTTTCTTTTTTTAATCTTTCAATTTCCTCTTGCAATTGTAAATGATCTTTTGATTGTTGTTGAATACCATCATTCATATCAGATGTAATCTTTTCAATTGTAGATTGGAGTACTTTGATTTGAGTGTTTAACTTTTCAATGGTTTCTTGGTGACTGATCTTTAGTTGATCAATCTCGTTTTTCGATCTTTGGTTTTCTTGTTGTTCTAGAATGATAGTGTCTTTTAAAGTTTCCACTTCACTCTTTAACGAATTACTTTCAATGAGCATTGATTCAATGGTTGATTCAAGTTGCTTTTGTTTTTGTTGGAGTTGTTGAATTTCAGATACAAGTTGTTCGATGGATTGGACGAGTTGAAGTTTTTCTTGTTCGAGTGATTGTAAAATCTTTTTGGATTGATCTTTTTCATCTTGTAGTGTCCTGTCAAAGTTACTCTTTTCATTTGAAAGTTGTTCGAGTAAATTGTCCAAGTCACCAAGTAGAGCCAATTCTCTTTGTTGAGTATCACTCAACTCTTTCTTTTCTTGTACGAGTGCTTCCTCTAAACTCTTTTTATCTTGCAACAATGCATCCAATTCCTTTTTAAGTGATTCCTTTTCACTGGTCAACTCCTCACCCAAACGATTCAACTTGTCTTGTAATTCTTGGATAGATTGTGACCGTTTCTCCAGTTGATGTTTGAGTGATTCAATCTCGAATGCATTTGAAAGTTGCATTTGATCCATTTCAACAATTTGTTTTTCATATTGTTGACGAACACGATCTAATTCACTTTGGTCAACGATCTGACCACTACTCTTTAATTCATCGGCCATTGACATAAACTCATTATTGTGACGTGGTGTCTTTAGCATATCAATATCTTCCTCTAGCTTTTGATTGATCAATTTGGCTTCACCCAAATTAAATTCCAAGTTATTGATCACCTTTTTCAAAGTTTCCACTTGGCTTCCCAATTCATCAATCGTTCCATTATCTCCTTCTAATCTCTTTTTATCATATTTTGTATATTTATGAATTGATACAATACATATTAACTAAAATATAAAATAGAAAGTATTAATATTAATATTTAAAATAATATGTATATATTTGTCTATTTACCATATATAAAGCAGTTTGAGGATCTTGAGGTTTATCATCAGTTGATTCAAAAGATTCATTTAGAGATAATATATTATTTGCAAGGATTCTATTTTGTTCGTCATTGTTGGCTTCATTTTCCAAAAAATTGACAAGTGTTGTAATGAGCGACATATCATTGTTATTGTAAACGATTGCTTCGAGACGACCCAACATGATCTTTGCATCGGATAGTACACGAAGATTGGTTATTCTTGGAGTAGAATTGATGAGTTCTTCATTTCTCAATAGGTCGTTGAATGCCGATCTGAGGAATACTTCAGGTTCTGCCAATGCCAAGGCAGAGCCACTGCTGCTTTCTTCCAACTCTGAAATACGTGCACGTAATTCTCTGTTTTTAGTTCGAGCATCTTTCATCTTGTTTTTGAGTACTTCGAAATCCTTTAGATCGACCTTTTCCTTTAGTGCCAATTGAAGATCTGCAACCGATCCAGAAAGCACTTCATTCTGCGATGCAAGACGATCACGATTCTTTTTCAATTTGTCCTCGGCGGCTTGCAATTGGTCGACACTTATTTTGAGATTCTCAATTTCTTCCTTTTGTTGATTGATGGTACGTGATCGCATGGGAGTGTATTCATTGCGCAGCCAATTGTGTTGTTGTGTTATCTTTTCCTCGAGATGAGACTCTTTTTCAATGAGTGCTGCATTTTCCATCGATGCACTATCGACCTTGCTGCCAAGCATCAGGATTTCAGTCTTTAATCGACCATTTTCATCTGTGATTTGGTCCATTGCCTCGAGACGTTTCTGTTGCTCGCCCTCTTTTGACTTTGTCTGTGTCAACTCGTCTTCCAACTCTTGGATACGATCCAACAATCTTTGACCAATCTCTGCGGCCACACGAGTATCCTCCTCCTTTTCAAATAGTAGTTTTTCAGTTTGCTCCAATTTGACCTTGGCATCGACCTTGAATTGCATAGTATAGGATTTGTTTTTAAGTGGTGTTGGAGTGTATGAAGCCAATCCTCCACGGTCTTTGGTGATACTCGATATACTCTTGGTACGACGTACACTACCGCGTGGATCATAAAAGTCGGTTGCATTGTCGGCCGGTGATGTTGGTATACTATCAGTATCATTACTGAATCTAACTTGTCTAGGTGTAGTAGTAGAAGTAGAAGGTGGGATATCACTACTACTCTTTGCAAGTGGTTTGGATAGATCTTCAAATGAAGTAGTAGGTGAATTTGAAAATGATATAATAGTACCACCTTGATTAAAACTAATATTTGGCAGTGGTGATGATGGTGTTGCCAAATATCCTTGATGACTATTATTATTACTATTATTAATTGGTGTCGCACTTGTCCATGATGATGCCGTCGTCGTCGATGTCGTTGATGTAGTTGTAGGTGTATTATTATTATTATTATTATTATTATTATTATTATTGATTAATTGTTTTTTAATAGAGAAATCAATTGAATCTGGAGATTGGGGTGATAATGCAGTTGCTGCAATAGTACCGCTCTTTTTACGCACTTGTTTGTTACCATCGGCATCTTTTGAGATTGGAATGAGTGATTTAGGTGATGGTTTCTTTTTCTTGTCAGAAGAGGAGGAGGAGGAGGTAGAGGAGGATGAGGTGGTAGTTGCAGAGGAAGATAAAGTCCCTTCATCTGATAGATTATGTTTAGACTTTATAGAAGTGTATATGAAAAGTGGTTCAAAGTCTTGTTGTATTGTCTTTCTCTTTAATCTAAGATAGGCAGTTTCCTTTTGATAGTGTTCAAGTTGCAACGTTTTCTTTTCCTCTTTGCTCATTGGTGATGCAGCAGGATTATTCAACTCGGTCTTGAATTCTTGTAATCTTGTCTTTCTAATTGCATGGTATTGTATAAGATTATAATAATGTTCATTAAACCATTCTTTCATTATTTCACTCTTATTATTATTATTATCATTAGATGTGGATAATGCACTACTATTTTGTTGTTCATCACCTTCATCTTGTTGTTGTTGTTGTTGTTGATCATGGATGTTATCATCACTAAACAGGGTGATACCTGTAAATAATGACATATCCATGTTTGTGTTTGTCTATGTCTTTATTATCCTTTCGATCTCTCTCTCTATTTATATATATCTCTGGTTATTATTATTTACAATGTCATTGATCTTGACAGGAGAGAGGGTGTAGTAGAAGTGAAGTAGTTGATAAGATGATAAGTGCACTACAAAGAGATAATGAATGAATGATCAGTTGGGAGAGCAAGGCAATTCAATTCAAATTTTCGATAACGGCTTTGCTCCGCACTCCTCACAGAATTGCGGTCATCTGGTTGTTTTGGCGCCCTCCATTTTTCGTGATTCACTGAATTTATTGAAAATACTATTTTTGGGAAGATACCCTTACCACTTGGTAAATAACTAAGATGGATTGATGGATAGAGAAGGTAAAAGTATCTATTTAAATAAATAATGATCTAGAATTTATTTGATATGATTTTATATAATATTAATGTTTTTTCCACATTCTAATATATTTGTGTGTAAGTTACAACAACAACTCTGTGTGTTGGGTTGATATATTGATATATTGTTATTAACAATCTTGAGATTTTAAATAAAACATCATAAAACAAAATAGAGCAAATGACCAAGCTACAATTGGATTCCATAATAATGATTGTGCAGTCGACTGTGAAGATGAAGGTTGTGGATTGGCAAGTCTCAACTTTTCTTGTTGTTTTTCTCGTTCTATTAATTCAATATCCTTGTGATTACTTTCTCTAATGACAGTTTCCAAAGACTCTTTGAGTTTCTTGATCTTTTCATCTTTTTTACCAAGTTGAGTTTCAAAGTATTGTTTACTGCCTTCTACCACTTGTTCAATCTCTTTGTTTTTCAATTCCATTTGTTCTGTCAATTCTTCAATTGTCTGTTGTAACAATTCCAATTCACTCTCTTTTTTCTCCAATAATTGTTCGTTTTCTTTGATTTGTGCTTCTTGTCTTTCATTCAATTCTAATGATTCCATGATTCTTTGTTCAAGACTCTTTTCAAGTAGTGGGACATGTGGTTGATGGGATGAGTCACCTGGAACGGTGGCAATGAGATGATGAGTTGATTCAAAATGTTGTAACTTTTTTTGACTTTCCAAAGCTTGACTGAGGGAGATCATTTTTCTATTGGCATACTCTTCCATTACTTTTGAACGATGAGCAGACTCTTCATACTCGAGTACTGCTGTTTGAGCTTGTTCCACCTTTTTAATCATCGTGAGAATATCATTATCCTTTTGTTGGATCACTTTGGCAGTCTCTTGAACATGTGATTCACATTGAATCAACTTACTTGTCAATGCTCTAATTTCAAGTGTCTTTCTTGCCAACTCCTTTTCATTAATGTGAAATGTATCGTCTGAACTATCATCATCCGATGACCAAGTAGAAGTAATCAAAGATTCTGTTGTTGGATCCCTAACCAATGACCCAGATGTAAGTGTATCACAGTCTTGTTGTTGTAATGAAGATGGTTGGTTTGATATATCGATCCCTGTTGGATTTACAATTGTTATATTTGGGATATTATTATTATTATCCATTAATGGATTTGTGGAGTTGGTAGTTGTAGTTGTATTATTAGTATTATTATTATTATTATGAAGGGAATGATGATGATGTGAATGTGAATGAGAATGAGAAGTATTATTATTATTATTATTATGATTATTTAAATTAATTGCAGTTGGATGATAATGTGGATTCAACATATTATGATTTACATGACCACCAGCTCCATTTGAAATATTTGTATTATTAGATTTTAATAATATCTGTTTCTTTTCTTTATCTTTACATTTTGCTTTTAATGATAACTAAATAATATAATATAACAAAAATAATATTAATATTAATATATGTGTGGTTAGTTTGTTTTGTTGATCAATATTATTATTATTATTATTATTATTATTATTATTATTATTATATATATATATATATATATTTCTATTCCTTTCTATTCCTTGATTTCTTTTTATAATAAATATGAAAAAGTGGAGGTGGTGGTGGTTATGGAAAAATACCACATTTTTCTTTTTTTTGAGACACATACCATTAAAGTTGGTTGAACGGAGGATGACGAAGGGAAAGGTATGGAAATGACTTCTCTTCCATTATCTTGATAGTGGAGTGCCAAATCTACAGATACAGTTGCCAGAGTCAATTGACCGAGAAGTAAAGTAATAGTTAACAGTTTTTGTTCAAATGGAGCAGGAAGTTCTTGATGTGAACTACTAGAATACAGTGTCACTGGAATAGCCATCTTTTCATTCATGACAACATAACCATTGCCACTTGGAAGGTTGTTGTCTCCATCGATACAATTGCCAATCAATAGTTTGGCCTGTTTTCTAGTGAGTGTAGTGTCTTTGGTCACTTCAACAGCCGGTGTTGGTGGTGGTGATTGTGATGCCACTGGAATGGTTGTGGTTGTGGTTGTTGATGCAGTTTCTGTAGAGGTGATTGGTGATGTGGTGGTAGATGTTTCAGCGGCTGTCGATGGTGTTGGAGGTGGCGGAGTAGTTTGGTCACTAGTAGTCGATGCATTGGATGCATTTAAAACGGCTGTTGCTGTTGATGATGATGATGGAGTGGTAGCTGCAAATGATACTACATGATCACGTCTTTCAGTGGTCGGTGAGTTTCCAGGTGTCTTTCTTTCTTTCTTTTGTACTCTGTATCCTTTACTCTCACCTTTATGGTCTCCACGAGACCAATGTAATTGAACGACATTTCCAACCAAGTCTGATGGCAAGTCTGTCAATCTTCTAAAGTCAATAGTATACTTGAATTTGGTTTTATCTGCTCTTGCGTGTTTAATTGATTTAATCATTATTTATATTATATTATTATTCCCTTTTAAATATATATATTATTACTACAATGAATGAAATGGAATAAATAACTGAATGAAATGAAATGTGAATATATTCACCAACTCTAGACTGACTGATACTTACTTACACCCCTTATTTAGAATTAAATTAAAAATAAATATAATATAAATATATTATTCGACCAATGACAGACGGATGACTACAGGGAAAGATTGAGGTGTGAGTGTGGGGTGAGGGGAGTGGGAGTAGATACTGATGCGATGATGATAGATGCTGCCTGGTCGCTGCTTCACTTCTCGACGATGTGGTGTGTGTTTGTTTGTTTGTTTGTCTTTGTGTGTGAATACGCTGCAGAGAGAAGAGATTACTAGAGACAATACTTTTCTATTCTTTCTCTTTAAAAGAAATAAAAACTGTTTAAAGGAATAAACAAAAGTAAAGTAGAGTAGAGTAGAGTAGTGAGATGAGAAATTGTAATGATTTATAATTAGACAATTCAACCGTTATTATTATTGATGTGGAATGCGTGTTATTTAAAAATAAACCAAATCGACGATTCCACAGAGATTTTTAAAGAGTGTCGTGTTGTGCAGATATATGGCAAAACAACAGCGGTTTACAGAGTGTGTCATTTGTGTGTGGTACGATAAAAGAAAGAATAACACACACCATAATTCAACGCATATTTTTGCTTTGCTTTGTCTCTGTCTCTGCTATCATATCATATCATATGATATACTACAAACTAAATGTATCTCTCGATGCATTATTTGTCTGGATATAGAATAGAGAGAGAGACTATAGACTATTACTTTCAATGTTTGAACTCTTGATAAGAAAGAGAGAGAAGTAAAGAGACAACCAACTATGAGGGAGGGTTGACGGAAAGACTTTGGAATCTAAGATTAGCTAAAAAATATAAAAACATAATAAATTATTAACAGATGTTAGGGAGGTGACTGTTGGTGACACATTTTTTCCACTATTTCTCTCAAAGGGGAGGGTTGTTGTTATATTTTATTATTGTTGTTGTTGTGAGCGCTCTCTCTTTTATTATTATGATCATTATTATTATTTATTCGACTGTTAACTATTAATACATACCATACAGATACAGATACATATATTTATTATTGACAATTATACATACAAGCAAACTGATAGACGATAGAGAGCAAGAGAGAGAAGTTAGTCATGTTTAATTTAAAGATACTTCGATCCGATACAGGAACTCTATACGAGATACCTGTCAATCCTTCTATATTGTATGTCAAAATATACAAGACAGTCCAATCATCATCAGCAGATATCTTTGAATGAAAAGAATGAATTATTAATACTTGTTTGATTTGATGTTACATTGTATTGTATTATTATTATTATTATAGAATTGGAACGATTAAAGAGTCATTAACAACAGTTACAGGTATACAACCAAACGAACAAATCTTATTAGCCGATACCAATTTAAGTTCAAATAGAAGTTTGGAATCTTATAACATCGTTGTAAGTGAACAACAACAAAGAGAGAGATATATATAATCTATTATATTAGTTTTAGTTTACTTACTTTTTTAATATTATTTCTGCTTATAGAAAGATAGAGAAATATACCTATTCAACAAGAGAATATTAGATAATCCTAGTTATTATCCAGAGGATGTAAACTTGGCATTAAATGATTTCAATGTACCTAGACTACCAACACCAAAGAACTTAAAGGAATTAGAAACCTCTTTGAACCCACTCAACAAGTTATTTACTCTAGAATTCTATCTCAACAATCATGTCGTTGGAACTCAATATCTCAAAGAGGTCTATGAAAACAAAGTGGTACAATGTATGAATAGTCTTAGTGAATTAAATATTCAAAAGAAATGTATATCTGCTGCATTAAATAGTTTGGATGATTATAAAAAGTAAGAAAGAATATAGTAATCATTTTCAATAATATCTAACATTTTATATTTATATATTTTATAGTAAGTTATTACAAAATTATTCAAATTTATCAACATCATACAAAAAACAAGCTCCAGGATTCGAATCTTTATTATTATCTTTTGAAACTGATTTAAATAGAGTAAGAATTAATTAATTATTTTTATTTTTATATGATTAATCTAAAATTTAACCATTTATTTATTTATTTTTAGTTAAAACAAGTTAAATTACATGAATCATTAAGATATCCAAATAGGCAAACATTATTGGATTGTATACCAGAAAATGAAATTAGAAAATGGAGTGAACAATGTAAAAGAGAATATGAAACTTTAAAGAGTAAACTTGGTGAATTGGGATATCAAATTGATAGTATCATGGAAAATGTTGATTCAGAATTAAAGAAAACTGTTGATACAAAGTATGAAAAAAACCTAATATATCTTTGATCACACCTCCCCTCTTTGCAAAAGTATTAATTAATTAATTTTTTTTACTTTTAGTTTTATGGATTTAAATGAAAGAATAACATTTTCAAGAGAAAATACAAAACAAATTCAAGCTCTTCACCAATCAACTTTATCAAGTAAGAAGAAGAAACAAAAAATAGTATTAAAAAGTTGTAGAGTATTAATCTTTTCTTTTCTTTTTCTATTTAGATTCTGAAAAAATCAAAAGATCATTAGAATCATCTAGAAATTCAAAGGATCCAAATCAAATATCAAGTATTTTAATGTCATTTTCAGAGATTAAAAATTCCCAAGATACAAGTATACAATCATCATTGAAAAACATTGAACATCTTTCTTCTACTTTATTATTATTTCAAAAGGCAAAGGTAAATATATATCATTATTGACTACAAACCAATTCCCAATTAAGTACTTATTTTTATTATTAATTTTTCTAGAATTATATGAATCATTTTGTATTTTCAACATTAAGAAATATATCAAAGTTACAAGCAAAGATGCATGAATTGATTAATAGTTTTTCAATTTGGAATGATGCGATTAATAAGCAAAGTACGAATTTCTTCCAATTGGAATGTATTCATCATATGCCATCGGCCTATGAAGATGCATTGACAGAGACTTCACGTAGAATTAAGTTTGGTACGTCGATTGGTTCCAATTTAAATCGATTTTTGGATTCTTTAAATTCAATCAGAGACGAGGAAAATGCAAAACGTCAAACATTCTTTGAAAGAATCTATCAATACCTTCCTCCCAATATATTCCAATCTCTCAAAGAACAATTACCAGCTTTTCATCTTTCTCTACCACCATTTGATACTCAATTGTTACAAATCAACAACACAAGTAGTAACATTATTAATAATAGTGGTACGTTCATGTCAGATTCAGCTCCAAGAATTAAATCTGTTTTATCTCAACCAATCATTGGTTTTCAACAGCAGCAACAACAACAACAGACAGGTTCAAATAATAGTGGTGGAAATAGTGATGTAGAAGATGATTTTGCTTTAATCGATGGATTTGATCAAATCAATATGAATAGAACAAATCCCAACAACAAAAAAACAGATTTTTCTACTGGCTCTACTTTTGTTGATAAATCTTCCAATTTAGATTCAAAAATATTAGTAAGTCAAACATACCAAAAAAGAAAAACATACAAATAGATACTCCATTTCTTTATATACTTACTTATTCTTTTTATTTATTTTTTATTTAGGAATCACAACAAAAAGAAAAAATTAAATCATTGGAAATGAAATTACAATCAACCTTTTTAATGGCATCAAAAGCAGATGAAAAATATAGAGATTTATTAGAGAAATCAAGAATATTCCAGAGTGATAGTGTCACATCTGATCAGTTTAGAAAGAATCAAATCGAAGAGGTTCGAAAAGAATTGGATGACAAGAAACAAGAGCTTTCAAAGTTGTTGTTGGAGAGTGCCTCACAACAAAAGCACATTGATACACTTCAGTCTCACGAAAGCGAATTGTCAAACAAGATTAGAGAACATGAATTGGAGAATACCATCAAAAAGAAACAAATCGAAGAGTTGGAAACCAAGATTCAACAATTGAAACAGGAAAAGGAGGACAAGCAGGATGAAGATTCCGAATCGATTGAATTGTTGACAGTCGAGTTGAAAAAGGCAAACACTGACAAGCAAGAGCTATCCAACGACGTTAAAGAGCTCAAGCAACAAATTGCACGTCACGAACAGTTTATTGAAATCAGCAACTCGTCGTCGATCGAATCACAAGAAAGCAACACCAAACTACTCAATGAAAAGAGTACAATCATTGGACATTTGGAGAACAAGGTGTTGGGATTGGGCAACGAGTTGGAGAGTGGAAAGATTGCAATCGTTAACCTCAACGACCTACTCAAGCAATCTGAAAAGGAGGTGCGTCGATTGGAAGAGTCAACCAAGATGTTGGAGGAAAAGATTGCGTCAATGGACAAGACAATCGCCAAGCAATCCTCTGATTACACGTTTAAGATTTCGGAGTTGACAAGCCAACTTGATGACCTGTCCGAGGAGAGATCACATGGCCAAGTAGAGAATGAAGACTTGCGTTACGAGTCTGAGAAACTTACTCGCCAACTCAAGGTTGCCAACGAAGAATTGGCAACTATGCGTATGGTCTTGGATGCCAAGAGTAGCGAGAGTGTAGATTCAATCGAGCGATTAAACAGCACTCTTCAAGAGTATGAAAAGGAGTTGGACAAGTCGCATTCTCGTCTGACCGAGATGATGCAGGCCAAGGAACAGCTGCAAAAAGAGTTGGAAGACGCACTCGACACTATCCGCTCCAAGGACACTATCATCTCGATTGTTCAGAACCAAATGAACGACTTGACCAACGATATGAAGCAAAAGGATGAGATTATCTCATCGTCGGAACTCCAACTCAAAGAGAATGAAGTGACCATCAAAGAGAATGAGGCAACCATCAAGGAGAACGAGGTAGCCATCAAGACGTTGGAAGGTATCACCAAGAAACTTCAATCCGAACGTTCAGAAATTGAACAAAACTCGTCAGAATCGATCCACAAGTCACAAATCGAGTTGGACCAACACAAGGAAGAGCAAAAGTCAATGAGAGCAATAGTCGACACCATGCAAGAAAGAGTACAAAATATGACCAAACAGTTGGCAGAGCGTGACGAAGCCATCAAAAAGAATCTATCAGACTTTGAAAACCAAAACTTTACCCATCAAACCGAGATTGATTCTTTCAAGGCCGTGATTGCAGAGCATTCCTCAACGATTACTCAACACACCTCTACCATTGCTCAACAACAATCCGATATAGAGTCACTCACAAGTGAAAATGCAAATGTCACTGCTGAATTGGAGCGTAGTCAAGCTACCATTGAAATGTTGCAAACAGAGAACCAAGATTTGGATCAACAACTCAATGTTAGCAAATCGAGTGGATCAAACGAAAAGAATACACTCCTCGCAAAGATCAAGGAACTACAAAGAACATTGGAGCACAATGTCGTGCAAATGGAGACCCTCAAGGAACAAACGGTCCAACAAAATCAAAAGATACAAAAACTAGAGGCACAATACGAAAGCACCAATGTCAATTATGTAAATAGTCTTCACCAAGTTGAAAAGTTGCAAGAATCGCTCTCTGAAAAGGATGTCTTGTGCACATCACTCGATCAAGAACTCGAGAAAAAGGAAAAGGATTTGGCCAGCAAGACAGAGGATGCCAACAAATCCAATGCAAGTTTGCGTCAAATATCAAATATTGTATTGGGACAACGACCAGGAGAAATCTCTCACTCACTCCTCGTCAAATCACTCATGGAACAAAAGGAAAACATTCTCACACTCGAAAACACGCTTGAAGGTCAAACCAACCATATTCGAGACCTCAACGATAAGATTAGATCACTAGAGTCTCTCTCTGTCGACATTCTCATGAACAACCAAAACGATGAAAATGCAATCCTTGCCAACTTTAGACACAGCAAGACTGCAATCTTTTACTTTGTCAAAAATAATGTATATGAAGCTGTAAATATAAACTCACCAAATTATTATCTCTCTCCTGATTGTTTAGATTCTTTCCAAGATGAAGTGTAAGTTATAAAAAAAAACAAAAAAAAACAAAAAAAAACAATAGTTTTTCTAATTAAACCATTTCTTTTTTTTTAAACTTTAGAGCAAAGAAATCATGCATAATTGGAACTATAATTGAAATTAATACAATGAATGCTGATTCAAGCAATATCTATGGATTACCAACAGGAACCACTTATCATGAATTATTGGTTGCCAAATCATTTTAAATCAAGAGAAAGATAAGATAGATACTCGTTTTTTTAAATCCCAACCTTTTTCCCTTATGTATAATAATAAATAGAATTATAAAGAATCTTTATTTTGTTTTTATCCAAGTTTTGATTGATGTTGTTATTACCGATAAAAACCAATCAACTCAACGTTCCAACAATAAATCAATCAAACTGATAGTCATCCCCCACACACAAACATGCCAAAATTGATTCTCCGATCAGCTGACAACCACACGATCGGTTTTCCATCACATCTTCTTCTTCCCAAAAAAAATCCCAAACATAAAAAAAAATGTTGGGAACTTTGGTCTCGTCCTTTTTGGACAATACAATTGGGTTCTCTGAATTGTGATTTTTATTGAGGGATTGGTCCTCAGCTGCAAAGATTTAAAAGTCAACCCCCCTTAATAAATTAATTTATTATTAGTTACTACTCTATTTATTCTATTGTGATAAGATATATACAAAGTAAAACTACAGACAGAGAAAAACAAAGAAAGAAAACATCAGTATATATATTGTGTTGTTTGTTTGTTTGTTTAAGAGATACATTTATTATATAAATCTGCTTCTCCAATTATTTAAATACGAGAAATCATATCATATCTTTTAATCACAACCTATTCACCATTTATATATATTATAATTAGCATAACACTACCGCTTCACCATTTACTTTTTATCTCTTCTCTATCTATTCACATCATCAACAACAACAACAACAAGTTTTTTAAAAGGAAATTCAACTCATAACTGGCAAGAGAGAGGATACATATTTTACAACAACCCACCGTTCACTATTCATCCGTTCACCATTCATTTCTCTCTCTCTCTATCACTCACTCACTTCATTACTACTACTCCCCACAATAACACCTAGGTGTTTGTTTTTTTTTGATACCACACAAACTAGGTTAATATAATACCACCCTTTTTTTTGAAGCTGACTAGACTACCAATAATAATATTTTTTATTTTTTTTTTAATAATTTCCTCCCGCTCCCTCCCTTTTAATTAACATATATACTACTACCCTTGCATCTTTTTTTCTTTTATTTTAAATATTCCTTTTACCTTTTATATATAAATATACTCTTATGACAATTGTGATCTAGCTAGTTTTACCCTTTTCTATATTTACACTATCATATATATTATTTATTATTATATTATACATATATAGTACCCTTTTTTTTCTGTATAAATTATTCAACGTTTTTAATCATTCATCATCATTTTTGTATATTATCACTTGCTGATCCTCCTTTATATGTTTTAATATAAACTCTCTGTAAATATTTTTTATATATTATATTATTACGCCATTGTACATAGAATATTCTATCCCTATACTATATCTTCTTCTTTCTCCTCTGAGAATAATAATAATACCAAACTTTAAATAGTTGATCGATAATTATTATCATTATTTTGTATAAATTATAACCAACCAACCAACCAACCAACCACCACAACTGTATTATATATAAATCACATATCTTTCCAAGGCCACAACAAACCAAAACTTTGCAAAAAGTTAGTCAGAGGATCATCAAATCAACAGAAAAATCATCAAAACCACCAGAGACTTTTAACAACAACAACAACACAACAAAACAATGACAGATATTGATCTTCCACCAATTATTGCAACCTTGATGATGGTTAAGAATCAGCCACCTCATTATGGAAAGAACGACGACATTAGTGATAGTAGCGGAGATGAAGAATACAGACACAACAAAAGTTTATTCAAGTTTATTTCTACGTTATCTAGAGACCTTCAAGTATGTAAAATATAAGTATAAGGAAACAAATAACTGGTTACTAATAATAATTTATTTATTTAATTTTAGTGTCCAGTTTGTTTGGATTTATTAAAGAGACCTTTAATGTTATCATGTCTCCATTCTTTCTGCACATCATGTCTACCTGAATTAAATATTAATCAAAGTATCACATGTCCTGTTTGTCGAGCAATCACCAAATTGACTGAAAAAGGTTTGGATAGTTTGCCCGTCAATAGAGACTTGTCAAACATTAGTGATAGTATTAAAAGAGCCTTTGATTTTTGTCCAAAATTTTGTGGTAATTATAATAACAAATAATAGTCTTTTGGTATATATTAATTTAATTTCCTTCTAATCTACTTTAGATTCATGTCTTGATAAAAGAGTAACAAGAAAATGTGAACAATGCTTATCATTTTTATGTAGAGATTGTTGTGAAAGAGCTCATAGAGGAAAGAATAGTAACCATAACATTATGATTTCATCTGGAAGTGATTTTGATGTTGAACATCATATTGAAAAAGAAGTATGTGCAAAACAAAAAAGGGTTATATTTATTACCTTTGATACTAATATATATATATTTTTTAAATAGGATGAACCAGATCCACCAGCTTATTTACCATTTAATATTACAAAGAAAAAGGCAATTACAATTTTCAGAGATTGGATTGGATCATTGTGGTTTGCACCATCAGACTTGAATCAAAACCTTACAGTCCGCTACGTAAAGGCTGTGTATCTTCCATATTGGGTTTTTGAAGCATGCACTCAAACCAACTATGGTGCCTACATTGTAACTGGTGCCAGCCCAATTCCACAAATCACAAACAGTAATACTATATTGGCAAATACAAAGTTTGAAAAGAGATGGTCAAAAAAGGAAAACATTTTTTCTCATAGGTATGATAGATATATTATATGATATATTACAATTTCTTATTCATTCCTTTTTTATTTTATTTTTATTTTTTTAGATATTGTAAATCAACCATTGCAAATGAAAAATTAATTGATAAGGATTTATTGAATCAAATGAATAGTTGGGAAGTTAAACTCCTTGGATACAATGAATCAATGACACCCGATCCACGTATACTTACTCTTGCTTATATGGTAGATGAAAAGAATGCTTGGGATACTACTCAAAGAAAGGTCAAGCAATTGGATCGTGAGGCTTGCGAGGAGAAACTCCATCACACCATTCCAATGGGAACCTATAAAGATACCTTTGTCGAAACCTCCATCCAAACTGTTGCCTCTCAAAGAGCATTCCTTCCAGTGTACTTTGTAAAGTACAGTTACAATCGTGAAAACTTCACCTGCATTATCAACGCTCAAACTTCACAAATTGTTGGACACCGACCATATTTTTCTCTCTTTAGAATTTTCAAGAATTAAAAAATATCAAAGATATCCTTCCCCCATCCCTCCCTCTCTCTCATATATCAAGAAGAACCTTCTCCAACTCGGCGCTGTCTATTTCATCAATCACACAAATTATAATTGATTCGAAATAATATATCGTAATACAATTGGGAATATTCTATGCCATATTCCCTCCTCCCTCCCCCCCCCCAACCAACCCTTCCCTTTTCCTTGCAAACCAACAGTAGATAGGATTATACTTCAATGTGAAAAACAGAACAACAAGTCCCAACAATTACAACAAAAAAAAATCAACTCAAATCAAACCAACTTTTAATATAATCATTTTATCCTTTTTTTTTCCAATGTACATATTTTTAAAACCTCAACAACAACAACAACAACAACAACAACAACAACAACAACAACAACAACAACAACAACAATAATTTCCAACAACAACAATCAACAACCTCCCCCCGTTCCAACAATCAAAGTAATTACAATAATTATAATTAATAGTTATGACCTAATTTTTTTTGTTGACCCATTTTCTGTTTTAGTCAAACTAACTTAATAATAAAAAAAAAACAATTAAAAAAACCAAAAGATGCTTGTTATGATCGCCATCGATTTCTTATTTCTTTTGTTTTATTTATTAAATTGATAATAAATTGTGAAAACTTTCTTGAATTTTAATGATTGATTGACATTGTTTGGTAAATTGTTCGATTTCTGCAGACATTGGATGAGTTTGTTGTTGAAGTTGATTGCCCCTTGGTGGTGAGTTTGTAGGTGAAAATGCTCTGTCTGCCAATATTTTAGTACTTGTTTTTGATTGTATCCATAACTTTAATTTTTCTTTAAAAGATTCCATGTCCTTATTTAATGCCTCTAATGGACATTCAATATCATTTGTCATAAATTTTAATAACATTGATTGTAAAAAGAGATGAGTTGAATCTTTTGATTGTAATTGTATTGAATTTGTTTTACCATCTATTCCTATAAAGAGTAAAAGGTTAGGGTTAGCATGATCAATAACAATAATAAAAATAATAATAAACATACTATTCATTTTTATCATTATATTATCAATATTTGTAGAATTCAAGTATAGAGTAGTAATGTCTTTAAGAGAAACCAAATTATTTTTTGAAAATACAAAGTTGTAGAATTGTTCCAAATAATCACCCTTTGACATAAAAGAGTAACTTTTGATGGGAATGTGAAGTTTTTGTTTGAAAATGTTGTTGTACCTTGTTGTTGTTATTGGTGGTGTTGTTGGTGGTGAAGAGGTCGAAGAGTAAGAAGATGAAGAGGAAGAGGAATCTAATAGTTCAATAATTGAATCTAATATTCCTTCTCTTTTCATGGTTGTATTACCGTAATTGGTAGTTGATATATTCATAAAATCCAAAGGTGTTAGAGTAACTTGTCCAACTTGAAAAGTAGTTCCTTTTCCATTGAAAAAAGGTACTTGATAAATAATATACATTGAAAATGGAATTGGTTGATTTAATGGTAATTCAAATTCATGCTGTATATTACTTAAAATTTGAAATAAATATAAGTTTTTTGATAAATAATTATTTCTTATTTTTACTTACAATGAAGAGTTTGATAATAAATCAATTGGTAAAACGGTGGTAAAGGTATAATTAAGAGGAAAATCTGTTATCCTATAGGAAATTAACAAGGACCATCCATTCTTGTTGGACAAGTCTATCTTTGTATGATTATGTACGGTAATTCTCAAAAGAGTCGATTGGTTTCCATTGATATTATTAATTGGAGACAAGAGTGGAATGACCTTACAAGTAAATGGACGTGACTTTGTTGATTGAAATGGTTTTTTCGATAAAACTGTCATAATCTTGTTTACTTCTAGTATAGAGTGATCAACAGTCTTTACATTTGTCAATAAATCTTTATATTGATTTGAAATTTGCTTTAAATCATCAGTATATAGTGACCATTTTGAATTTTTATCATCTCCTCCTCTAAATAGATAGAGATAAGATTTGTTAGCGATTAAATTAATATTATTGTTATTATTTGATTTTTGGTTTTCATACTCTAATATAATATTATAAATATTCATTTTAGAGTTTTTAAATTGAATATAGATTTGATATGAACTACCATTTGTTTGTTGTTTTAAGGGTTCAACTGAAAAATCAGTTACATCATTACAATGTGGAGGATTTTTAACTTGAATGTATTTAAAGGTAGTAGTAGTAGTACTATCATCATTTTGAAATAATCTAACAAAATATAGATTTCCTCTATATTGATAAATAATAAGATCCTATTAAATGAAAAGGGAATAGAAAAAATTAAAATGTGATTTTCTTGTACAATGTAATTTTAAAAAAAGCTGCTTTACTTACATTGACCATTAATAATTTTGATATATTTGTATGATCTGGATTTAAATTGAATTCGATTTGATCTGATGAACTTTCAGATTTTAAAATAATGGTAGTTTGATTGTTGGGAGATATTGATTTGTAGACTTTTAATAGTTGTTGTTTGTTGTTTTGGTTATTGGGAGGTAAAATATTTACAAGTTTGAGTTGTTGGTTCTTATTATTAAATGTTTGTTTTTGTTGTTTTAATACAACCAGAATTGTATCAAATCGAAAATAGATGTGATTTTCAATGGTAATGTCGGTTGGTTGTTGTTGTTTTTGAATGGTAAATAGGAATGGTTTTCTTGAAATGATTTCTTGTTCTTCTTCTTCTTCTTGGATTGGATTCGTAATGATATATCCCTCAATTGCAATATCAGATTTGAAAAAAGATTCTAGTTTGGATTGAATCAATTCCAAGTGACGATTATCAGTGTTGAACAATAGTACCAATTTAGTACCATTAAAGTATATCCATTCCAAATTATCCAATGTTTCAATATAACGAGCAACATTAGATATAGATTGATGTTCTACTCCCAACATAACAATAGTAGTATTAAAACCAACAACGTCGCCATCTTGTTGAAAATCTTGATATTTTCGTTTCCCTCCTCCATTTCCAACTTCATCAACATCTATTGTAGTTGATGATGTAGGTTGTTGATTGGTCAACTGATTAATATCAGTGTGTAAATCAATAGACCATAGTGAGAAATCAGTTAATAAAACAAAGAGATACAATGATGATTTATCAACAATTGTGCAATGATCTTGTATAGGTATTGTCGATTTTATAATCTATATGATATATAGGCCATTTGGTTAGTAAGAATCAAGATCTTCTTTAACGCGTATTGTTTAGTTACATACTTTTAATACTTTAATAGTAGAATCTCCATCATAAAGATAACAAGTCAGTTGTGTAGGGATTGTCGAATTGACAATGACCCTTGATTCATTGACAGTAGAAGATCCACTATAACCAAAAGGTGTCGATCTAATAGTATCCTTCTCTGACACCAAACTAGACTTTGTATAACAGGGTTGATAGGTTGATGCAATCGACACTCTAAACGATGATGTTGCCATATTGTTGACAACAACACCATTACTTTCTTTTTTCATTGTTGCTCTATTCTATCTCTTTCATTGAATAAATGTTATAAAACTAAATTGAACTGTATAATGAATCGAATCGATTGATTATAATCAAAAGTCTCTTTATTCACTGTCTTTACAAGTAACGATAATTTATTTTTATTTTTAGTTTTTTTTTTTTAATGAACTTGAAGCTGCAGCTACTTCAAGAACTTAATTTTAATCTAGACAGATAGAAAAAGAGGTAGAGAGAAAGTAAAGATGAAACTATTATTCTCTTTATTCATTATCATTGTTGCATTTATTGCAGTTTCACAATGCACTAAAGATAGTGGTAACAACAACAAGAACAAGTTATCACCTCAATTTGGTGTACCACCTGAAAGTATGTACTGTACATGAACTACGCAATAGTTTATAGGTATAACCACTATCATATACTTACAATATTTGTTTACTACTATTAGAATTAGAATATTATAAGGGTGAAACATTTACATGCTTTGGATCGGGTAAAACGATCCCAATCGATTACGTCAACGATGACTATTGCGATTGTCCAGATGGATCTGATGAACCAGGCACAAGTGCATGTTCAAATGGTCAATTCTATTGTAAGAATAAGGGATACAAGGGTCAATTGATCTCATCTATCTTGGTCAATGATGGTATTTGCGGTATGTACTCATCTCACTCTGCTGCTCAGGAATTGTGATCATCTTATTTATTCGGTTTACTTTTTAGATTGTTGTGATGGATCTGATGAACAATCAGGATTGATTAAATGTCAAGACAGTTGTGCAGAATTAAGCAAGGAAATGAGAAAGGCTAGAGAAGAAGCCATCCAAAAGTACACAACTGGACTCAAGATTAAAGAAGAGATGATCAATGAAGCCGTCGAAATATTAAAGACTAAAAAGGAGGAACTTGAAAAGTCTAGAAAGGAACACGAACCATTGAAACAAACCATCAAAGAGTTGGAAGTTGCAAAGGAGGCTCTTGAAGCTAAAAAGAAGGAAAGAGAGGAACAACTTGAAGCTGAAAGAAAGTTAAAGGAACAAATTGAAAGACAACAAAATGAAACTGAACAAGCTGCCAACGGTGACACCCAAGATAAAACTGCTCAACCAGAAGAAACCAACACCAACAACAGAACCATTTACTTTTGGTGTAGATGGAGAAACTGGAATGACACCAAATGTTGTAAGCAATGAAGATGAAGAACAACAAGTAGATCAACCAAAACCAAAAGAACCTGAAGATCCACAATTAGAAGAAACTAAAAATGGTAAGATTCATCATCGTCGTCATCTTCACTTTATTTATACACATCTTATTATATTTTGTTTCTATTATTTTTTATTTTGTCTGTATATGTTCACCTCCATCCACCAAACAATTACCTTTATACTTATATATCTCTGTCTATATATATATTTATATTTATAGAAAAATAGTAAAGGCAACCCTTTTAGATACATTGCAAGAAATGGTATCAGCAGCTGTTGATGTTATAAGCCAATACTTGCCACAATCTAAAATATCTGAATTGTCAAGTTGTTATCTATTTTCTATTATGTCTATCTATCTATCTATCACAGATATCACATTAACATTTATTATTAAGTATTAACTCTTTTTTTTTATTTTATTTCTCTTTATTATTATAGAAATTGAAGAAATTGATCGTGAACTTAGAGAAAAGAATAGACAATTAAGAGACAATATTGAACAAACCGAGAAATTAGAAAAGCTTTTAATCACTGATATGGGACCAGACAATGTTTTCTTGCCACTCTATGGAAGATGTTTTGATGCACCCACCAAAGACTATACCTACACCATGTGTCCATTTGAAAATTCCAAGCAAGGACATACCAGTCTCGGTAGATTCGAAGAATGGGGACCAAACCACTCATCCATGTCCTTTACCAATGGTGTTCAATGTTGGGGTGGACCAAAGCGTAGTCTCAAGGTTCAAGTCGAATGTGGCTCTGAAAACAAGATCTACGATGTCCAAGAACCATCAAAGTGTGAATACTCTATGAAATTCTCAACTCCTGCTCTTTGTGACAAGGAACATCTTTTGGTTTTACAATTGGAAGATGATCATCAATTTTAAAAAATAAAGAATAAAATATATATTTTATATATATATATATATATATATAATTATGAACTATATAATGAAGTGCCATAGAACACAATTCAAGAGTATGATCATCATTCTGATTTTAATAACTTTTGAATGTTAAACATCGGTATTTTATAGTTGGATGAACAAAGTTGAATTATATGTGCACTAGTACATAGTTATCTATAAATACGAAGCTTTGGTCTAAAAAAAAAAATGAATCATTAAAAGTTTTGCTATAGAAAAATAATTAACGCAAAGTTTGGATTTTTTCGTAGTTCTTTCACCCGAAACCGGCACCGTTGTTGTTGTTTTCATTGTATCATAATCGATGCAGATAACAAATTGCTTGACGTTTGATACCAATGGGTCCATTGAACCAGCTGGTTTTCCTTCGTACTGCTGGCGTTCAAATGATGGATACACATCAGGTGGAACAAAGTACAGCTCTAAAGGGAGAGCAGGATTTGCATCCTGTAGAAATTTGAGAAACTTTTGGTATTTGATAGGGTGAGTTGGTGAGACAGTCATTTGAAACATTCGAGTTGGTGTGCTATTTGTTTTTGATGCAGCGTTAACATTGTACCCTTTGATCAACGAGTCGATCGCAGGAAACTTGGAGGAAGTTGGAATGAGGTAGGTCCCACATCGAAGTTGACCAATCTCATGCGAATCGAACAACATCATTTCGAGTTTTCCAAGCTTGAGGGAAATCTCCGTGTACACTCCAGATAACTCTTTGCCTTTAAAAGGCTCCCCCACCCGAAAGTACGTTTTGGCAAATCTGTTCAAAGAACCATCCACCTTATAAGGTGATCCAAATTCGATAGTCTTGGCACTCCAATTACTTCCATCTATAACTTGATTGTGAAGAATTTTGTGGGACAACGAATCTGGTGCTGATGATGTGCCAATGTACTGAGTGAGTGTAGGAAAGTCTATCTTATCGATAGCTTATTCGAGGATATTCGTATTATCTTCGTCACAATTGGCCAAACATTGTCTTGGAATTCCGCCCCACAGGTCGTAAAGGGTTTGTAACTTGTCATCTTTAATGTCTTGAAATGAGATATTTCGGCACATCACAAGTTCTTTTAACTTCCAAATGGGCATCCACAATGTCTTTGTATCTTGCTACAAAGGATAGATTAGAAAATAAACAACAAATTAATTATAATTATTAATCACATACCTTTGTTTCATTTTTATATATATCTGGGTTTGGTGATGATACAAAGATAGTTGGCGCAAATGTTTGAATTATGTTTTTGATAGAGTCGACAATGTACACTATAGATAAATCTTTCTTGGACAATATGATATCTGCCTCTACTCTTGAGAGAAATGATGCGGTTGGAGATAGACCATTTTGGAAAAAGACGATTTGTTCTTGATGAATCGAATGAAGAACAACTGATACCCCGCCTATTCTAAATTGATACAATATGTAGGCAATGAACATTGACTTGCCAATTCCAGGGTTACCAAGAATTAAATGGGTATAGGATCGTCGTAATTGAGATTTGATGAGTGTGTACATCCCAATGTAGCACTCCCGAATATAAATCCTGTCTATATTTATCAACTTTGAAAATATAGGGAGTGTTGTTCCTTCAACGAATGAGAGACAAGATGTTGCATTGTCTAGTTTTGCATCCCCAAGTTTCATCCAAAATGATCGGTGCCATTCCAACTTTTCCTGATTTACCAGCAAGTTATCTGATGGATAAAAATAGAATGATTAGTAAATGAACGTTTATTTCGTCGTCAATATTTGCGATTGTTTGTTGGTTACCTTGTTTAGGGTTGATGTTTTGATAATGCGACTATTTGGTTTGCGAGCCCTAAACTTATGCGCTCTTGTTCGACGCAAAGCAATTCTTTGACCTCCACATCAGTCTTTGTATAGAAGAATTCTAATCTCAACTCTTCATCTTTTACGTATTTTGCAGCTTTTTCCTTTTTCTCAGAGATAAGTAATTTGTAGACCTTGGTTGAGTCTAATAATAATAAATAAATTAGTACAAAATATCTAACATGGTAATTACATTACTTACACTTTGAGGTTGAATCATCCTCACCATCTTTATCCATTGTTAGTGTATCTCTCTCTCTCTCTCTCTAGAATACTCTTATTTTAAATAAACAAATTATAATTTCTATTTCTCTCTAATCGTATATGAAACTAGTTATTATGATAATTAATAAAAATAAAATTTTTGAGGTTCGCAGCAAATAAAAGCTCAAATAGTTTTTTTGTGTAGAAAATATTATTTTTGATTTTTTTTTATTTGTTTTTTCCGTTTTAAAGAATTAAAGGGTTTTTTTCGAAAGTACAAAGGGTTTTTGGAGTGTGATTAATCAACTTTTGAGAATGTGATGATTATTGTGTGATTGGAATTCTATCTATTTCTTGTTATTTGTTTTGTTATTGTTATTGTTGTTATTGTTGGTTGTTTGTGTTGGTGACTATTAATATTAATAATTAATATATTTTTTTTTGGATTAATAAAAAAAAAGAAGATCTTGTTGAAACTACATCCAGAGTCAAGAATGTTTGTTTTCTTTTCTGTTTTTTTGTTTTTGTTTTTTTTTTTTGGGAGGGACTATAAAAATGATCATTTTAATTATATTATTAAGTTCTTCTTCTTCTTTTTTAAAGGGGGGGTATTATTATTATTATTGTTATGTGTGAGTTGTGAGAGGTTTGGGAGGGGAATTGATTTGATTTGATTTGATTTAGTTTTGGGTTACTATTACTATTTGATTTACTTTTTTTGTTTTGATTGTTTGTTTCTTGGAGGGGTGAGAGGTCTGCCATTACTATCCGAGATGGCAGAAGACTTTTTCTTATCGGCAGGTTTTAAAATTTGGAACGAACACATCAATGTTTCGTCGACACCCATCATTGCACCGGCATTGTCAAATTCACCAAAATAGTTTGGAGCGGAAAATATTGTTACAAGTTGTCGTTTAGCAAAGAATTCGTAGCCGTCTTCGACGACTTGATGGGCACGACAGATGAGATCGAGGTCGAATTTCTTGAGGAACTGTTCTACAATGTCTGGACCAAAGACGTACGAGACGCCACGGTCGTTGTCTTGCCAGCCCTGGATGGTTCTGTCGGGGTCGGCCCACAAGAGGTCGCACAAGAGACCATTGTCGGGCACGATGGTGGGACGGATGATACGACGGATCTGCTCCATCGACTTGAGATCGGGCGACAAACCGCCGTGCATGCAAAAGATCTTTTCGTCGATGATGGCGGCCACGGGGAGACAGTTGAAACAGTCTGTGAACGCTCTCCATAGTTTGGTGTTGTAACGACGCTTGCACTCGTCGTAGAAACCATAGATACGGTTGATTGATGCGCACTCGTGGTTACCACGCAAGATGAAAAAGTTCTCTGGGTACTTGATTTTGTAGGCCAACAACAAACAAATGGTCTCTAAACTTTGTTTTCCTCTGTCGACATAGTCACCGAGGAAGAGGTAGTTGGATTGGGGTGGCAATCCACCATATTCAAAGAGACGAAGTAAATCGTAGTATTGTCCATGTATATCGCCGCAAATCTTGATCGGTGCCTCCAATTCCAACAAAATGGGTTGTTTGACAAAGACCTCGGTGGCAGTCGTGCACAAATATCTAATCTCTTCTTCTAAGAGGTCAACATGTTTACCTGGTTTCGATGTTCTAGGTTCTAAAAGTCTTTCAATAACAGAGTCTAAATCTACTTCCATCTTTTCCGCCCTATTACTAGTAGAAGATGAAGAATATTGTTTTAATATATTAAATATCATATAAAGTAAAATGTGTTAATAATAATATTAAAGTAAAAAGGAGATGAGATATATTTAAAAAACAATTAATTTGATGTGATTGATGTGATTGTTATTCTTATTATTGTTATTATTTGTTATTATCATCATCAGGTTTCATTGAACATTTTGGTAGTTGATAAATAAGAAAACAGGAGGTAGGAGAAAGGATGAAGGAGAGTACAGTGTACACTAGTATACAGTGATACGATATGATATTGATTTGATTAAAAACACAAACAAAAAAAGTAACACAAACAAACACTCTCTCTTTTAACCACTTGTTCCCACTCTACACCACCATCATTTCTTTTTGCTTTCATCATCATCACTCTCTTTTAACAATCTCTTTCAAAGTCTTTGATTATTCTATCAAGTCCTCTCTATCTATAATGATGATATTTTTAACAGATCTTTTGTTTGTGATGTTGATTGTCGTCGTTCTATTTTTTCCTCGAGATACTCTCTTCTTCATTCATTCATTCATTGTCTGCCTATGTCTATAAATATCTATCCATTATGAATCCTCTATGTCTATAATGATGATGTATATTATATTATAATGTATTGTCGACATTTATAATATACATAGTAGAAAACAATCGCATCGTATTGTATCGCATCGCATTGCGTCACCTGATGAAAGGAAAGAGGAGGATGCTGTTGTTGTTTGTTCCCTTACTAACTAGCTATCTCTATGTCTATATAATCTATCAATCGATCTATCTATCTAGCTAGCTATTTATGTTTGTATCAAGGCTTTTGTATTTTTTTGATTTCGGTGTTTGTTGTGTTTTTTTTTTTTTTGATAAGGTTGATATGTTTGTTGGTTATGATAATGGGAGAGGTCGCTTTGTTTGTTTATTGCTATTCTGTGTGAATGTTTAAACTATTCTATAACTATATACCTTTGAGATATTAAATCTATATATGATATGATCTTCTCAGAAGAAGTAAAGAGATAAAGACACAACGATAGTGAATAAGAGAAAAAAATCGATTCTAAAAATTTTAAAACGTTTGAAAGGGAAAAAAAAATAAAAAAAAATAGAAAAAGGGAAAGATAGACAAAAAAAAAGAGAGCAACTCTCTTTCAACGGTCGAATTCCTCCAAACTTTGATAAAACTTTATAAAATGGAGGTAGAACAAAAGTCAAGTAAAGTCTATTGCTACTACTACTACTATTTTTAGAACAATGTATGGTCAAGGCAGGGAGAAGAAGATGAACAATAGTACTACTACCAATTATTGAGACCGAGAGGAGGGGAGGATTTAGTGGAAAAAAAAGGAGGGAAAAATAAAAGTCGTCGATCGTTAACTTTTCCCTTTCTCTCTGCAGCAGTTGTGAGTGAACAATCGATCAGTTCATCATATCATATGATTTGAAGATGAGACATATTACAAGATATATCTATATATCTAATTAATCTACTATAGTTTGTGATTGATTGGATGGATGGAGATATCTCGTGGGAGATATATTGGGTCTCAATTGAATCGATATCAAATCAAGCAAGACATTTTTCAATGAAATGTGCCGATGCACTCTGGTCGGGGCTCTGTGCTAGCACGACTCAATGTACGACAACCTTTCAAAGTCGGATTTATCAAACTCTGGTTGCCATCATCCGCCGCCAATGAATTTACACAAAAATGATTAATATATCTTATTTATTATTGACAACACACACACTCACACATATGGGTGTCGTTTATCATTATTGTCATCATTCATCATTATTATTTATTATTATTTATTATTTATTATTGTAGATTTTTTTTATTATTACATCTGACATTATATAATCATCGGTGGTCGGAGTAAAGAAAGAGAAAGAGACTGTAATTAAACTACTCTACTCTAGTTACAACCAATACAACAACTACTATAGAACATAGGATAAGATAGATAGATAGATAGGATAGAGACAGGAACAAGTAAAAACTACAGACTATATCTATATATATATATATAGATGGATAGGACAATAGAGTTTTTAGAGAACTGTGATTTAAATCCAAAATTTAAAGAACAAAAATCTGGTAGTAGGAATCCTTTGGCTGGTGTCATAACAATCATCTATTTTCCATTGCTCATCATCTATCTATGGTATACTATTCAACCTCAATATGGTAAGTATTGCATTAATATTAATAATAATAAATACCTATGACAACTCTGTGAGTTCACTTGTGACTAATACATTTTTAATCGATAGGATCATTACCATCATGTTGTGCATGTGCTCTTTCATCAACACCAAATACATCATGGATATATATGGCAAATAACGATACATGTGCCGATAATCCACAATGTAAAGAATTTGTTCAAACTCAATTAAAACAAAATTGTGATGCGTATGTTATTGTCTAAATGTACACATTTGGTCAGCCTTTATCCTTCCTCTAACAAATACTCTATTTATTTAAATGATTTAGAGCATTACAATATTTACCAGTACCAGATTCAAATATATCTGTAAATATTGCACAAATTGGATGTGTTGGTTTAAAAGAAGGTGATACATGTGATTCACAGTGTATGGATATATCAAATCGTTGGATTTCAAATTTAGATTTTACATTTCAAGATAATAGATATCAAGCTGAAATTAGATGTCCTCTTCAAGTTGGTGCTTGTGATTTTAAAGCTGTATATAGTGTTCAAGAAACGTAAATATGACATAATCAAATGAATGAACACTATGTTGATCATTTTAATTAATTCTTCTTATTTTTAATTTATTTAATTTTTAGATCACCACATGCAGTATGTAGATATCCAGAGTTATCAGGTATTTTAACTAGGTTGGGAGCAGGTCTTGGTTTACTTAATGGTTTATTGGTAACATTGAGATCAATGTTGAGAACCTATTGGAATAGAATAGGTGTAAAGGATGGAGGGGGTGGAGGATTATCAGATTATTGGAAGGGGTTGGCTATTGGTGTCATTTTCAATTATTTTGGTGTCATGTATTTAACTTTGGCCACTGGTATCAACAAAAGATTAAGATATGGTGGTCAATTAGGACTTGGATTTTTAATTATCTTTTTCAAGGTTTGTACAAAAGAAAGGAAGAAAGAAATCATTACTTTTGAAATTAATTTAATTATTTATCTTTTTTTTTTAAATATTTCTAGTCACCATTTGTTGTATATTTAATTATAATATTTTCTCAATATTGGACACCAATGTCAATATTATTTATGTTGGGATGTTTAGGAGCGGCTGTAATCATACGAACTACATATAATTTGGTTAATTTAGAGATTCATTCACGCAACTGTGTAGTCATTTCACAGGATTTGGAACATATAGATCATTTTGAAGATCAAATGCGATATGTACCACCTATAAAGATCAAACCTGTCATTTACTCGCAATGGAGACATTTCTTTGAAGGTTTTTGTCTCAATGTGTTTGCTATTTATCCTCTGATGATCAAACATAGTGTGCGTCGGTACAGTGGATTAAAAGCAGGCTTTTATTGTAGTATTAGCTTTGTCCTACTTATTCTCACATGGGTACTATTGTTTTCTTTGGATTGGTGGAAATACATCACATTTAATTTCCCATTCCCATTGGACAAGGCTGCTAAAAGTAGTGTACCAATGCCACCTTCAACAGATTCATCATCTGCTGATGGTTCAACTAGTACTAGTACTAGTACTGATTCATCGACACCAACTCTTTCTTTACACCTTCAACTTGTAACCCAACAAGATTATTACAATTATTTTATGAATCATAATAATGGATTAAAAGGATTAGTTGGAAGTAGTAGTGGATCAGCAGAGGATAGTGGATCATTGGATTTTAATTCAAATGAACATTCTATACTTTATAAAACAGCTATTTTGCAATCACTATACTTTGTCATTACATGGGTATTCATTATGGTGATTGTATTCCACTTGTCACTTTTTATAAAGTATTTACCCGAACGCAAGAATATCATACCGTCATTTCTCAAGAAACCACAGGGTCGCAAGATTGGATACCGACTTGGGTTCTTTGTATCTTTTATCCCACTGGTCATTACGTACATGTGCTTTTTCGTCTTTCAATTCTATCCATACGTGACACAACCACTACCAGCCTCACCGAGTCAATGCCGCTTTCCAGGTTGGTCACTCATTATTCCCATCCTCGGTATCATCCCGTCGTTTTTCATGTTGGTGTTTGCAAGGACCGAAAGTTTTAGATCGGGAACCTTGTCGGCGATTGGAGTGTCATTGGTGGTGTTTAACATTGGCACATCCCTACTCCTTTTCAACTATTGTCTTGGATCGACACAGGAATACTATTACCCCTGGAGCTGGCTCGTTGGTCTGGTGGGCACATTCATCCTCATCTATGGTTCCATCCGACCAAACCAAATATTCATATTAGACAAAAAACATTGTCAAGGTGAAGATAGTTTGGAAGATGAAAGATTACTTCAAGATAAATTAATCATTTCTTAAAATAAAGCATACACCATATTATTATTATTATTATTATCGAACATTATAAAAGCGGAAAAACTTTAAATAATTATTAAACTGGGTTTGAACAATTAACAATTTAATAATTTAATTATAATTATAATTATTCTTTTTTTTCTAAATTTTAAATAATTGTTTGGTTGGGATCTTTTTAAAAGTTGAAAAAAAGAAAAAAAAGAATAATTATCGTTGATATAAATAAAGTTTTTTCCAAAAGAGTTCAATTGTTTTTTTTAATATAAAGTTAGAATAGTATGTTTAATAGTTTTCAATTGTTTCTGTCAAGGTTTACAAACATGAAAACGTTTTGAACATGTTTAGATACTCTGTTTGCGCGGAATTCATTTTTGAAGAATGAACCACAAAACAATAGTAGTAGAAAACAAATAGACAGACTCTGACATTCCAAACCATTTAAAGTGAACGATGTTGGGATTGAATCTGTCTGGTATTTTTATGTATGTACTATTAAAAAATAATGAATATATTAATATAATTACACATTAATTTTTAATTTTTGGGTATAGATATGGTAGACTATTATGTGGTGGAAATCTACGGAGAAAGTCCTAGCCCAATTGATTGAAAACACCCCCTAATATGTTGATTCCATATCATCCGAGTATCAACATTATCAAGAAACCTACATTTTATTATGGCCGCTTAGAATGTCTCTTCTGGATACTCTTTTTCAAATCAAGGCTCCTTAGAATATCTGTCAATGTTGCTTTCCAACGTATTAAAATCACATTGTTTTTAGCCATATATTTATATATGTACATTTATAAATTGACGGTAGGATATTAATACGTTGGAAAGTTGACTAATAAGAGCATATACCATAGGTAGGTATCATATGATTCCAAGGTAGGTACCAATAATAATAACTAGAGTATTAAAATAAACTCGATCATATCCTTCCTTTTAAATCTTCAAATAGAAATAAATAAATATCTTTTTTTTTTCTTGTTTTTTGGTGATGATCAAAAAATTAAATTAAAAAAAAAACTCTAAGACAGGTTTGGAGGAAGATTAAAATTTCTTTGTTTTAATTATATATATATAGAGTAGAGAGAGAAAGTACTACTTCTAAAGAATGAGTATCCAAAGTAACTTGCAAGAAATCGCTTCAAATGCAGACCACAAGGTCAAGAGTGAAAAGTATAAGGCTTTGTTGAGTCAACTCATCGAATCAAAGGATCTTGAAAGTTTAAAGACTTTTGTTGTACATTGTAATGTATCATTATATAAAGATAAAGATAAAGAAGAGGAATGAATAGATAGAGAAGTAATAATATATAGAATGGTTATACTAACTGTCATCATTGATTATAAACCACCAAAACCCAACATATCTATCTATCTATCTATCTATCTCTTATCTATATATTTGTACAACAAATTACAGTAACTGATGAACAAACTCCATTGGTGATTTCAAGAAGTATATTATCAGCATTGGCACAAGCCATCAAGACATTGGCAACCGATGCACAAACTACAGTCAGTATTCATGTACTCGAACGTACACAAGACAGAGTTGTAGCCTTTGAAGAACAAGTCTCTGAAATTAGATACAATCTTGCCAAACGATATGAAGCACAAGAGAACTGGAGAGAAGCTGCAAAGTGTCTCATTGCTATTCCATTAGATAGTAGTCAAAGGTAAATAGCAAACATAGATAGATAGAGATAGAGATATCTTATTTTGAGTTGAATAGAAATTTATATTTATATATTAATATCTTGTTTATCCGTTTGTTGTTATTATTATTTAGAGTAATTTCACCAGAATATAAAGTAAAGATTTATGTAAAGATTGCAAGATTATTTTTAGAGGATGAAGAATCGGGACAAGCCGAAACCTATATCAACAGAGCATCGGATTCTATCCATCAAGTAAAGAAACAAAAGCTCATCTTGGCACACAAGACTTGTTTTGCTCGTATCATGGATTACAAGCGTATGTTTTTAAAGGCTGCCATCAAATATTATGAATTGTCTCAAATCCTCCCAGGTGAGAACGATCGTTCATATGCTTTGGGTTGTTCCATCATTTGTGCTATCCTGGACAAGGCCGGTCCACAAAGATCTCGTATGTTGGCCACTTTGTACAAAGATGAAAGAAGTTCACAATCAGATCTTCATCCAATTTTAGAAAAGATGTAAGATTCAAAAAATATATATATAGAATATATATATATATATACAGAAATATAACAAACAGTTCATATATTAATATTTAATTTGATTATATTTACTTTTTTTAGGTTTTTAGAAAGAGTATTACGTAAAGTTGAAGTTAAAAAGTTTGCAGAACAATTGAAACCACATCAAATGGCTGTATTGAGTGATGGAAGCACTGTATTGGATAGAGCTGTGATTGAACACAACCTCTTGTCTGCTAGCAAACTCTACAACAACATTACATTTGACGAACTTGGATCACTTTTAGAAATCCCACCCGAAAAGGCTGAAAAGGTTGCCGCTAAAATGATGCAAGAGGAGCGTATGAAGGGCTCCATCGATCAAATCGACAGATTGATCGAGTTTGAAACAATTGGTGATTGTCTTTCACAATGGGACCACAATATTGAAAGTGTCTGTCTTCACATTAATTCAATTACTGAATATATTTCAAAGATTAATCCAGAATATTCAGTGTAATCATATCATATCAGTAATCAAATAGTAATTGTTTTTCTAAAAACCAACCAAACAAATATATTTATTAATTAATTAAATTCTAAATTAATTAAATATAAACCAAAAAAGAAAAAGAAAAAAGAAAAACAAACCAACCAAACCAAATTCAATAATAAAATCAAACCATGTTGTGTCAATATAATAATATTATAATTAAATTAAATCGAATGAAATCAAATCAAATTAAACCAGATCATTTCCAAATTAATAATTTAAACCTTAATTGGAAGGTTTAAAAATATTCAATCAAAATTATGATACTGAAGAGAATAGAATAATAAAGACATATCGTGGTTACAAACTATTGTCCAATTCATCATAGATAGATAGGATAGGTTCTATCATACTCTAAAAAATCAAATCTGTCACCCTCAAATCAAAGGTCAAAGAGGAAAGTTGAACGAATTTGCTCAAAGTCCACCCCTTACGCTAAATGCATTTTGGTTGATTTGAAGCTTACCCCAAAAAAAAACCATTGTGGCTTTTAAATTGAAATGAATTAATCTCATTATTATTTTTAATTAAATTATTCATTCGCTTTGTATTTACAGTTAAAAGAACAGAATAGAACAGAACATAGTAGTAGTAGTATCTAAATTAAATATTTATGTTGGATAATATTGGAAGTGTAATATCAGGTTTACTGGTCATTGGTCTTGTATACATGGGTAAATAGATCTCTCTCCTCTCCCCTACTCTCTACTACTCTCTACTACTAGATCATATCAACTCATTCTTTATTCTTCATTCTCATTATATAGCAACTACAAATGAAGCTAATAAGAAAAAGAAATTAAAGCAAGATGAACCATCATATGATTTGGTTAAAGTAGTTACACCTTGTGCAACCGGTGCTGTACTATCATTCACTGTATTCATTTGTGAATCTTATCCATTCAAGTATGTAAATTGCATTTGATAGTAATAGTCATAGTTGTTGTTGTTCTTATTGAACCAAAACATTTCATTTAATTAACTCTTTCTCCTTCACCTCTTTTTCATTTATTTCCCTTTTTTTGATTTTAGAAACTTTTTCATACCATTCTTGTTTAAAAAGAATAGAATTGATGAAATGTTTAAATTCAAGGTTGAAGATGGTGTTACACCCTATCCAAATGTACAAAAGATGAATGTTCCCATTCAAATTGCATCCTATGAGACCTATTCACCTGAAATGTTTTTAAAGGATGCTTCAGTGCTCTCGTTGAATGACCATCTTTTGAATCTATCGCATTCGGCTCTCAAATACAACAAGGCCTATGTAGACAAATCGACCAATGCAGTTGCTGTGGCCAAGGCATTTGTAGAGTGTCAAAAACATTCCGATGCACAACCTATCCCACTCAAGGCATTTATTAGTGTTCGTGAAGACGACATTTTGGAGCAAGCTGCCAAGAGTCAAGAGAGATGGGAAGCAGGCACCCCACTCTCTATTCTCGACGGTGTCCCCATTTCAATCAAGGATGAATTGAATATGAAGGGTTATAGAACTACCTGTGGTACTGCATTCCTTAGAGACAGTCCTGTATGGCAAGTAGATTCAGATTGTGCTGAACGACTCCGAAATATGGGTGCCATCCTGGTAGGAAAGAATAATATGCATGAGATTGGTATCAGTACACTTGGGTACAATGTTCATTATGGTTTCACTCGTAATCCATTCAATCTTGATTATTATCCTGGTGGTAGTTCATCTGGTTCTGCTTCAACTGTTTCTTCTGGTTTAAATCCAAGTAATTATATAAACCAAAATATATATTTATATTTGTATTACAATATTAATATTAATATTTGTATTTCTTTTTTTAGTTAGTATTGGATGTGATGGAGGAGGATCTATTAGAGTACCAGCTGCTCTTTGTGGAGTGGTTGGATTAAAACCAACCTATGCAAGAACTTCACATACTGGTTGTTTTGACCTTTGTTATTCAGTTGGTCATGTCGGTCCAATCGCAAGCAGTGTCATTGATTGTGCTATTGGATATGCTGCATTGGCAGGTAAGGATCCACGTGATCATCAAACACTTGTCCAACCCGATCCCCTTATCCCCAACTTTAGTAAAATCCCAAAAGAAAAACCTCTAACCGGTCTTCGTATTGGTATCTATCAAGATTATGTCGATGATTGTACTGAAGAAATTCGTATTTCTTTTAAAAGTAAATATATATAGAAAAACAAAACAAAAAAGAAAAAGGAAAAGAAAAAAAGAAAATATTTATTTATTAATTTGTTTTTTTTAATTTATTTATATTTTCTAGAATCAATTGAAATATTGGTAGAACAAGGAGCACAAGTTGTACCAATCAAGATTAATCATTTATTATATATTAGATTGGCACAAGCTGTTATTATTTTGTCAGAGATGAATAACTCGATGAGCAAGTATATGGGTAAATACAAGAATCAATTCCACTTGGATACTAGAGCATCATTGTCAATGATGGAGTTTGTCAGTGGCGGTGAATACTTGCATAGTTGTCGTATTAGAACCTATGCTATCAACCAACTCAAAGCAATCTTTGAAAATGTCGATATCATTGTCACCCCATCTACAGCATCCACCTCGCCAGAGATTCGTCCATCTGTTCTCGCCACTGGTGAGTCTAATCTCACTGCTGTCGCCGAGTTGATGAAATATGCATTCTTGGGCAACATTACCGGTGTCCCGGGCCTAACCATTCCCGTCAGTGTCGATAAAAACAATCTCCCCATCGGTCTCCAACTCATGGGTAGATGGTGGGAAGAAGATCTCCTATTGTACACTGGTTACGTCTTGGAGAAACATGTTGGTTTTAATGCCAAACCACAATATTTTAATTCTCCATTAAATTCTATTTTGGGTGGTAGTAATTCTGACAATATGCATATTCCATCAAACTAATGCATCTCATTATTCTATCTCTCTATATATCTATATATTATATATATTTAACCAAATTGTTATTTGTAAATTAATAAATGTAATCAATCCTCTATTTTTAACATTGGAACTAATATTTCCAAAAATAATCAATCAATTCTCCCATAATATTTTATTTACCTATCAACTGAACCAAGTTAAGTGATTGTACTGTTTATCACTTTATGGGGTGCCAAGGAATTGTCTCTTACTTTGACTTTTAACTATCTGTAGTATTTAGAATTTCCGTGGAATTTAAATTTAGGCTGACGTGCTCCGCTTTCATATCTTGTGTATAACAATTGGTAGTGTTCAAAGAGGAAGTTTTCAAAACTCCTTTAGGAATACTTTCAATAAACAGAGACTCTGCAAACACCTCTTTTTGTGGAACATTTTTCAAAGGAACAAAAAGTATTCCATGAATTATCATTTTTTTCAAGAGTATCACCAAAAAGTTTGCTCGTCTCCCATAAGCCAATATCACATCTACTGATAAATTGTAATTATCTATTGATCATTACCTAATCAATCCTGGGCTCGGTGCAATGGATGTCTCTTACTTTGATAAATTTTAACTTAAAATTAATTACCAACAAATTTTCTCTTGTGAAGAACAAATTGCTTGTATCATATGATAACGTATGTGTATACCCTTGTTAGGTATTCCTGGATGATTTCTGGGGATACCTAACAAACCCAGAGACTCTGCAAACACCTTCCTTTTTTTACTATTAATTTAAAAGGTGTAAAGTATGGAAATATCCAAGATAATTTTTGCAAACAATGACAAAAAGTGGCAACCCCTCCCATAAGCAAATATCACATCTACTGATAATCCGAAATTATCTATTGATCATTACATAATCGATGCTGGGCTCGGTGCAATGGATGTCTCTTACTTTGCTAAATTTTATCTTAAAATTACCTCAACAAATTCTCTTGAAAAGAATGAAACGATAAGTCGTGTCAGCTGATTAACTTGTGTATACACTTGTTAGGTATTCCTGGATGATTTCTGGGGATACCTAACAAACCCAGAGACTCTGCAAACACCTTCCTTTTTTTTTTCTCCATGCATATATGTAGATAAGTAGAATATCAACCCATCATATGAATGGTGGTGTTAAAAGATACAACATAAATAGTTTGATGAGTATACTTGTTGGTGGGTTGTGCAAAAGATGCTTGTTACTTTGCTACATATTAATCGCTATTGATGAAAACAGCTGCTAGTTGACATGGTCTCTGTGTATACCTTTGACAATGTACAATTGTCAAATCCGTCAAGCTCTGCAATCACAGCCTTTTTGTTGTTGGTTTGAATGATAGTAATAATAGTGATGTCATCTCCTCCTCCACCAGACTAGACATATTAATTGCTGGTTGGTGGTGGGATTTGATAAATAGAAACAGATAAATAGAAATAGAAGAAAGGAATGAATGTTCATCTTCAGATCCAAACAACAACCAACAAATAATGATGTCTCTCTTTTTAGACAAAAAAAATGAATGAATGATTTTGTTGTTACCAAAAGAGGTTTGTCGAAACAAGACGTTGAACGCAAAGGCAAATAAAATACATAATTAATTAATCATCATAAAAGAGAATATATATAATACATACATATTCAAAATACATATACATATTATATAAATATATAATAAACGAATACAGAAGAAATAAGAATGATATCAGGTGTAGTAAGATTAGGCAAGCCATCTAAAAAGGCTGTATTTTCAATGGTATGTTTGTAATGGTTATGGTTCGTTGAGAGAATGATGTTGCATACACTAACAGTACTATCATGTCGTTGTATCATTACGACGACGACGACAACAACAATAATCTACGTATCTCTAGACTGATTCGGCAATAACAAAGATTAAAGAATTAATGATAAAGGAAGGAGAAAAGTGTCAAGGTTTAAGATTAGGTGTCAAACAAAGAGGATGTTCAGGTTTACAATATACATTAGATTTTACAAGTCAACCTCCAAACAAGTTGGATGAAGTAGTAACAGATAAAGGTAATGAAACAGATAGAATGAATGAACGAATGAAACGAACGAGTCAAGTGCAAAAGATAGTTATTAACCTTTTTTTTCCCCGTCATCTCATCTATTACTATTACTATCTAATGCTTTGTAGGTATAACAATTGTAGTAGATTCAAAAGCATTAATGTCAGTGATTGGTACAGAGATGGACTATATAGAGGAACCAATCAAAAAGGAGTTTATATTTATCAATCCAAATGCAACCAATACTTGTGGTTGTGGTGAATCATTTACAGTCAAAGACCCAGTAATTCAATTTAGTAATAGTAGCAGTAGCAATAATATTTTAAATAATAATCCTATAAAACATCTATAACACAGGCTTTTTTACAAAACAAAACAAACCAAACAAAAAAAAAGAAAGAAAAAGAAATCAATCTTCTTCTTCTTTTATTTTTCCTCTTCCTCTTCATTCATTCATTCATTCACGTTCCTCTTCCTTCATTTTTTTTTTTTACATAATATTATCTCTTTATCACAAATATGTACAGATACAAAGAAACTAAACGATAGATGGATACAATCAATAACAATACTCAAAAGAAAGATGATGGGTCATCTATGACGACGACGATGACATCAAATGAATGGACTATTATACAATCACTGGATTGTAATATAACCAATCTTGCATTTTGGTATGTGATGGAGAAATGGGCATACAATCCTCAACATACATTGAAACCTGTAAAGAAATACTATATGATCTCAAAAACAACGTTAAATGATCAGAATAGTAATAATCCCATTTCAACCGTTCATTATCATTCCAACAATACAGCTGGTAGTGATACGACTACTACATCGACTAGTAGTACGACTACTACATCTACTACATCGACCTCAATCAGTAGTGATGGACAAGAGGGTGATGATGTTCAAGATAGACACCATTCAAATGAAAATGAAGAAAATGGTGGAGGTTTAATATCAGAAGAATATTTGGGTGAAACAGATAATGTCGATGATGATGAATCGAAACCAAAGATTTCAAAGATTATTTATAAACGTCATATAATACCAAGAGTTATTGAAAAAGATAATGAAATCGATGAGATTATAACACATGATCTTTTAAATGTTACATCTACCTATTCTCCAGTGTTTCCTAACCAAGAATCAATGGTACCTTTATATTTACCATTTTTTTATCCCAAGGTAAATAATATCAAGACTCATTATTATTTTTTTTTGTCATTAATAAAACAATACTAACTTTTTCTCTCTCTCTCTCTTTTAAAGGTAGTTGAATTTAGATACCGATTTGTAAATAATAATAATAACAAAAGAAAGTTTGATCAAGAAATCGACAACCCAACCAAAAATAATAATAATAATAATAATAATAATAATAATACAATTCCCAACTCTACCATTTATTTTGAAGTTAAATATTTCTCAAGAGAATATCAATTAAAATATTTGGAGATTTTAAAAAATCTAGGTAAAGAATTGTTATGCAAGGTTGGTAAATGGGGATCAAATTATACAACCTATCAAAAACATGCACATTATGATCGGGTTGTACCGAGAAGTGTGTATATCGACCAATATGAAATACTAAAAGAAAAATATAAATCAATGGCAACGAATTGGTACGAAGTGACATGTTGTGATCCACAGAAATATGTATATGAAGATGTTGCAATAGCAGCCTATTTGATATGTTTGTGGAAAATGGAAGAGACTAGCAAATCATTGACAACAAAACAATCATTTGTAGATCTTGGATGTGGTAATGGTCTATTAGTAAATATATTAAATATGGAAGGATACAATGGTATTGGAGTGGATATTAGAAGTAGAAAAGTTTGGAAATACTATGATGAAAAGGTACAATCAAAATTGATTGTTGAAAGTGTCATTCCCGATCAAGTAGACTATTCATCGTACGACTGGTTGATTGGAAATCATTCAGATGAATTGACTCCATGGGTACCATTCATTGCTAGCAAGACACCCAATCAAAGATTCTTTCTCTTGCCATGTTGCTTTTTCAATTTCTCTAAAAAGTTTCAAGACAATGATAAAAAGATTGGACAATATGCAACCTATCTAAATTACATTGAAAACATCTCTACTAGACTAGGTTTTACAGTCACCAAAGATGCTCTACGTATTCCATCAACCAAAAATATTGCCATCATCTCTACCAGTTGTACAACTATCACAGACACTGATGAATTAATTAAAAGTCGTCAAAAATTATTGGATCAATGCAACTATAAATCATTTACAGCTAGAGAAAGTGAAGTTGGCAAATACGCACCTCAAAAAAGATATAAACCAGGTCAATTTAATCCTCATTTAGGTATTATCATGCCTGATAACAAAAAAAACAAAAAAAAGATTAATAATCAAAATAATCAAAATACTAATCAAGTTGACAATAATGATGAAAAATAAATAAAGTAAATAAAATTTATTACTTCTCCGATTTCTTTCTCTCTAAATGTTCAATTTAAAGGTAAGTCGTCATCAATTGTGTTCATTCCAAAAAAGGTCAACCATCGTCTTATCGAATCCCATGGCAATGACACGATGTTTTAGCACAGAAGAGGTCGAAGATTTTTTTTGTTTCCCAAATTGAATAGGGTGATTTTTCATGAGCTATCTCACGCTCAAACGACGACCTCTCACTTTGAGTGTATTTACAAAGAAGGGATATTGTTCATCATTATCTTTTGTTTAAACTTTTTTGTATTATCAATATATATTTATATACTTACTTTTTAAAGAGTAATAGATAGATAGATAGATTAGAATCTAGTTAATACAATAGAGAGATAGAGAATGCAGGTTAAAGATTCTACAACTTCTACTTCATCGACTGAAGAACGTAAAGAATTGACAAGTTATCCACAAGAGAATGTAGATTACTATCAAAAGATCAAATGGAATGGATGGGGTGACACTCGCAAGTTTATTCATACTCTTCAACCATCGGGAACAGTTGCCATTACGACACCAACTGTCTCTGGCCAACCATTGCCATCGTTGAAGAAGTTCATCTTGACCGAGTTGACCATCAACGGACAAGGACAAACCGATCTCGAAAACTCACCCTCTCTCACTGTCGAAGACATTAAGTTGCCACTTCCACGTGCAGCTCCAGGTGACTTTGCACGTGAACTCCGTGCAATCTTTAAGCCAAACCAAGTCAAGGAGGACAAGTTTGCTCGTCTCACTCACATCTATGGCAAGTCACTTCGTGATTTGATTCGTCTTCGTATTGGTTTGGTCGAGAATGCCCCAGACGTTGTCGTATTGCCAGAGTCACACGAAGAGGTTGAGAAGCTCGTCTTGGCTGCTCACCGTGCCAACGTTATCATTATCCCATACGGTGGTGGTTCCAACATTGTCGGTGCCTGCGAACCAATCGACCAAACCCGTTACACTGTCTCTCTCGACATGCGTCGTATGAACAAGGTCTTATGGGTCGATCGTCGTGAAATGACCGCTTGCATCCAAGTCGGTATCATGGGTCCAGATCTCGAACGTGAACTCCACAAGTCAGGTGTTTCTCTTGGTCATGACCCAGATTCCTTTGAATTCTCTACTCTTGGTGGTTGGTTAGCTACTTGTTCTTCTGGTCATCAATCTGATAAGGTAAAAAAAGAAATAGAAATAGAAAAGAATAAGAAATCTTAATTTAAACATTTATTTAATTGTTTCTATTCTATTCTTTTTATTTATTTTTTAGTATGGAGATATCGAAGATATGTGTGTATCATTCAAGACATGTACACCAATGGGTACATTGGAATTAAGAAATGGAGCACGTGCTGGTGCCGGTCTCAACTTTAAACATGTTATTCTTGGTAGTGAAGGTACACTTGGTATTATTACCGAGGCTGTTATGAAGGTTCATCCAGTGCCACAAGCTGCCGAATACTATGGTTTCCTCTTCCCATCGTTTAACCACGCCATCTCTGCCCTCGAGCAAATGCGTCGTTCAGAGATCATCCCAACCATGGTCCGTATCTACGATCCCGATGAGACCCGTCTCTCGTTTGCCTCCAAGCCAAGCAAGGGCGCAGTGTCTGAGTTTTTCTCGGCTGCCGTCAAGAAATATTTGCAATACATTCGTAGCTTTGACATGACTCAGGTGACACTCAGCATCATTGGTTTCGAGGGTCCAAAGAAGCAAGTAGACTTTGTCAAAAAGTCATGTTTTGACATTCTCGCCAAGAATGGCGCCTTTGGATTGGGAACTGCCCCCGGCAAGACCTGGGCCGAGAAGCGTTACGATCTTCCATACATTCGTGACTTTTTGCTCGATCACAACATGTGGGTCGATGTCGCCGAGACCACCGTCTCTTACACGTCGCTCATTCCACTCTGGAAGGAGGCCAAGAAGGCTTTTGTCCAACACTATCACGCCAAGGGCATCCCTGCTTGGATCTGCGCTCACATTTCACATACCTACAGCAACGGTGTCTGTCTCTACTTTATCTTTGCCAGTAGACAAAACGACGAAAAGGAAATGACCCCATACATTGAAGGCAAGCGTTTGATGTGTGACATTATCATGAAGCACGGCGGTGCCATCTCTCATCACCACGGTGTCGGTTACGAACACGCTCCATGGATGAGTCGTTACGTCACTCAAGGTTGGGTCAACGTCTATCGCAAGATCAAGGAAACCATCGATCCAAAGAATATTTGCAATCCAAGAAAACTCATGCCAACCATAGAAGAAGAGCAAGGAAAGGAAAAGTATCTCTATGATGTACTTAATGTAAAACAAGCTAAACTCTAAAACAAAAAACAAAAGCAAATATTAAAATAATAAATAAATTATAATCATTTATTTTTCAATAATCTCTTCTTCTTCTTCTTCTTCTTCTTCAACTTGATTATCTTCTTCAATTTCATTATTATTAATATTAATATTGTTGTTGATGGATTGATTTAATTTCATTTTTTTTAAACCTTCTTTTGCCTTTCTAATTAATTTTTCTTTGTTTGCCCATTTACTTTTAAATGATTTAATTTCATCTTTGAGATGAACTTCAACAGTTTCACCTGGTTTTAAAGTTTCTGGTAAAGTGTAGGGACCAAATTGAGTTCTGATAATTCTTAGTACCTTTACATTAAAATGTTCAAATATTCTTCTAATCTCTCTGTTTTTGCCTTCTGTCAATGTACAAATAACCCATGTATTCGAATCTGTCTCTCTTTCCACTGAAATCTTCATTGGTGCATATCTAATACCATCGATGGTTAGACCACGTGTCAATGCCATATTCATATCTGGTGTAACCTTTCCAAAAATTCGAACTCTATAAGTCTTTTCAAATCCACTTTGTGGTAATTCCAAATATCTTGATAATTCTCCATCATTTGTAATTAAAATTAATCCTTCTGAATAATAATCTAATCTTCCCTAAAATATATAAAAATAGATAGATCAGTATGAATATATATATATATTTTGTTTGTTTATATATTTATACATACAACAGACATTAAATGATCCTTGTTTAACATTTTTTGTAATATTGGAATCAACGTATCTTTTTCTGGATCTTGTAAATTACTAACCAATACTTTTTTTGTTTGTTGTGTAACCATATTTTTGGAACTGATTCTTCAATCTAAAAAGATCAAATTATTAATATATATATAGTTGTCTCTCTCTCTTTGCTACTTACAATCTTGTTATCAACTGTTACAATATCTGTTGGTTTAACGAACAAGTCATTTTTCATTGATGCTACTTTTCCATTTACACAAACTCTTCCTTCCATAATCATTCTCTCTGATTGTCTTCTAGATGTTACACCAGATCTTGATAATCTCTTTTGTAATCTTTCACTGTAATTGTATTTTAATTGTTAATAGACTGTTCATCTTGTTGTTCATTCATTGTCTACACATACACTTGATTTGGATCAATCTTTTCTTCAATTGGACTACTAGTACGATTATTATTATTATTATTATTACTATTAAAGGTGTTTACATTATTATTATTGTTATATGTTCTTTCTCTTTCTCTTGTTTGTGGTTTAAATCTATCAAATAACTTGTCTTCTTCACCATTGTCATAGGAAGATGTCTTTTCATATCTATATTTTGTTAATGTTCTATTATTGTATCTCTCTTTATCTCTTGTTGATTGTATTGGTTTCTTTCTACCGCCGCCACTATAACCACCACCATAATTTGAAGTTGCAAGATTATGTTGTTGTTGATGTTGTGATAATGATAAACACAACAATGACGTATAATTGATTCGAGTCTGATTACATTTTAATAGTATATTACTACATGTCCTAGTAGTTTGATTTTTAGATAGATCAACTAACGTTGATTTAAATATATTTCCTACTCCTCCTCCTACTAATCCTAACCTAGATAGTAACATTATTATTATTACTACTACTAAAATAAATCAAAAGGAACTTGTTAATGAATAAAATCATTCGTTCGTTTTTCATCATTGACATTAAATGTTAAAAGCAATTTTTAAAAGTTTAAAATTATTATTTTATTAATGATAACAAATATTGTGTAGTACTCTATAAATAATGTGTGAGTGTTATAAAGGATGTGTTGTGTTTGGTTTGGTTTGATTGACAAGATAATAATAATATATTTAAGATGATTTGTTAAAATTATCTTGTAATCCCTGCCAACACTTCCAATAGTCGTCATCGATAAAGTTCTTGTTTGCATAATCTGAAATACCAAAAATAAGGGAAGATTCAAACATGAATGCCAAAGCAACGTCTGGAATCTTGGCTGGCTTGAGTTCAGCCTTGATGGCAGCATTAAAAGTATCGGTATCTGGACCGTGAGGAGTCATACAAGAGTGGAGACTGCCACCACCTGGAAGGAAACCCTCCTTTTTGGCTTCATATACACCACGAATCAAACCCATAAACTCACTCATACAATTACGATGATAGTATGGTGGACGGAAAGTATTTTCTTGAACCAACCATCTTGGTGGGAATATAACAAAATCGGCTGCTGCTACACCTGGTTCATTGGTTGGTGCTGTTAATACTGTAAAAATTGATGGATCCTAAAATAAATAATAAAAGGTTAGATTAATTGGATTATTATATTTGTTTGTTTGTTTGGTTTGTTTTTTTTTTGGACACATACAAGATGATCATAAGTAACAGAATTGACAGCACAGAATAAAGCCAAATCATACTTGTATGGTACATAATTGCCATGATAACCAACTACATTGTAAGGAGAAGAGTTTTGAGTGGCAGAGAATAACTTGCCAAGGAATTTGTTGATCTTTGTGAAAGTTGGTGGTGGGTTGATTGGTGTAGTTGGTTCGGCATCATAAGCAGCAACTGGTGAAAGGAAGTCTCTTGGATTGGCAAGACCGTTGGCACCGATTGGGCCGAGGTCTGGAAGACGGAAATGTGAACCAAAAATCTCGAGGATGTAACCACGGGATGGTCCATCTGGAATATTGACACTGAAACAAATACCACGTTGAATGACACAGATTTCGCCTGAACGAACTTCCATGTAACCAAACTCTGTTTGAATGTCCAATGTACCTTGTTGTGGGACAATGAGGAAATCACCATCGCTGTTGTAGAATGAACGACGTTCAGTAGACATATCCTTGTTGGCGGTGTAAATGTGAACAACCACACCATGTCTAACAGATGGATGACCTGAACCACAAATGGTTACCAAACCATCAACAAAATCATGTGATCTCTCTGGGATTGGGAATGGTTTCCATCTAAGTTGATTTGGATTGGCATTTAAATGATTCACATCTACCAATAATGTATCCTTGCTATATGGTACAAGTGGTGTATGACAAACAGATGGTCTTGTTCTATATAACCAACTATATAATAAATATATAAATAAACAAAAAGAGTTTAATAGATTGGATGTGTGTGTGTGGTAGGTTAATAATAATGATAATAATAATTGTGTTTGTTTGTTGACACTTTTAATCTTTTCACACATTAATTATAATTAGAATTCAATTCTCTCTCCCCTATCCTCTAAACACAATGTAATGTGTTGTTGTATGCTACTTTATTTCTTCCTCCCCATTCATCCATTCATTCATTCTTTAAACTTACGATCTTTGTTGGGTATGTCTTGGAACAGTGAATGCATTACCAGACAATTGTTCGGCATACAAGCCCATTGGACAGTTTTGTGGAGTATTTTGACCCTTTGGTAAAGCACCTTTTAAGGCTTCACTCTCAAAGGTGTTTCCAAATCCACTTTGGTATTGATACTTTGCAAGTGTTTGTTGCATTACTACTACTACTACTTTTAAGAAGAAGATTTATAAATAAATAAAGTATTAAAGTTTTAATAAGTTTGTGAAATATATATATGAATTTGAATAGTAAATAAACAAATACTAATATTCTACTACTACTACTAGTTATATTATTGAATGATTCTAGAAGAGAAGAGTGAATGAAGTTATATAAGAGGGAGAAGAGATGTGGAGTAATGAGACATACCCTTCACATCTGCACCCCCTCAAAAAATTAAATAAAATAAAATTTCATTTTAAAATCCCAAACACCTACCTATTCATTACTCCATAATATCTGTAAAGTAAATTTCAACAAAAAACAAAGCCGCCGAACGACTACTTTGCAACTAGTACTAGTTGTAGAAACTTTGCCAAATTGAGGAGTTGCGATCAGATCTGATTCTTCTCAATGTGGTTGTTATAATTCATTGTTCACATTGATACACACATTGTTTGTTAAGAGGAGCACAAAATCATCTGATCCCTCAAAACATGAAATTTACAAATCTGCTAGATAGATCTAGTAGCTAAGGAAATGGAATCATCCATTCGAATTCAAAATGTTTGTTAAATAAATATATTTATCTCTTGTTTGGTGTGTCTCTGTACACTAATTATTATTATTATTTTTAGAATTATTAAAAAAGATATCTTTTTTTTACACTTTTAAATAAAATAGAGTGTGATAGCGGAAAGTGAGTAATGGTACTTGACAAACCCCTCTGGCACTAGAGGTTTGCCAAGCACCAATGGTATACACAGGTTTACGGGAAATACTATTAAAGTATTTGAGGTATGCTACTCTGACTGAAGTTAGTTAAATTTGCGAAGTATCACTGTTCCTTTGCACGTCTCCAAAAGTGATATTATAACTATCATTTAATAAATAGGTTGGTGTTTTAATGCTCTATTGAATGATGGGAGAATTGGTGATTTTTTGGTAAAAAGTACAACAAAAGTAATTCACCGTTTTTTTTTTTTATGTTCTTGGAATGTTTTGTAAAAATGGATCCAAACAATGAACAAACAATATCCCATTTCACTCTCTTTCGAAAGGTTGGTTCATCACGATTGAGGATCCCCAGTCCAACATCTTCTTCTTTTTTGTTACATGATAAATACTTTGTCCTGGATGCGCCCACAAGGAAAGATAGATAGATAGAGAAATATAAGAACCTCAATATAATATAATATATTAATATTTCCATTTATAGGTTAAGCGTCATAATCGACATCGCATTGTATTGAAAATCTTAAAATATCTCGATTGTATGATGCGTGACAAAGGTATCAAAGCCATATTTCGTAACCCCGAAATATATTTTTTAAATTCTCGACAACCAAGGAGTGAGCCCTGGCGGCACAAAGGATTTATTTGTTGGTATTGATCCGAGGTGATACTGATCCCGACATCACTCCCTCTCTTGACTTTCAAAGACAACAATAATAAAAATGGTCATATGTTTAAATTGTTTAAAAAGAAATTAAAATTGAATTCATAGGGATCACTCCTTCTCTTTGGAATTCCATTTACCATTAATATTCTTAGAGATATATTCTTTTTTGTTTATATAATCGATTCGAAGAGGCTATATACCGAACCATAAGGAATCTATAGAATACCTATAGAACCATCAAAATCTGTAGAACCACCAAAATCTCTTATAGTATCTAGATTTATTGCTTATTTTTTACGCTTTTTGATTCGTTTTTTTTTCCCTACCTACACTACCTTTCCGACATTTAAACCTCATCATTATTCATTCATTTATCAGTAGTCCAATCTCGATCAAATAATAATAGTAATAGTAATAGTAATAGTAGTAATAATAGTTATAGGAAGATGAGATTACATCGTATATTGACTATAGCAATTGCATTGATTGCTTTAGTATTTGTTGCTTCAATTGAAGCAAGAGTATCTCTACCAGAATTACAACAACTAGTTGACTTTACCAAAGAATCACGTGCATCTGGTGCTTCATTGGGCATTCAATCATTATTAAACAACTATGCCGACGAAAATACCAATAACCTTTATTCAACATTTGGTGTTGGTGGTTCATCATCTGAATCAATTTCACAACAGTGTGAAGCGGATTTATACGCTCTATCAAAATTCAAATATCCAAGTTCATTTGAAGGTATGAAATATTAATGTATTAATACATTAATGTATTATTATTTATTCTAACGATTTATTATTCTTTTTATTATTATTCTTTTAGTAATTGAAGCAAGTGGAAAAGGATTCTTTGATCTTGGAAACTATGACAATTGTTTGAGTTTACCAAGCAATGTTTCACAATATTGTGCGGTCACTACAAACAATAGATATGTTACTGCTCTGTCTGCATTGTGTCTACCCTCTTCATGCTCAGAGGATGATGTGAATATGGCATTGTTAACATTATTCAATTTGACTGGTATGACACCATACTTGAATGCAATGGGGTTGTCTGGAGGTTTCGATATCCATTGTTACTCGGGTGACCATCATACCGACAAGTTACCAATGACTGCTGGTCCAATCGTCATGATTGTTTTATTGTCGATTGTCGCTGCTTTTGTCATTGCCGGTACACTTGCCGAATACGCTTTGTTTACTCACAAAGCACTTTCTAAAAAGGATGAAGAAGCTGGTGCATCGTACCGTACAAGTAGTAATAGTAATGATTGGGGTTTGATTGGTGCAGACAAGAATCAGGTTAAAGATCATTATCACAATACACCAATTAGCTATCAAGAAGAAATGAAGGGTGCTGGTACAGGACTCCAAATCTTGTTGGCATTTTCGTTGATCCAAAACTACCATAGTTTCTCTAGTTCATCTTCCGACAAGAAACACTTTGATGTGTTGGATGGTGTTCGTTTCTTCAGTACCTGTTGGGTTGTTATGGGTCACAGTCTCCTCTTCAACATTCAAATGGGCTACGATAATTTAGAGTATGTCACGACCAATGTCATCTCATCTTTCCCATTCTCCTTGATCAGTGCCGGTGAATTTGCAGTGGACACCTTCTTTATGTTATCAGGCTTCTTGGTGTTCCACAGCTTGTTGCAACAACTCGAAAAGGCGTCGTACATTGATGGAGCCAAATGGAAGTTTTGGCTAAAGTACGTTGTACACAGATTTATCCGTCTGTCTCCACTCTACTTTTTCATGTTGTTTGTATTTTGGAAGTTGTCTCCACAATTTGGCTTTGGACCATGGTGGTTTGGATACAATGCCGTTACATTTGGTTGCGATCAATACTGGTGGACCAATTTATTGTACATCAATACATTGAACCCTCCAACAATGGGGAACGAGTGTATGGCTTGGTCTTGGTACTTAGGAAATGATATGATCTACTATATCTTTGTCGCTCCCCTCGCCGCACTACTCTACAAAAAGAACAAAAAGTATGGTGTTGCATTTGTACTGGTGCTCATCGCCATCACCTTTACCACTAATTTCTGGATCACCATGAAGTATGACTTGGTTACATTTTTCGAGTTTACTCAAGAGAGCGGTCAAATCTCTAACTTTACAACCGATATCTACCAAAAACCATGGACTCGTGTTGGAGCCTATGCCGTCGGTTTGGCCATGGCCATGATCATTGACACACCAGTCATTATGCGTGTCATTAAAAATAGAGCACCAGTTCGTTACCTATACTATGTCATCGCACTTGGATTAACCTCCTTTTTCTCATTCATCTCTTACGATGCCTATAGAGGTGATGGATGGTCAACTCTTCAAAATGCATTTTTCAATGCATGCGGACACACTGGATTTGTCATTGGTGCAGGTCTCTTTATCCTCACTGCTGTCGCTGGTCGAGGTGGTATTGTAGCTTGGTTCTTGGAACGTCCCATCTTTAAGAACCTCTCTAAACTCACATACTCGACCTATATTGTCCATCCAATGATCATTTGGACTATAGCCTTTTGTAGAGTCACCTTATTCCACTACAGCACAGTAAATGTTGCCGCCACAACCATCTCCAACCTTGTATTTGCAATGGCCGCTGCCTTTTTAGTTCATCTAACAATTGAAAAGCCAGCAATCAATTTGGAGAAATTATTGTTCCATCCAAAACCAACAGTCACCAAATATTCTCTATTAAATTAAATTTAATACAACAATTGATGATTTCTATTTAAATAAAATACGAATCCTTTTAAAATGCAAATTACCAATGGTATCTATAGCCGTTTTTCCCTATTTAAATAATATATCATTCTAGAATCAAATCAATCCACTTTGATATCTTTTTTTTAAAATACCTTTAATATATTTATAATAAGAAGAAATTTAAATTGATTGTATTTATTTATTTGAATCAAAAAAAAAATTGGGTATATACTATTTATATTATATAAGATTATTATATAATTATATGTATTGTGATTTGTGTGTTGTAATATTATTATTATTATTATTATTATATTGCATATGATTTGAAACTATTATTAAAAAAAAACTATCTGTTTTGTTATTTTGTTTTAAAATTGGAATAATGATTTAAATCTTCTTTGGATTTCTTTTTTGAGGAATGCCAATTCAGTGGCACTGTTGGAACCGATGAAACCTTTGTTTTCCTGCATTCTACGTACGAGGTAGGGGAGGACGTCTTTGACGGGTCCGTAAGGGACGTATTTAAAGACACGCAGGTCACGGTTGACAAGTCCGAGAGTGAGATAGTCGCCCATACCATACAATTGACCGAATTGGAGGTTGGGTGACTTGCCGTCGATACCGAGTTGCTTGACGCGTTCGGCACCATAAGAGATGGATTGCTCGTTGTGCGAGGCAACCATGACTCCGAGTTGGGAGGGGTTCTTTGCAAATTCGTTGAGGAGGCGTTCCATGGCCGTAAAGTAGGCGTGGTGTGTCTCTTGAATGTTGGGGAGGATGGGGTCGGCATAGTTGAGCTTTTGGGCACGTGCACGCTCGCTGTTCATGTAGGCACCACGCACGAGCTTGGCGCCGAGCTTGAAACCGTTTTGTTGGGCCACTTGCATGTGCTCGTTGAGCGTGTCCATGCCATTGACCAGGTACATCTGGTAGGTGTTGTAGACGAGTGGTTTGTCAGTGTTGTACTTGTAAGCAAAGGACATGGCGAGATGGTGAATACAGTGTTGATAGTAGGTTTGCTCGGCATCGATCAAGATGGGGATACCTTGTGCGTGACACACTCTAAAGATCGAGTCGAGACGTTCGACCAATTCACTGAGCTCTTTAAGCTCGCGTGGTGACAATGCAGCCGATGTAGCAGCTACCAATGACGGGTTGGTATACAATAACTTTGGATCCTTTAAATAGGCAACATCAGTCACTTGCTGTACACCACACTTTTGAGCAATTGTATTCAACTTTTCCAACAACTCTGGGTTGGTCAGTCCAGTCACCTTGACACATGAAAACGACAAGCTTGGAGTCTTGGTCGACACGTGCACAGTCTGAATAATCTGTGCTGCCACATGGTCAAATGCCTCGCTCGTTCCAGCTTGATCCTCTACACTATAATCCAACACCACACCTACACCTTGTTGATGTAATTTGTCAGCCACCTTGGGTGTCTCTTCAATCACCTCTCCTGCACAAAAATGTTTAAAGAATGTTTGTTTAACAATCCAATACATTGGTTTTGTTAATCCATATCTAAAAAATAAACAAAATAGAAATAGAAGAGAGAGATAAAGGTTAATAAATCGATCTTATAAAAGAAGGATAGATAATATAAATATATAATTATATTTACTTTTGAGCCAATTCAATCATATGTGAACCATTTTCAGAAAGAAAAGGGATTGTACACAACTTTAAGATAAAGTAGGAAAAGAGCAAATCAGAGCTCGAATGTGAAGCATATATTTTCTCAACATTGATAGTTTGAGACAAGAGAATGCCATGTTGTGAAGCATCGAGTGGAGAGTGTGGTAAAGTTGGTGCAAGACTATCATTGTCTACCAATAGATACCATAATGGTACAATCACAGATCCAGCTGCTGTACCTAATAACAAATATTTACTATAATTCTTTTTCTTGTTTTGTTGTTGTTGTTGTTGTTTTTCATCGTCTTGTTGTTGGTCATCATTATTAATAGTCGGCGGCGGTGTCGGGTTGAATAGCGGAGGTGGCGGTGGTGTAATAGTTGTAGAATATAATACTCTATTATTTGATGACAATGATGATGATGACGAGCCAATATGATTATTTGTATTTGATTTGAAATTGAATATTTGTTGATTTGACGATGACGACGACGAAAAAGTTGAAGTAGAAGTTTTTAGACTTTTAAACTTTACTACTTGTTGATTGCCAAGGATTCTTGAACCATATCTACTTCCTTCAACTATCAATGTTGATTGTAATTTGTTCATTTGTTTGTTGTAACCAAAGAGTTGATAATGTTGAAAAATACTGTTTGTTTGTTGATTGAATAATAATGATATCGGGTGATTGTTAAATATTGTATTGTATTTGTATATTGTATATATGTTGTATGTATAATTGATTGTATATTGATGATATTATATTGAATGCAATGTATTTTGTTCAATTATATAGGCAACTAGGTTAAACTTGAAAAAAGAAGACTAGTACTGAAAAAGCAAATGAAAAAGACTAATACTATAATAATAATAATAATTCAATATAGTAGTAATATAATAAATAGATTTTAATAATAAATAAGGTTAGAGGGAGTGAGCGTATGTGTATGTGTGTGTGTGTGTGTGTATATATGTTATTGTGGTTGTGTTAGAATGAGAGAGACAGAACCTTCCCCTCAAAAATCACACTAATGGTGTCGAATGGGAAAATGAAACAAAAAAACGTTCAATTTCAGATTCCCCCCCAAAGATCTTTTATAGAAGTGTAAAAACCTTCTTTTGGTCGAGTCCCAGCTCAAACCAATCGATGATGATGTAATCAATCAAATTTTTTATGTGAATACTCGGTCGGTCGGTCAGTCGGAGTTTCATTTATCCGTATTTAGGTATTAAGCATTCTTACTTTAGTAATCAGTCCATTTTCATCATTATTATTTTGATTATTATTATTAATTGTTGAGAATTTATTGTTGAGAATTTAAGAAATCAACAAAATAATCAGCGATTTGGTGTGGAAGAGGAGGATGAAGTTGAGCCAATTTAAAGTATTGTCTTCTTTGGTTACGGAGTTCACCAACACTCATTTTACTACTAATCATAACTCTCTTTTCAGTGCCTGGTACTTTAATGGCATCGCCTACTAAAGATGATTGTAATGCATCGATTACAACATTACAAACTTCTTGTGTTACTGAATCCAATTGATTTACAAAATTGGTTGGTGATACATTTTGCTTTAAAAATATTTAAAAAAAAAGAAGGAATTAATAAAATAGTAATGATATAATTGATTTGATTTGGGTATATAATATTGATATATAATATTTACACTTTGAGTTGCAAAATTTGGTTTCAATTCTTGTACTTCAAATAATGTTTTATGTAATAATTCAAAAGGTAATTGATGATGTGGTTCAAGTGTAAATAAAGGAGAGTCCCATCTATTCTTTGGGTTTGGTGTTTCAAATCTATTTGTTAATTCTTCTGCTCTACAAATAATTAAATCAATTAATTTTAATAAATAAATATCAGACCATTAAATTAAATGTTGTGTTGTTGTTGTTGTTTGAAACATACAATTCATCAGTAAAAGATATGGTTGCGTCACGTTCAGTATTCCATTGTTTAGCTTGATCTCTTGGGGTATCACAGTATACGAGTAGTAATCTTGTACCAGCAGCTCTTGCAATACAATACAACTCGTAGCGATACCCTTTAATATAATTGAGTGAGTCGGAAATGACAACAGTATCCTTTGCCAAACTTCTTTCAACTGCTGCCTTTAATGTTCCTCTTGTCATCTTTTCTGATACAGAGTCTTAGATAGACAGAGAGTAATAACAATAATAATAATAGTATTAGTATAATAGGTATAATATAATGTATTATATCTTCCATCTTAATAGTAGTGTGTGGTTGGTAGATAGATACCTTTATAACCTTGATTCTTATTGATGAGACATGATTCTTCGTTTATAATGATCACCTTTTTACCCATCTCTAAAAAGTGTTTAGCTATATCATTTGCTCTTGTAGTCTGTACATAGTATAGATAGTAGTTAGGAAGATGAGTTTGTTAATAACAACTTGTGCTCATTGATTCATTCATTGATTCATACCTTTCCACTTGATGGTGGACCACTCATTACAATTAAAGGCATTCTCTTTCTTCTTCTTCTTTATATGCTCGATCGAGACAAATGATCTATTTATCTCTTTTTCGTTTAATTAATAAAATGACTATTAATAAAAAGACGACGAATGTATGACGCCTTTGGTTTCGGATTGGGTTTGATTAATCGCGAAAATCATGATAATAATATAATTTGTTTGTTTGTTGTTGTTGTTGTTGTTGTTGAACACTCAACTCTTTAATAGAGACATAGATATAGAGATAAATATATATAGATATATATATATAAATATATAGATATAGAGAGAGATGGTTAAATCATCAGTATTGAGAGGAGCAGTAAACAACAACAACAATCATGGAATACAAGATACTATACTGGGTGTATTTCAATCACCTGCATCAGCTGCACCGGTTGGATGCGGACCACAACCATTGTCAACAGTCGTTATAAAGGTACTCTTGGAGCATCCCATCATATTTGGTGTTTTGTTTTCAATGGTCATAATAGGTTTAATCTATCTAAGTATGTGAAAGTAGTTGTAGTTCAATCATTAGTAGAGTCTAATAGTACTAACAAATATATGGTTGTGCACTCACTAACTACCTATAGTTTATAATTGTTGGAAATTAAATCAAGAAATAAACAAAGAAATGTCAAGACAAAAGATAAAGAAGGATTCATAATAGAGAAGAGAAATAATAATATTGTATTAATAATAATAATAATAATAATAATAATGATAATAATAATAAAATGTATATGTAATGTAAAATAAATAAACTTTTTTTTGCACCTAGTATAATATAATATATATATATAATATAATATATATATATATATATATTTATATTAGAATACTTTAAACAATACAAGATAGAAAGATGGATCCTTTTCGCCAAACATTTTCTGTCTCTATTCCATTAACGGTGAGACTTTGGTAAAATGTAATGCTCTCCAGGTGCCAAGTCAACAAAAGGATAATATTCAATTAACTGAATTTAGTTAAGAACAACATTAATATTATTAATAAGAAAATGAAAGAAGAACTATTGTTTTTTTATTTTAATATTCAAAAAGATTATAAAGTATATAAAGATAATTTTTTTTTTTTTTTTTTTAATATTATTACTATTTTTTTTTTGGAGTGATAAATTATTTTTAAAGGAAAAAAGAGGTAACTCTTTGTAATAAGAGTTTTGTACCTAAACCTTATTTACAACATAAATTTCAACAAAACCAATCTTTAACATTTCATTCTGAAAATAACGCATATTAACCCCAGTTGATATGAATCCCGTTGCTGATGAAAACTCGATTGAGCCATAGAAATCATTTGGTAGATCAAATGTTTTTGATGTGAACAATCCATGAGCTGGTCCTCCATAATGGAAATCTTCCTTAAATGCCATAGAGTCATTGGCCTTTGCTCTGTCAGTATTTAAAATTCCAACACTTTCTTTTCTGGTAAATGATTGTTTATAGATTTCCTCCTCTCCACACAATTTGATATCATCGTCATCATCACCGTCAAAAGTAATAGTTGTTTCACCATCCAAATCACCATCCAAATCATCATCCAAATTTTCATTCTTTTCTTCCACTTGTGTAGTAGTAGTAGTAGTAGTAGTAGTAGTAGTAGTAGTAGTAGTAGTAGTAGTAGTAGTAGTAGTAGTAGTTGGTTTTTCACTTGGTTTTTTACTTGATTTATCAACTGGGAATGATAAGTATTCCTTACATTGTGCATAGTTTTGTTCTTTTGTTTTTTTAATTCCCAATTTTTCTAAAAGTTCATCGTGACTACTTCTAAACATCCGATTACGGTCGTTCAACTTGACATGTTCCTCTAATTGTTTATCGGTGAAGGAATCAATTGTAGGAAGTATACCATCATACTTTTTAACGATTGTCATGATAGTGTTTGCCAAAAAATGAGCTCCAATATAATGAAATCTAATTTGAACCGATTTAGCACCAATGTTTTGAAACGACAATGGAACATATCCACTAGTACCAACAGTAATTCCTTTGCAACCAGAGAAAATATCAATCCTATTGTTGAAGTTTTGAACATCATAGGAAAAATTCTTAATTTGATGGTGTGGATCATACTTCAAGTAGTAACTTGTAATTGATCTTTGATCAAGGGTCAAAATATTTGAAGTTGGTCTGATTGGAGGTTCTGGGTATCTTGCCAAATCTAGATCTAAAAAGTAGCAAAATACCTTTTCTTGAGTTTCTTGGGATACAATATTTTTGTTGTAAAGTTGATTCCATGTTAATTGGAGAACATCACGACTACGTTCTTTGGCCCTATCTATAGTTGGAGGTTCCTTTAATTTCAGCGGGGTTTAGTCCATACTCTAAACCATTTCTATTAATATCTCCATAGAAAGCAGCACTGAGGAATGTGATACCAAGATACAGATCACAAGTGATATGGATGTGCGTCTTATCACTTAGATATATCAACATTGATGTCAATTTATCTTGGGTGATATTAAAATGGTTCTTGAATGATTCTTTGGCCTCTTGCAAATTACCTTCTCCATTTTTAGCATCGTGTATCAACATCTTTTATTTGTTGTAAGTTGCAAATGTTGCAGCCATTTCATCAACTCTCAATTTGCAATTCAACATCCATTGGTCACCCAATGCTTTGGCAGTGTTTTTGTAAACTTCATAAATCTTTTGGTTTAAATCATTTCTTAGAGTAGTCATTGGATCTTCTTTTCCAAAAACCTGCTTAAAGAAAACTAAAAAGAAAAACAAACATTTTTAAAAATGACCAATTAAAGAAATTTTCTATCCTCTTTTTACAAATACATACTTCCAACAAAAGGTTGGATGGCAGCTCCAAAGTTTGGAATACATCTATATAATTTTAAAACAAAATATTAATATTAAATAGGGGTCCACTGCACTGTTTTTTTTAGCATTCATAAATACCCAATTACACCAATAAAAACCTGTTGGGCATCATCATTAAATTCGTAAAATTTTCCATTATCTGAAACTAATTTCGTTGGTGGTTTAGCATCTTCCACGTCTCCAAAAGGTAATTGTCCTTTAAAAGTGTTTAATTTTTGCAAGATATCCATATTTTTAGAATTAGAAAATTGATTTGTCTTGTTTTAAATAATACTCTTGATCACCTCTTTTTATACTAAATTAAAATGGTGGAATTGGCAAAAAGAGTAAAAAAGTTGGGGTTCTGTTATCTATATGTTAAATTTTGTAGTTTTTTTGTAAACTATCTATATTTTAAATTTGGTAGATAGTTTTTTTGTAAACTACATTCTAGATTATAATACCAGTTCATCTCCATTTCAAACCATTTCAAATTAGGTAAACAGATATAAATATGTATGATGAATTTTAGGGTTGATAGTTTTTTCATTCTAAATTACAAAAAAAAATAGCATATATAATTATATATATGTGTAGCCAACAAATCTCTATATTTAAATAGTATTTAATACACGCCCCTAATCATCTTCATAATTAATAAGAACAAAACAGATCTATTAAGTATGACAATAAAATCTAGATTTGAATATTAGCTAACAGATAATTGATTTAATGGAGATTGCATAGTTTCATTTTTAATATAGCATCCCAATACAATAGAGTATTGAACAGACACTCTTCTTCTATTCGATTAGATTTATCAATGTTGTAAAATACAAATGGTACAAAGTCATTAACTCCCTACATACATATATATTAAATAAACCTAATGTATTCGTTTATTTAATTAATTGGGATAATCATCTTCCATTCCTAACTACAAACCAATTGGTTAAAAAGAGGAGGAGGGGCTACGGTTTCAGTTTTCATTCATTCTCCATAATAATATGTTCCATTATTATGGAAGAAAGAAGAAGAGCACCATTATAGATGTGTTAAAGAGTAAAGTCATCACAACACAAATATTCAAGAGAGATGATAAAGATTATCAATTATCAATTGAAAGGTTAAAGATTGGCCGTGACAGAGTGAACAACCTAGAGGCACAAAAAATCTTAAAGAGGATGATACGATATAAAGGCAGAGAGATTAATAATAGTGTAGATGTACAAGATTATATGATTGCAAAGTTTGCAATGCCATATGACTATATCAAACATTATCTGCCGAGTACAATGCACCAGATTAAAGATTGGTATGATGATGTGAATGAACATTTTCAAGTGTATCATAGAACATTGGCAATCGATAGATACGTACAACACCCAAATGCAACATTGGATACATTAAAGAAACTAATCGATTGGCATCCAAGTTTCAAACCATCAAATGTATCGGTTGAAAAGGCTGCTTTACAAGGTCACATTGAAATCATTCAATACCTTGACACCAACTATCCTCTCCATCTTCCTCTTCATATTCCTCTCCATCTTGATCAACATCATATCTACTCTTTAAATACATTTCATAATGCAGCAAAGAGTGGATGCTTAGAATTGGTCAAGTTTATTTGGTCTAGTCCAAGATTTGACCAACAAGGCGCAAAGAGTCATTTAGCAATCTATGGTGCTATTGAAAACGAACATTTACAAGTGGTAGAGTGGTTATATAAACATGCACCGTCTACTCAACATGCCGCTGATCAATGGTCATTCTCTGGAATGGAGTTGGCTTGTCAGAATGATCATCTAGATGTCATCCAATCGCTTGATAAACACAAGAGTACGATATCAGCTGGTGCCATTTACACTCTATGCGCCTAAGCCAGCTTGGAAAGTGTTGAATATATGTTTGGTAGATACCCCGATCGATTTGATTTACGTGCATTGGAATGTGCAGCGTTTGCTGGTTGTCAATCATTCAACTCATCCATCCAAAGTGTCAAGAGAGTGACGTTGCGACGACACCATCATCACAGGCTATAGAAATAGCAGCTAACTATATACCACCTCTGTACGGTTGACATGTAACAAATATAGTTTGGAAGGTCTCCACAAGGCTGCTTCATCCGGTCATTTAAATGTATTTAAATGGTTTGTTGAAAAGTATCCACATTCTCTCATCAGTACTATCAGATGGAAACCATATGCAGTAGCAGCATTACTTTCTGGTCAAACAGAACTTGTCGAGTGGATCATGACAACTACACATTTATATCAAACACATATAGTTTATTTGTTGGAAATTAAATCAAGAAATAAACAAAGAAATTTCAAGACAAAAGATAAAGAAGGATTCATAATAGAGTAGAGAAATAATAATATTGTATTAATAATAATAATAATAATGATAATGATAATAATAATAATAATGTAAATGTAAATGTAATGTAAAATATATATAATTTTTTTTTTTTTTCACCTAGTTATCTCATTTATAATTTAAGAATACTTTAAACAATACAAGATAGAAGGATGGATCCTTTTCACCAAACATTTTCTGTCTAACTCCATTAACGAGGAGACTTTGGTAAATGTAATGCTCTCCAGTTCCAAGCCAATGGTACATCAGGGACTTCTTCACATCTAAAAAAAGATTTAAATTGTGTTAAATGATGCAATGATGGAAATACTCTAATGAAAAGAAAAACTATTTTTTTTATTTTAATATTATTATTATTATTCAAAAAGATTTATAAAGTATTAATTATATTTATATTATTTATAGATTGGATGATAATTTTTTTTATACTATTATATATGTATACACATATATGATATTGTCACAATAAAATGATTATTTTTTTTGGGGGGAGGTAAATTATTTTCATTGAAGAAAAAAGAGTAAATAAGAGTTATTTACCTACACCTTATTTTCAACATAAATTTCAACAAAACCAATCTTTAACATTTCATTCTGAAAATAACGCATATTAACTCCAGATGATATGAATCCCGTTTCCGATTTAAACTCGATTGAGCCATAGAAATCATTTGGTAGATCAAATGTTTTTGATGTGAACAATCCATGAGCTGGTCCTCCATAATGGAAATCTTCCTTAAATGCATTTGAGTCATTAGCTTGTTCTCTGTCAGTATTTAAAATTGCAACACTGTCTTTTCTGGTAAATGTTTCTTTATAGATTTCCTCCTCTCCAACCTATTTAATATTATCATTACGATCATCACCTTCCAAAGTAATCGTGGTTTCACCATCCAAATCACCATCCAAATCATCATCCAAATCTCCATTTAAATTTTCATTCTTATCCTCCAGTGGTGTACTAGTAGTAGGAGGTTTTTCACTTGGTTTTTTACAAGTTGATCATTGGCCATTCACTCCAAACCTATTTTAATGTTAAAAAGTATCAGTGGTTTCGTTTCAGTTTCGGATTTCATTATCTGGAACATAGATCAAACATTCAAATATATATATATATGGAAGAAAGAAGAAGAGCAACCATTATAGATGTGTTAAAGAGTAAAGTCATCACAACACAAATATTCAAGAGAGATGAAGATTATTATTTATCAATTGAAAGGTTAAAGATTGAACACGACCGTGACAGAGTGAACAACCTAGATGCACAAGAAATCTTAAAGAGGACGATACGATATAAAGGAAAAGAGATTAATAATAGTGTAGATGTACAAGAAAACTATGACATGATTGCAAAGTTTGCAATGCCATACGACTATATCAAGCATTATCTACCGAGTACAATGTATCCTATCAAAGATTGGTATGATGATGTGAATGAACATTTTCAAGTGTATCATAGAACATTGGCAATTGATAGATACGTACAACACCCAAATGCAACATTGGATACATTAAAGAAACTAATCGATTGGCATCCAAGTTTTAAACCATCAAATGTATCGGTTGAAAAGGCTGCTTTACACGGTCACATTGAAATCATTCGATACCTCGACCAGTTGTACAATCGTAGAAAGTACGATATGCTTTCATCATACTACACAGAGGTAGCATTGGAAAACGCATCTCAAAGTGGTTGTTTAGAGTTGGTCGAGCGTATCCTTCAATCACACAATTTCTACCTTTCAAAACAATCAAGAATTAAAGCTATTAATAATGCAGCTCAAAAGGGGCATTTTAATATTGTCAGGTGGCTGTTTCCCCATGATGACCGGGTGCAAAAGGAATGGAAGGTTGAAACAATAGATTTGGCATGCCACAGTTGCAACGTTGAATTGATTCAATGGTTATATCAACACGGATGCAGACCTTCAGCCGATGCAATGGATATATTATCTTCAAGGGGTTGTATGGAAGGTATTCAATACTTGCACTTTGAATGCTGCCAAGCAAAATGCACAACATATGCAATGGATTGGGCAGCATATTCTGGGTATTTATCAATTGTTCAATTCCTCGATCAACATCGTACTGAAGGTGCAACTACAAGAGCTATGGATTATGCTGCACGAAATGGGCATTTCGAGACTGTAAAGTGGCTACATTTCAATAGAACCGAAGGGTGTAGTGTGAATGCCATGGATGGGGCGGCGGAAAGAGGCCACGAGGATATTTTCAAATTCCTTCACACCCACCGAACCGAAGGGTGTAGTGTGAATGCCATGGATGGGGCGGCGGAAAGAGGCCACGAGGATATTTTCAAGTTCCTTCACACCCACCGAACCGAAGGTTGTACCAAACGAGCCATGTACAAAGCATCAGAAAATGGTCATATTCAAATCGTTCAATTCATTCATCTCAATCGAACAGAATGGTATGATATTGATATAGCAATGAAACAAGCAGCTACTGGAAACCAACTCGATATACTCAAGTTCCTTCATATCATTAGAAATAGTAATGAATATAGTCATATAATGGATAGTGCTGTCTATTCAAACAATATTGATATGTTGGAGTGGTTACACGAAAATTACAGAGGTCATGCATACGACCCTCAGAAAATGGCAACTCGAGTGGGCAACTTGTGTGTTTTACAATGGTTTCTGGGCAAATACGGATTGCTTGAAGAATACCAAGTGAAATCATGCCTCAAGGCAGCTGCTTGTTTCGGTCATATGGCAATCATCAATTGGCTCGTTGAAACACATCCACACATCAAGTTGGAACCTATTATTGAAAGAATATTCGTTAAATGTGTAGATAGAGCTGCAGCCGAGGGAAATGTAGATGTTATTAGATGGTTTTATAAAAATGCAACTAGTGAAAGAACTCAGGTATTGGCAAAAGAGGTACTGGGTAACTTGTTAACAAAGACAATGAAATATGGTCGCCTACAAGTATTAAGGTGGTTAATCAACACTGACCGTCTTCAAGATGCCATGGACCAGAAAAAAGATAATAACAACAACAACAATATCATCAACGATGTGTTTGGAAATACCAACACCAACGATCTCCTTCCTATTCTCGATTCAAACTATTTGCGTGACCACCCAGAAATATATGCTCTGTTTATGCTTGCTCTTGAAAGAATAGGTATACACGGATTTAAAAAGAGTCCATATACATTTGCTCTTCTAAAGATGGGCCAACCTACACACGACTATAGTTTCTTGCCAGATATTATGTTATATGGACCTAGAGATTCCTTTCGCCGTCGGCTGTGGTTATGTTTTGGAACATCATCAAACCGGGTCATAGCCATACTTGTCATACCTGCAATTGTTTCATTGCTTCAAATACTCTATGGGTGTATTGTTGGTCCTGTAGATCAATCAATATCCTATCATCACATTTTCATCTTTATTGTTAGCTTCTTTTTCTTTGCAGTCATCGAAAACAATAAGACTAGCAATCCCCTAGAAGCCTTATTTAAATAAATAAATCAATCAACAAATATCTAAATAATTAAATGAATGAATAATGACGATCAAACAATTATAAGACTAGTCAATAAAAATCTAAATAAATAATTAAATAATTAATTTTAATATCATCAACAAGGAAAGGTTAACCTAGGTATTTTCTTTGCACAAAGAATTATATTATATAATAAGCTAAAGAAAATGATAAAAGGAGGAGAAGAGATTACATTTAAAGATGTGTTTAGAATAATGGTCATTAGAAGACACATCTTTGGGGCATTGTGTAGTGGTCGTGATTGGGTATTGACAGAACAAGACAAAAGAAAATTAAGTGCAATCGACCCTCTAGAACCAAGCAATAGCAAGAGAATAGAAACTCTAAGAAAGAGAATACAATATAAAGGAAGAGAGATTAATGTAGATGTACAAGAAAACTATGACATGATTGCAAAGTTTGCAATGCCATACGACTATATCAAGCATTATCTACCGAGTACAATGTATCCTATCAAAGATTGGTATGATGATGTGAATGAACATTTTCAAGTGTATCATAGAACATTGGCAATTGATAGATACGTACAACACCCAAATGCAACATTGGATACATTAAAGAAACTAATCGATTGGCATCCAAGTTTTAAACCATCAAATGTATCGGTTGAAAAGGCTGCTTTACACGGTCACATTGAAATCATTCAATACCTTGACACCTACTATCCTCTTCATCACTACACCCAGACAACATTTGAAAATGCTTCAAAGAGTGGATGTTTGGAATTGGTCAAGTTCCTACACCAAAGTAAACGAAGTCTTGGAGCAACGTCCAAGGCATTAGATGGTGCTACTGCGAACGGACACTTACACGTGGTACAGTGGCTATATGAAAATAGAAAGGAGGGATGGTCAGATCAAGCAATTGAATTGGCATGTCGAAATGATCACCTCGATATCATTCAATGGTTATACCAACACGGGTGCAGACCGTCATCCAATGCATTTGATAGTCTATGTGCCAGTGGGAGTTTGGAGAGTATTAAATACTTGCATTTTGAATGTAAAGTAAAATGTAGTACAAGTGCAATGGACTTTGCCTCTGCCAATAACAGACTATCAACTGTACAGTTTCTACATCAATATCGTAAAGAAGGTGTATCATCAGCTGCAATGACATGGGCTGCATCAGCAGGACACTTTGAAATGGTCAAGTGGTTACACGCCAACATTAAATCAAGACGTGTCATTAAAGAGGCTATGGATGGGGCAGCGGAAGCAGGATACGAAGATATTGTTAGATTCCTTCACGTTAATCGAACTGAAGGGTGTAGTACACAAGCCATGAATTCTGCAGCGAGAAATGGTCACCTTCAAATTGTCCAATTCCTTCATTTCAACAGGACTGAAGGATGCACTTTCCATGCTATCAATTCAGCCGCAAAGAATGGCCATCTCAATGTCTTGGAATTCCTTTTTCTCAATAGAAAGGAGGGATGTAATCATTTGGCTATGGATGGTGCAGCAGAAAACAACCATACAGAGGTATTAGAATGGTTACACAAAAACTACAGCAACCAAGGATACAAAGATGCTTTAAAATTGGCGACAAAGAATGGTCACTTACGTGTACTCAAGTGGTTTGTCGGTAAATACAATCTAAAACTATCCAAACAAATACTTGAATCGTTAGCCGAACTTGCCTCTGAACAAGGTCATCTTAAAGTGTTAAAATGGTTATTTGGTCAGATGGTTGGAAAGAATTCAATTGGGTCGTGGAGTATTACCAAATGTATCACTCGAGCTTCGATTGGTGGGCAATTGGACGTTCTCAAATGGTTGTATGATATTAAATCTATTAGACCACACTTTAATTTTGTGTCGTTGGAAGATGCATCTTATTTTGGACGATTTTCAGTGATACGTTGGATGATCAACCAACTGAAACTCTCCAATTTCAGTGCCAAAGCAATACAAGAGCTAGCAAACAAATCATCGGTTGCCAATCGACCCGAACAAGTTGTATTCTTTATACTCGCACTTGAAAGACACCCCAGTCCCTTTTACGCCGGTCAATTGTTTGATTCATCCAAATGGGCCTTACAAAATGGTTATTGGGACATTGAGAGGCTTGTCAATCAATTTCAAGACTTGTCCTATCGCTACCAAGTATGGGGTCGTCCATACAGTATAGAACGATCATATTGCATCTTGTTTGTATTATCTGCTATACTTTCAATCATTCATATCGCATTTAAATATTTCACTAGACAAGGACAAGAGGGAGAGATTTACTCTTATCTTCATATTTTCATTCTATTTTTTGTTCCATTCTTTTTTGCTACTAGAATTTGGTCTATTAAATAAATTACTACCAACATTATTATTATTATAATTATTATTACACTTTTATTATTATTAATTTTATTCATTTCTTTGAAGAAAAGATGAATTTGTTAATTGTTGACCAATATTTTCATTTTCCATAAATCTAGAAGCAAAATCTTTGTAATGAGAGTTTCTCATAAAGGATGCAGAGAATTGGGGAACGGTAAGGGCTATACCATAGCCAATAAAATTAGAGGCAATGAGTATTCCGATAGATTTTGGGTTGTTACGTACACCAATATAGGCACCAAAGAGAACTGCAGTTGTATAGACCCACTGCCCAGCTGCGTATGAAAGTGGAGCATCAAGTCTTCTTAGTACACGATTAAAGTCTAATGCTTCAACCAGACCATCATTGACTATAATATATAAAACCTGAAAGAATAGGTCGGGGACAGACAACCATCCCTTGTAAAAACCAAGAGCCTTGATAAGTGTATCTGCCAGATAGAGATGAGGTGCCTGTGCCATGATGGTTGGAATGAATCGTTTCCAACTTTGTTTTTTGGCAATTAAAAGTGATTTTTGGAATACCGGTTCCCGGGCATGATATATAATTTCTTGGTTTGTATAATGTGATACAACTGTGAACATTGCCTTTCTAAGATCCCAAAATTCATTATCCTTTTCACCATCTATAAGTAAATACATAACATTTCCAACATTACATGACATTAATAATGGAATTGTTTCTAAAAAAAAATAAAATAAAAGAAAATAATGATGGTTAATAAATAATCAAAAACATTATATATTTATATATATTTAATCATACCAGGACGATAAATAATAAGTGAAGAAAAAGCATAACACAATCTAACTAAAATTGGATAAGATGGAATTTGTTGAAAGATTTCTATCATTTCTTTGATTGGTATATTCTTTGTCAATTTAACTAAATAAATAAAAAAAATATTAATGTTTACCTTTTTTTTTTTGATTGATTGATCAATTGGTCTTGATGACATACTTTCTAAAATGATTTCCTCTAAAATATTAAATGCATCAGCAATCCTAGAATCTTGCATCATTGATTCAAAGTATAATTCCACTTGTAATTCTGATAATGGTAAACCGCAAGAGGTAATGTGAGCCATTGATCGGAATGATACATCGATGATTTGTGTCAACTTGATGGCATTGGCTCGAGTGGCCATAGCTCTCACCAAACTAAGGTTGTGAAGAGCACTTGACAATACTCTGAAATCCTCCAACAATTCATTGACATCGGCACCACTAGCTGGCATTTCTCCCAATGTAGCAAAGGCATGTGTTTCATCTATAATTCTCTGTGCTTCTCTTTTGAACCTAGGTAATTCATCACTAACAAGTACTCCATATGCTTTAAATATACATAAATCGATCAGTCAGTTGAATGTTATTAGAGCGTGTCAGCTGCTGATGAAATTACTACATACCATAATAGCAAAATAATGAACCAGATATAGTACTTAATATAATCTTATCCATCTTTGGTACCTTTTCAAATCTGTCTACTACAAAAGGAATGAATTGCTTCAACGAAGGTACGATATCATTTGATCGTAAGCTTGTAAGCTTTGATATAATTGATGTTGTCATATTCATATTCATATTTGTTATATTATAATATTATATATACTACTATATTATATATATATACTACTATACTACTATACTACTATTACTAAATGGATAGAGATATCTGCAATGATCAGTTGGTCGACATGTTGATGATGTGTTTAATCTAACAAAAAAAAACAAATTGCATCTAAGATATTTCTATTTTACTCAGAGTGAGTTGGTTATACAACATTCATTCATGTGAGCGACTATTTCCAAAGTAGAATGAACTCAAGAGAGAGTGTCTGATATACCTCCTTAGTTGATATTAGTTCATTTAATAAATATTATTTTTTGAATTCAAATAATTTACTGATGGGTGGTAATCGCAGAAATCAATTATGCAAGATGGTCCGACACCAGCAAAAAAGAGAGTTGTAAATATTTATTAATAAAAACCAATACTAAGAATAATAATAATAATGATAAAGACAAGGAGACAGATTGCCAATGAGGAGAAAGCAACAGCAATAATCATAGACTCATCTTCTTCATCTTCAGATGATGACGATGATGAAGAGGAAGTAATAGAGACAGATAAAAATAAAAAGAAGAAGAATAATAATAATAAAAACAAGACACCTCCTCGTCCTCCTCCATCTAAAGTTATATCAATAGAAGACGATTCACAATCAAGTAGTCAAGAAGAATCAGAAGTATCAGAATCTGAATCAGAATCATCAGATTCATCTGATATAGACATGTCATCGGGTGAAGAATATCAACCTTCATCAAAGAAGAAAAAGGGACCTAGTAGTAGTAGAATATCAACACCTCCTCCTAAACCAGCCAAACAATCTGCAAGGAAAACTCCTGCTTCTTCAAAAAAAGCAGCTCCTACTACAAAATCGCCATCACCAACAACATCACCAACCAATAACAATAATAATAATGATAATAATGATAATAATAATAATAATGATAATAATGATCAACCAAAACCAAGAACTATAATTGATGTAATTAGGGATATATTTACAAAGGCACAAAAAGCAACTACCTATCATTCATCACAAAAGAAATTGATTCTAGAAATGGATAAACGATTGACATATGAAAATAGAGAACAACGATATAAAGAGATGGTGACATTGATTGACAGCTCATTGGTCCTTGATGGTTCACCTAGTGTTGCCGTATTCTTTTCCTTTATCGCTGATTTGGCTCAAGAACTGTACAAACTAGACGAGGCACGAGAGGAAAAGGATATACTGTTTGATTTTGAGGTGCATTCATTCACTCATATCTTATTGCGTCGATTAATTATTTCAATGGAATCAAAGGACAAAACTGTCAGATATCGTTCATGTCAATTGGTCAAAACTATTTTATGTGTTTTTGGCAAAGCAGAGTTACAAATCGACGAAAACTTATACGATGCACTTACAAAATCAGCTGTCCGTCGTCTCAATGATAAATCACCATTGGTAAGAAAAGAAGCTGTTGGTGCATCTGTCAAAATCCAATTTCCAAGAGAAAATGATCCAATCACTCGAAAGTTTCTTTCCATTCTCTCTTTTGATCCATCAGAGTAAGTAAAGAAGAAATAGAAAATATAATATAATATAATTTATTTATTTATTTATTTATTAATCGATTTATTTTAATTTTTAGAATGGTTAGATCAGAAGTATTAGAGACAATGAATATATCAAAGGGAATATTACCACCGATTTTAGAAAGAACTATGGACAAGGATAAAACGGTTAGAGAAAATGTTTTTAAATTTTTGGGAGTCAAATGCAAGTTGAAGCTAATCGCATCTGCCAATGATCGAATTACAATTATACATCGTGGATTAAGAGACAAGGAAACAAAGGTTAAAGAGTCTTGTAAAAATACTTTATTGAGATGGTTGGAACCTAAAGAAGAAAAGGAAAAGGAAAAAGAAAAAGAAAAAGAAATAGACAAACCTGATGAAAATGGAAATCAAGATGGTCAATCGGAAAACAATACTTTACAAGGTCCAAAAGAAAATTACTTTGAATCGTTTTTAAAACTTTTAGATGTAGAGAATCATCAAGAACAATGTGAAAATGTAATTCGTACATTGTTTGATCTTAAAAAGTTTTCTTTATGTAAATTTATCGAGATTGCAGAACAAAAAGATCAATTAACACCCGAAATTATATTCTCTTGGAGAGTTTATATGGATTATTTATTTGAACAAGATGAAAAGGTATGTAAAAAATAATATAATAATAATTTAGAAATATTATTTACTTATCTTTTTTTTTTTTTTTTTTTTAAATCATTTAGGCAGAACACAAAGATGAAGAATATGAATATAAAATTGATAAAATCATGCCAAGTGGAAAATTATTTTGGGAATTATTAGAATCTTATCAAAACAAACATTTTATATTTGGTCAACTTTGTTTGATTCTTTGTCATGCTGATATTGAAGATTTAAAACTTTCAAAATTTGAAGAATTATTTAGTAATTATTAACAAAAGAAATTTAAAAAGGTTGTTATTATTCTTAACTAATTATTTATTTTTATTTGATTTTACTATAGGAAATGTATTAACATCATTTGAATATGAATTAAAAGATAAAAGAATATTATTACAAGCACTTAGAAAAATTTATACTGGTAGAGAATCAATTTGGAGAGAAGAAATGGTTATTTATATAATATCAAACATTAGAGATGAAGAAAGACCACCAAATGTTTCAGAGCCAATGCAACAACTTCATATTTTAACAGTTTTAACAGATCTATTGGAATATAGTAATATTCCAGTATGTACACACATAAACAAAGTGATTAATATTTATTTAATACTAATATCGATCTATAAAATTTACTTTAGGATGAAATGTTACTTAGTTTTGAAATTTCAATTCTCAAAGATTGGATTGCAAATGGTGATCCACAAGTTAGAAAAAAGGGTGTACGATGTTTTGGACTACTTTCAATTTTAGATGTACAACATAAACTGGCAGATATAGGTTATGCATTATTGTTAAAAATACTAGATACTGATGTGGAAATTGTAAAATCATCTACTCTTAAAACTTGTTTTGATGTCATTTTATCAAAGCCACCAAAATATCATCAAGAATTCTGTTCCAAATTCACAATGGCAATTCAAAAACATAACTTTTTCCCCTCCAATCAAAAACTCCAACTTAAATGTATTGAAGGAGTTTGTAAATTATTTTTTAATTCTCATATTTTTGATCAAAAGGTTGGTAAATTATAAAAAAAAACATATTAATTATTAAATAGACTAATGATATTTATTTTTATTTAATGTAGACATTTGATAAATTACAAATTCCATTATATACAAAGTTTTCATCACAATCACCATTAAATCAAAGTAAACAAATAATAGATTTATTCCTTCGTCACTTTATCCATCAAAAAAGAATTCATATGGAAATGTTTGTTAAATCTTTTGGTCCTACATTGGAATACTTCCTCTCTTATTATAGTTGTCAGAAAAGTGAAAGAAAAGAAGTACTTGAAAGAGTTGTATCAAAGTTTTTAGATTATATTAAACCTACAACAGAAGATCAGTAAGTTGAAACAAACAAAAGAGAGAGAGAGAATCATCAACAATATACCCTAACCATTTGATTCTTTTTTTTTTAGGAAAACAAGAATGAAAGTTATAAAGAGTTTAAGAGACAAAATACTTTTGAATTTATTAATGACTATTTGGAGTCATTCCAAGAGAAACCAAGAAAACAAGCAAAAGTCAAAGAATGATTGTACAGAGTATTTATGTTTTTGTCTTCGATTCTTTAAAGGATTTCTTCCAGAAGACACTGCCAACTTGCTCAAAGTCAAGCAATTCATCATTGAAATCAAACCATTCCCATTTCCAAAACGTGCAAAGGACGTACTCAAAGATTTTGAAGAAAGTGTCAACCAATTTGTCAATTCTTCTCATCTGGCCGAAAAAACTGTCGATCAAGAAGCTATCAATGATGAGCTCTTGCAATTTGAACAATATTTGGAAAATAATAGATCGGATCTTCCTCCTGAAATGCCCAAAGACAATCACGCCAACAACGGTAACGATGATCAAGGTCACCAAAATCAAGGAGATACATCAATGGCACAAGAAGAAAGACCAAGAGTAGAAGTTGAACCGGAACAAAATGGTCAAGAACCAGTTGATGACCAAGTTTCTTCACCAATTATGAATGATCAAGATGTATCAGTTGATCAAGCTGAAGCTCCAAAAACACCAACCAAATCACCAAAAAGAAAACAAGATGATCTTTTTGATGATAACGATTCAACTACTACAACTACTACAACTACTACAACAACAACAACAACAACAAAAGTATATCCATATGACCAACCAAGTAGAACTTATGTTCAACCACAACAAATACAACAACCAAGTCCATACAAGAAATCCAAAAACACAAATGTTCCACAAGAGAATATGACAAGTGAAGAAGAGGAACAAGAACAAGAACAAGAACAAGAAGAAGAAGAAGAAGAAGAAACAAAATCAAATAATAATAATAATAATAATAACAGATCTAATAAGAATTGTATGTTGATGTAAAAAAAAATATCGGTTGATTAAAAAAAAATTCATATGACCAATTTAATGATTGAAGAGGAAGAGCTTGATGAATGTCCTCGCTCACATTATGTAAATAAACTTTTTTGTTTGAAACAATTTCATAAACCAAAAGGAAACCATGTGGATCGACGATTCATGAGAAATTCGCACCCTGTGATCGGACTGTTTGCTTTGTCTAAAGGGTTGCATTGTGAGACACAAACTCGTCTCGTGGCTCTGTGTCAAGGATGACAACGACAAAAAACTGGATTTTGACATGTTCTGTTTCAGCAAAAAAACTAAATCAATTCGTCGAAGTAAAACAAAGCGGTGAACTGTTATTGGAGAAAATGAAATTAAATATATATAAATAGATTTTTCATATTATTGAACTTTAAAGTTGAGAGCTAGGGCATGTCCAACATCTGGACTAATGAATGCAACACTTGACACATTATTACCCCCTCCCTCATCCTCTCCTCTATAATCTCTTTCCTTCCTACTAGAATAATAATAATAATAATATTAAAAAAAAACAAAAGACAAAAGACAAAACATAATATAGCAGTAATAATCCAAAACCCCCAACTGCACCACCCCCCACAACAACCAATAGAATTCATAGTTATAGGTTTTTAATATTTTATATATTTAAATTCACCATTATGAATTAGACAACCTTATATATATATATATCGCGAACCAATTGAATTGATAGTTTGTTTGTTTGTTGTGGATATCATCTCGAGACGACAAAGACAGAGTACACAGCACAGCACAGCACAGCATACAGAACTCAAAAAAGTAGTGTTGCAGTGTTGCAGTAGTGTAGCCATCGTCGTGATACGCTATTAGCACAACACACTCAGAGAGAGAGAGAGAGAGAGAGAGAAAGAGATACTACAGTTACATATTCTAGAATGTCATCTTACACTTCTTTTACAGACCAACGCACCATCCCGCCGTCACAACTACAACAACTACAACAACAACAGATACATAATAATAATAATAATACGACAACGACGACATCAACAACATCGACAACGACAACGACAACGACATCGACTACGACATCAACAACACCAACATCATTATATTATAATAATCAACAAAACTATTATCTACAAGGTCATGATCGAGAGTTACCACCATTATCACCATCTTCGTCGGTTTCAACGTCGACGCCACCGACCTCGCCTCTACTTGGACAGACGGCCCCCGCCGAGTTATTGCCTTTACCTTCGCTATTGCCGAATTCGTCGCTCTTGTCAAACGTGTTACTTAAAAATATCGAAATGAAAAACAACAGTATTGTGAACCATACGAAATGGAGCGATGAACAATTACGAGAACTGAGGGTGATCTATGATCGTATTGCCCAACGACTCATTGAAGACTTTGAAATCGAGATATCAAGAAAGGAATGGAAGTTGTATCTCGATAAAAAGGACGTTCAATTGTCAACACGACCAAGCAGTAATATCACCTCTAGCAATTGTCTTGCCCGACTCAACGTTCAATGTCCTCCCATTGTCGGAACGGCCTATACCCGTGATTGGCAATGTCGATACCAATATGACAAGTTTCTCGATGACTACGACCTACTCTACTATTACACTTGTAACGATAAAACACGTGCCAAAAAACATAACATCCCTTACTCTGACTATGATGTCATATTACTTAGAATGACAACAAACAAAATGATTTGGGTAAAATCAAGAGAAGCTACAATGATTCAGTATGTCGTCAAAAGATAATATAATATAAATATATTAAACTTTCTCTAATATTTTTTTTTTTGGTTATTTTTGTTTTAGAGTTTCAGGACCACATCCAACAAGACCAAAAACATTTATTACAGTTGGATGTACAGTCGATTTTAGTGGAACACCACCACATCCATCTTATTTTAAGGCTGGATGTTCAATGTTGGCTTGGTTGTACGAACCTATTGGAGATGGTAAAACGTCACATTGTACACATGTATGTAATTTTGATTTTGCAAGAGACACTTCTTCAATTGCAGAGATTTTTGTATTACCAATGTTTCCAAAGTTTCCACTGTTGAATGCCTACTTTAAGTTACTCTTTATTCGATCAAAATTAAAAGAGATTCAATCAAAATCGGATTCTGGTAAACAAGGACTATCACAATTGTTGTCTGGTTCGAGTTCACATCACTATAGCATCAACCGTAAAAAATTGGCACATCAATCAAAGGATGCAAAGAAACGTGTAAAGATTACTATTGACTTTACAAATCCTCCAAATGATTGGGTTACACTCATCCTTCAAAGAGCTACCAACACTAATTGGAAAACTCTTGCTTCCAATCCCAATTCAAAACTATATACTGTTCAATATAATTTTAATCATACTTTAAATGATAGAAAACTAATTTTCATTAAAACTGTAAGTAAAAAACAAAAAAGAAAAAGAATGAAAAAAAGAAAAAGATATTAATTTGTTTTTTAATTTATTAGAGTTTAGAATATGATTGTACAATTGATAAACTAAGTTTATTATTGATAGAAAATTATATAAATTGGGATAAATTTGTACATACTATAAGACATGCTGACCGTGGGGTCATCGTTTCAGGTGGAGGTGGATCAATGTCAAAGAAACTTCATTATAATGTTCCTAGTTTTGAATTACAATGTTTAAGATATTTTGGTTATTCAGATGGTAAACCATTTGCTATTGAAGTAAATATTAAAAAAGAAAATCAAAAAGAAAAAGAAAATAGAATTAATTATTAATTTTAATTTTATTTTATTAGGAAAGAGAAAATGGAGATATATGTTTTTATTTAATTAGAAAAACAGTCCAGGGACTATCAGCAATAGATATATACTTTCTTGTTTATAAAAATAATTGGTTGGACAAGTTGGAGATTTATAGTAACATGTCCAAAGAAAAACAAATTGGAAAGACTATCAAATCATTTTTAGGAGGTTCTGAAAAGAGTAAATCAAAACCACCACCACCACAATTGTCACCAATGGCCACTTCACCCAACTTGGCATCATCCACTTCATCTGTAGGTTCAAATTCCTCTCAAAGTCAACAACCACTTTTACCACCATCATCTCAACACAACGATAATGGAAGTAGCAGTGGTGGAAGTAGCGGAGGCAATAGACAAACAAAGGATTTTTACTATTTTAGTATTGTTCAAATGTTTGAGACAATGATTGAAGGAGTTTATTTCCAAATGTCGACGGAATTTTTAGAGAATCTAAAGGTTTTGACGATTGATGAAAGTTTGGAACTTGCTCCACTTGCCGAATTGCCAACACGGTATGACGACCAGGATGACATGATGATTGCCAACCTAGAGAAACAAAAAATCAAGCTTCAAGAGAACAAACTCTGCATCTACGATTGGTCACGAGGACATGAACGATGTCAACATGATTGGCACACCAACTACACGCAAGAGAACAAAAGAGACGCACGAAACAAAACAAACCGATAGATCATCAAGTTCATTCTCCTCTACCTACACTACAATGACTATAGATAGTAGAAAAGCTAGTGTTTGTAGTATTGGAGGAGATATATCTATGATCAACAATAATAATAATAACAGTCAACCATCATTCCTAGATTCTCACCGACCAGATTCTTTTCTCTTGCCACCTTTTTTCCCAACCAATCATTATTGGAAACCAACTCAAGAGAATATGGGAGAATTATTTTTACGCAAGCCATTGGATGGTTTTAGTTTAAACAATAATAATAATATTAATAATAATATGATTGATGAATTATCCAATACGGCAATAACCAACAACAACAACAACAACAACAACACCTCGACAACAACAACAACAACATCTACTACTACTACTACTACTACTTCTATTGACTCTGAACCATATATACTCATGCTTCCACAAGAATTGTTACATCATATTTTTTCATTTCTTGGGGATGTCGTGCTATGTAGACTATCGCGTACTTGTAAATATTTCAAAATGGTTTCAGAGTCTGACAGCCTATGGTACCCTGTATTTGTTTGTAGTTTTGGAAAATGTTGCTTCAAACCAAACAAGTTGGATCGTCTCATTGCACCACGCACTTTTTCCTCACTATGGAACGACTATCGAAAGACAGAGTTTCCCAACATATCTACGCTCAAAGACCCAACATCATCCTATTTTCTCTCAAAGGAAACCATGTTTGAGTCGATTCCTACTGCTTGGAAGAAAAAATTTCTTTGCAAAATTAGAACTGAAGCCTTGTGGAGCCTATGTACAGACACCCAACCGCAAAACAATGGTCTCAATTACTATCCAAACAACAAATCGGCACTCGACAGAGATCCCATTCCTCTATCATCTGTAACCATCTGTTCATATCGTATCTATCCTTCATTGGTTACAATCTATCCAAAATCACGATCAGATTCCATCTCTTCGTGTCTTTTACATCACAGTAAAGCTTATTTTGCGACTGATCAAAATAACTTTATTCAGGCAAATATTTATGAAAACATTCCAGATAAAATGTTTAAAAGATTAAATTTTGAAAAGGAAATTAATAATATTGATAATAATAGTATTGATAATGGTCAAGATGATATAGAAATGGGAGACTCAACAAACAATTCTTTAAAGTTATGGTTAAATGAAAGAGGAATTTTAACTTCTTTATGTGCCAATAGAAGATTGTACAAGATTGATACGAATCATTCAAAACCACCATTGACATCAATTGATGATTTAATGGAGGAGGATATGGAACAACAATCATCACACAATAATAGCGACTTTAATAACAATAGCAACACCGATCACTTACAACAACCAAAATATATAACTTTGATTAATCCAAAAATACAGTATCCAGCCTGGGACGTAGTTGGATGCAGTAATAGTAAGAGTGGAGAACTCGTAGCACTACACTATAATAGTTGTCAAGACAATAACGACGACCATGACACTGTCGTTGACTTGTTTAGTTGCTCCGATGGAAAGTACCTCAGATCGTTTGATAGAGGCGGCGAGGAGATTGCTGCAATCGATCTCAACATGAGTAGACTTGGAGTGGGTGGATTCAGTGGACCTATCGACCTGTATGATATCAACACTGCATCCAAGGTGTTGACCTTTTTGGGTCACACTGACAAAATCACCAGTCTCAACGTATTGGACGATGAAGATATCGTAGTGGCATCGAGTAAAGATTGTACAGTTAAATTTTACGACGAAAGAGGAGGTCCCTATTATGTCAAACGTATCGTGACAACCGAGCCTGTGCGTCGTGTCTACACCTCTACTACTCGTGTCCTTTGCGCCACCAAATCCAATCTCTCCTACTATGATCCTCGTAATCTATCCAAACCCATCGGACAACTATGGAACCCACCCAAAACAAATGTAGTATCTATTCAAATGACAAATTATAATGTAATGGTTCTATTTAACAATGGTATATCTCATCTTTGGGATTTTAGATAAAAGAGAAAAAAAAAGAAAAAAAGAAAATAGACAGACAGACATAGAATAAATTAATTTATAAATCAAACTTGATAATTTTTCAACACTCGAAACATTTATACAATTAAGACTATTTTTAAATTCAAAAGGTTATTTTCAAATAATAATGTTTTTATTATTATTTAGTTTTAGATTTTCCCCAATGATTATGTTATCCCCTTTTTTGTTTTTTGTTTCTTTGTTTTTTTTAACCCCCATTGTTGTGATTAATATAATATATTCTTTGTTGTTATTGTTATTGTTGGATTCACATATATCCTTGTCCAACTTTTTTTAATTTTTGTTATTATTATTGTACGATTTATGTAGTGTTGATGGTAAGGGGTGGTTGTCCAATAACAGCGTTGTTACTGGTTGATAAATTAGTATTTGATTTGTTGGTTCCGCTAGAACTTGTGTTTAGACTGATGTTATTTGTCAAGTTTGTGCTACTAGTGACAACACTTGACATTCTCGAGAGCATGTTTTCCTTGTTGGTGTGAGCCGATGCGGTGCTGCTCGATGAAGATGGGGCAGTACTATTGGCAAGGTTCCCAGTGTTGTTTGATGCAGTGGATGACGATGAAGTAGATGTTGACGAAGTTGGAGCCTTTGTGAAACATTTCATTTCATCAAATTGTTCCAAATTGGCCAAATTGACACCATGCAAGAATGGATGAGCTAAAATATCATCAATAGATGCTCCTTTAAAAAATAAAAGAAAAAAAGAAATTAAAACAAAACAATTAGTAATCTTTTTATATTTGATTCATTAAATTTAATATTACATACTCTTTGTTGGATCAAATAAAAATATTTTTGATAATAAATCAATAACTTCCTTGTCTTCGATTCTAGAGAAAGTTTCATCTAATTTTCTATTGGGAGTTCCTGGTGGCATTTGAGCCTTGTTTGGTCTCATTGCCTCCCAATCTTCTTGTGATGGATTACCCAAGATTTCGGAAATACGAATCAATTGATCCATTGAATTTGTACCTGGGAAAATTGGTTTTCCAAGTAACATTTCGGCCAAAATACAACCAATTGACCAAATATCCTAAAAAAATAAAATAAAAAAAATAAAGATTATTAGAATATAAATAATTGATTTGTTTTTTTTTTTGTTTTTGACTTACAATTTTTGTTGTATAATTTGCACAACCAACCAATAATTCAGGAGCTCTGTAGTAACGAGAACAAATATAAGACATACTGGTATGATTTGCTTCAAGTATTTTGGCACTACCAAAATCAGCGAGTACCAATTCACCCTTGATGTTCAAAAGGATATTGTTTGGAGTGATGTCTCTGTGACAAATATTTTTGGAATGGATATGTTTAATGGCCAGACATAATTGATAGAATAGAACTTTAACAAAATTGATTGAAAGGTATTTCTTTTTCAATAGGGTAGCCAATGTATAAGGAATAAAATCAAATACCAAATTCTAAATATTAAATAAAAAGCGTTAATATTTAAATGTTAATTGAAATATTTTTTAAATTCTTTTTTTATGTATTTTACATACTTGCATTCTTTTGTTGTCTTCAGAGGTGAAGTACATATCTAAAATCTTCAAACAATTGGGGTGATTGATAATTCTAAGGATATCATATTCTCTCGAGATGAAATGAGTTGATTTTTCCACCTTTTTGATTGCCACTCTTTTGTTTTCAATGTTTTTGGCTTCATAAACCTTTCCAAATGTTCCTTGTCCAACAATTCTTAAAATTTCGTATGGAATGCTCTTTCCATGGATCGATGTTGGGTTGTTGGTATTTTCCTTCAAGTGAAGATACTCCTTCTTTTCTCCAATAGTTTCATTTTGTGTTGTACCCTTCATTGTATCTGGAATGGTCATGATAGACGCTCTGTTGAACATTTTTTAAAAAAATAAATAAATAAATAAATATTGGTATTTAAAATAATATTTTGTTAATATTAAGATTATTATTAATTATTATTATTATAAAGAAGAGGACTATAGTGATGAATTGGGGATATTATTTTTTTTTTTTTGTTTAAATAAACAAGTTAAAAATAAAATATGCATAAGAAAAAAAAAAAGGAAAATGGTATTTAAATGGAGAAAGGTGGATCACTTTTAGTTTAAATGGAAAATCGCGATTGTTTAAAGTAGAATGGGTGTGAATATGATAGGGAGTATAGTGTATTCATAATTCCTACCCGATGAGAAAGTCTAGATGTATCTTGTGTATCGTATCGCCACTACCACCACCACTACTACTACTAGTATTGTTGTTGTTGTCTGGTTTAATATTATTACTGTATGCGCGTTGGCAAAACTGTTCTAATCGATAAAAATAATTCAAGAGGGAGCTGACCAGAGGGATGATATGGTTAATATAAGGTGTCAAAACTAAAAAGAAATGTTTGCTGGGTGCGATAAATAAATAAATAATAAATAAATCAGGATATAAAGAATAGAGAAAAAGAGAGAGTGAGTGTGTCGCACAACAAAAAGTAAGAAGATGTAGTATCGATGCAGCAGCAGCAAGCAGTAGTAAGAGAGGAGAAAAGAAAAGAAAAGAAAAGAAAAGAAAATCAACACACACGCACACAGAGAGTGAGAGAGAGGTAGAGAGAGAGAGAGAGAGAGAGGTAGAAGTACTATTTATAAAAAATGGTGACAATATATGCTGTCCATATAATAATAGTCATGGAATGAATAAAAACACAATGTGGTATATGGTAATCACATATATAAAAAAAATAAAATAATAAATCACCAAAAGCATCCAACACCCCCCACACCTACAATTGTATTGACCAATTTGACAACATCCTCTTCATTTGTCAATACTATAACTGCGCGGTGTTTTGCTCCTCCTTCTGCTGCTTTTTTGATGTTGTGTTGCTGTTGTTGTTGTTGCTGCTGTTGTTCTTGTTGTTGTAGTTGTTGTGTTGTTGTTGTTGTTGGTGGTGATGATGATGATTGTTTTTTTTATTTTGGTTGCACTTGATTTGAAATTGAAAAACAAACACACCACATTTTTTCTTTATATGCAATTGTGTGTAGTGGGTGTGTGGTGATATTTGGTGGTTGTGGGTGATCGAGGGGAGAATGCTCTCGATAGTGATAGGAATTCTTTTCCCTTACAGATATACAACAGTAACTTGAACCATCATCGTTAGATGCATGGTTTTTTTTGTTTTGATTTGTTTTTTATTGGTCAGACTGGCAACCTGCCAACAACAACAAAATCAAATGACAGTCAATACCATATAAACACCCACCCACAAAATAAACACTAATATTAACCAAAACATCAACAATATAATTTAAAATAACCAAAACACATAAAGATTTAAAAGATGATGATGATGGTCATTTAATAAAATACAAAACCACCAAAAATGGTTAAAAGTAATTGTTTAAAAATAAACCAAGATTAATTTAGAAAATCATGATTATACAAGAAAAGTATTGATTGATTGATTTGGCGATTGATTTTGTAAAACAATAAAAAAAAACAAAAACAAAAAAATAGTTGTAAAGATGAAAAATGATTGAATCTAGATATATATGTTGAGTTGTTATATTCCAGAATCAATGTTGTTGTTGTTGTTCCTATTGTTGTTGTTTTTGGGTATCACTCACTTTTTCTTTTTGGAATCTTGTTCCTTTTCTTCCTCGAGCTGTTGTTGTTGTTGGATTATTATTTCCTGTTCTTGTTCCTCCAATATCTTTGAATGTGACAAAGAGGTCAATAGTTTTTGATGTTGTTGTTTACACTGCTGAACAACAATCGATTCTATTTTTAAAGTAGTTGTATTACAGCCTCCAGTGGTACTAGTAGTTGTAGTTGAATTAAATAAAGTATTATTATGGTAACGGTGATAATCCATTAAGTATTCTAATCTATTCTCTCTCTTGTAAATAAATGTCTATCTATCTATCTATGTATCTATCTAATATTTTATCAAACTATTTAATATTTGTTTGTGTTGTATTTGTATGTTGAATAAAAAGATGAAGAAGATGAAGTAGTAGTGGGAATCCAATAAATAAATAAAATTATATATATGCTTTGAGTTTTGAGTCTCCAACCCCCCTTTTTGTTAAAGCGATCGCTAAAGATTGGATGATGGTTAAGTTAATAATAAATACAATAAAATAAAATAGAATTTAATAAAATATAATATAATAATAATAAAATAATTTCTAAAAATATTGTCCCTGATTGAATATAATAATAATAAAAAAAAAGAGGAGGAGGAGGATGATGAGAAGTTGACAGTCGTCTTTTCTTTCTTTGTTAACGCGAGTGAGAGTGGGGGGGGGGGGGGGGGAAGGCAGAGAGCTATAGCTTGTATAGTGGTGGGATCGATTTAATATTGTTGTTGGGTCGCATATAAAAAGTTAACACTCTCTCTGTCTGTCTGTGTCTTGTGTCTGTCCGTCTATAATTTAATCAACCTCTCCCATCAGCAACTTGGTTGGGTTGGTTTGACTCTGTCTCTTCCAATCATTGACATTTTTAAAAAAAAGGTCAGAGGTACCAATCAAAACCCAAACTGAATGAATAGTTCCATTTTTGGCAATCGACCAATGAAATGAATTTCCATCTCTCTTTTTGTTTTTTTTTTTAAACTAGTCCATTTTTACCAAAGAAATGGATGGTTGCTCAGGTTTACATTGTCTGTGAGGAAGAGGATCATCATCATCATTCTGACGAGACCCCGATCTCATCCAAAGGTATTTGTTTAGGTCTGTCTGTGTGAGTGTGTGTATGTGTGTTGCCTTTAATATGTGTGGGTTTAGGGTTAGGGTTGAAGTGAGTGAGATGAGAGAGACAGAGAGTGGGTAGGGTTTCTTTTTCCACATTAATATTTTGGTATGCGTGTTAAATGGATGATAGATGGATGGATGGATGGATGGATGGGCGAGTGAGTGAGTGAGAAGTGGATCAAGTAAGTTTTTCCAACACTCACGCTCACTCTATTCAACTACTCTATCACTCTTTACCCTCCTCTTTCTCTTCTTTTATCTCTCTCTCTCTCTCCCTCCCTCTTCACATTGTTATGTTAAACTTTTTACTGATGAGAGAAGAAATATTTTCGCATCCATAAATAAAGAGAGAGATAGATAGAGAGCGCGCGGTAGACTGGTAGAGATAAAGATAGAGAATAATAATAATAATATTATTATTATTATTATTAAAAAGTCTACTATTAGAGGAAGGGAACTTGGTGATCAACCAACAACCTCATCATCATCAACATTAACATCACCAACATTAACATCAACATCATCAGCATTTGTACTTTGCTGCTGCTTACTGCTGCATACCAACAAACCAACCAACCAAACAACCAACCAACCAATATTAAAATCTTTTGATTAAGAGATAAAGAAAGAAAGATAAATTAAATTAGTCAATATTATATTATAGTTATAGTTTACTATCTATCCAACCAATTATTATTTATAGTTATATTGTTTTGTTGTTGTTGTTGTTGCTGGGAGGACATTAAAACTTACAACATTGTTGTTATGCTACTACATATATATATATATATTTATATTTAGTATATAGTATCATTTAATCATTAATTAAAGCAGCAGAGATAATAATAATAGTCTAGTCTAGGTCAAATCAAAAAAAAGAAATCAAGACATGAAAATAGTTATAAAATGGAACGAACTCGCAGCAGATTATTATTTATTAAAAGGAGTCAAGATGGTTACACAGTTGGATGTTATATGTCAAATATTCAAGATTGAAGATTCCCCATCAAGATATGTTTTATATGTTAAAGAAAAGAATTATTTTCTCTCTGATGAGGTATGATGATAAATGAACAAAAAGGATGGTTGGTAGAATGAATGACTGACAAACAAACAAACAAACAAAATTTTTGATTATAGGTATTAAATGAATCAGAAATTCAATTATCAGATAATGAAAGAGTAGAATTAATGTTGGCACCAATCTATCAAGTAGACTTGGTCATGGAGTTTTTAAATAGTGACACATTGATTAAAAAAGGTTTAATGGAATTGAAAAATCATTTAAAAGTATGATGATATCAAGAGACAACTGACTAAACTCTAATACTAACTTTACCTCTTTATTTAAGCATACAACATTTACAGGGGAATTTTTAAGAAAAGGAGGATTAAATATTTTACAATCAATCATTATGGATCAAGTAGGAAATACTCTTTCCTATTCATTGGGTGTTTTTGAATTAATTTTAAAGTCTCCTGAATTTGATTGGTCACAGCTATCAATCAAAATTGTTGAAAAAATAGTTACTCTTTTTGATCATAATAGTATTAATATTAGTAATCCTGCTTTAAAAATAGCGGTATGTCAAACAAAAATAGAATAATAATAATAATTATTAATACTTTAACTTCTTTTTATTTATTATTTTCTAGAATAAAATGGCAAATCATTCACATGGATATGGACTATTGATAGATTCAATTAAAACAAAAAATGAATCTGCCATATATACCAATATCATCAATAACTTAAAGAACAACGATATCAATACTCAAACATGTTCTCTAACACTTATCAACTCTATCATTTCATATTCAAATAATCCTGTTGAAATTTTAGATTATTTAGAAGATTTTAATTTATCTTTAACTTTAAAGGCAAGTCATTTGTTAAATCTTGTGCTAAATAGAAAAGAAAATCAATCAATTTAATCTATCCATTTATTAATACCTTTTTTAATTTATATATTATTTAGGCAACATTAGGATCAACAGATAATTATTTTAAACAACAAATTTTGAAATTACAAATACTTAAATTACAAGCTATATTTCACGATTCGACTACAATGTACAGTAAAGAAGATCCAACACACGAAAAATTATTAGAACGATTATGGGAATTGATGTTCCCATGTGAGGTTTTCAAGCCAGTCGATGAAAGATGGAAATTGATTGGGTTTCAGGGAAAAGATCCATCTACAGACTTTAGAGGAATGGGAATAGCCGGTCTCAAACACCTACTATACTTTGCCGAGTACCATACAGACACTTTTAAACATTTGGCTTTCCAACAACAATCTCTACCTCAAAATATTTCAAGCGATCGTTATTATCCACTTGCAGTTTGTGGTATTCATATTACTAGTATGCTACTAGAACTAATGAAACCTCCTACTAATAGTATGAAAAATCAAAACAACAACAAATAACAAAACATAATAATATAAACTAATTAATCTTTTTTTTTATTTTCTTTCTATTTAGCACAAGATTTAACAAATGACCAAATTGTAATTTATCCAATGTTGTTTGAATCTAAAAACTCTTTGGAACAAATATATTGTGTAGTAATTGAAATATTTGCAATGGTTTGGGATGAAGGAAATGCAAAGTATATGGACTTTAAAAAGGTGATCGTATTTTTAAAGAATCAAATCACAGAATCCTTGATCAAATCATCGACCATCCAAGAATTCAAATCAAACAACTATGTCATCAAGAAATTGGTTGATTTGAAAAAGGTTTTTATGGATAGTCCTCAACAAGGTCCAACTAAAAAAAGTTCTCAAGGTAGACAATCTAAAAGTTTTAATGAAGATAGAAAATGTACGTAAAATGGAGAAAACAAAAATAATGAAAAAAAGATATTGATGTATTTTTTTTATTGACCATTTTTGTTTTCTATTTCTATTTCTATTTTAGCATTTGATTATATAAATAGAAGTGTTGATTCACAACATGATTTATTGGCAACAAGAGTAACTGTTGATGATGAAAATGGATTAACAAATAGTAGTGGAAGTAGTTATAGTTATACAACCAATTCTTGTGCTAGTATGACATACAATAATAATACTGATTCGATCTATTCGTCTTCGGCATCATCGTCACCCGCCGGCGGTGGTGAGAATGGAGGAAATACGGCAATCCATGTAGCTATTTGTAGTCTGCAATATGATATTGTATCACATTACCTCAGCAATGTCAATATGCTCAACATCACCAATGCCAATGGAATGACACCTCTCAACTTGGCATGTGCAAACAGCACCACACAAATGATCGAATTGATTCTCGCTACACCTGGTATCTCCCTTACGACACAGGCCAAGAATGGTATGTTGCCCATTCACCACCTGTGTGCGAGGAAATGGATCACTGAAGAGTTTCACAAGATCATCAAAATCTTTGTTGAAAAGGGTCTAGAGATTGACATTAAGAACCTTGAAACGCTAGATACCCCTCTTCACGTTGCCTGTTTTAAAAATTGTGAAGAAGTTGTTAAATCCCTTCTTCATTATGGTTCAAATCCAAATCTATTTAACAAGTATGTAAAACAAAGATAAATGATTAATGATAACAAAAGATACTAATCTAATTTCTTTTATTATTTATTTTCTAGAAAAGGAGAAACTTCATTACATATATCAATTAGACAAAAGAATAGAGATTTGATACAATTGTTGATACAGTATGGGTCGGATGTTTCGTTGAACAATTGTTTGACGAATGAGTCTTGCGAAGGGTTGGCCCAAGGCGACATTGAGCTGATCAACTTTCTTCGCTTTTGCAAGGACCGCTACAAAGTGCCCGATGACTGCAACTACAACAATCTGTCTAAAAAACCGGTACCTTTGCCCAAGCGGCCGAGCATATCACGTGAATCAACACAGTCGACTAATTTGTCCAACCTCACACACAACAACAACACGACCACATCGGGGTCACCGGCGTCGTCCAACCGCTCGCTGTCACCCACGCCGCCAACTTCGCCCGGTGTGACATCGCCGTCGATTCGCAGCTCGACCACTCCCATCCGCCACACCAACAGCATGATCGGACTGTCTTCATACCTGATGATGGACTCACCTACATCGCCGACTAATTTTTCAGCTTCATCACCATCTCACCATAATAACAATCATAATAATAATCATAATAATCACTATAACTACAACAATCATAACCAAAATAATGGATCGATTAGCCATAGTTATAGTCACAGTCATACAAGTCTACAAAACTATGGTAGTAGTCCCATTAGTATAAGTAATAAGAGTAGTATCCAAATTGGAAGGGAACGAAACAATTATACCTCCCATCACCACAGCAACAGCAATAGCAGTGACTATAACCCATCGAGTAGTCCACCATCTGACCTCAGTATTGCTGGAAACCACACTACCAGTGCCGGCAGCAGTCTCATGAGTTCTATTGTCGGTCGTGGAAGACTGACCAACAGCTTCTCATCGCATTCAACGCGATACACCACCCAACAGAAATTGGATATCATCAAGCGATGTCTTAGCGAGGCAACTATTGTCGTCGACCAAATCACGCCAACCGATACCAAATACAAAGAAAATATTAAACGTGCCACAGAGAATATTAAAAATTGTAAAATATTATTAAATTCTTTAAAATAACCAAAAGTAAATCAATCAAAATATATAAATAATATAATAATAATAATATAATAATATAATAAACTAACAAACTAACTTATAACATCCCCACCACATCCCTCTCTTTAATAATAAATCTTATTATTTTTTTCTTTTAAAAACTATAAATCTAAATTACAAATTTTTGAAAAGGATTATTTATTATTATTATTTCTTCCTTTTATTATTTTATTTACAACAGTATCATGATCCATCAAAGTTTAAAGGGATAGATTATTATTACTTATTCCCTTATTATTATTATTATTTTAAAAAATTATATAAATTATTGTTCTATTATTATTTATCTATTTTTAAAATATTAATGAACAGCATGTTGAGCTGAAGGTTCTGGAAGACCATATTCATCAAGTGATGGTTCAGAAGTTGGAGCAGAGGGTGCCAAAAGATAAGATGGTGTAGATTCCATATCCAATTCATCGTCCATAGACATGAGCTCTTCTTCGAGAGCCGATTCATCTAGAGTATCTGGTGTTTGGTATGCACGTGACAATGATTCTTGTACTTCATTGCTGAAATCGACCATGTCTTGCATATCGTCTTGTAGATTGTCGATATCGTCGATATCTAAATGTTTGAATTGTTGTTTCATCGCCTTTGCACCTTGCTTCATGGCAGCGACCGTCGTAATGGTATCTTGCATGTTTTGAGTGACAAACTTGGTTTGCTCCATATTAAATTGTTGTGTCATGAGTTGTTCACGTTGTCTTTCGTACATTTTCTTTTGTTGCAGCACTCTAACGGCCTTATTCTTTATACCGTTGTATGCTGGTGTTCCTTGACGACACTTTTTCATCTGTTCTCTATATACTGCTATTTCTTGATCCATCTTTCTTATCTTATCATCAATTGATCCCATACTACCATCCAACTAAAAAAGAAAGAACAAGAAAGAAGAAGAAAGTAAGTAAGTAAAGTAAACTCACAAGCACAGCAAGTCATGAACAAGTTTAATTAACTAACTACTTACTCTCTTTGTTGCTTCATCCAAGGTTGGACCTTGAGGAGTCTTTGAAGCACCAAAAAATCTCTTCATTTCTATCTATCTATCTCTTTCTATAATATATAATATTATAATATAACTAACTTTACAAACTATTACACGATAAAATACTGTGAAAGAAAACGTAAGTAAATTTGTGTTGGTTTGGTTGAATTTTGGGAATCAAAGAGAGATTTTTTCCTTGTCTTTGAAGGCAAGGAAATTGAAAATTTAATTTAATTTAATTTTTCAAGCAGTTAACAATACTTTTTTTCTAGTATTGATTTTACACATCTCTGATTTATTTATATCTATATCACCTTTAAACCAAAATACTTTAAAAATATTGATAGATTTATTTATTTTTTACTATTTGACCAAATAATAATGAATAGCAAAGTTACTTTGTTGGGAGGAAGAATCGGTTCATCAAAGACCAGTATGATGGAAAAACAATTGGTTACTTCCAAGATGGAAAACTATAGTTTGTTTATAGTGTGATGTTTTCCTCAAGTTCCTTTTTTTTAAGAAACATTGACCCAAATTATTAACAATAGAACAATAATAATAATAATAATAATAATGTTAATAATAACAAAAAATATTAATTGTGACAAAAAAGTTCAAAGAAATCAATTTCAAAAGTTACCTTGTCGGGAAGAGTCGACTCTTCTAGGCCAGTGATCCACTTGTGGATAGATTTAATTTTTGAATGACTCGAGTTGAAATATCTTCACACTCGGAAGACCTTCTGTATTCATCATTCGATCCATCAATAATCAACTCTAACATATTAAATATACAAATGTCTGAACCAACTAATCCTATTGATGCTCCTGCACCTCTTGTACCACTCAAACTTAAACACAAACTTCATGTTGGAGAATTACTTGTCTCAAATGGTTGGTATATCTCTCTAGATCTAGATCTTTTCTACTTTACTAAATTTTTTAATTTCTTATCTTTTTTCTTCTACTTCTTTTAGATCCACTCCACAACAGATTAGTCTCTGTTGGTGGTCATTTCACAGCTATCCTCCAAGAAGATGGAGTAAGTTGGACATATATATATATATATTTACTTATCAAGTATATTGATTAAAATAATCTACGTACTAATTTATTTTCTTTTTTAAAGAACTTTATAATACCATGGATCAGTGTTTACGGCAGAAAATGCTGTTTGGGAATCAAATACTCGTCACAAAATAGGTCACCCACTACCATATAGAGTGATTCAACAATCTGATGGAAATTGTGTTCTCTATGACATACACCGCAAGCCATTGTGGAGTACCAACACAAAGTTGGGAGAAAACGTCAAGGGTAAGGCTCCATGCACCACCATCTTAAAAAAGAATGGTCAATTGGTCGTCAAAGATAGTCTCAACGTTCAACTCTATCAATCCAAGAATCGTACTTTACCAAATGTTAATCATACTCATTAAATCAACATCTCACTATTATAAATAAATATGATGAAAAACAATAATTGTAGGTAGGTACTTACGAAAGATAAAAGTGATGTTTTACTCGATTTTCTATCTTTTTTTATTTGTTTAAACTACGATGAATGCAAATAATTATCTGTACCGTTTGAAGAACGTTTATACAAAGATTGGAAATACAAATTGTGGTGGTCTCGTATACAACAGAAATGGTTTAACTTCACGTTTATACTCTTCAACGACGAGTAAACGAGAAGAATCAAATGATGATGGTACTTTATTGGTGGTCGATACAACAACAAACAAGAAAAAAGGAGGAGGAGGATACATTACAACGATTAGACATGTATTACAGAAATATAACTTTGATCCTCATACACTACCAGTTACAAATTACTATATCAACTATGATACCTATCAACAAAACCAACTACAACAGTTGAATCAAAGTATAGGTGTTGCTAAAAACAAGACCGACCATTTCAATATCATCAATGATCGTTTAATTGGTGAAAATAAGATTAGAATGTTTCTAGAAAAGAATGATATAGACACTATAGTATCGGATAATCAACAACTAAAAAGTGGAGAACAAGAAGAACAAGAAGAAGAAGAAACAACAAAACAATTGATTGATCGTATTTTACAACAAATATCATCATCTACAACTACCACTTCATTACCTTTTTCATCTTCATCTTTATCTTCATCCTCAACAAGATCACCATTTTTAACTTGGTCACAACAAATATTACCAAATACAATTGAATGTAAAGGAGAATCGGTCAAGGAAATAGCAACCAATGCATTCAATGTTTTATATCCATTATTATTTTTATTACAACAACATCATATCAACAATAACAATGACAATAATAACAACAATACAACACCATTTAAATTTATATTTTCATCAATTGTTGCAGTGGATACATTATCATCAAGATGTGAATTAGTTAGAGACAAGATTATGGAGAAATTAAAAGAAACAAGAAAACAATTATATCATTCAATGGTAACAACCGATTCACCATTATACAAAGATTTAACAAAATTCAACAACAATAACATTGGTGAAAGACAAGATAATTTATACATTTGTCAAATACTGATGACCTCAAAACAAACATTACAAGTTTGTATATCAAAGGTTGGACAAGATAGTGATCTAGGATGGACACTTCCACTACCATTTGAATTGGGTGTAGCACCATTACCAGAATCAAAAATTCCACCATCAAGAGCCTATATTAAATTACTGGAGGCTCTTATTCTAACTGGACGTATTCCAGGTCCAGGTGATAAATGTGCAGAGTTGGGTAGTAGTCCTGGAGGTTGGACCGCACTATTGCTGTCGCTAAACAAACCAGATAATATTTCATTAGAGAGTGTTGATCGATCACCGTTGGACACGAATCTAACAAAGAAATACAAACCACCAGTACTCACACACAGTATTGGTAATGGAGCTGTTTGGTTACCAAAGTCACCTGTTTCATGGTTGTTCAACGATATGTCTATACCACCTGAAAAGAGTTTAGAAGTACTAGACAATTGGATTGCAGGTGGACATGTCACAGACACCTTTTTATGGACACTCAAATTTGTTGGATCACACGCAGACCCAACGACTTATAAAAAGGCAATTGATAAAACACATCAAATCATGTCCAAACATAATAGTAAAGTTAAAAATTATATAATACGTCATCTTTTAAATCATGGTAATGAATTAATTATCATTGGTAAATTAAATTAAAAAGAGAAATAAATAAAAAAGAGAGAGAAAAAGTCTATTTATATAGAATCAGATCTACAAATACATTAATCTGACTCTATATTTTCGTATTAAATTTTTAGGATTGAATGAAAAGGTAAAACATATAAATAAATATAATAATATTATTAATATACTTAATAATATTATTATTAGTTTAATGTTGAAAGAGTAATTTTATTGGTATGTATTGCGTCCTTTAAAAACCAATCAATCCATGGTTATAATTAAAAATGATAGATTAATATAAATATTAATACTTTTAATTCTTTTTTAGACCCCAATTAAAAGATATTTATCGACAACTAAAATTGACAATGAATTCATCACTCAATACATAAAGGTTGAGAGTGATGGAAAAACTTTGACAACTGATCCAAGAGCCGTTAGTCAAACAACTTCTAGCATTGGTTTTGCTGGATATCCAGGGAGTGGCAAGAGCACCCTTTTCAATGCCATGGTTAATTGTCTTTATGGTGTAGAGAAGTCATACTTTGTAGCAAGGGATGGAATAAAGACAGTAACTCTTGGAATGTACACCATGTCAGACAAGGCAAGAAGTGGTATAAAAGTATCAATCGACAAGGACGTCATGGATATGGAAGGTTTTGACTGCTTGATGGAGAGAAGTTTAAAGATGGCCATGCTTCTAGCTATTGTATGCGAAGAGTTGTATTCGTTTTTGACTCTAGAGGAACTGTTGCGTTTGATGCTATCACAAAGTTCAAGCAGGGTTATGACCTGGTACAAGTATTGGGTCTCCGTCCAATCACCAAACAAGTCTTTGTCACTGTGCCAGAGCCCATAGAAGACGATGACGTACAAGTTGCACTTGGCGAACAAATCGTAAGAGAGGTCTCCAACATACTCCCCGGTATGGTGATCACACCTTTTGCCTTGCCCAGATACTCACTAAAAGAACTTCATAAAATGAAAACCAAAGAGAGACCACTTTCATTCCATCCAGATTTTGTTAACATTGTCAAAACTGGTATTATCGATAAGATCACTCCAAGAATAGAAACCGAGGCATTGGCATCAAAAGCAGAATCAATTCAAAAACTTCTCGAGGCCTACAACAGGTTAGATTTTACCAAACTGGATACTACAAGCTAAGCAATGTTTATTGCAGACTATGAGAGAATGGTATTGGTCAACATTTCTGCCTTTAGATCATTGCATACCAATATTGCCAAATCAAAATCTGTAACCTATTTAACCATGAATTTTGCTGATTTTTATAATAACACTAGCAACATTGTCCAAGTAGATTTAACAAAATCTACATTCTATGTCAAGGAAAAGAGTGAATTGTGGGTTCTAGATTCTAAATTTCCAACAGTCGTAACCATTCCCCAAGAGGAATTAATCTCAATCTACAGAGATCAATTCGACTCCAAGCATACTGACCTAGTCGCCAAACTTGCAATCGCCGGACAATTGGATAAAAGCAAAAAAGCATTTCAAGAGTGTGTTCAATCAGTCAACGATAGAGCAAAGTCAAAACTTACAGTCTACATTGGCGGTTTGGAATTTGGTGACACCCATGTACCAGGAAAAGAATATTTTATCGATCGTCAAAATGCTGACCTTGTCAAATTCCAAAAGGCCGTTCAATTGTCGCCAGATTACACTCCATTCTACAAACACTACGATGCAGAGGTTCCCTTGATTAAAAAGAAATGGGAGGACCAAGAAAAACGAGCACAGTGGAAGGCTCCAGTACAAACTCATGGTGACCGAAAATGTGAGGGTGGACATTCCTTGGTAGATCATGTCAGTTGTTCATCATGTCAAGGTTATTTGTATTGGGTTGATGGTCTCTCCTCAACTGCAATGTGTCGAAATTGTGGAAGAAAACAATCACTCGCTACTCCAAAATTGGTTTGTCGTGGTTGTGGTAAACCTGCTATATGTATTGCTTTGCTTCAACCTGCATTCAATCCATAAATAGATAGTTTATATATCCCTTTCAATGTAATAGCTTATTAAATATTAAAAATCAAATCAAATAAAAATGAATACCAAACAAAATAATATCTTTTTAAAAAATGATTTATTATTAATTGTTGTTGTTGTTGTGAAATTTCTTCTTTTTCTTAGATATCGTGTAAAGCTTCCCAAACGGCACTGTTACACTTGAAACCACTACCAAAAGCAAGTTGGAAAGCACGTTCACCACGCTTGACATGGTGTTGCTTTTCGATATAGTTGAGTTCGTACCAGATAGATGAAGACGAGGTGTTACCGTAACGGTAGAGGGTGGCACGTGATGGTTCGACATCGCGTGGAGTGAGGTTGAGGTTTTGCTCAAGACCGTCAATGACGGCACGACCACCAGCGTGAATACAAAAGTGTTGGAACGCCTTTTTAAAGTTTGGAACGTATGGTTGAATCTTTTTAGACGAAAGCTTACGTTGACACAAATTTAAAAAGAATTTGATTTGTTCACTCCATGGCAACACCATTGGACCGAGAATAGTAAGATTGGTCTTGAGAGCGTCTCCGACAGCTACCAACAAATTACGACCAGTTGCAAGACGTACACCACGGTTACCCTTATCATCTTCCATTTGGAAGACTGCTTGATAAGAATCATCTACGCAAGCCTTGGTAACACGAACCGATGCAATCAACTTGTACTTTCCAGTCCAATAATACTTTGGTTTGTTTGAAAGCATAATTGCTGCTCCTCCCATTCTAAATAATGTATTTGTTACCAACATTGACTAGAAATAATTAAAAATAAATAAAAATTATTAGTATCATTCATTGTAAAATCTTTTTCTTTCTATTTCTTTTTCTTTTTTGTTTTGCTTACTCTATCATTTCCACGATACCAATTTTGAGTAATATTTTCAGTAGATAGGACAACGGCAACAGCGTTTTTGTGAACTTGAAGGAGTTGTTTGGCAAGATCGATCGAGATGACACCGGCAGAACAACCCATACCAGCCAAATTGTAAGAGAGACAGTCGTGACGCATCTTGTATTTGTTCATCATCATGGCGGCAAGAGATGGGGTTGGGTTAAAGAGAGAGCAGTTGACAATGAGGATATCAATGTCTTGTGGCTTTATCTTGGTCTTGGCAAAGAGGTCGTCGAGACAACCCGACAAGACGAGCATGGCTTCTTCACGAGCCGATGCCATACTAGTGTCTGGTTGCTCCTTGGTGATACCGCCTGGGAAGTAGGTGTCATTGCCCAAACCGGTACGATACAACAACTTCTTTTGAAAGTCGATTGACTCTTGTTCGAACCATCCAACCTGTTCAGTATGCTTGCAAAAGAACTCGTGGGTGATCTTGTATTGTTCGGGTGGTTGGAAGACGGCAAAGTCTACTAGGTATACTGGACGACGACGCTTTGACATGACGACCGAGATGACGAGTACCAACAACATCAGTGTGAGGAATGCTACCGAGATGATCAAGTAGATGGTCTTGGGTTGTGACTCAAACTCTTGTAAAACCATCTCGCTAAACTTGTAAAAGACGTCAACAAAGAGATCCGACTTGCCATAGACATAGTAGAGGTTGACAGCGATAACAGGCACGAGAATCATAATCATGCTGAGTATCGTGTTGCTACGCCACACACCGTATCCTCTCTTTACCTCTCCCAAGTTGGCCTCTCTTTCTGGGTAGTAGTAACTCTTCATATCCTCTTCTTCTTGTGGTGTTGTTGCTGCTGAAGCTGCACCTGATGCAGTCTTGGCAGTTGTTGGTTTGGCTGCTCCATTATCTTTCTTTTCTTCTGTCATTTTGTAAGTTGATGTGTTATTGTTGTTGTACTACTATCAATCTATATATGATTTCTGTTCTGTCTACTAACTATAGTACAAACGAACGCAATTACAATAACTCTAAACTATCTATCTTTTTCGAAAACACAACGAACAAATTAATTGGACGATAACTTTGGTTGCTGAGGTGGAGAAGCGGAAGTTGCTGCTTCTTTTTTTCTAGATTTTTTTAATTTTTTTTAATTTTTTAAAAAACGTTGCGTTAATTAAAACTGGTTTAGTTATAAATTAAACTATAAATATGGATCTAATAAATAAAGAAAGAAAGAAAACCTTAAAGTTGGAGAAAGAAATGAAAAAAAAAGAAAGGAATCACTTACAAATAGTAGTGTGAATTGAGGGGTGGATGAAATTTTAAAACAAAGACAAATAAATATCCCTGTTTTCCCAAGAGATAATATCCATCAAACGATGTCTATCCTTGTGGTATTAAAAAAAAAAAAAAAAATCTTCCCTCTCATCATTTCTTTCTTTTTTTAGTGTTCAACCAGTTCGATATCGCATCACACACATATTTCATTCTTTACTATTCTTCATTATTAATATATATATATTGATTGATAAGAAAAATCTTCACCACAACTATTAGATGACATAGAAAAGAATACTAACTAACGAATACAAAAGAACTACTAGCCATAGCAAAACAGTCAAACTTGAATGGAACCAAATGATAAATATAATCCAGGTCTTGAGAGTGCATCTTACTCCGTTTTGAAGCAGTGCTATGCAACATCTTTCACATTTTCCTATATACTTAAAATAGATGGAAATAACAAAAAAATAGGAACTTTATTTAGGGGTGGTAATAGGATCGTGCACCTGCAAAATGCCAAAGTCGGTTGTTCCCGGTTGCCCAAACACGAAACAACCAAATGTCCCTAATCATAATAGAGTATCATCATCTCATGTTATCATTGTAAAAGTCTGGCTGAAGAAACTCAAGTATGTAGTATCATAACTAGTTATTCTATTCTTATTCAATCATCTTTAGATGATTCAAAAGACACACAAGAAATGAAATAAAGATCAAAGTTTCATTTAATAAATCTTTTACCAAAGGTTATTCTTTCTTATTTTGCCGAATGCATATAAACCGGTGAAGTTCCTTTCTTTAATTGATATTTGTTTCAAAAAATCAATTTAAAATTTAATTTTAATTTGGTATGATTCAATGCACCAGACTAAAATCCACCCCATTGATTAATCATACCTTATAATAATAATCACTAATCTTCTTTTGACTAAAAGATATAAAAAAGAAGAAGAAGAAAAGAATGAAGAGGATGTTTGATACATTAAATGAATCATTAAAGAATGATGGAGTTTGTGTAGTAGCAGCATCATCAATGACATGTGCAACCGTTGGACTAACAGTGCTTACAGTTGATTCATTGCGTTTCCTATCTCTTCTTCATCGAAAGTTTAATAATGATAGATTACAACTACTCAACAATAGAATCAATATTCAATCAATCCTAGATACTTCATTTGTAGCAAACTCTAATCCATCTACATCATCGACATCTACATCATCACCATCATTAAAGTTACCAACATTATTAAAGGAAACTGAATTTATTCGAAATGATAAGAATTGGAGAGTTGAAAAGATACCTGGTGTATTGATGGATAGAAGGTGTGATATTGTTTGTTTGGATGTAACATCAAAGTACAATCTATTAGAGTGTATAAAGAGTGGTGCCAATGGAGTACAAGTAGACTTTGACGATGGGTATGCTCCCACCTGGGACAATGGGTTACGTGCACACTCTAATATTAACGAATTGGCCAAAGAGTGTTTTCAAGAGACTGACGCTCTCCTCATTATGCGTCCACGTTCACTCAACCTCGATGAATGTCATGTACTGGTCGACGGACAACCTGTAGCCGGTGCATTGTTTGACTATGCCATGTTTATGTTTCACAATGGTCGTGCACTTGCCAGTCAGGGCCGCGGTCCATTCTTTTACCTACCAAAGTTGGAAAACCATCGCGAAGCAATATGGTGGAATGGAGTAATCGTCTATGGTGAGCAACTTCTCAACTTGACTCATGGAACTAGCAAAGTCATCGTTTTGATTGAAAATATCTTGGCAACCTTTGAAATGGAGGAAATCATCTATTACTTGCGTGACTATATCGTTGCACTCAATACCGGTCGTTGGGATTACATCTTTTCATTTATTAAAAAGTTTGGACAGTCTACTCAACACATCTTCCCAGACCGGTCGTGTATGGGTCTCGACCAGCCATTCCTAGCATCCTACTATCGTCTGCTCGTCGATGTTTGTCACCGTCGTGGATGTCTTGCAACTGGAGGGATGGCACCACAATACCCATCATCGACCACCCATCTATCGGCCGAAGAACTGGCACTGGTTACCAAAGGTAAAGAAACAGAAGCTGCCATGGGATTTGACGGAGCATTAGTTGCCTATTATCAAGCAGTCTCTCTTTGCAAAGAAGCATTTACCAAGTATTTCCCAACCACCACAAGTGTCAATCAAATGGATAAACGTGTCAACATTGACCATGCACAACTCTACCAAATGGTTACCCAAGTACCAAAAGGAACCATCTCAACCAAAGAGGTTTACGCTTCAACCTATATTCTTTGTAATTATATTTTATCTTGGATTCGTGGTCAAGGTGCATTACCTCTTAATAATATAGTTGAAGATTTAGCTACTGCTGAAATTAATAGAGTATGAGAAAAAAAAAAGAAAAAGAAAACAAATCACATTGACAAATCATCATTTATTTACTTTTTTTTATTTAGGTATTATTATGGAAATGGATAAAATATCATTCAAAAACAACAGAAGGTTATGTTATTACATTTTCATTGGTTAGATCATTTATGGATCAGATTACACAAAAAATGTATATGAACATTAGAGAAAAAGAGTATTTGGATCAAGCCATCACCATCCTATTGACAAGTCGACCATGTATAGATTTTATGCCATCCATTCTTTATCCATTTATTACAACCATTTATAAACCAGTTGCCAAACTTTAAATAGTCATAGTATGGTCTAAACAATCATTATATTATTGGTTATATCAAAAAAGAAAATTGTTTTGTTTTATTTATTTTCAAATCATTTGATAAGGTTAATTTTTTTTTTTAGGATTTACAATGAATTATATTGGGGGGTATTATTACTACTATTCTTTTATGAATATTTATTATTACTATATATACAAATTAAATAAGATTATTATATTATGACGGATGGATGGGGTTGATTGATTTCATTTCAATCTAAAGGTTTTTTTTTTTTTGAGGTTTGGGTATTCAGAGGAAAAAAAAAAGGTTTGGTTTGATTGGAAGTTGGTGAAAGTATTATTATTACTGATTATTATTATTGCCTACATTTATGTTGTTTCTCCTATATATTATTATTATTATAATTATTATTTACTTTTTTGTTCCAAGAGTCTTGTTGTTGACTTTTTGGTTATTCTATATGGATGGATGGTTTGCCTTTTTTAATATTGTTTTTTTTTGTTTTGTTTTTTAGATATTAGTTTGTTGTTTGTTTAAACTGGTTGAACTGCAGGAAAAGCTGGAGCTGAAGAAGAAGAATTTGACATTTGACTATCTCCATCTCCAGATGCTCGGGAAGAGGAAGCTTGGCGTCTTCTGGTTTCCTTTTTCTTTTTTATAATATCATTGTAGAGTTTGTTACGGTACTCTGAAATTGGGTATTTTTGACTGTCGTCGATGGGGAGCTTGATGATACGATCGGTCGATGGTTCGTCGGTGGGGTTGTGGAACTGTGAGACGTATGGGTGGAGGAGAGCTTCCTCGGCGGTGATACGCTTGTCTGGGTTGAATTGGAGTAGTCTGCGGAGTAGGTCCAAAGCTTCTGGTGAAGCGTGTGGGTACATCTCAGACAGAGATCTTGGGTTGGTTGGTGGTAACGACTCGAGCATGGTGGCCGCAAATGGTGATTTGATGGCTTCAATATCCTCTGGTGTGGGACGGCCAGTGACCTCGATAATAAGATCCAACTGGTTCATGGTGCTGTTGCCTGGGAACATGGCCTTGCCACCAAGCAACTCGCCAAGGATACATCCGATCGACCACATGTCGACACCCTTGGTGTATTTGGTAGAGCCGAGTAAAATCTCGGGTGCACGGTACCATCTAGTGGCAACGTACTCTGTCAAGACCGGGTTTGCCTCGGTCACATTCTCCAACGACGCAATGCTACGTGCCAAACCAAAGTCGGCCACTTTAACCAAACACTCGCTGTTGAGCAAGAGGTTCGATGGCTTAATGTCACGATGCAACACATTTCCACTGTGCATATACTTTAGAGCTCGCAGTATTTGATAGATTGTATATTGTTTATGTATATCCTCTAGAATATTGGCTCTAATCACTGCATGTAAATCAGTTTCTAAAAATGGTAATGAAAAAAAAAAAAAAAAAAAAAAAAATAGAGTTAATTGTTTTGTTTGAAATCACGCAAGAGTGAGATCTGATTTCAATGATTCGGCCTCTCTCTCTTTGGCAAGTGGTTATATAAATTTGTCGATTCGTTCAGATCCCTCTTCTTTTGTATCTGCTCGTCTTTTCTTTTCTTTTTTTAACCTTGCACGAAAAGAGAGAGAGAGAGAGAAAGAAAGAAAGAAAGAGAACCAATGCTAACACTACAGTCGTACGTAGTAGTAGTAGTAGTAGCAGTAGTATCCCTGTCTATCCTACTGTCTTTGTTGATTGATTGATTGTTTGATTGATACACACCCATATATTCAAATACCAAATAAATGTCTCTATCATTATCAGCTTTAACAACGTTTAATAGTTTGATTAAATTCTCATGTCCATATAATTCTTGAAGGAACATGATTTCTCTAAATGTTCTTTGAGCATCTGTTGCATTTTGGAAAGCATCGAAAATCTTCTTTAATGCTACAACATCTTTTGTCTTTTTATCAATTGCTTTCCATACAATACCATATGCCTAGATGATAATAATAATAATAATAATAATGATGATAGTAGATAGATGATAGATGATAAGTTAGATATCATAACCCTGCCTGCAATCAATCGACCCTAAAGCAATATATACATACACCTTTACCTAATTTCTGTAATACTTCGTATTTTCTGAGTACATGTTTATCAATGTCTTCACTTGATGCCATTTCTATTTATTATAGTAGTTTAATATATATATATATAATATGTTTGTTGTTGTCTTTGGTCAATGATGATACAAATAATACAGTTCACTATTATGAGGTAACTACTAATTACTACTACTACGCTATTATTATTATTATTATTATTTATTATGATTTTGATGATGACAACAGTTATTATCTTTTTTTCCACACTCTCCTCTCTCTGAGCTAAAGTTTTTTTTGGATTTTAGGTGATAAAATGGTTTTTTTATTAAACAGCTCGAAACATCCCCTATTTATAGGCTGCTGGTGGTTTTTTTGATGACAGTTTTTTTCTCATTCTAACACCATGAGATGGAGATTACCCATTGTCGTCTGAGATTCAGCATCATACTCTTGGCTGATCCATCCAATCATTATTATTATTAATAGTATAGAGAGAGATGAGTATTCAATCCATCCATTCTAAATCTCTATCTTTTTCTATTTGTACAAACAAAAGTGAAAAGCATAGGATTATACATGATTTATCACACTGCTACTCGAAAATCCAATGTTTGGGTTTATTGGGTTGTTTGAGTTGTCTCTCGTTCAATCGTGATACCATCGTAATTTTAAAAACTAAATTAGATATAAATATAATATCATCTCATTCAATTCTTTTAGGTGGGGTTATCAATTGATACAATCATTTTGGGTTTGGATGATCCATCGGGGATAAATATATTGATTTCTTTTTTTTAAATAAACAAAAAATAAATAATTAATTCCAATGTTGTTGGTGTTGATAGTTGATGGTTGATGTTGATGTTCTTTAGAAGACAATAGATAAATTTATTATATATAATTACATCATTCCAAATATATTTATATATAGAGAATATTAAAATTTATTCAATAGTTAATAATTTAATATTAATATTATTATTATTATTATTGGGGTACTGTATACTGTTATGTGTTTGGGGTTTCTTTGGAATATGGTTTACATTAATTTACATCCACTATGATTAACTGGAGGGGTATTGGTATGATGAGAGGATTCATTTTGTATATTGAGTGATGCAATATGAGCTTTTAATATCTTTTTAACGCTTTTATGTGCAATATCATTTGGTGTTCGAGGTGGGTCTTCTCTTGATCTAGCAAAAACATCTGCTTTATTTTTTAATAAGCATTCAACAACACAACTAATATATTTAAATAAAATTGTTAATATAAATACATTGAATCATTTTGATTTTCCTTTTTCTTTCTTTTTACATACAGATGACCTTCATAAGAAGCTTTATGAAGAGGAGTGAAACCATTTCTATCAGTTACTTGAGTATTTGCGTTTCTTTTTAATAACAATTCTACAATTTTTACATGTCCTCTATGTGAAGCAGTATAGAGTGGAGTTGCACCGCTTCTCATGCCGGATCTAATCTTTGCCTCTACATTGGCATTGTGATGGAGTAACAAATTAACAATATCAGTATACCCTTCTTGAGCTGAAATATACAAAGGGGTTGCTCCATGATTCTTGGTGGTTCCTTCAATGTTTGCATTATGTCTTAATAAACATTCTACTACTTTATACTATGAAAAAGAAACAATTAAAATAAATAATTAATTATTTAATATTTGTTTTCTTTTTCTTTTCTATTTCTATTTTACTTACATGACCTCTATGAGCAGCAGAATATAAAGGAGTGATACCATTTTTATTGGTAGCTTCCATGTTTGCACCACGTTGAAGTAAACATTCAACCACTTCGGTGTGACCATTGTGCGCGGCAGAGTTTAGTGGGGTGACACCGTTGAGATTAGTTGCCTCAATATTGGCTCCATGTTGGATTAATAGCTCGACTACGCCAACATGTCCCTTTTGAGCGGCAGTGTGCAAGGGGGTCGACCCATTCTTATTTTTGTATTCGATGCGTGCATTGTAGGTGAGAAGACACTCTGCAACGCCTACATGTCCCTTACCACAGGCCATATGCAGTGCGGTGAATCCACTTCTCGTGACAGCTTCCACCTCGGCTCCATTTTTCAACAAACATTCTACGACGGTTCGGTGTCCCTTGTACGACGCCTTTAATAAAAACTTGTTTCTCTTTCGCAGCGACAGTCCTGTAGTATCGTTGATTTTAGGACTGGATCCACCCGATGGAGATGGTCCAACATCAATCTCTTCCATATCCAAATCATCAGTGTTTTGATTATTATTGTTTGGAGATGACATTTGTTGTGAAGAGTTTAATGATGTCTGTTGTTGTTGTTGAGATGATGGGGTCGATGACGACGACAATGGGGGGTTAGTACCATCATCATTTAAATTCAAATAGGTTGGTCTGTTGGCAACACAGCTGCCACACATGCAAGTGGCTGGGTTATTTGGACACGTGATTCTCTTGCTGTCAAACACTCGTTGCAATAATTGATGATGTCCATTCTCGCATGCCCACAACAGTTTTCCTTCCAAATCATCTTCTGCAAATGTTCTTAAATGTACCGTATTTTTAATCACTGTAAATTTCCATGTCTACAAATAAATAAATAAATACATATATTAATCAAACCAATCTTATATCCAATATTATATTATTCTCCTTACAGTTTCCATTTTTAAGGAATCACCAAACTCTCGTTTACTGAGACTCAACCATATTTGTTCGTCTTCGGCCATTTCCTGCCAAATCCTAGAGACACATGTTGATCGAGATAAATCTTTAGCATCGGAAAAAGAAAGAATGTGCATTCGGATTTCGCTTGGTAGAGCCAAAAAGTCAAAGGGTGAGCTATAGAGGTCATTGGCAGCACCATTTGGAGAGAGACCAAGTATTTTCATTTGTCTAGCCATTTCTTCCAATGCAGCGGTATCTTTGTGATTGTGGTTGTTGTGACAACTGCTACTGCTACTGCTGTGATTGTTATGGTGTTTATTGTATCTCGGAGATGTAGGAGAGGTTGATGCATTGCCATTGTTGTTGTTGGATGACGATGAAAATATATTCATAATCTTGTTTGATATGGTTGAAAAGGTTGGCGATGAAGGTGATGGTGAAGAAAAGGAATGTTTCTTTTTCAAACTGTTGGTTGGTGTTGTAGGTGTTTGTAGTGTTTGCAGAGAAGAAGAAGAAGAGGTGTTGTTGCCTGTAGGTACTGACGCAGCACCAAGATTACTATTACTACCACTTCTCTGTACCTTATTACTGTTTAATGATATCGACGTTATAGCTGCTCCATTTGATGAGGGACTAGTCGATGTTGTAACACTAGTCGTCGTTATAATAGGTATTGGTATACTACCTATAGATGTTGACGACGACGACGACGACGACAATCCATAATTACCATTATTGTTATTATTATTATTATTATTCAAGTCATTTAAAGAGGTTGAAGAAGTTGAGGAAATGCTTGTCCAAGGATTAACATATCCATTATTATTATTATTATTATTATTATTATTGTTGTTGTTGTTATTATTCTTATCTTTCATTTGTTGTATATTATATACTATGTCACCTGAAGTATGTAGTAGAGTACAACCTGTATGATGAATGAATTGCGAGAGTTTATTTATCTATTATTATAGGGAAAGGATAAAGATATATAAATATATTTAGGTTCAAGAAAGATTATGAATAGACAATTATAATAATAATAATAATCGCAGCTGCAATGATGAATGAATGAATGAGTTGATTGATTAAATATATATATATATTTAAACAACAAGATGAAGAAGATTAGTGTATTTATGTATGTGATTAATAATAAAAAGGTTTAAAACAAGATATAAAATGATGATAGAAATAAATGATAAATGAATTTGATCAAATTTATAATAACAATAATAAGGTCAGTTGGTTGTGAGCTGCTTGCTGCCTCATATTAATGTACGTGTGAAAAACTCGGTGTTTGTTTGTTTTCCTCCTAGCTTGCAAAATTAATAATTAACTTCCTTTTTTTTTTTGTACTAATTGAATTTTGGCAGACAAACAAAACTAACATGTAATATAAAGAAATAGAACAACAAACCAAGAACCAGACTTACATTCAAGAATTCTGTTGGTAGTTCCAATTTTTAAATTTAATTATCAATCTATTCTCTCTCTTTCTGTTTTTCCTCTTTCTCTCTATCTCTCTCTTTCTGTTTTTATGTGTGTGGGTGGTGGTTTGGTTTCGATTTCTGTCTTGCCGGTCAGTTGATTTAATATTACTTTCTATTATTAAATTATATTATTTTCGATTTAGGATGGATGAGGAAGAAGAGGAATAGTAAAAGGTAGATTCAGATGCTGATGAATAATAATAATAATAATATTGTTTTCTTGGTCTTTTCGATTTTTTTTGTCAGTCACAAGCTGCAGCTTTTCAAAACAGTATATAAATCATTAAACCCCAAACACCCAAATCCAAATTAAATTTATTCTGTACCAACCACTACCATCACGAGAAAATATTGATGGTGTTACCTCAATTTGGTTTTAAAGCAAAATACAAATTTATCTAAAAATATACCAATAATACAACAATAGTAATTTTTGTATTTCCAAATCAATCAATTTTTTTCGAATCCAAAACTCTTAAAATATAATAATTACAATGCAATGGTTGTTTAGGTTTGGGTTGGGTTTGGGGGGGGAAATAAATTATATATTTGTATATTTGTTTGAAAATGGTATTAAAAAGAATAGTCTAGTAGTCTAGTAGAGTCAAATCTTTTTAGTTTGTTTTTTTTAGGACTTTGGATTTGGTTCGGGTCTGGTACTTGATCTTCTTCTTTTATCGGCACCTGTTAATCTACTTGATTCATCGAGTAGAGTTGGTGAGCTAAGTGATGGTGATGTAGTGATGGGTGTGGGTGTGGATAATACAGTTGGTGATGAAAGGCCGGGATGGGATGTGGACAAGATCGGTGGTGACGATGCAGAAACTTGTTGGTGTAATATACCTGTTAGATTATTGGATGAATTATTGGTAGATGAATTGGTAGATGATGAAGTTGGCGTTGAATTGGTAGTAGTAGTCGTTGTCGTCGTTGTTTGTTGTTGTTGTACAATTGGAATAGATGAACCAGAATTTGAAAGCATCGATTGAAGATTTTTACTTGTCAAATCACTTTCCTTTTCCTTGATTAGGACAGCTAATACTTTACATTTGTTGAGTTCCTTTTTAATTTCGTCTCTTTGTTTTTCGATTTGTAGGTCGCCTTGCGATGTATAGTCTATGACAATTTCGTCGAGTGCGAGGTTGGCCGTCCACAAATTAAGTAGTTGTTGGTAGAGCGTGCAGATGGCGTAGCAGAATCGCGTCTCGGCCAGCTGGATCTGCAGCTCATTATTAGATATACCATTCTCAAAGAGCTTGGCACGTGTGTTGTTGGTCGACGTACGTTGCTCTGTGTAGACGTTGAGTTGCGTGGTGAATACTTCAATGGCGCGTTCACGCTGTTCCATAAACCATTTGTTGAGATTGGGTTTGGCATCTTGTGCCTTTTTGTATTTCTCGGCAAGCGCCGATGTGCTCTGGATCTCTTGAATGGCGGCAATAAAGGTTGCCTTTTCGAAAATATCGACCGACAAGGCAGACACTTCCGAGGCGACCGAGCTGATCAGCGGCAGACACTGTGTAAACAGTGCCTTGTACTCGCTCGATATCTGCTGTACCAATTGAGCAGCTGCCACAAACAGGTCAAACAACTCCTTGTCCGACTGGAAGTCAATCTGCTCGGCACAGCTGTTCCACCAGCTCTTGGCAGCCGTAATGTTGTACGATAGCGTAGAAAGAGTGGATGTGGTCTGGAACTGCATGTTGCGCGACAGTGTTGGCGAGCTCTGGCTCTGCATCTTACTCTTGATACTGCCAGGTGTGATCGAGGTCGAGTGGAAGGTGGGAGACAGTGGGTTGCTTACCGAACCGCCAACATTGACGTTGGAACGGTCGGCCGTTGGAGTGATCAAAGATGAAGACGACGGCGACTTGGTAGAGTGTATCGGTGTCATGGGTGGATTCATACCAAGAATCGAAGAGTTGGATGAGAATGACATAGACGAGGACGACTCATTGGACGACGAGTCTGACAGGTCATGGTGGTGGTCTAGAATAGTCGATTTGTTGGCGGTACTAGTGTTCACACCACTCGTTGATGATATGGTAGACATGTCACCAAGACCTTCAAGAATATCATTGAACCCTTGGAAATTTGGAAAGTTGTGAAACTCGGCTCGGTCACCCATATCAAACGAAGAGTTGAGATCGTTCATAGAGTGGATCGTGTCGGTACCGTCATTGTCGTTTTCAGAGCCGGGTGGTGGTGCACTTGAACTTGACTCGGATCCCAAGTCGTCAATCGTGTCGTATGGCTTTTGAGGAGGTGCCATGTCATCGGTCGACGAGAAGAACTTTTCAAAGATCTGTGTGTTAAAGTACATTGATTTGGTGAGCGAGGTGTTACGGGCACCGCACGAGTCGAGCACCTTGGACAGACACGCTGACGCGATTTGTGTGCCACGATCAACCTTGTTGCAAAACTTTTTAACATTGGTGAATGCAGATCGCGATGGTTTCATCAGGGCATTGTCAATGGCCGTAAGGGACGTGGGGGACTTCTCACTCGATATCTCTGCAAAGCGCAGACACTGTGCCACAATGTAGCTGGGTGTCTTGTGATCGTTGATAAAGATGGTGACTGTATCGTACCAGTCTGCCACACGACTGCTCTTGGTGTCAGCCGGGTTGACACCACCTTTTACAAGTCGCGACAACAGTCTCAAGATCGGATACCTGAAATCGGGTGGACCAAACTCGAGTACATTAAAGAGTAGTGAAAAGACAAGAGTCGAGTGTTTGACGACGACATCTGAAAGGGGTGAGATCAAGTCATCGAGGAATCCATCCAACTGATTGACATAGAGCTGCTGGCTATAGTTTTGCAGTATTGTGCTGAGACGTGGATAGTTGTGGTTCTCTGACGCTGTAGCCAACCGCTCGCTCACTAGGTATGCCAAGTGGTCTGGATCCGTCTCTACAGTCGAGTACAACAAGAATGGCAACAACGACGTCAAATTGGTGAGGAATCGGATTGGTTCTGGATGGAAGATCTCGTTGCAAGGTTGAAGTGTCAGAGCACTCAAAAACTCGACTGTGATGGGTGAGGTTGTTGTCGACATGAGCCCGCGCAACACCATTGGCTGTAGCCCGTGGAAAAAGTCCCATTCCTTGGGCATCGATGCCAAAAATACATTTTGAACGGCACGGTCCGAGAAATTGACCGTTTCGAGCAGGATCGAGAGCAACTTGACCGCGTTGATAAACTGCGACTCAAAGTCACTTTGCAGTAGTGCCATGGTGCCCCAAAACAATTGTGGGAAGAGGATCAACTTGGAGGGGTGGATGCAGCGCACCATCACCAACAACGTCTCTTGAATCTCTCCGACCAGCCCAATGTTGTCTTGCGACAGGGTGGCCAGATTCTTGCCTAGAGAGGTGAGCACATCGGTAAGAGCGTCAATCGTGGTGGTTGGCTCAAGTCCACGTAGAATCTGGTACGATCGTTGAGCAAGACGGTAGTTTTGACTGTTGGTAGCCCAGTTTAATGCATTGACACCCCAGTACTCTTTGAGATCGGATGATGAAGACGACCCACTCGAGAGAACCGACACAACACGTTTGGTCAACATGACGACATACTTGGGCGAGCTAATCTCCTTTTTGGCAATCTCTTTGGTGTCGTCGGGAGAGCGGTGTGACGATGGCATCAAAAAGTCGGCCAATTGAATGGCATCTTCGTAGAGCATCGTGTTGGTGTCTCCATTTTGTTGACACTTTTTAATGACCAGACAACGAATCAAATTGAGTAACAACAGACGACAATGTTCATGTACTGGTTGTTGATGGTAATACAAACCCAAAAAGATAAGTTGCAACAACGTTGGAAGATGTTTTCTAAACTCTTCACCAATCTCAAATGCAACTTCTGACAAAAAGATGAGTGGTAGTTGGAAACGAGATAGTGGATAGTTGGTTCGTTGTACAACTCCTCCAACACTACTGACGAGACCTAAATTAGACTGTGATGTTTGAGTGACCATTGTCTGAGCAATCGGTACATTTCCACCACTGCCACCCATTACAACGGTACCTCCAACAATCATGGTCGACGATCCCAATGCATTGGCTTGTGAGTTACCAACTCCCAATAAATTGGTCGTGCTTGATCCACTCGAAGCTTGTTGTAGACTTGGTGGTTGTGATGCTTGCGATTGTTGTAATTGCTGTTGTTGCAATAGTTGTTGTTGTTGTTGCTGCTGCATCTGTTGTTGATGTATGACATCGGTCGATTGATGGAAAGCCATATTAATCGACGAACTAGTATTGTAGGCATCGAATATTTGCGTGTGCATACGCTGCATCTGCACGGGTTGCGCCAGCTTGGAGTTCTTTCCAATTGACTTTGCTTCTCCATACTCTACGGTAAAGGTTTGCGATGCACTGGTTGATGTCAATTCAGAGACGAGCGAGTCGACCAACTTTTGAGGAGAGGATCTACCCAAAAACACACAGATACGCTTGAAAAAGGGGATGAGATCGTTGTTTCTCGTTCTTTCAATGACGCCAAGGATAAAATCGATGATGGTGGGAATGTTTTCTTGACGGTTACCGAGTATCTTCCAAATCTTTTCGACCAAGTGCATGTGAGAGCTGTATCGCATGGTGATGAGTACGAGTCCCTGTAAAACACTGTCGAGAAGCGGACTGTTGACAGTCTGCAATTGCTCGAGGTTCATTTGGTCGACCCACGGCAACACGTAGTTGAGCATCTGACTGTGATGGTCTTGGTTGGTACCCGAATCCAGACGATAAACAATATCCATAAATACTTCATAACACAACTCTGGGTTTTCAAGTGCCAACGTTTCAGAGAGTTCATACTGAGCATAAAGATAGGTATCTGAAATATCCGATCCGATGGCACTTGGATAATAACCATCTGAATAGTCTTGTCCTGTCATTGAAACGGTTGATGCTTTCATAAAATACAACAATTGCATTGCCTGTTGGCGAACAGAAGAGAATTTCGATCCACTATTGAATATGACCAAATTAGTGAGGATCGAGTCAGAGTATGAAAACTTGAGAACTTGATCTTGACACAACTCTACCAATGACAAGAAATAGCCACTGGCAACACCTGAACTTGCCGAATAACACTGATTGACACAGTGGTAGATAAGTTCTGAAAAGCCAAGATTACACTTTAAAAAGTTTTGTAGTGCCAAACGAGCCACCGATCGAATCTTGCTCTTCATACGACTGACAAACATAAAATTGATCCATTGGAAAATGACTCCATTTGGGTCTTTGAATGTCTCTATAAATTGAGGTCCCAATAATATTACACTGACTGCATGTGATGCTACATTACTCAATTGAGTTGCATGTTCAATGATCCGCATCTCATACTCCTTTCTCTTGACCGATTCTTTTTCCTCTTGTTGAAGGAATATTGCTAATCTTCTAGTTGTACTTTCTTCTCCTAAAAATTCTTCACTTTCACTCCATTTTGATGATACTCTAAATAATTCTTTTCTTAAATTCTAAAAAAAAATTAAAAAGTATAAGTATTATAATTATTATTATTATTATTATTTTTTCTTTCTTTTTTTTTTTTCTTTTCTTTACTTTGTCTAAAAATTCTTTTGCACCAATATAAAGTTGTTGAATGGTACGATGAACAAGAGCACAAAAATTAAAACGAATATAATGAAGAGTATCCCAAAGATAGTCGTTTCCATTGTTTTCGGCAAGTGCTAGGAATTGAAGTACCTCTTGAATAAACTCTATGTAGGAACGTTTTAAAATGTCTCGTTGGACGAGTTCACCTGGTTTGAGTGATTCGAGACAATGACGACGGATGGCAATGACCGATCGAAGACCCTCTGCCTTTTTCTTGGTTTTTTTGTTGACGTGAATCTCGTGTTCGTAGGGCTTGAGAATATCAAATAACACCTCGAGTACACGTGGATGAGTCTTTTCGAGTGCCATGAGTGACGCATCGACAAAGAATTTATCGGCAGATTTGAGGTTGGGAATGATCATGGTAAAGAGTTCGCGAGCAGATACTGGTGCCTGATCGACAATATCAGTCATCTTTTTCTTAATGTCAATGGCAGTGTTGTCGGTCACTTGGATGGTGGCACATGCCACAATAATATAGTTTCTCCACCAAATCGATAATCCTTCTGCGTCGCCAGTCGTATTTTGTTGTTTCTCTTCTGGCCAGATTGGTTTGATTCGTTGCATGATCAACTCGGTTGCTTTGAGTGTCGATACTAGACATAGTTCGGCTGAAGCACGCGCAATATCCGACAAACACGTTGACCACAACAACTGATCCTCTTTACTTTCTGATTCTGACATTCTCTCAAAGTCTTGTGGAGTCTTTAGCTTTTTGTACTTGTTCTCGGTGGTGTTGGTGAGTGTTTGGGCGTGTCGGTAGAGATACTCGTTACCATTCTCGTCGATAATGTCTCGGATATGTGTAGATATCTCGATGACGTCGTCTTGGCGTTCGTGGAGGAACGCTTCATGGACGGCACGGATCGAGTCGAGGATAGATAGAGCGACACGACGTACACGACCACTCGAAGCGCACAAAAAGACAATACCGACAGACTCGACAAAGGTGACATCAAGCATGTGGTTTTCAACATCGGGTTTGAATCGGACGAGGTCGTCAGCGTCATCAGCCAGGCGGTGTTTAGACAACTTGGAACGAGCCCACATTTCAAGTAACTCACGCATCTTGTCGAGTACAACGGTGGTCAGCGGCGACATGCGATCCGACAAGGATAGTGCATACTTGCCAAGCCCGCCAATAATGTTGGTTCGGATGTCTGGTCGACTTGCCATCAATTGTGTGAGTACGAGGGATGCCTTTTCACATACACCCTTGTCCAAATGGATCAAATACTTGGAGAGCATGTAGACGAGTTCGGCAACAGTCAACTTGGCTGGAAAGGCGATGGGAATGACCGAGATGGCAATCTTGAGCAGCTCGATACACGATGCGCCGGGTGGACGCAACTTTTCGAGCAGTTCGCTGAGTGGTTTGGTCTGGTTCGACTGCAACAACTGTCCAAACGTGCTGTCGAGTGCCTGCAAGATCTGTGACAAAAAGATCGACAGTGACTTGAGGTATGGTTCGATTGGTGACGCCACTTGCAAACTATGCGCGGCTTGGCGCTTGAGCGTACCGTATCGCACGCGACGCACTGCGCGTGCTTTGTGTGCTGGATCAGCTTGCATGGGTGATGCGGGCGACGGGCCCGAGCCATTGGCAAATGACAACAGTTTGGGTGTCAACGGGTTGGATGCGGCTCCGTCAATCAGCAGTACCGCACGCAACCCCACAATCATACGCTCGGGCGTCGTGATGTAGATGTCTTTGGGGTCACCGCCACGCAACAAATCAAAAATAATCTTTTCAAAGGCAAAGTCGATACGCGAATTGCCAATGACGCAAATAATGTCTATAAATACATCCAACGAATCGTTTGTGCCAATCGTCAGCTTTTTCGAGTGACCAGTTGGGAAGACGTGTGATACCACCTGGTGCAATCGTTCGTGTACCTCTTCGGGTTGCTCCGAGTACTTTGAAAGATAGCACTCTAATAAATATTGACTAGACTCTAATGAAAATGGTCTAATCTGCTTGTCTTTAATCTTTATAAAACTATCCATTAATCCCCAAAAATTCTTTATAAAGAAATCTTTATCTCCACAACATAATAATATTGTTAATAATGGATATGATGTCTAAAAAAAATAAAATAAAATAAAAATAAATTAATTAAATAATACATAAATAATATATATATCTCTTTTCTTTTGTTTGTTTTTGTACATACTAAAATATCCTTTGTTTTTTTTGTTTTTCTTGAAATAAAATCGTACATTTCCTTTACACAATTGACCCAATCAGCATAGAGTACATCGGGTGCGAATTTCTCCTCTGTCAATGGTCTCAATATACTGGCCAATACTTCACAAATGGCTCTTCTCAAATCACCTTTGATTCTTGAATTTTTAAAAAACTCCAAATATGATGATAAGAATTCCAATGATTGTTTTAATTTGTTATTTGATGATATCTAAAAGATAGGATAGAATATATTAATATAAATTTGTTTTGTTGTTTTATCTTTTTTTCTTTTTTTTTTTTTTACTTTGTTTCTTTTACCTTTACTTTAAAAAATCTAATACCTTGTACAATTGGTAAAGCTTTTGCTTTTAAAGTATTTGTACTTTGACATAATTGAAACTCTTTAAAGAATCGAGTGGATACACTACGCAGACGATACTTTGAGAGTTGTCCAAGAATGGATGCACAGAGATCGGGAATGATGGGAGAGGCAGCACGTCGCTCGAGTTTAAAGTTGTCAAAGCATATTGATTCGATTTGTGTGCCAATCTGATCGTTGAGGTTGTGTTTGGTGAGAGAGTTGAGAATGGTCAGTAACGATATACAAAAGATATAGTCGACAATCAACTTGTATCGTTCGTCGACCAATGGTGTGATGGAATCCTTTTTAGTGTCGGAGCCGTCTAGTTTAGGCTTGCTAATACTCTTGGCCGGAATGACATGTTGCGACGATCTCCATTGCAACAATGCATTCGCGATCAAATTCAAATAATATTTAGATACTTCTGACAATCCTTCCAACACATTATTAAATGTCTTTGCATCTGATCCATCAAAGAAATCTTCTATTCTAATTTTATCATCCTTTAAAAAATTAAAGGTAAAGGTAAAGTAAAGTGAAGTAAAGTAATAGATAGATAGATAGATAGATAGATAGATAGATTAAGTAAGTATAAATCATCATTGATCAATCATTCAGAATGTGTTTTCAATTTCAATGTTCTAACATACTCTTATAAATATATCTATTTTAACTTTGGTATGTTCTTTAAAGTCACCCAAGAGACGAAACATTAGGTGATCGGCAGGCAATACAGTCTTTGCATCTGTCTCACTATTTCCACTGCTGCTACTTCCAGCACGTGGCTTTGAAGCCATTCTTATTATTATTACTTATAATATGATGACTAATCTTTTGTTATTGTGTTGTCTAATAGTATTGTAATATTTATATATATATATATATGAATGTAATATGTAATATAAATGTGAATGTGATTGATACTATCTATCTCTCTCTTATATAAATATATATGATGATACTTCTACACTCTGATTAATTTAATATTACAATCTAAACTAGAGGAAGTAGGGTGAACAAGAATGAATGAATGATGAATGAAAGATGACGGGATGATCTGTGATTATTGTAGTTAATGAACAAAGACACTTTTTAATCCAAAACATGCCTGCCCAATATTCATATAATATTTAAATTGTTTTTTATAAGCAAAAAAGAAGAACTTGGACACATCACATCACCTCACATGGTTTTTTTTTCTTTTCTTTTAAAACTTTCTTTCTTTCTTTGTTTTGGCTCAAAAGAGAGAGACGAAGATTAAAATGTTTGTTTGTTTGTTAGATTTATTAACTTATTAAAATATTTGATTTATTTAAAGATTATATAAAGAAATTAAATAAGATAAATGAGATTCTAAATTAATGATATTTGGGAGTGGATTGTAAAATTGATTTAAAGAGAGGTTGGGGTCATAGTCATCTTCCAATATGTTTGTAGGTTGTGGAATCACTTGGAATGATGGTTGAGTTTGTTTGGAAAAGAGTGATGGTTTGGAACTAATGTACCACTCGGTCTTGGTGTAGCCATGGTCCGAGAGAATAGACATTAACAAACTTAAAAGAGTAGGTGGGATCTTGAAACGGTAGGAAAGCTGTGCAAGTTGTATACCTGGATGTGACATGACATACATGGCAATGTCACGGAGACAAAGGTTGAATTGGACAGTGTCAATGGTTCCATCGAGGTTGACCCATGGTCTCATGATGGTTTTAGAGTAGAGTTCCTTATTGGTGACTGGTACTGGTATCACAGTGACAGGAGGGAGTGGAAGCATCATATCAGCCACTTCAAGTGTATCTACATATAGAATACTCAAAGATCCATAGAGTTGTTGGATATAATTGAGTGTTCTGAGTGTTTGAATGTATGACTTTACATCAATAACACATGAATAATCTTTAGCGATTAGGTCTCGTTTGTCTTTGTCTTGATCATCAAGATCTTGACCATCATCTTGCAAGAGTGACAAACGATGTTGGATAATGTATTTACACAACTCTATGAAATCGATACCTTTGAGACCTGCAGATTTGATCTTTTTCCAAATCAATTCAGTCTCTTTAGTTTGTTTCAACAGTCCTCGTCTTTCCAATTCCTCCGATCCACCATTCTCCTCCAATACCATAGCACCAAGATAAAAGATTCTTTTCATCTCTTCAAATTCAAAACTCTTGCATTGTTCTTCTACCAATTGTTTGAATGGTGTCATCTTTGCTTGTTCTTCTTCTTCATTGTCCAACTTTACAACTTTTTGTTTCTTTGGTTTAAAGATTTCATCTTCATCATAATCATCGATTTCAGGAGTTGGTTCAACTGAATAATTCTTTTCCTCTTCCTCATCATCGTCGATTAATTCCATAAATCTACTTTCCCCTTTAATGTATTCTTCATCATCAAATCTTCTCTTTTCAATTTTACTATAAGATTCATTGATTGAACTTTTATAAAATCCAATAGCTAATCAAATATATTAATACATAAAAAACTAAATGTAAATATAATTCCTTTTTTTTTTGTTACTTACAAACAGGTTCAATATGTTTATCAATTTTGCCAGTTGCAAATACTTTGTGATTGATTGATGAACGAGAATGAGGTCTTATCGAAAGTTTAAGGCTTGATGGCACAGAAACAGATGGTATAAGTGTGGAATTGGCCATGAGATAGATTGCCTCTGCAACTGTTCCACCAGAACTATATGGATTAAAGGTGAAATAGGTTTCATTCTCTCTATTGTATACCTTTAAAAGTTGTTTACATTCATCAAAGAATAAATCTCCATCAACTGGTTTTGCAAATAAACTAATAGTAAAAAAATAAAAAAATAAGTTAGTTGATCGAATATATTTATATTTACGTATATTTACTTTTTTGGAAGAATATATCTTCTAGATTGATTAGATCTAGATAATCTAATAATCAATCTATCTAATAAAAGGGAATTTAAAATGCCAATGACATCAAACATATCTTTATCACCTAAAATCTCTTTACCAACTTGAGCTTCAAATTCTGATTCTGGTAATGATACAACAAACACACATTTATCACGTAATCTAACCAATTCACCAGAATTATAATTTGAAAAGGCCCATACATCTCTACGAGTTCTTGTTTCCTTGAAATCATATTTTTCTTTAACTTTATCAATAGAATCTGGTAAAACTCTAAATAGTAAAGTAAGTTAATCAAATAAAAATATGATCATATTCTTTTTTTTTACTTACAAATCATAAGTTGAGGTATTTTGATGATATGGAAGTATTTCAAATATTTTGTGTTTGTAGGATGGATATTTTTTGAGTAAGACATTTACACGTTTGTGACAAATAGAGTAAGGTCTCTCAAATTCCTCTGCAACATCACTCCATAATGGGTTTTCGACTTGGGGAACTCCATTTGCTGAAATCACTGTATAGTCAAAATCCTTTAAAGATTTGAAAAATGGTGTAAATAGTTCGATAACAAAATTCAACAAACGTCTATCATCGATATGACTCCATCTCTGTTGTCTGATAAGATGGATACTGGGTTTTGGTTTCCTTTTCATAAAGTTACGAACGCGAGGTACACCAGATGGTCTTCTCGGCTTGGCTCCTGGTTTCTGAGATTTGGTATTCAATGTGTATAAAAATCTCTGATACATTGTATCAATATAACTAACTCTAATATTTTCATCTATTGATAATTGAATTTTTTCATCACTAAAAACAAAAAAAATAAATACAATAATTAAAATGTGTTTCGTTTGCTTTACATACTTTGTTAATGGACGAGCAAGAGAAACAAATTGTGCAATGATACGTTGACGAGCTAAACGAGAAGCTTTGGATGAAAGACCCCATAATAATGGAGAATGAACATTGATTCCAAACTTTCCAATCAATTCTTGATTGTCAGTTTGTCCAACTGCCAATCTCTCCAATGCCGTCCAAAATGTAGTAATACCTTTTAATGAATTCAACATGTATTCTTGTCCATTTAATGCTAAATAAAATAAAATAAATAAATCGAATATTTTTCTTTTTTTTTAGTTTAGTTTACTTACTTGTTTCATGTAATAATTGAAATTCATTTAATTTTCTTCTTGAATTTAAGAAAATGGTTGATGTTGCTCTGGCAGCTCCTAGTTTGATCAAGTCTTCGATTCTGGCAACAAAACGTTTCATAAAGTTTTTGGTAAATATTTTACATCTCATTTGAATTGGTAAATCAACAACTTTGACAGATTGTGTGATTTTTTCAATCAATCCTTCAACAGTTTTATATTGTGGCATTACTTTACAATAATCTCCTGTTGTTAAACTATAATAAATAAAAACTTTGTTAGATTATAATTATAATATTTGTTTTCAATCTTTTTTTTCCAATCTTACCTTTTTAAAAATGAATTTAAATAAAAACAATAATCATCTGGTAAAACAATCTTTTCAAAATCTACATTATTATTATTATTGTTGTTATTATTATTATTGTCCACAGTGGTATTATTAAGACTATCATGATATAATGAAGCACAATATTTAAACAACATAATATGGTATGCTTTAGTTCTCATAAATTGACCATGAATCATACCATATTGAAGTGCCACCTTTTTGTTATAATATAATTGAATATCTGTATATCTTTCAATTGTTTCTTTTTCCATTTGATCATTTGCTGTTTTCATCTAAATTAAAAAAAAAAAAAGAGTTGTTAGATTATTATTATTCTTTTTTTTTTTTTCTATTTCTTTTTTTTTTCATTACATTAATATTATTATCTTTAATTTGACCAATTCTTTTTTTAATGATAGGATCATCTAAAGAATATTTAGCATCGTATGCAAAGATGAGAGTCTTGTCGATTGCATTTTTGTTGAAATACATTCTAATGATATTAATTTGATTTTCACCTTTGAGGTCTGTAAGTACATTGTTTAGAGTCTTTAGATCGACTCTAGGATCACCAGAATCATGTAAATATTCCAATAGTTGGTAGGTAATCATTCCAAATTCCTTGACAATTAGATCATAGACCATTTTCTTTCTGACCAAAAATTGTACTGATCTTGCAAACTTTCTGTGAGGTGTGCTTGATGAGCTGATCACGCTTCCATGACTACTCATATTCTTTAGAATTTGACCAAATAATGTTATTTGTGAAGATGGAGTTGCTGGTGGCGTTGTAATAGCCATAGATTTACTTGGTGTTGATACAATACTAACTATTGGATTAATCTTATTATTATTATTATTATTCTTATTTGCCTTTTGCTCCATTTCCTCTTCAATTTTAATAGCCATTTTAACTTGATTGGTTGTAGTACTTGATGTTGTTGAAGTTGTAGATGTTGTGGTTGGTTTATCATCATCGAGATCTTCAACATTAGCCACATTGGTGGTAGAACTATCCACATCCATTTTATCTTGCTCGACATCTATAGATGCGATAGTTGGTAGAATATCTTGTTTTTTGTTTTTCTTTTTACTTGCACTACTGGGTGTTTCTGGTTTGGTTGGTGTTTTCGTTGGTGTCTTGACTGACTCTTTTTTAACTTTGACTGGTGTTTCCTTGTCTTTTTTAGTTGGTGTAGTAGTTGATTTAGTTGTTGCTGCTGATTTGGGGGTGATCGATTTGGTTGGAGGTGTAACGGGTGTAATATGTTCCGTGAGGTATTGGTCATCCAACTGATCCTCGCTGACAAAGTATTTATAAGCCATGACCTTGCCAAGCAAGAATGGGAATACTCTAAGTTTATAGTAACATACAAGAGTACGAAGACCCGATGAAATATGCTTGAGACTATAATTTGGACCCATCCACTCTGCAATATCCTTTGTTAAAAGTGAACGAGGTGCATTCTTTATAAACTCAAACATTTGTTGTAACTTTTCAGTCTCGATGCATGTGAATGCTTCATTTGGTGCGTTCATGTCGCGGTCATTCATGTCTCCACCTTGTTCATCTTCGTCACCTTCATTGTCATCTGCTCCAGCTGCTGCCAATGGATCATAGAGTTTGATCAACTTTACATAATCCACTAATCTAGGAATTGGTACTCTATCTCTTTTCTTTGGTGTCTTTTTACCACTAGTGTTGGTTGGAGGGGAATCTTGATCCTCATCATCTTCATCTTTTTCCTCTTTTTCTTCTTTTGCATGCTCTTCTTTTTCCTTTTTTCTCTGTTGTAATAGAATTGGTAGAGATGATGCAGTTGTAGTTGTTTCATTTGGATATACTTCAGTACCCATGATACCCTGTCCATTTGCATCTACTCTTCTCTTGAACGATTCAATGTATCCTTCTTGAATCAATGTTTTCTTGACCAATTTGTAGGTTCCAAGTGTTTTGGTGTACTTTATCATTGTGCTCTTTAAGTCGGCGTTGGTTGTTGTGGTATCTGGACACTTTGACAAATAGTCTGTCATCATCTCGTGTGCAGCAGTCTTACTCTTCCATGGGTCAACCAATGGAACTCTATTACTAAAGAATCTTGTCAAATAAATCATTCTAGTTTGTACAACTTTTAATCCACTTTTATAAACTTCACATTTTACTCTACAAACAAGTAAAAAATATATTATTATTATTATTATTATTCTCTATTTCTATATATTTCTATTTTTCTATTACATACATATAACCTTTAACATGTAAAGTTTTAATTGGATTGAAAATATTACGAGAATCAATACCAAACATATCAGATAATTCACTTTGAGGAATACCATTGTATCTAGAGTTGGCAACAGCTTCTAGAATCTTTGTTTGGAGATCGTTTAGAGGTGGTTCACCAACAGCCATACCACAAGCCTTTCGTCTGAGATCTTTGTTGGCGACATAGGAGAATGGTACAATTGGATTGTTCCAATCCAAACACTTTTGTTTAGACACGATACTAGCTTCGGTGGATGTTTGATGTTGTTTTCTCCAATCCATTCCAGTTGCCTTTTTTGGTGTCTCTAAAGTATCGATTTGATAAACAACACCAATTGAATTGTCTGGTAATGCCACCTCACTACTATTAGTTGTTACAAGTGCACGTTCATTGTTGTTGTTGGCAGCTTCCTCTTTCTCCTTTTCTTCTTCTTCTTTTGTCTTTTTCCCCTTTGCCGCTGCTTTCTTGGCAGCCGGTTTCTTTTTTGGTGTAGAGGGAGTTGGTTTTGATGGTGTCTTGTTGTTGCCAGTGGTACTTTGTGAAGATAGAATGATTAGATCATCTTCACCGGCTCCAGTTTGATCTCCAATCTTTTTAAGTAGTGACATTGGATTGGTGTCTGGTTTGTTGACCAACGGTGCCATCTGTCGATATGTACTATCATCGATCAAATGGATAGAGCTGTGATCCAAGATACGTTTATGAATAAAGTTTTTGAGATGTACATTGATTGGACCAAACGTGTCTTGCACAACTGCAAACATTTGCTCGGGTGTCAATCCCCTCGACCCATTCAACGCAATCTCCTCTAAACACTTTATAATTATATCATCTAGATGTAATGCTTTTTGTGGTACCACATTCTTAATATTATTATTATTATTATTATTAGTTGTTGTTGTTGTTGTAGTTGATGTTGCTGACGACGGTGCCGTCGCTATTATATCTGCATTATTATTATCTGTCATTATTATTATATTATACTATTTATATTTGATTTTCATTATCTACAGATATATACTACTACACTCACTCTACTAATTTATATAAATAAAAAAGTTGTTATGAATGAATATTGAATGAGCGACCTTGAATAATTGTGTTTTTATTTTGGAAAAGACAATGAAAAAAGAGGGAAACTTCAAAAGGATGGAGGACGCATACTGCAAAGACTGCATCATTATTTTTATTATTATCTATACTTAACGCAAATAGCTAGATAAAGATAAAAAGACAGCATATCATCATGGAGGACCCTCCTCTCGAGTAGCATCTCACACTGGTGGAAGTCCCTACAGACCTCCAGGAACAACCACATGGCTCTGAACAGAATGTCAGGTAAATTATGCAACTTGGTAATTTATTAAATAGACACAGACCAAAGTGGCAAACGAACATCAATACTGATAGCAACTTGGCGAGATGAAAATACATCATGACACAGCAGGCCAATATCTATATGTGCACACCCATTACTTAACTCACTCTATATTAATTGGCCTGCTGTGTTATATACTTTCATTCTCTTGAGAGAGTACACCATCATTGATGATCTCTCTCTCTTTTTAAAAAGGTACCTTTATTATTAGAAAAAAAAAAAAAAAAAAAAAAAAAAAAAGGATTTTTTTTGGTGATTGGTAGTATATACATGTTCCAAACAATTTACTAACATTTTATCTCTTCTCAAAAAAAGATATGATGGAAGTAATAATAAGAAAAGTGTTGACAAATAGATATCTATTTAGAACAATTATAAAGTCATTGTCACCGTTTAGAGATATTCAAGAAGATGAAATGAATTGTTGCTTGGAATTGTATAGATATGAAGAATGGGTCAATGCAAAGGATATGATACAACATGGACATGTTGGTCTATTAATTGACAAGATCAAGAATAAGAACAATAACAATGACAAGAGACTGTTGTTTGATTGTCACGAATGTATACCTGTATTATTTAAAAGAGTGCGAGACATACAATCGTTTATATATATCTTTGAAAGATATAGAGACGAGATTATCCTCTATCTCGAAATGTCTGCTGCACATGACTTGCAATACTACCTTTCACAAAACACACCAGACATTATAGACTATGTATGTCGTCAACAACAACAACAACCATCATCACTCATTGAATGGGACATTACAGCATACATGGGAGCTGTCAATAGTAACCAAATCAATATACTCGATCATTTAAAGAATCAAATGAAAGTAAAGATTAGTTTCAAAGAGAATAATCTCAATGGACTAGCTGCAAGTGTATTTAGACATTATTTTAAGAGAGCCCATGGCAAACAATTCAAACATCGGAGTGGTAACCGTGATGCCATTCGTTGGTTGATCGAGAATACCGATATTAGAGAGTATCCCCCGTCGCCATCTCATCAGGCCATCGTACATGGTGATGTTGACATACTCGATATATTCGATCCGAATGTTGCAGAGTGTCGACGCAGTCCTTCCATCATGTCTTATTTTCGAGCAAGTGTCAAGCGGAAATTGAAGGTTACCAAGTATATCATGGATCACATGTGTGACATTAAATACGACTATGAAGAATTGGTTTGGTTTTACATTGACAAGATTACAAAGAGACATCCAAGACTAACTAGTCTCCTATACGACCAAGATACAATGGACGAGTTGGTAGGACACTACCTACAATTCAATCTACACAACAATACACCCTTTCACATTACCTCAATCCTTTTATTAGAGTTGAAATTGGCCGACAAGTATGATAACCTTGTCAATGTAGTCCAATCACTGTTGCAAGAAAGAAATAGTGACTATTTAGTCAGACATGTAGTACCATTCAATCTTGAAAGAGTATTGAATGCACTGACCCTCCAACAACTTAAAAAGTGTCACCATGTCATGAACCTAGACACTCTGACAGTTGAAAGCACCGAATTCTCGCTTGAAACATTGACACTAGATGTTGTTGCATTTCTATTCTCCAACTACCCATCGATCATCCCCAGACTACAAGAACTTGCACTCTATTCAAAAGTTTATGTCGATTGTATAGATATGCACAAGTTAATGGTCAAGTTTAATATTGATGCTACATTTAAAGGTGGACAATCTCTTGCACATCGACTAGCATTGAAAAGAGATAGAGAAGGGTTTGATTATTATATCAAACATGTAGAAACCATTGATTTCCAAATAGGAAATCGAGGTTGGCTTCTATTGGATCATGCATCTAAATCATTTTCTAAAAAGGTTGAACAATTTAAAAAAGGTTATGAAAATAATCCAATCCAAAGAGAATCACAGAATCTATCATTTACCAAAGAGTTGGCTAGGATGATTGCAAGAAAAGGATCCATTCAAGTATACAAAATAATTAAAAATTATTTATCAACTCAATTTGATGATGATGAATCAAACAAAAATTCAACAGAACATTTTAAACTTTCATTAATAATCTATTCTATACTATTTGAAAATTACTCTTTTATTAAATATATTTTGGATCAAGAAGAAAATGGAACTAGAAATACTAGTAAAATTAAAGATATACAACATTTTATTGAATGGTATAAAATATATTATTTAATACAACCTCCTTTAAATAATAATAATAATAATAATAATAATAATAATAATAGTTCATTAATTAATATAATTCAATTATATAATAATAATAATAATAAATAAATAAATAATTTGACAATATCATTTTTTTTTGAATATATATTTAAGTTGTTTATTTTATTAATTTATTTTATTTTTTGGTTATTTTAATCATCTTCCATGAGAAGATCATCAATATCATCATCATCATCATCTAAAGAATCTTGATCAGGGTCAAACTCTGCCTCTGAATCATCACTGTCATCTTGCATATCTTCATCTTCATCATCATCTTCACTTTCCTCTTCATCACTGTTGTCTTCGTAGACAAGGGTTGGATTATAATCGATAGTGTCGGCGATGGAAGCATTCTTTTGGCTTTCAATCAATTCGAATTTTCCAACCAATTTGGTCATTGATTCATGAAGTTTATATTTATCCTCAACCACCGAGTTGAGAACTGCCAATTGTTGTCTGAGTGATGGTACAGTCAATAAATAAGCTGAATGATATTTAATAATATTACTAATCCACATTAATAAAATATGTCTAAATAAATATAAAAAAAAGAAATAGATAGAATAAGTAAGTAAAGGGTAATTAATTTTCTTTTTCTTTTTCTTTTTGTTTTGAGACATACGAATTCTTTAATTCAGTAGCAATATCTGTAGAGATTTTCTTTAAAAGATTGTATGCGTATGGTGATGGTAAAGCCTTGACGGTATTGATGATAACCTCTTGTCTAGAGGCCAAAGCCTTTCCTAAAAGTGACATATCGGAAGAGGTCAAACCTTGGACGACCAAGTCGACGACAGTGGTGGAACTCTTTTGTTTGTTATCAATGACTGCGGTAGCACGATCAACTGATTGTGCTGGTGATTCAATTGGTACATCTCCCATTGTTGTCATTATCTTATTTGATGTTGTTGTATTATTTGATTTCTTATTATTATTATTGTTGTCTTGTGGGGTGGTAGTAGTAGATTTCTTTGATTCCTTTGATTGTTCATCTTGTTGTTGTTTATTAACTGGTAAATATCTAATAAAACTAGTATCCTTATTTGTAAATGCCTAAACATAATTAAATAATTAAATAAATAATGGTTAATAAATATATATAATATCATTAATTGTTTGACTTTTCTTGATTCTTACAAATTGTTCAAACTTTATAGATTTCTTTAAATTATCTTTGTTGGCATGAACAATGATTAATTCAGATTGATTGACAAAGGAACAAGAGACGAGGGAGACGGCTTGAGCATTTTCAATGGTGACCTTGGTAGAGTCCAAAACCTTGGATGGGGTGATCTTGTGGATTTCAACCATCTTGTTGTCGGTGACGGCAGCAATGTATTGGTGTTGCTCCTTGCTATATGATGAGAGGTGTTGAATGTTGGAGGAAAGCTTGATGGTTTGGAGCAGCTTCTTGTTGACGGCACTGCCAGAGTCTGTGTCAAAGACACTGAGGTATTGGTCTTGCGACGATGCAGAGACGACGAGTGATGCGAGGAAAGTGAGACTGTCTTGTGACTTGGCCAACTTGTGCTTACGCAATGAAGCCATCTGAGAGACATCCCAGAAACGAACGTGGGTGCTTCCAGTCACCAACACGGTACCCTTGTCAGAGACAGCGATCGATGCAACGTCGCGGCCTTCCTCTGCTTGCACTGTGTTTGGTTTGCCGTCGTGTTGCCATTGTGCGACACGTCCATCAATGTCGCATGAGAATATATCCTTTTCAGTGGTGCCAAATACAACACCTACCACCTTGCAACCTGCATGAGCACCTGTCAATCTCTTTTCCATCTTTCCACTCAATATATTATAAATCAATACATCTCCATAGTTTGTACCAATTGCAATCACTCCTTTTTGAATTGAACTTGCTTTTGTCTAAAGAAAAACAAATACAAACAAATAATGTAAAAGAAAGAAAGAAGAATGTGTGTAAATAAATAATAACTAACATATCTATCTATCTTATCTATTCATTTTTATACATACAGAAGTAAAGATAGATAAACATGTAAGCTTTGAAGATTCGCGATCATCTGAATAGGTACGTAATGGTTCAGAAGAGTTGGTGGTATTCCAAACAAGCAATTGGTTGGTCTTTTGGTCGACACATGCAAAGTATTTAGAATACTTGTCGAATGAATAATAGGTTGAAGATGATGATGCTGACATTTTAGTATTCACACTCTACTACTCTCTCTCTCTTTTGAAATAAAAAGTATTACTCTGAGTAATAATAAAAAGCGTATCAAAAAAAAAACGAACGAAAGGATGATGAAAAAACTCCATCCAAAAGCAAGACGAGAATTAAATTAATATTATCTTTTTTTTTTTTTTTATTTTTAAATAAAACAAGTAGAACAACAGAGAGATAGATATATGATTAAAATATTACACCCTACTACTATTTAAATAGCAGGAACAATAGTTGTTGTTGAAAGATTACTATTGCTACGCGAATGATGAAGACTGTTTCTTCTGCTTGCAACTCCACCACCTCCTCCAGGGTTTGATGATAATCGAACTTGCTTTGATATGTCACTCACTTGTTTCGATATCGATTTGGATGAATATACACAACTAGTAGAAAAGAATGAAAGATGTGATTAATAACTCGGGTTTATTATAATAATCTAAATAAATAGATAGATAGACATACCATTTACTAACATCTTTGGACATTTTATCTAAACTTTGGTGTAGTGAATGAATGTCGGTCGCTGATAGGATGGATGGACAGAATCGATAGGTATCAATTTGTTGTAGTCGACCAATCATAGAGGATGATGTGAATATTCTACTGGTTGTGAATGGTGTTGTTGTTGTTGTACCGCGTACTATAGTACTTGCTGTTTGTGTTCCAGGTACCATAATTTCACTCTTACTATTATTATTAACAATTGTTGTAATATTATTATTATTATTATTATTATTATTGGTTGTGGTAGTGGTAGTATCAATCAATGTTGATTTAATTGGAGAACTAGCTTTGGGAATAAGGATTGGAGTAGTGGCGATTGCCATAAAAGTTGGTTCTTCCAAATCAATGGTTGTCAAAATAATTGGATATGGTTGTGGAAGAGGTGCTGCATTGGATTGTTGGTATGGAGTTGGTGATGCAATCAATTCCCATCCTGTACTTTCTGTCTCTCCCATTGAACAATTATCCCATGATGAAATTGATGGTGATGTAAATCCCATCTCTACATATTGATTTTGTTTATCCATTTATTGATTAAATCTTTTTTAAAATATATTTATTTTAAAACAAAGAAGAATTTTAGTAAAAGTAAATATAACAATAAAAGTATAATAAAGAACAAGAGAAGAAGGATGAGAGGTGGAAGAAGACCAGACCAGACCAACCAAACAAGTAATAATTTAAATAATTCATAACAACAACAACAACAACATATGTAACCGAGATGATTTATATTAATCGTTTCCAAAACGAGTGGGAAATAGAAGTAGAGGGAGGGAAGAAATAAATGGGTAGGATAGGATAGGGTTAGGGTTTAGTGTATGTCGTTTTACAAAACCCAACTACCCATCAAACAAATATTTGTTTGAACGAATGTGTGTGTGTGTTATCTGTTCACTACTCTCTCAACACACTTGTTGAGGGTGATTAATTATTGATGGTATATTTATCCTATATCGTATTGTCAATCAATCACCCTCTTCCTCCCATCCAACCAATCACGATGTTTTAACAATGACAATGTGGCTAGTAGTAGTTTTTAATGAAAATCGTCAAACGATAGTCGAGTCGGTCGTTGGTTTCAAGATGAACGAATTAAATGAGTGTTAACACTACTATTTTAGAGATATAGAGATAGATAGAGAGTAAGAAATAGAGAGATGGTTGGATACAATTCAACTATTTCAACGATAACTCGTTGTTGTCGTAGATTAACAACCTCTTCTACATTGTCATCACAGTCTTTATCATCATTGACAACTAGTCATTATTTAAACAACAACAAATATTATCATACTTTGAGTAATAATAGTAGTCTTTCATCATGTATGTTTCATACTATACATAAGATTTCTTATTCATTTATTTATTCTTAAACTTTCATTAGATAATAGAATTTCATCATCAAAATCTACATCATCTACAACTACAACTTTACTTCTTAGATATTATTCAAGAGATAACTTTAATAATGCATTAGAGTCAAGTTCATTGTATGATAGAGAAAAGGTGAATGTAAATTTTATAGAACCAGAGAATGTTAAACCATTCAAACCTCGATTGGCACCGTATCATACACAAGCGACACTCGACTTTCTCATTACACCCGGTCAAAGACAATTCTCACGCGATGAGATTGACAAGTTTGTCAACCTAGCCAAGGCATTGTCATCGATTGGTTATGAACATCAGACAGAAGGTCGTTACAAAGAGGCAATGGAATCGTACAACAAGGCATTACTCAACGTTAGAAATGTAATTGGTCAAGACCGTAACCGTATTTCATTGCGTGAATACGCAGTCTTGATGATCAACATGGCAGAGACTCATTCTCGAATGGATAATGTCGATGATGCAATCCTACGTTCAAAACAAGCTATCGATCTATTAGAAATAGATTGGAGGAATCAATATGATATGGAACAAGAAAAACAAAAACAACAAGAAGAATTGGAACAACAAGCTTTAAAAAGTGGTAAAAAGTTAAATAACAAGAGAAGTATTGGTAATACTCTGACTTCTCAGACTACCTCGACAGTTAGAAAATCATGGGTAAAAGATGAATTATTGGGAGTTGCTTATCAAAATCATGCAGAGTATTTGGTGTACAAACAGAGGTACCCAGAGAGTGAACCATTTATTCGTGTTGCTCATGGTATTTTGACCAAGTTGTATCCACTCGATCATCCAGTCAACGTTGATAATGGAATGATGTTGATTCAGGTGCTCAACGAGAATGCACGTCATGAAGAGGTCAAAAAGGTGAATGACAAGTATGGCAGCATTCTCATGGACTCGATGGGCAAAGAGAATGAAAAGAACGAGACCGCCATCTACGAACAAATGAACGAGGGTATGATGACAAGTCTAGAAAACTCTATTCGTGAAAAATACCCTGGTGTCTTGGAAGAACATGAACAAGAAGCTGAACGTCTAGCACAAGAAATTGCCAATGAAAAGGGTACAAGTAAAGAATTACAAGCTTTAAAAGAATTGGCTGAATTGCAAGAACTAGAAGAACAAGAGGACGAATATTTGGACGAGGAGGAGGAAGAGTTGGAAAGAAATCAATTTGCAGAACCACAATTTCATCAAGATGATTTACAAGCACTTGAAGAAGAAGTGTATAGTTTATCATCAAAACAAAAGTATGGAGAAACACTTTCAACAGCCTCTAAACTAGAACAAGAATTGATTGATGATGGTACAATAGAGGATAGTGAATTATCAAAATATGCAGAAGACGAGGAAGCAGAAGAAGAGGCACACGATGAATTTATGCGTGAAATCAGTCAAGAGGAACAAGAGTTGGGTAAAAAGTATCAATCTCATCTAGACAAACCACTCGTGTCACCAGAGGAGTTGAAATACCCAAGTGACTTTGTACTCAACAAGCTCGATGCTCTTCTTAGTAAAGGTGTCGAGGAATACTCGGCCTTTGAAAGAGCCAAAATGATCGATAGAGATCGTCGTATTAAAAACAAGGCATCCGATGTCATTGACCAGGTATTCTCAGAGGATGGTCACATTACCACCCCTACAACCGATTCTGGAGAACCTATCAGTCAAAGTAACCTTCAAAAGATTGGTCAATACCATGCAGAGGAATTGATCCAACCCGATATGGAAGAGGAAAAGGAGTTGATGGAAAGTTATATGAGCAAGATTCTCAAACTCACCGAAAATATTGACGCACAGGAAATGTCAGACATTGAAGATAAATTCAAAGATATTGAACCACTATTGGCTCAATTTGCAAAAGCAGATGACCAACAAGCAAAGAAATTATTCAATTTTTCATTTCAAGATGTTGAACAAGAAGAAGAACAAGATAGACAAGAAAGAGAAAGAGAAAGAGAAACGGAAAAGAAACAAGAAAAAAAGAAATCAAAATCAAAGTCGTCTCAGTTTGAATCTGCAGATTTATCAGGTCTAAGAGACAATGAAAAGGATTTTGTTCAAAAGAATCAAGATTTGATGAGAGATTTAATGGGACAAGTAGAAAAGCATGGTTTCAATTTAGAAGAGATTACAAAGAATATTAATTTGGATGATTACAAGGATTTGGATTTGGGTGAAGAAGGTGGAGACTTTGAATCAATGCTCAAGGGAATGGAAATGGATGGTGACGATGATGACTTTGACAGTGAAATCTTTAAGGAATTTGATTTCAAGGGTCTTGAAGATGATGATGAAGATCTCGATATTGACAATGACGATGAAAATGAAAATTTGGATCTCTACATTAAACAAACAATGCAAGATCAAGATTTAGATGAATTTTTTAAAAATAGAAATAAATAGAAATAGGTTTAAGGTCTAATTTAAATTAATAAATAAATGATAATAAATAAATATTAATATCACTGAAAAGAGTAGTAGTCAGTCAATTAATTAACTTAATTAATTGGTTTCTGTTGAGTAGACATACGTGTTCCGAAAGTATCTGCCAAAGTCCTGTATCACCACTTGGGTTGTAGGCATTAGTTTCCCATGAACTCTCATAGTAGGCGATACAAATCATCGTGGTTACAAGACTCTTTTCTGATGTGATATATATTTTTTGTAAGATCACAATTTTAAGCAGTCTGTGCGAAAATATTGTAGTAATTAGTTAAATTTGTATTTAACCATTTGTTTATTGATTTAATTGTTCTAGAGGACATCAAAAAGGTCCCACGAGGCACAATCTCCCATTTGTTTATTGATTTAATTGGTCTTGAGGAGATCACAAAGGTCCCAAGTCTAAAAAAATTAAAAATTAAAAATAAAGAGGTTAATATTAAATAGAAAATTGTTACAGATGATTAAATGTATGTATATATCAAACGTACTGCACAGTCTCCATTCGAGAATGTAGTCCAAGCCTATAGGGTAGATATGAATAAATAATAAAGAGATTAGTATATTTGTATTAAGAAAGAGGTTAAATATAATATTTCTGTTTTTATATTTACATTGTAGCCTTGAGCGGCCAAAACCTTGGCAGCACACTTGGCATTGACTACTGGATCGTAGAGTTGAGTTGGGTTGCTGCAAATTCCAGAGCAAACATCATCACACTAAAAAGTATCAAAAATTGGAAATAAATATTAATATCACTGAAAAGAGTAGTAGTCAGTCAATTAATTAATTAATTAATTGGTTTCTGTTGAGTAGACATACGTGTTCCGAAAGTATCTGCCAAAGGCCCGTTGCGGAGCTCGGGTTATAGGCATTAGTTTCCCATGAACTCTCATAGTAGGCGATGCAAATCATATTGGAAGCAACATGAATATCAGAAGAAATGTATTGCTTGGTAAGAGCTTGCATTTGAGCGCAGTCATAGGTTGACTAAATAGAAGAGTATAGTAGGTTAGAAGAAGTCTATTTCATTTCATTGTCATGTGATGTGATGATGTTGATGTTGTTGGAATTTAAATACAAACAGCAAATGAAGATGAAATAAAAGCCAAAATAAAGGCAATGAGAGCAATGAATCTGTACATGATTAAATAAGTAGTAGTGAGTGTAATGAATGAATGAAAGGGTACCGACGCTTTTATATTGAGCGGAGGAGGAGGTTGGGAGGACTCCGAAAACCGATACAAGTTGAGTCCCGCTGACCTCGAAAAAAATCTGTAAAAAATAAATTTTAATCACTTTTGGATACCAGGCAAGCAATGAATTTTATCCAAAGCCAAATAACTTTCTCCTTTTCAGACGTGCTCGTCGGCGGGTATAGATATTAATAATAATAATCATTGAAAATATCTATCTATTTATCTATCTATCTATCTATCTATCTATCTATCTATCTATCTATCTATCTATCTATCTATCTATCTATCTATCTATCTATCTATCTATCTATCTATCTATCATTCCAATTGGTACCTTGGTTTGAACTTCTAGAGGCAAGTTTGATACAGTTGCAAATGTTTTGGTCTTTGTCATAACCTCAACATTGATTTGAGTTGGAGTATGAGGTTAGTCTAGCAATGGTGATAGGAGAGCAGTAAGGATGGCAGTAGATTTCTTGGCCGACGGTGATCCGATCTCTGTAGTATCATCTAAACGTTCAGATACTACTACCAAGGTTGGTACACCCTATTCAACCAACAGTGGTACCGTACCAAGTTATCAAAGGATTCAATGACATAGATCTTTGAGATTGATAGTATATTTGATCGAAAACATTTTTTCAAAGTTCATCATCCCGTCAAACACAAATTTTTTATTTTTAAAGAGATAATAAGTAGTAGATGATTAGTGATAAAGAAGCAGTTATAAAGAGAAAAAGAAATGATGATGAATTGATAACAGTTGAAGATGCACTTAAAGATTCATTGGATGAGAATAAAGAACTCTATGAAGAGGCATTAGATCAATATGATCAGAAATGGGGTGAAGAAGAGTAAGATATATAAAGAGAGAGAGAGAGAGACAAAACGATACTATTCTAATTAACTATTACTACTTTATTTAGTAAATGTACATTTGAAAAGGGATATATAACACAACCTGTTTATGCTTGTAAGAATTGTCCAAATACTGTAAGTAGTGTTATCACAATATTATTGTTATTGTTATATTAATTGAATCTCTCTCTCTCTCTCTCTCTCTCTCTTTGTCTCTTTAATTTATGATAGTTTGGATTTTGTTATGGATGTTCAATGCATTGTCATATAGATCATGAAATCTATGAATTATTTAAAAAGAGATCATTTAGATGTGATTGTGGAACCTCTGTTGCAGGTGATATAAAATGTATACTACAAGACAAGGTACATCAAGACAATAATGATAAAAACATATACAATCATAACTTTCAAGGCAAATATTGTTATTGTGATCAATCATATGATTACAAAGAGGATATGGTACAATGTCTATTCTGTTTTGATTGGTTTCATGAAACTTGTATTGCTTTAAACTCTACAACCAAAGAAACCGTCTCAACTATACCAGAAGCAGATCAAATGCAAGATTTTGTTTGTTTACCTTGTCTCAAAAAATTACCTTTTCTATTGGATTATCCTCAAATTAGATTAAAAGACAATAATAATAGTAGTAATAGTACAACAAATGACATCAATTCATCATCATCAACATCAACATTACAATGTAAAAGAGATTTGGAATCAATTAAAATTGTAAATGATTTATTTTGTAAATTTGGATGGAGAGATGAATTATGTAGATGCCAACAATGTCAAAAACTATACGAAAAGGAAAATATATTATTCCTATTTGAACCAATTGAATTGGATAGTGAAGATGAGGATGAAGATCAAGATGAAATAGATATTCAAGGAGATGGTGAAAGATTAGAGAAAAAAAGAATTAAAAGACCAGAAAACCCATTTTTAGAACAAAACTTGGAAAAGAGTATAGAACAATTCCAAAACAAATTGACAGATCATCAACAAGAAAAACTAGTTCAAGGATACCAACAAATGAAAGATAAAATATTTTCCTTTTTAAAATCAAAAACTGAACAATTACAACAACAACAACAACAACAACAACAAGAACAAAGTGAAAATAATAATAATAGTAATAATAATGGAAATATAGTAATTACCAAACAAGATATAAAATCACTTTTTAATGGTTTATCAAAATAATAATAACCTTTATAATATATATATATATTTATACAATTTAAATAGGACTATTATTATTGTCCTTTGATGATAATTCTTCTTTATATTTATTCAATTCTAATATTAATTGTTCATTTTTTAATTTTAATTGTTCATTTTCATTTCTTTCAAAGTCTAATTGATCTACCATTAAATTATACTTCCTTGACATTTCTCCAACTCCACTATACAATGTATCAAAATCCTTTTTATTTTTCTCTCTTTTTAAACGTGTGTTTCATTAGTTTTTGATCATTTCTTATTCAATCAAATCATTACATACTTTTCTATAAAATGTTCATTTTGATAAGTTTTAAAAGCATTTTCAAAAACTTTAGCTCTAGTTTCAAGTTGTAATAGATATTCTACTGCTGTATCTCTTTCTTGAATAATCTTTTGAATATCCATAATTATTTAGTACTTTTAAATAAATTAAAAGAACATCAAGAAGCACGCTTTGTCATCAAAAAAAAAAAGGTTTTAAAATCGAGCAACCTTGCAACTGCAAACTCAAAAGTCAAAGTTAATTAAAAAGATAATATAAAGATAAAGATATACAACTAGAATACATATATATATAGAAATGAGAGTATTGGAACTTATAGGATCAATATATATTTGGTTGATAGCTTTATTTATTGGTAGAAGAGATCAAATACAAAATCATATAGAAAATAATAACAATCAACAAAATAACAACAATCAAAACAACCAACAACAACAACAACAACAACAAATAACTATAAATGTAGATCAATCAACTTCAACATTGAATAATAATAATAATAATAATAATACTTCTTCTTCTAGTTCAAATCAAATAGTAAATGCATACAAGAATATAGATAAAAAGGAACCAATTAGTTATAAAGTATATAAAAAGAAAGCATTAGATTATTTGAAAAAGAATGAAACGATAGATACAGACTCTGTCATTGCAAATATTGTTCAACAATGTCAAGTCTCCCCTTCATCTAATTCATCCTCTACTTCTTCATCTGATGAATCAACGATTAATTTATTTTCAAATATACTTGGACAATCAATAGAGAATGAAAGATTTAAATACTTGATTGTCAATGCTGTATTTGATTATATGAAAAAGACACAGACTCAAACTGGTGAACAATGGCTGTCATTCCTATCGATCATCTTTTCAACTAGTATTCAGACGGACCGTGAACGCCAAGACATCTCTGACATTCTACTGTATCTGCCACCGGCCGTTCTTGGTGATATCCAAGATCGTAGTAAATCAAGAGTATTGGTAGACATTTTTGCAGACATGTCTGATGCACTTTCGATCGATCGTCGTAAACTAGGAGAGATTAGTGGATTCGTCGAAGAGGTTTCCACCATTTTAATCACCCTCCTCACAAGTGTCAAGGATGACGATAGTGGAACCACCCAATTCCAATTACTAGCCCTTTTACTTTTAAATTTAAATAATACCTATAGATCAAAATTACTCTTATCAAATCTTGTAATGTCTAGAATCCTTCCACTTCAAATCAATTCAAGACAATTATTTTTAAATAATTTATTTTCTTTTAAAGGTAAATTTCAAACTCAAATCAATAATCAAAATAATCAAAATAATGAAGATCAATTAAGTACTAGTACAACAACAACGACCACATCAACATCAACATCCACATCAACAACAACAACAACAACAAATAATATGGTTTAATAAAATTCATTCTTTTTTTATTTATTATTATTATTATTATTAATTTCCACCTATTGAAAATTCCAAAGATTTCTTTAATGGTAAACTTGAAATCCAATCAGATTGAGTGATTGGTAATAGACCCATACTTGAACATTTATACAATGCAACACCCAACAATGCCAATTGTATAACTATATATGTAATCTTCATAACAAATATTTTATCTTGAATTTCTTTAAATCTTATAAATACTATAAAAAAAGAAAAGAAAAAGGAATAATAAGTATACTGTCTCTTTGCTTTCTCTTTTTCTTTCATTGTTTCTTTTTTGTTTTGAATTACCATTATTAGTTTGAAAAATAGCTTTAATTGGATTGATAACAGAATAGATAATGACAGGCATGGTAAAGATATTGATACCATTACCAATCATCCACAATAGAAAACCAGTCATGAATATACTCTTTGCCGGTGACTTTGCCAATTCCCATGCTTTTTTAACCAACAAGTCTGTATTTTGTGTAGAAGGTGTTGAACCAGTAGATGATGATGACGATGATGCTATATATGTTTGTGATGATGATCCACCAAGTAGTAATGATTGTTTTGTTAAACTATTATTATTACCACCTCCTGATGATGATGATATTTCAAGATTCCATTTTCTCTTTTGATTGTTTGCTTTAAAGTTGCTCATATTTCTTTCTTTCTTTCTTTTTAATGTTATAAATTAAAGGGTATCATGATAAGATGTTCATCATCGATTGTCAGCAGCGGGTGGTCGTTGGGGTCAACTCCACTTTTTTGTTTTTTTTGAAATTTTTCATCTTTTTCTGCTCCAACCACCCTTCAAACACAAAGTATGTTTCGTACTTTAGTATCTCCTAGGAGTGTTGTTTCAAGCAGATATATTTATTTATATATAACTTTTTTTTTTTTTCTTTTTCTTTTTCATTTGTTACTATACTTATTACTATTACAATTTAGTACTATTAGTTTTTCTATATATATATAGGATGGATAAGATATTTGAATTTGGTAGTAGTGTCATTGGAGCTGCATCTGAAAAGATCAACAATATCAATATTGGTGATACAAAGAGATATATTTCAGAGAGAGCAGGCAATGTACTTGGTATGAGTGGAGCTGTTGGAGGTGCAGTCTATGAAATCAATGGTCGAAGATTCACAGAGAGATTAAAGATTGCCGAAGGTGGTTTTGGTATCGTCTATCTTGTTCGTGATGACTATGGTCAAGACTATGCTCTCAAAAGAATGTTTGTTCAAGATCGTGAAAAAATATTAGCTGTTAAAAATGAAATCGATGTTATGGTAAATAGAAATACAAACAACAAATAATACTTTGATTATTATGTTTATTAACTTTTATTTTTATTGTTAGAAAAAACTTGGTAATCAAAAGAATATAGTTAGATTGGAAACATTTAAAATCAATGAAACAAGAAATGAAACTGAATTTTTAATGGTTTTAGAGTATTGTTCTGGTGGTTCAATTTTGGATATTATGAATCAAAGAGAACAATCTAGATTGTCTGAACGTGAAATATTGGCAATCTTTTCTGATACCTGTCATGCCGTAATGTCAATGCATAATTTATCAATTACTCATAGAGATTTAAAGGTATATATACACTTATATATTAATATCTTTTCTTTTAATTATTAATTAAATATTTCTTTTTTGTTTTGCCTAGATTGAAAATATATTATATTGTGAACAAAGTAGATGTTATAAATTATGTGATTTTGGATCATCAACAACAAGAGTTTACGATACAAACAAGGATGGAGAAAGATCAAAGGCAGAGGATGATATCAATACATTCACAACACTTGTTTACCGTGCACCGGAAATGGTTGATCTCTATCAACGACACGTTATCAATGAAAAGGTTGATATTTGGGCATTGGGTTGTGTACTCTTTAAAATGGCCTATTACAATGATCCATTTGATGGAACATTGGGTATTTTAAACAACCGTCTTCCCATTCCAGAAAACTCTAAATTCTCTCCCTCTTTTAACCAAATGATTCAATTCCTTTTGGTTTCTGACCCTACCCAACGTCCAACCATCTTTGACGTTTTAAATCGTCTCGAGACCTTTAAAAATCCAACAAGAAGAAGTGGTCTTCAAACCTTTTCTCCTCAAAAACCTTTATCCAACAGCAGTGGTAATTTGAATGGTTCAAATAATAGCACTCCTTCTTATTCTCCATCTCAACCTTCTACTCCTACAAATCAAAGAAAACAAAATGTTTTTGATATGTTGGATTGGCAAGATGGAAATAATAATAACATCAATAATAGTAATAATAATAATGGTCAACAACAACAAAAATCAAAATCAAATAATAATAATAATAATAATGATGATGGTTTTGGAGATTGGGAATTTGATTCTTCTGCTCATTCTGCAAAATCACAACAACCACCAAAGAATTTACAATCTTCAGTTTCTTCAATGTCATCATTTGATCCATTTGATGATTTTGTTTCTTCACCATCTTCATCATCTTCTTCAATCAAACCAATTCAAAACAAACCAACACCACCACCACAACAACAAAAGGAAGAAATAACATTTGACAAGGTTGATTTATTTTCAAACAATTTCCAAAATAATTTAAATTTAAATAATAACAACAACAACGCTAATAATAATAATAGATATAATAATAATAATACCATTCAACAACCAGTACCATTAAATAATAATTTTAATACTACTACTTATAACAATAATAATACTAACAAGATTAATAATAACTACACATCTCCATCAACTCCCAACAAAACTAATAATATTAATAATAATAATAATAATAATGGTATGAATGGATCATTTGATGATTTTGGAGGTTGGAATACAAGTCCAGTTTCATCAACCAATTCATTCAAACCTGCTGCTGTTGCTTCAAACAACAACAATACAGCTTCATCAGCCTTTTCAGATGTACTCAAACCAATATCCTCATCCACATCATCTTTGGGATCTTCATCATCCTCATCGGTCAAGAGCAATAGTAATAGTACCAACAATAGTAACAACAATTCTAGAACAAATAGTCCAATGCCAACTCAACAAAATATTAAACCAAATTATAATATTGATTTTAATTCTATTAATAATGGAATGTATAATAATAACGTTAATGTTAATGGACACCAACAACAACAACAACCACAACCAAAACAACAAAATCAATTTAATTTTGATAGTTTTGAGATGTACGGAAAAGTTAATCATTCCAGATAGACTATAAACTCAACCTTATAATTTATAATATTATCATTTTATAATAAAATCAAACATGTTGAATGTTCATTGTGATTTAACCTCCACTAACTGGTGGAATAATAGATACCTCATCAGTTGATTTTATTTCAATGTTTTCATCTTTATCAACATATTCTAAGTTGATTGCGAGCATACAAATATCTAATACCTAAAAAAGAAAAAGAAAACAAGTATTAGAATGAATACTTAATAATACTATTTCATTTTCATTTCATTTTCATTTCATTCTTACAGATGAAGCTTGAGGATATAATTGTTTTAATTTATTAAACAAATCAATTGGTTTACAATGATCATCATCCAACTCTATATCTATCGATGATTGATTATTCAATAGATCTTTAATCTTTGCAAATAATAAACATTTAACTATTATAATTGCCATGGTACCCCTCTTTAACCTTTTTCGAAATGAATGGTATCGTGCAACCAAAGAATAAGTAGTAATATACTACTAATACTAAAGTGAAAGATCTTAATCGAGTAAAAGGTGGGTGTTTAAAAAAACACACAATATCGAAAATGAACATTTTTTTTATATCTTTTTTTTTTTCTCTTCTCTTTTTTGAACATTTTCATTATCTTTCTCTTTTTTTTATTTTTATATATAATGGCAATAATAGAAACTAATAATGTAACCAATATAATATCTTCATCTTCATCTTTATCATCACCACCAATAATAATATCATTAAAAAAATCAATCATTGGAAACGATAATCATAATTATTATTTAAAAGAAAAGAAAAAGAATCAACTGTTATCATTTCAAAAAGCTATTCCGTTAAACCAATCATTTCAAAATGCAATAAAAATAGAATCATTAAAGATTGAAATGGATGATAAAAAGAAAACAATTACAAAACTTGGATTACTTAAAACATTTGTTTTATTTTCAAGTGCTACTGCAGTTGGTACTATATTTTATTATAAATTAAAAGATTCTCAAACTCATGTAAGAATAATATTCAAATAGATCAATAAATCGTATACGATTCTAATTTCCTTTTCTATTTTATTTATTTTTAGATGGAATATTTAAAAAGAATACCTTTTAGATTTACTTCAACGATTTGGGGAAAATGTTCAAATATTATATTACCAATATCAATGAGAGAATCTGTTTATAAAACCTATTCAACAATGTTTGGAGTAAATTTAAAAGAGGTTGAAAAACCATTGGTAGAATATCAATCAATGGCTGACTTTTTTTCTAGAAGATTGTGTCCTGGTTGTAGAGACATTGATATGAAAGCACCACTGGTTAGTCCAGTCGATGGGAAAATCATTTATTTTGGAAAAGTAAACAAAGATTCTTTGGAACAAGTAAAAGGTTTATCCTATTCATTGGAACAATTTCTAGGTGAATCTCAATCAAAACAATTGGCAGGAAAGAATCTTTATCATATTGGAATTTATTTGTCACCAGGGGACTATCATGGTGTCCACAATCCAACAGATTGGATAGTTGAAAATAGTTATCATTTTCCTGGTTATTTGTTTCCTGTTGGTAAAATGGCTACTCGTATTATTCCTGGGTTGTTTGCTCTCAATGAACGTGTGGTTGTCACAGGTCAATGGAAATATGGGTTCTTTTCAATGACACCTGTCGGTGCTTCAAATGTTGGATCAATAGTATTGGATTTTGACAAGGACCTTTCAACAAACAATCCTCACCAACAACAAGAATTGGATAAAAAAGAGTTTTATCAAAAGAGTTATCAGAATCTATTCAACCAAAAAGGTTCAGAGTTTGCATTCTTTAGAATGGGATCAACTGTTATTATTATTTTCGAATTACCAGACAATACAACCTTTTCTTTTGACCACTTGAAACCAAACAAATCAATCAAGGTTGGTGAAAAAATTGGTTCAATTTTAAATAAATAAAGTAAATATATTAAAAAAACCAAAAATTCAAAACTTCCAATAAATTATCTATGATTATGATCGACTTTTGATGTATTTTCTTCCAAAGAAATGGTCAAGGCGCGGCGGGGAGCAGGTTTGAATTTTTTTATCTTGTCACAACTAAAGAGTACATAACTGAATCGATTATGATCTACTGTTGAAGTGATTTCTTTTAAAAAATGGGGCGGGCGCAACGGCGAACCACACTTGAATTTTCCAAATTTGGACATATCAGTTCCCTTTTGGTCTAGTGGTGAGGATTTTCGCCTGTCACGCGAAAGGCCCGAGTTCAATTCTCGGAAGGGGAGATCCTTTTTGCTTTTTTTTTTGCCCCTGCCGCCGCAGCCCCCTGTTTTCATGTTTATCGTGTTCTCCTCTTCATTTTCTATCTATTTATCAAGATTTAATTCATTTTTATCAGATCCTCAACGAGATATCATTCAAGCAAGTACATAGTAAAAAAAAATATCAATGATAAAAAAAAATTGAGCCAAGAAGAATGAATGTAAGATATAAAAAGTGCGGAAAACCTTCGATTTAAACAAGAACTATATAATATTGAATATCCAGGATTGACATTAATCCAATCTTTTGCCAATTTTCCAAAAAAAAATTCATGTATTTACTTTTAATTTTAAAATTAAAAGAATTGTATTTTATTTTAAAAGATGTTTTACAAAAAACGTGAGGGTGAGGAAAGGAGCCTATCTCAAAGCTCAATGATTTCGAACAATTGATCTTTGTTTGATAAAATGGTTTGGTTGGTTTATATATGATTGATTTATATTTAACAAATATATATATTTTAAGATAGAAAAAAAATGATTTGAAATGGATAATCTTGGTGGACAGTATTGATTATTTTTCCCCGAGGATTTGATGAAAATGAATGAAACTTTGATGAATCTATGGAAAATAAGAGGAGAACACGATAAACATTAAAACAGACAGCTGTTGAGACAGGAGTAAAACTTTCTTTTACCAAAATGTATTTTTATTGATTGACGGTTTTGATGATTTCCCAGCGAGGATTTGATGAAAATGAATGAAACCTTGATAAATCGATAGAAAATGAAGAGGAGAACACGATAAACATGAAAACAGGGGGCTGCGGCGGCAGGGGCAAAAAAAAAAGCAAAAACGATCTCCCCTTCCGAGAATTGAACTCGGGCCTTTCGCGTGACAGGCGAAAATCCTCACCACTAGACCAAAAGGGAACTGATATGTCCAAATTTGGAAAATTCAAGTCTCGTTCGCCGCTGCGCCCGCCATTTTTTCAAAAGTAGACCATAATCGATTCAACAGTCAATCATAATCAATCGATTTGAATAGTTGTGTTGTGAAGGGTGTTGGCCCAACGATATACTCACGATTATATGCCTGGCACCCTCTTACAACTCCACATACTTCCAAACATGCTGGGAAGGATGGTTACAACAGTACCGTGAACGACAAACCACCGAATTTGGGCCCTATCTTCCAAATCACATCTCTGACAAGGAGCCACTTCTCTGCTCTCCAATCAACCAGACTAACAAAGGACGGTTGGTCAAAGGGTGTTTGAGACCCTCTTTGTTACCAACATCTATCAAATATTTGAAGTCGTGACAAGTGACAAATGCACGACAGCAATAGACACCCTCTTTCGTTTCTTTACCAGTATTATGAAACGTTCCCAGCTGGGAATGCATGTCACACGGTATTCGATGGTGAAATATACACAGTACCATACACTATTTGTTTGAATAAACCACTTCCAACCAATCCACTCTTTAGCAAGTTGCTTCTCGACCGGACGGACAACAGAGTGGAGTGGAATGCCCACGCTCTAAACTTTACCAAGCAGAGAGCACATCACAGACGTTTCGCCAATGCTGCTGCTTTACTCTTTCATCCCATGGTGGCACCTGAAGGTGCATTCGACTTTGACAACGAAAATAGCAACCGTTACCAAACGATTCAAAACTATAATCCATATTGAATATCGATATCTGAAACTAATCCAAAACTGAAAGTCGAAACTAGCTAAATGTCAACCTGATAGATGGTAGGTACTAATCTCGAGATCATAAATTCTCAATCATCTGGGGCAACTACTCACTATCGCATCTCCCTCCTTCCTAACCAAAACAGTCTACTTTATTAAACAATAATTAAAAATAAATAAAATGATTCCAGCAGTGAAGGGTCAAAGATTTAATTAAAAAAAAAGAAAATTTGGAAGAAATTACATCAAAAGTAGATCATTGTTAGATCTAGATTGTTTAAAATCAATGATATCTCAATGATATTTCATTGATATCTCATTGAACTCAATATACTCAATCCTGGTTGACAAGTCAAATATGTAAAGTATTTTGGATAAAATACTAACGACTAACCATCGTCAGTTAGTCGTCTGGATCAACAATTATAAGAAGGATTAGAATAATCCAATAAAGAGACATTCTATAGAAAGTATTTTTTAATTGTTTCATCATCTAAAAATAAAAATAATTAATATTATCATCTTTTATTACTATAATTAATAATCATTTACAATCTAATCTAAAGTCATTATTACTATCTATATATTCATATATCTATATATTATTATTATTTTATACCTCTCAAACTAATTATATTTACCAAGTATCTATATAGTAATCACAATCATAATCAATCGATTAGAAGAGTTGAAATAAGATTATTATTCTACAGAACTGAGAATCTTATCTCTATAGTCAAACCCTTTGGCATTATCTTTTTACTATTTGCCATTATCACTTTTCAATTTGTTATTTATATTTTTGGATCTCATTATTTTTACTTTTATGAAAAAACAGATTATTTGTATTCATGAAAATAATCCATATTGTTTTTGATAAATGAAAAACATGAGTTTTTTCAATCTGACTTGTTGGAATTTAAACTGTCTTATTCTAACAATTGATTGGTAAATATTATACCAACTAAACCAGTTTCTCCTCACCGTGAATATATATGTCTAATCTCTTCCAAATTAATATCTTCTACCTAAATGAGGTTATTGTTTTTGGAACCACATGACAAAGGATCGATGGAATTTCTGGAAAAAAGAGCAACAATCAAGTAAAAAATGAATACAACTCTCAATGAAACTTGATTTCTGTAAAATTCCTATCACGTCACAACTGAATCGATTATGATCTACTTTTGAAGTGATTTCTTCCAAAAAAAATGGGGCGGGCGCAGCGTTTTTTTTTTTTTTTTAATAAAATCTTTGACCTCTTCATCACCGCTGAAGTCATATTGTTTATTTTTAAATTAATGATTAAATTGTTGTTTAATTTGGAGTAGTTGTTAGATAGTGGTTAGTTTTAGTTAGGAAGGAGGGAATGCGATAGGGTGAAGCTAGTTTGCCCCAAATGAGAGAGAATTTACTAAAGTTTGCGATCAGTTCGAGATTAGTGACCGACCATCGATCAGGTTGACATTTAGCTAGGATCGACTTGCAGTTTTGGATTAGTTTCAGGTATTCAAGATAGATTATAGTTTTGAATCGTTTGGTAACGATTGCTACTTCGTTTGGGTCGAGAGAGTAGTTGCGATCGCCATCATCAAAGTCGAATTGCACATTCAGGTGGTGACACCATGTGCGGTGGAAGAGTATAGCAACAGCATTGACATAGAGCCTATGATGTGTTCGCAGTTTGGTGAAGTTGAGAGCGTGGGCGCTTTTTTTTTAAAGTAATTCTTTTCCTGTTCTCTCCTATCGGGAAGAGTAGTACTCAGAAGTTACAAAGTTTTATTAATTATACATTTTAATTGACCAGCAAGAAATAAAGATTATCTCAAGAAGAATTAAAGTTAATTTCGAGAAGAATTAAAGTTAATTTGTTCTGGGGGTTGTCCATGTCTATGATACATGTTATATGGACGTTGATCATGTATCTTATTGTATAGTGTCAAGCATGTTGGATTGTTTTGGGTTGTTGCTTGTTCTAAAAATAAATTGGTTAAAGATATCGCTTTTTTTTTTTTTTTTTTTTTTTTTTTTTTCTCAGCACTATAGGCTGTAATATTGTGTTATATAATTATTCTATGTTATTATTATTTAGTAAATTATTATATTATTAATATTATTATTGATAGATGAAGAGAGAATAGAAGAAGATGAAGGTGTTGAGGAGGATGTGAAGAATGAGGTTGAGGTGATCGATTATAGATGTAGTGTACGCAGAGTCTTGTACCTCTCCAAATGACTAGGTAGTGCGATCTTGTAGACAGTAGGATGGTTGTAGTTGGAGGAGAATCGAAGGATGATAGTTTGTATTCGTTCTGTAATCGTATGTATTACTGATTCATCGGTTTGGTTCATTAGAGCCAAGTGCCATCGATTACACAATTCTAACGTCTTGTCCCAGTTTACTTTTATAATATGTCGCATATCACTTATCAATCTAGCTCGCAGGTATTGTTCAGTGAAAGGTTCATCTCTTTGGTGACGTAGATCATTACGTCGGAACCATATTCGTTCTAGTGTTGCAGCGACCAAGTTTATAGTCATTGGAGTTTGTTTGAGGTTGAGGAGGGTGATGTCCCAAACTGGTGGTGTAATGTTGTTGGCAGCAGTAACCTCTTTCAGTAACTTTACTGGTAGTGTGGTCTCCTTGCATTGAAAGAACAAATGCTTGGAAGATTCATCTTTGCCACACGATACACAGATTGAAGCGACTGGGTCACCCCTGACGAGCGGGAGACATTTGGTTACATACTTCCAAACCAGATCTCGACCCTTTGGTAGTACGATGGTAGAGAGAGCAGCTAGTGCATTCATTGGATACACTCTGTCGTCGGTTGCTAAGATCTTTTGGCCTGGGGTCGGGTCGTACACATTCCACTTTTCGTTGGCTATGGTTAGCCTTTGGAGGTTCACTTGTTTGAGAGGTACTCTTCCTCTTTTGTCTGGTTCCATTGCTGGCTTGGGTACAGCCTCTCTGCTGACGTCGTAGGGTTGGGTAAGCTTTTCCCACTCGCTGCGGCAGAGGCGGACAAAATCGTTTGGTTTGTCTTGGTTGAGTTGGTCCATCCATGATTGGGCAAAGGAAACCTTTGCAACTCGGTCGTTCTTTACCTCGTGGAGGAACCTTTCGAACATCCATGCCTTTTGGGCACGGAATCTAGCGTTGAGGTCCCAGAGGTTGAGACCACCTTGGTCGATCGATCGTATGGAGCGTTTCTTGGACATGGTTCTTTTGGTTGGCTTGGTTGGGTCGTACTGACGGTCGTTGCTGAACATGAACCAATCAATAACCTTTTCCAATCTGGTGATTGCCTCGTGACTAGGTGATTCAAGGTACGTGAAATAATTTAATTGTGACAGACCATATGTTTTGAGCAAAGCTAATTTACCTCTATAGTTGTTGTTGTGTTTAGGTTTCCATCTAATCAAATCGTTGATTACCTTGTCAATACGCTCTGGAAGGTGTGGTACCAAACCAAACTGGTTAAAGTAGTAGCCGAGGTAACGTTCTTTGCTTTCCTTGTCCATCAGTGGGTACGGTAAATTGGTTGGACTGCCAGGTGACATGATCACACATTTGTCAGTGTTGACTTTGGATGATGTAGCTTTACAGAATAGCTGAATCCATTCGTCCATTAGTTTAAATTCTCGGATGTTTTTGGCAAATGTAGACGTGTCGTCGGCAAACTGGAGTAGCTTTACCCAGTTGAGGTGGACAAGAGGCGGTGGCTTTCTCTGTTTGGTTCCAAAAGCTGGCGGTGGGAGCATAGAGAGAGAGACTGGTGGCTTTGCAGTTGTGGTATCGATTGGCAAACCTTGTATGCGGCCGTCATTGATGATGCTTCTCGCCAGTGGCTCGGCGATGAGGGCAAATAGCGTCGGTGATATTGGATCACCTTGCTTTGTGCCTCTGACGGTGTGGAATGGTTCAGACAGCGAGTCTCCTACTCGTACACGGACTGAAGAGTCTGCTAGCATGGACATAACAGCGTTGACTATCAGTGGTGGAGCACCCATCTTGGTCAAGGTTCGTTGGATGGCAGGGTGGGAGACAGAATCAAATGCCTTGGAAAAGTCGTAGAGAGTGGTGATGGCCTCTTTGTTGTCCTTGTTTGTCTCGAGTGCTTGCTTCATGACGATCAGATTGTCGTGGATCAGACGTCCTGGGACAAAGCCCGTTTGGTAGGGGCTGAGAGCGTGGGCGCAGCGGCGAAGCAGACTTGAATTTTCCAAATTTGGACATATCAGTTCCCTTTTGGTCTAGTGGTGAGGATTTTCGCCTGTCACGCGAAAGGCCCGAGTTCAATTCTCGGAAGGGGAGATCCTTTTTGCTTTTTTTTTTTGCCCCTGCCGCCGCAGCCCCCTGTTTTCATGTTTATCGTGTTCTCCTCTTCATTTTCTATCGATTTATCAAGGTTTTCCTCTTCATTTTCTATCGATCCATCAATGTTTTAATCATTTTCATCAAATCCTAGCTGGGAAATCATCAACCGTCTACCAATAAAAATCAATGTTTTCATGTTTATCGTATTCTTCTCTTCGTTTTCTATCGATCTATCTTCATTCATTTTTTTTTTTAAAAATGATTTAATTTTTATTAATTTGTCTTTTAGGTTTTGAAGGAGGTAGAGGAAGAGGATCTAAACAACGAAGAATAAAAAGGGCAGGGGCGATTTCATTGAGAGTTTCCATTTCAGCCAAATCGTGACCAAAAGGGATTTTACCCCAGATATCGGCCTGGTATTCCTCCTCGATGGCGACGGTATCATAGATGCCATCCAATCTGACGTGTTGATGGTAGATGGCGAGTGCACAGAGAAAAGATTTACTTGAAGAGGTGATGAATTGAAGGGCGAGCAAATGGAAATTGCTCAACGAGCCGAGATGATCTTGGATACGTTTGAGGGTGGCCGGCAAATGCTTGGAGAGGTTGAGACCATATGACATTTTAAAGTTCTTTCCGCCACCATAATAGGCATTGGCAAACTCAAAGACTGGGTCCAACTTTTCGTCTTGCAACTTTCTCATTTTGCTCGATTCGTCAGCCTCTCTATTACAAACGGGATCGGTTTTGAGATGACCTACAATTTCAGTGATTGATTTTAATCTTTGTTCGGGTGTCAAATCGACGCAAGTGGCGAGAGCACTCGACAATGGAAGTCTTGATGGTTTAATATAAGTTGTTTGAGTGTGCCATTCTGCAGCTACAGCCATTGCCAATTCTTTGGTTGGTAGTACAAAATGATTTCCACATGGTGTTTTCATTGCTCTATTATCCAATGTTGGTACATATCCTCCTTTTTCTTGATCATATGTATATCCAACATGTTTATACCATTTTAATGTTGTACCATCATTTTTTACTAAAAAAAAAGAAAAGAAAACAAGAATTAGAGAGAGAATAATAAAGAGAGAGAGATCAAAATTGATATACATACTGCCTTCCAATAAAACTTCACCTTTAAATAATTTTGATAATTTGGGATCGATAAGACCTTCATTGGCCATAGTAGATGCCAATTTAGCGTTGATTGGTGTATAATGAACTCTTGGTTTGATTAATTTTGGTAATTTAATCTCTTCATTTGTTGTAGTTGTAGTAGTAGATGTGGTAGTTGTTTTAGAAGTAGCAGTAGTAGTACAAAATTGTTGTTGATGTTGTTGATTGATTGAACAACTCGTTAATCCAAGTAAACTATTTGATCTACTAGTTGATGTAGTAATAATTCTTTTTAACATGTTGATTGTTATTTGATACAAATATCTAATATTTGCAATGAAATGACGTCTCTTTAGAATGATCGTCTTTTCAAACAAAAAGACTGTAAAAAAAAAAAATTAAATTTTAATGAAAAAAAATGTAAGGTTGAGGATGTGATGAAGATGAACTTACCAAACAAAGAGACATCATACCTGTTCATACTATTATTATTATATACTCTTTTTTTTATATTTATTTAATTTATAGTAGTTATGGATTTATTGAGAGCACTAGATGTGCTCTCTACATCTAGTAATTATGATGATAGCAATAACAACAATTTTTCACCAACACAAGCAGCAGCATCAAGTAGAGAAAAGATTGAAGCATGTAGAACGATTGCAGAACAAATTTGTTCACCAAGCATTAGAAATACAACAGATTTTCCTCGGTTCTTATCAGTTGCTATATCATTACTATTACGAGTTCATGGTGACAAGGATTTAAATGTTTATTCAGTTGCTGAAGAATCTTTAAATAGAACTATTAAAGTAAGAAATAGAAATAAAAAGAAATAGTATACATTTAATATTAATTTTTTACTTTTTGTATTAGGTATTAATTTATACACAACAAAATAGTGAAAGAATCATATTTGAATTATTTAGAGTGATTAAAGGACAATCAAAGACGACACAAACAGGAGGAACAACTTCAAGTTTATTGATTAATACACAAACAAAGAAACAAAATGATGCTTCATCTGTTTTATCATCACCTGCACCATCTGCAACTTCAACTTTTACTCCAACCCCTTCTTCTTCTTCTTCTTCTTCATCATCTCCTTCTACTTCTTCAACATCATTATCATCATCATCAAATGTATTATCAACTGCAAGTGTTATATTATCAAAACCATTTCCATTGAAATCACAACGTATTGCATTGGTAAAGTTTGGTGAAGTTTGTCATTTCATCAGACCAAACAAATGTAGAAAGTATATCACTTCGTTGGCAGCACCCATCAATCATTTGTTGAGGTTGACCAATGATGAATCACTCCAAGACACGATAGCAGGAACGATGGAACCCATCTCACGTATTCTGATGCCTCATCTCAAAGAGGGAGAGGTCAAAGAGTTTATCGAATATTTTATTCCAAACCTCTACCACTCTTCGGCAGCCGTTCGAAGAAGTGCATCCTTTTCCATCATTTCCATTGTCAGACATTACCCAAAATCACTCTATCTAGGGTTGATTGATATCTTGTCGGTCTATCAATCGCCAACTGCCACTGGTGAAAACAATAGACTTTTGGGAATACTATTTACCTATTTACAAATGGTTAAATTGGCCGAGGAGTGGACTGGGCAGGATGTAAACTTGTTCACCTCGCGTGTACAATACTTTTTACAATTTATTGGCAAACATTCTCTTAGAATGGCCATGTCGAATGATCCCACCAACTATGACCACAATGTTGTTGGAGCTGGTTTGGAACTACTTCAACAAATGTTATCAAGTTTTGGTAAATATGATTATTGTTGGCCACTTGATCTTTTACAACCTATTCTATCTCAATTACATTTATTGGCTTCTTTTAAAAAAGTAGAAAAAAGTGATCAAAGTAGTGAATCATCAACTCCTTCTTCTTCATTTACACCATTAAGAGTTGGTATGAAAGCAGTAGTAATTAGTAGTTTGGCACAAATTGTAAAATATTTCCCAAAATTATTTTTTGATGAATTTTACAAGGATCAACAACCCATTCCAACATCACATCAAAATTTGACCGTTTCAGATATTTCATTTAAATTATTTAATATTTCTGATCAATCAATTCCTACCAATGATAAATCCTCCTCATCTCCTACAACACTTGGATCATCAACTTCAACATTGGTATTGGATAGTACACCAAAAGAAGAATTTTTACAATATTTAAATGATAGTGATCCATTGTTGCGTGGTTCAACTGCATTGTTGATTGGTTGTCTTGTAAGGGGATTCTTAAAAATCGATCATATCAATTCAAATGGTGACGGTAGTAGCAAGAAAATATTACTTCAAGATTTCATATCCATACCCTATCTCATGGCCTATTTATTAAGATCTCTTTTGGATCAATCATCGATTACTGCAAAATTGGCATGTACTGGTATTGGTGAATGTTTGTCACCCATTTCAAAGAGTAGTAGATGTTCAGAATGGGCATTGGTAGCTCTTAGACATTTACTTTGTGTCAGTAGTTCTACCTATTGGCTTGTCAAATTGGAAATCCTAGATACCCTCTCTCATATAGATTATGTAATCATTGAATATTTGGAACAAAATATTCAACATAAATCTCATATTTTATCAATTGCAAATCAACAACAACAATCACCTATTAATAATAGTGGTGGTGGTGGTGGAAATGGTGATTCTGGTGGAGCAGTTTCAATACCAATTCAAACAAAAGTATTGGGATTTTTAATTGAACAACTTGGTGACAATGATTATAGAGTTCGAAATAGTGCAGGAAATTCTCTTGTAAATATCATCCCAAATTTAGTTTTTACTGCTCCTCTTGAACGTCATTCAATGAAAGCTTTAGCTTCAAATATTAGAAAATCTTTTGATGTTTTAAATAATGATCATTTTGTATGTAAAAAAAAAAGAAAAAAGTATTTATAACTAATTTTTATTTATTTATTATTTTTTTCATATAGGTAACAAATAAAAATAAGATACAATCAAATTTATCACATGTAATTGGATTGATAATAAATCAATTATCAAATCCACATCCAGAAGATATGATTAGAGGATGTTATCATGCATTAAAATTGATAGCATCAATCTATTCATTCCCGGTTGGTACTACGAAGCAATGTCGTACACTTGGGTCAACATTGGCAAATCCAATGTTGATGTTTGTTGGAGATATATTACCATTGGCATTGGATCGAGTTGGTATTATTACATGGATGGCAACCGATTTTGACCTACATATCGATATTATTGATACCATTGGTTTCTTGGCAAGAGGTGCTGAAAGTGTATTGGGTAGTTATTGTCACAATGTCCTACGTCATCTTTGTCGTATTGTCAATATAATGTCAAACATTTTACAATTCAGACCTACTCCACCATTAAAGGAAACCAAACCAAATACCTTGTCAAATAGTGGTATTGTCAATAGTCCATCACTCATTAAAACATCTAGTACTCATCCAGGTGCCTTTACTCATAGTATTCATTATATAAAGATTTACGCCAAACTACTTCAAGTTCGTACCAATTCAATGACCGTGTTATCGGTTGGTCCAACTAGCTCAAACAACAATAGTAATAGTAATAATAATCAACCAAACTCTGCTTCATCTGATGATTCAGATAAATTCTCACAACTTAGGCAATCATGTTTGGACAGTTTGTCGGTGATTATCAAATGTTCTGGTAAATCGATTGTACCATTTGCAGAAGAGATTACAGGTTATTTGTTTTCACATTTTGAACAAGAACCATTGGCCACTTGTCGATGTATTACCGAGTTGTTTTTGGTATCATTCAAACCGACACCACTGATTTCAATGTCCAACAGTACCATTAATCCAAACCGTCTATCCCGAGACTTGACCAATATAGGTAAACTCTATGAACCTAGATCGGTAGACGTTGACGCTGCAAGTACTACAGGAAATCAACATGACGAACTTTTTAGCAACAACAAGTCGATATTTGCCTCTTTTCTCTTGATGGGAAATAATAACTTCAACAATATCCTCAAACAACACTATGAACCAGTACAATTGCCTGGATTGGCTCATTCTCTAAACTATACCTATTCAAATCAAGAAGTGAATAGAATTCTTTTGGCAGAGGACAAGAAATCACTCTATCGTCATTTCGAACCACTCTTTGCATCGTTTATGTTAGAGTATAGAACTACCCATCAAGTGGAACTAAAAAAAGAAATCCTTTCCATGTTTAGTAAATTCTCTAGATTTGGTTTGGATCTATCAATGATTGACAAGGATCAACAATTATTACCATTCATTTTGGATGAAATCAAAGAAACAAATTGTTTATTATCACAATCTTCTCAACTTTTACCATACATGTTTGATTTGTTTGGTAATTTGGTTGTAAATAGAAAATTATTTAATGATATAATTAATATTGATGATTTAAAAAAAATTCTTCCCATCCAAATTAATAATCAACAACAAAATAATAATAATCATAATATTTCTTCTTCTTCAAATATAATAATAATATTAAAATCAATACAATCATTTATAAAATATTTATTTGATGTAAATGATAAATATGGAGATCAAGAATTTAGAGATCAAATATTAAAATTTATAATGGAACATTTATATTTGGAAGAAGCAGTAGATCTTTGTATAACATTGCTACAGACAATCAAATCAAATAATAATATTCATTTAAAATACTCTCAAACGATTGCAAATCGAGTATTTAATTGTTTGGCACTCTCTGAAACACCCTATTTCATCGTAGAATCTATCGAGAGTATCAAAAGACTCTATTCATTGGTAGATCATTTACATCCAAATAGTGTAACTGCAACTCGTTGGTGTGATGCACTCTTGTCTGCATCTCCATCATTTGTTCAATCACCACAATCTCATCTTAAAAATGATCCACTTCAACGTAGACGTGTACTCGGTATCAATGAAGAATTGTTGGAATACAATGAATTGCGTTGGTTACCACCATTGCTTATACTATTACGTACAGGTGTAAAGATTCCAGAGGAAACTAGAATTTCAACTGCTCGTCAATCACTCTATCTATCACATCATGACAACAAACAAGTACCTTCACCATCTGCCAATATCATCTCTTTGGTATTATTTAAATTGATTCGAAATGCTGTTAATATTTATAGTCAAAAGAAACCAAATCACAAATTACCAAGTCTCCTTATCAATCATTTACTTTATTTTGCTGGTTTATTTTTTAATAAGAATTTAATTCCAACTATTAGTCAACAAAATAATAGTAATAATAATTCTTCAACTTCACCAATACTTGGATCTCAAACAAATTCATTATTATCATTTATTGGTAGATCAAATTCAAATAATAATTTACTATCTACTTCATTATTCCTTTCAAGTATAAGATCATGTATAGAATGGAATTATTTTGAAGAGATTGGTAAAAATCTTATTACATGTAGTGAACCAAGCACAGCATTGCATGGAGTACGTTTTCTAATGTTGTTGGCACCATCGAAAATGGTAGATGCATGGTTTGACTATTCCTATAGTTCCAATTGGACAAAATGTGATTGTGAACACTTTTTGACACATCATGTCATCTTTTTGATGTATTGTCAATTTGCCATCGTTCACAAACTGCCCATTCATCTAAGCAACTCTTCATTTATGGACAAGATTGTTTTATTAATCAATGAAGGAACAACGAGAAAGTTGATTGATACTGTTAGAAATGTTGGTAACAATATGGATCTACTCACCAAACATTTGAAAATGATCTTTTCAAATACCAATCCAAATTCACTAGACCTAAGAAAAAAACAAAAACTTCTTCGTCTACTCTCTTATCTACCAGCAAATAGAGAATCTATCGAATTACTCATCACCAATTTCCTCCAAACTGATGATATTTCACTTCAAATTGCTGCAGAAAGAATATTAAATCTTCATCTAAATACTCTTATCGATACCTATGGAGCAACAGATTCAAAGGTAATCATTGAAAATCTTTATGAAATTTTCATGTCCAACTTTTACAAATCAACTACCAATCTTTCAACTCAATCACTTTTTATTAAATTGATTAAAAATCTTTCACTTGGAATCGTTGAAAAACAAGGTGGTCAAATCATCAAAAATCAACAAGAATTGGATAATCTAGAATTATTAAATTTAATAATTAAAAACAAAGAAATCAAAGATAATAACAAAGATAACAAAGATAACAAAGATAAAAAAGATAATAATAATAGTTTGGAATCTATAAATTATGAAAAATTTATAGATATTATAAAAAGACAATATTACAAGGATAGTCATCATGCATTTAATCAATTATCAATTTTATCACAAATTGATAGAAATGCAATGAAACAATTACTATTATCAAGCCATTTGGATATTACGTTATTGCCAACATTTATAACAAGTCCATTGTCTGCAGATTATCAACAAGAATTATTGGATCATACAATCAAAAGAATCGATAAACTACTATCTAGTCAATTGTCAGATTTGGTCAATGATCCACTAAAGAGTGGACCACCATTGCTTACAGATTCACTTTGGGAAGAGTTGAATGAACTTTTACGTACTGTCGCAACCTATATCAATCGATTTGGTTCATTGGTTGGAGTAGATGATCAAAAACTGCTAAGACTAGCAATTTGGTCATTTGTTGAAGGATTTAGAAGATGGAGAGCTCAAGTAATCAATCCATACGACTTTAAGATCATTTTGGAATTGACTCGTAGTATTATCTTGTCAAGTCAAGCATCCATTCTAACCATTACCGATGACTTTTCTTGGTGCTCTTTATTACTATGTCTCTACAAATTCTATTGCCTAGTGATTCGTCCTCACTTTGGTTTTATTCAAGGTCAAAGAGAATTGGAAGAAAACTATAGTCAAGATCCAACTCAAATATCATTGACTCAAAGTAATGAAATGGTCAAATTCTTGGTCTCTCTATTGAATAGTTCACATCTTTGTAAACCAACTTCTGGTTCTCATATTGGTCAATTTATCTTTGACTCTTTTATGAGAACTCTTATCCCTCTTGCTGAAAAGGCTGTAGATTTTATTTATCCTACTGTTGAAATTGAAATGGAAAATGAAAAAGAAATAGAAACGGAAAGAGAAACGGAAAGGGAAACAGAACATTTATCTTCCTATTCTCAATATGATGAATTTGGAGGAGGAATTATACCAAATTGTCCATTATTTTCAAATAATCAATTTTCACCAGAATATAATCTAAGAGCATTTGTTAGATATGTAGATTATGTTGGTTTGGACAGCAGTGCAGAGAGATTTGATCAAATTTGGCAAATTTTGGAACCAATATTCATGGCACCACTTGGAGATGCCGATGTTGGATACGATGAAATCACAGAAGAATCAAAATGTGTCGCATTGCATGGTATCACCAATATGATTATAAAGGCTTGTTTTGAAATTAAAGTTGGTAATGAACAAATCAATTTGTTGGAAACGGTCTCTTTTAACGATCAACATACAAAACGTCAATTTTTACATACACCACGTGAAAAGGATTTACCTTTTCTTGGTACAAATAGTGGTAGAAAGGCTAGTCGTTTAGAATCTATTATTTATTCATCATTGCCTCAATCAGAGTTGCCACTTGAAAGAATGGGAGAATGTTTAGATATACCAACCAAAACCAATGCATCACATACATCATCGGCAGTTCCCATTTCACCGTATCATTTCAATATTGAACGTGGATGGAATAGTTTGAATCGATTCACTAGTGGACAATTATCATTGGCAGATCTCAAACAATTCAAATCACCCTATCATTTGGGAATCAATTTCACTCCCATCATTGAAAAGTTGCTCCAAACGTTTGAAGCCTTTCTCATCAATTCAATGTGTCCACCCATGCTTAGAAAAGAAATTATCAACACTACAGTACTATTGTCTGATCTTTTCAATCGTGAACAAATTCTTTGGATGTATCGTATCTTTTGTACAATGTATCATAATACTACGCTCGTCGATGATAATGATGACTTTTTACTTAAACAACATTTGGTACTTGGTATTTGCAAATCAATTGCCATTATTTATCCAAATGATTTGACTTCACCACTTTCACCTTATGCTACATTGCCACCTAAAGATTCTGGTCAAGATACACATGCAAATACAATCTTTGACATTTTATCTAGTGCCTTGGAACACAAGAACCTATCACTTCAACAAAGTGCACTAGACTCTATATTATATCTACTTGAAGGCAAGGTTAATCGTTATATTCATGGACCTCTGATTCAATTTTTATTCCGATGGATTCCAAGTCGTCTAACAATGCAACCACTTCCACCAGTTGGTCTCATTCTACGAGTTCTTGCCGTCATGTTTATTATTATCGAACAGTATAGTAGAGAGGCAGAGGAAAATAGCTTTACCAAAAAGGCAGTCTATATTTGTACGTCACTAGGACAAATGCCATCCACACCACTTCCCATAGTCTATGGAATCTTTAGAGGTTTTGATCGACTATTGGTTTCCTTTTCCCTATCTCATTCTCAACGAGAATACATATCACAATTTGCTCTCAAATCTCTACCACTGGATAATCCCATTCGATCACTATTGGGACTTGGTCTCATGGTCACTTGCATGTACACGGGCGACGAAACCAGTGGTAATGCAATGACCCCCTCCATCAATACCAACTCTAAAAATTCAATGATGTCATCTCCTCCTACCACTCCAACCACCTATACTCCTTCAGAATCCCCTCTATCATTTTCAAACAATGATTTATTTAATAATGGTGCTGCTGGTATGGATGATGATGAAACTTTACAATATTCTCAAATTAATAATATGGAAAAAGTTAAAATGCTTTTTGATAAAGTTAAAAATGTTTCTCATTATACTTTTGAATCTTTTATACTTTCAGAGTAAGGACAAAAAAAATAGAAAAATAGAAAAAATATTAATATTTATTTATTTATTTATTTTTATTTTTAGAGTAATACCAACAATAATAGTTGATATTTATCCATCGGTGGATCAAATATTATCATTTATATTGGGAGAATTTTTAAAACAAAGTAAATCAAATCCAAAATTGATGTGTCAAATTGTTAGTAATGTTTTTAAACTATTGGTTGAAAAGGAAGCATCAAATAGACAATTGATTTATTATTGGATCACTATTTGTTTACAAAACTTTTTCCAAATTCAAAATCAAGTTCATTGTAAATGGGCTCTTACAGTTTTATTCCTTTGTTCTTCTCCTTTAAAATCTTTACAATTATTGTAAGAAATTTAAAAAAAAAAAAATAGAAAGTTTTATTAACCTTTTTTTTCTTTTTTAGATCAATTGAATTATCATCAAAAATTCAAAGTTATGATCAATTATTTATTATAGCAGCAAGTGAATTTTATAGTTCAAAATATCTTTCACCAGATATAAAGAAATTATTTATAGATTCATTTTCAAAATTAAAGACTGAACCTTTTGTATCTTTATTATCAACTTTAACAAAATAAATAAAATTAAATTAAATCAGTTCAATTTGAAATCCCGATACCAACATTATTTTCCTTTTTTGACAAAAAAGGGTGATCACCCAATTTTAAAAACCCTCTCTCAAGAGAAACACATGTGTTTCATAATTTTGTTTGTTGTTTGTTCACAGTTTATTAAAGAGATATATATTTAGAGAGAATGTCAGATAAAGTTCATATAACAAGAGAATCAAGTAGTGCTGATCACTCTTTAGAGGTAATTTAAAAAAAAAAAGAAACAACAACAACAACAAAAAAACAATCATCATTATATTTATATAATTCTTATTTAGGCAATAGGACATGCATTAGCAGGTGGTATTGCTGGTATGACTACCATTTTCTTAACTTATCCTCTTAGTACTGTTTCAACTCGTTTACAAGGTACAAATAATATAAAAAAAGATAACGATAATGTTTTAATGTTTGTTTTTAACTCTATTTTTTTTTTTTTAAGTACAACAAAAACAAGCATTAAAACAACAACAACAATCAGATACAAGTGTATTACCAGTACCATATAAAGGAACAATTGATGCATTCAAGAGAATCATTGCAGAAGAGAATTGGACATCATTGTATAGTGGATTAAAGAGTGCATTGATTGGTATTGGATGTTCATCGTTTGTGTATTACTATTGGTACTCGTTTTTAAAGTCCATCTCACTCAAGCTCAAAAACAAGACTGAGCTTTCAACAGTAGAGAATCTTTTGATTGCTGCTTTGGCTGGCTGTGCCAATGTAGTCTCCACATTGCCAATCTGGATTGTCAATACTAGATTGCAATTAAACACTACTGGCAAGCCAAGAGGTATGGTTAGCCAATTCCGTACCATCGTCAGAGAAGAGGGTATCAAGGGTCTCTACAATGGTCTCGTCCCTGCTTTGATCCTAGTCTCTAATCCATCTATTCAATTTGTTTCCTATGAAAAATTAAAATCACTTTGGAAGAGACAATCTGGTAGTACTTCAAATAGACTTGTAAATAATAGAAAAAAAAAAGAAAAAGAAAAAGAAAAAGAAAATAATAATAATAATATAAATTAACCTTTTTTTCCTTTTCTTTTTCTTTAGGGAGGATTAGAGATTTTTATTTTAGCACTTGTTGCAAAATTGATTGCAGGTGTTACAACTTATCCATACTTGTTGGTAAAGAGTCGTCTTCAATCGAAATCAAGCTCAGAGTCTCCATACTCTGGTACTTTTGATGCCATCGTAAAGATTTACGAGTCGGATGGTTTACCAGGATTTTTCAAGGGTATCGGATCAAAGATGATTCAAACTGTTTTGGGTGCCAGTATCATGTTTGTATGTATAAATAAAATAGTAAAAGGTTTATATAAATGTTTTTGTTTACTAATCATTCATCTTATCTTTTTGTAGCTTATTAAAGAAAAGATTGTTTATTATACAGTTTTTATTATGTTTTTCTTAAAGAAATCACTTTCAAGAAGAAATAAATAAATAAATAAATAAATAAATAAATAAATGGATTCATTACCATCTTCTCTTGTTGTTTATTATCATTGTTTTTTTCAAGCCAAAGAAAATTGTCAAGATTAATGTATTACATTTTTATTGTTTGACTGAGTAAAGTTTTTTATTGACATATGATTAAAAAAGATGTTGTTATTTTTGTACATTTTTTAAAAAATCACGATTTCTCGGTCAGGTAGGGTCAGAAATGGATAAAACCTTTACCAAACGATAGATAATGACGAGGACAAGGCGATGCAACAGATAAAAATTTTGGGGGAGCTTTTTTTGATGATATAAAAACAGATTTGCTCTACTGAGATTCGAACTCAGATGACTGGATTCAAAGTCCAGGATACTAACCCTTATATGATAGAGCATACGATTATGCTCCAAATTTTTGACCCTGGGGCCCCATTTCGCCTCACCCGCGCACCCAGTTTGGTTTGGTACCACACTTTCCAGAGCGTATTGACAAGGTAATCAACGATTTGATTAGATGGAAACCTAAACACAACAACAACTATAGAGGTAAATTAGCTTTGCTCAAAACATATGGTCTGTCACAATTAAATTATTTTACGTACCTTGAATCACCTAGTCACGAGGCAATCACCAGATTGGAAAAGGTTATTGATTGGTTCATGTTCAGCAACGACCGTCAGTACGACCCAA